TCGATTAATAATAAAGAATAAATTCGACTTAAGCTCGGCCTAGAAAGAGTAGCTAGCGCGTATTAAGAATCTAGATTAATACTTCGTAGAAGAAGGCCGCCTATTCCGAAAGATTAGTAATTACTTCGTCTTCTTTATTTCTATATTATTTTGTCGAGACTTTATCGAGTACTATTATAAGTACTACGAACACTATAGCGCGGCTACTATAAAAAGTATCGTTAAAGTACGCGAATAGTAGCTATCTATAATAAAGAATATTCTTATATACGCTCGAACTTATAATTAATACTAGTTAGTCTAGAGATAGAAGAAGAACTAGAAAGAACTATATTCGTAGGTTAGACGGATCTCCCGACTCTTCGAAAAGTAGATAATCGACTTTATTAGCCCTCTATTAACTACGCCCTACGAAAATCGTTAGATTCTAACGGCTATTAATTTCTCTATAGGCTAGCTAATAGTAAAGGCTATAAAGGACGCTACGAACGAAGTAATCGTCGACTTTTTATTCGAAATCTACTACTAGTATAGAGTATTTTAAGAATTATTATTAAATAATAGCGCTAATTTAATCTCGAAGATCGTCGAGTATTATCTCGATTACGTTAAGATAAAGTATTATATTATAATATCTTACTATCTCTAGATTAATAGAAAGATAGAAAGATTTAATAAAATACTAGGCGAAATTCTTACGAAGTAACTTATTAGGTAATAAATCCTCTTATAGAACGAATATCTTCTATCGATATTATTTATAATCTATATTAGATCTTATATAGTAATTAGAATAAGTCTATATAAGCTCGTCTACGGTCTCGAACCTCGATTAATAGGCGATTAACGAGAATTCGATCTATTAAATCTTAATATCGACTTTATCTCGAGACTAGAATAGTTATATACTATACGTTATAAAGTAAATAAATTACTTATAGAGAGAGAACTATACTCTCGAAAACTATAATCTACGCGTTTAGAAACGCTATATCTTTTACTTAAAGAAGGAGATTTTATTCTTCTAAATAATATCTCGAAGTAGAAATTCGAATCTAACTACTTCGAACTCTTTCGGATTCTAAAGAAGTTATAGTTTAGTACTTATATACTAGAAATAATAGACTAGAAGATCTTACGTCTACTTATCTATAGAAGCCGTCTAATACGGTACTACTCGGTAGATTTAGACGAATAGATAATCTAATCGTTTACTAGAGTATAATAAATATAACTCTAAATAGTTAGAGATAGTATAACGAAGCCTTCGAATAAAATACTTTAGATACTTAGTAACGAGTCTAATCTCTTAATATACTACGAGCTATCGATAATATCGAAGTAGTAATAAATATTATAAGAATAACTAGAAGATAGTTTAAGTAAGATAGAGAAGAGCTATAAAGCTAAAGTAACGCTAATAAATAAACGTCGGCGAAATAAAGAATAGAAGCTAATATTCTATAGCGCGACGTCGATAGAGAAGACTACGACGGCTTACGAGAAATAAATTATAATCGGAGTAGTTCTCGCTTCTAATTCTCTAGAGTAGATTACTCCGCCTTTAGATAGATAATATCTTATCGCTAGAAAGAGTAATAAAGATATTAATACTTTAAGAATATCGAATAAAATAGTTAAGATAGAGTTTATCTCTCTATACGCCTAGAATAGATAGAAATAGAAGAATAGTAATAGACTATTATTATCTAACCCTCTCGATATACGAAGAATAGAGAACGAAGGGACTTTTAACCCTCTCGAAACTTCTCCGATACTCTAGAAAAGAATAGAAAATTATATTTAGGATAAATAAGAAATCTTAAGGAATAAGGGTAATTCTATCGGACCGTACTAAGATACCGTTATATAAGATACCTCTATTCTATCTTATATCGAGCTACTCGAATCTATATCGATAGATATCGAAATCTATCCTACCGATATCGTAGAGTATATAGATAATATAGTAGGCTTATTCTATATAAATTATATAGAGAATAGCTATAATAAGTTAGCTAAAGCTATCTCGAATAAGAAGGAATTATACTCCGTTAATAGACTAAATTAATCTAAAGATATAAGGCTATAGAACCTTATAGACTAGGATATATCTACTTTATCCTTCTCGATACTCGCCGATACTATAGAAAGTATATCTACGATATCTTCTAGTTCTACTAGAATAACTCTTCCGGTACTTAAGGGGAATCTTATCTCTTAAGAGTACTCGAGACCCCGTAAGAAACGAAGACGAGATAATTTATTATCTTCGTTAGTAGTCTAAAATACTAACTATAATATAGCCGAGCCTTTAGTTTTCCGTCGACGATACGTCGAAGGACGCTTACTAAGACCTAATTCTAGACTAAAGATAGTACGAGACTAAATAATCTAATAATAATAGTATTCTCTATAGATAACCTATAGAAACTAGAGCGTAGACTAGATCTCGACCCTTAGCTATACGTTATCGGGACGTCCTACGAAGCGCTCTAGGTATATTAAAAACCTAAAAAAATAACTAATAAATTATAGTAAATCGCCTTATATAGTAGGCGTAGAAGAACCTCGCTCGCGCTCCTCTACTCGTTATATCGTACTAGAAGACTTATTTATAAAATAGACTATTCGTAGAGTATCGTCTACTATCGTAGTAGTATAAGAAAATAGTAATACTTCGCGATCTCCTTACTATAATACTATCGGAGCCGGTCCTAATAGTAGTACCTCTATCGATACCGTCGTTTTATAGTAAGAATACCCTAAAAGGCCTAAACTAGAAGTAGGGTCTAGTTACTATATATAGATAGATAGCGGATAAATATTATATATAGAATAAGTAGAAATAGTAGACTATCCGTATACTAGATAATAAAAAGACGGACGTTCTAGAGCCGGGTAAATCGATATATAGCCTTATATAGACTATATCGATAAATCTATAGAAGACGAGACTAGTACGAATTATTACTATATTATAACCTAACCACGCTTAGAGTTATATACTAGCTCGGAAGACGTAGATATATATTATATAGCCTCTTTAGTATAACGACGTATTTCCGATATACGCCTAGGCGAACTTCGTATCTATAATAATAGCTTAAGAGAAGAATCGATAGTATACTAACGATACCTTAGTAGTAGCTTATTAGCTATATAGCCGTATTCTTCCGACTCCGAACTAGTCTTAACGACTTCTATCCTTACTAAAGATATAAATATTATAGAACGATAACTTTATTAAGTCGGCGTTAGTAAAGAATATTACTCTATACGTATATCGGATTTACTAATCCTACGAATAACTTTAATAGTTTTCGATATATAGTATAGATCTAAAGCCTACTACGTTACCTTCTAGATAGCGATTAATATCTTTTAACGTCGATCTTCTATATCCGTTTATAGCGATAATACGAAGTCGAATCTATTCTCTAGACCTTCGATCTCGATAGCTATATAATCTCCTATCTCTTTAGCCTCGTCGGCTATATATAGATTACTTATTCTCTCGCTAAAACGTACCTCTCTTATACCTTCTACTAGATCTTCTTTCTATATTTTAGAGGATCGAGTACGACGTTTCTTAATACTACGCGTTTAAATAGACGTTAATACCGATATAGTAGGCTAACGACGACTAGAAGCTTCGCTACTTATACCTCTATTACTAGATAAGGAATAATTAACTTCGCGAATAGCGTAAGTTATATATTTTTCGCTAAAAAGATATATCGTATTAGTAGAAGTAGGCGAATTCGAGATAGATATCGAAACGTACTCTAGGAATACTAGCTCTCGATAAGAATCTAGTTTAACTATATAAAGATATATTTCGTAACGTAGATTATTTACGATATCTACTATATACTCTATAAGAGTATTCCTAATATATATATTAGTAATATCTCTTTAACCGTAAAATTCGATAGATCTCCGAGGAATACGGCTATATAGCTAAACCGATAAGCTATTATCGAGAGAAAAGAACTACTTCTAGTACTATTTCGCCTAGATAATAAGATTAACTACTATATCGCTAGGCTTAACGCTATAAATATTATTATCGATCTAGAAACGAATTAGTAACTATATCTTTCGATATAGTACGATATACTTACGAAAGAAGCTATCTTTACCGTCTTAGTTACTAGTAGGTCTTTAATTATCTTCTTAACTTATCGATAGTATAGAGTATTTAGAACTTATAGTCTAGTCGGCGTTCTAACTTATCTAGATAGTATAATAACTATAATAGTAGTTATAGAATATTTAGCTTTAATCGATAAAAGACTTAGGACTTAGAAGTATAAACGACTAGAAAGAGGTATAAAAGAAAGTAAGAAGAAAAGAAGTAAGAGACGTCTACTTATACTTCTTAAAATCTCGCCGGATTAATCCCGAGTTAGCTTCGAAGAGTAACGACGAGTACTATTACGCGTATAGGCTCTCTTTACTTACTATCTTAACGACCTTAATTTACTCTCGATTTATTTAGCTTTACTATTTCGGGCGTATATACTACTTCTATAGTTAAAGATAAGAGATATATACTTACTTTATATACCTCGATCGGTACCGAAGATATAGATACTATAGATACTTATTCTAACGATAGAACTACTTAGGAAACGAAGTATTCGAGATATAGAAATACTATTTTATTCTCTACTATAAGGCTAATAAAGGTACTCGACGTTCTTCGACGACGAATAAGGCTATTCGACGGTCTAGATAGAGGAGGATATAATAAAATAGGCACTCTACGTATTAAGTATTATAAAGACGTCGGGACCCGTCTTTCGGTCTCGGCTAGCGTCGTACGCTATCGTATAACCTCTAGAAAGTATATAGTCTAACGAGGCCCCAGGCCCCGTTGAAATAGGACAAGTCCTCCGTGGAATCACACCCCTGATCCGCCCAGCCTTGTGACATGACAGCCCGAAGCCTCGATCCTTACCTAATAATCATCCCCGTCAGGAGTAGCACGTGACTTTCAAAGTGCGAGCAGTAAGTCTTCCTGCAGATAAGTATCGTAGCAAGTATTCATGTGACAATCAAGACGGAAAGACAAAGAGGAAAAGGAACCTCAATGTGAAGTTGACTGTCACTGCAATCCGAACCTGTCATACAAAGCCGAGTATTGGGGTATCCGCTGATTCCTATCGCTATCACAATCACTGCTGCTATCGCTATCGCTCAACGCTTCTCGAATGTGGAAAGTACTGGTACTGGTATCGCCGCATTCGCACTTGGGCTGGAAAAAGAAAGAAACTCTCATCGGTGCATTCGATGTACACACTTTATGATCACCCTGCCGGCATCGGCATGGACTGAGGTCGCCATAAGCAGGTGATGCCAGTCCATGTCAGTGTGCAAGGTCGCACAAACAGCTAGGTAGGCAGCTACCTTTACCAAGCCAAGCCCCACGCTTACACGCTCGCACGCTCACACACGCCCCTAAACCTAAAGACTCAAGATTATATGCAGACAGGCAGACAGACAGAGAGACACAAAAGCAGTTCAGTTCGCATATGTCACGCCTTCCACCCACCCCATTGTGGTATTGTGGTGATGCGGTGTCAAAACTCTAGCGAACGACCTTTGCCTCGATCTTCTCGCCCATCATACCTTCAGGACCGACAAAGGCGCTGGCGGGGACGACATCAACCAGAGTCTCGTCGCTGAACTTCAAGTCTTCGTCGATATCAGTAGTATCTTTGACCTTGAGCCAAATGACCGGAGCGGCGACGACCAGGGAACCCGCCAGCATACCCCAGTTGATGGCAAACTGGGTCATGTAGGCCACCTTGTGCGAGTCGAGAACAGGAGAGATGGCGCCACCGGCGGATTGGATGCCCTTGTAGAAGCCGGTGAAGTTGGCGAGTTTCCGGCCGTTGTTTGTCAACGAGCCCATAAGCCTGGAAGGAAATAGATTAGTCGTGAAAACGGAAAGGTCCACAACAAACTTACCAGTAAGCAGTGGTTTGCCACACCGAATCGTAGAAACCATAAAACATGTACAGGAACATGGGACCCACATAGCCCGAAGAGGTCCAATCGAGCTTGACATAGTCATCGGCAGAGACTTCCTCACGAGTATATTGCTTCTGGAAGTCATAGCCGCCGCCCCAGATGACAAAGGTGAGCACGAACAGCGCCACCACTGCGAGCTTGGCACGCGTGCTGCGTCGCAAGTACGTCGTATCCAGAGCGAACCCGAAAACCCAGGCTCCGACAATCTGGGCCAAGTAGTACAAGACACTGTTGAGTGCTCGTGTTCGAATGGTGAACCTGGCCAGGTTGACGTCCTGAAAGTGGTAGGTGTAGAACCAATTGCTGGCAAAGAACATGGGGAACAGGAACAAAAGATACCAGTCCGAGGTGAGTGTCTCGACCAGACCGAGCAGTTCCGACTTCCAGGTTGGGTGCTTCATCAGGATGACCCGAGAGCCGTCGGATCGCTCGACGAGGAGAGGGTTGCACAGGAAACCTGCCAGGATCAGGCCAACTGCCATCAAAACAATGAAAGCAATGTAGGTTCCGTCGTTGACCGAATTGGCTTTGGAATGGATGTTCTGGGCCAGGGGGATCAAGCCGCCAATAACGGCGCCCAAGTTGAAGATCATCCAGAAGACGGCAATATAACGACCCTTTGATCGTTCCGGAGGGTATGCCATCATGATGGCACCCTGCGCGCACCAGAGCATGCCGGCACAGAGACCCAACAGGGCCCCGGCAAAGATCAGGAAGCCCGCATTTTGGTTGTGGTTGTATGTCAAAATCGAGGCAATGTAGATACAATATCCGACGCCTCCCAGGGCCAGCGTCAGTCGGAGCCCCAGCCTGTTGGCGATGCTGCCTGCAAAGAAACCGACACCGGCAAACATGGAGTAAAGTGCGGTATTGGCATTGTTGATATCGTGGGCGCTGACCTGCCCAGCGGCACCGAGGCCATTGACTGCGTTGAACATGCCGGGGCACAGGAAGCAAACCAGCGCAACGAAGACGATCTGGAATTGAGGACTGGCATAGGCGGGAATGGTAATGGGCCCAAGTTTCAACCTCTTGTACATCCAGGGTTTACCCCTAGGCTTGACATCTTCTCCGACCACAGCCTCTGGCGGCGGAGTATCAGTCCCAGCGGATCCGGCAGACGTTGTGGCCATCTTTTCATTATTGATGCCCTCAGACATCTTAGAGAGTTGAGGAAAGGGAAAGGAGGAAGGAGGACACGTGCGCGAGGACGAGTTGACGAGACCTGCGCCGGATGAGGGATTGGAAGAGCAGTGAGGCTCGAGGATTATATGCTAAGGGTCGTGTGAAGTGGAGAGTGGTGCAGGCCGGGGTATGTCTCGGGGCAAGATCCTAGTGGAGTCTGGTGCGGCCGTTGGTCGCGGAGCCTTGAGTGTCGCGTGCACTCTGGAGGAGTTCGTGGTCAAGGACCGGGGACGAAGGGTGTTAAAGTAGTCGATGTTCATGAGCAACCGACGATCAGATTCGAACAACAATTACACTAGTCAAAGGTTACCATGAGTATCAGCAGACAACGAGAGGCAGAGATAGAGCAGTCACATCGTAACATACCGACGGACGGCGCGACAGCAGCATTGGATTGATGAGAGGGGTTGATAGCGGCAATGCATTCGACAGCCACCAGTTACAACGGCTCTGATTTGGTCGCGCGACTGATACTACAGACTCTTCAGAGCTGGAGTAGCACTTTGTCCAGCGGAGAGAGGAGGGAGACGAGGGGACCCGAGATTGATTGGAACCGGGGTGGGAGTGAGGTGAGATACGCCGCGGCCTATGGGCGTGTCAGGGATCCGGATAGGATCTTGCTGTTTGTTTGGCCATGGTATTTGGAGAGGAAACAGGCGACGGCAGGCCTAAGGGTTCGGTAGTGGCAGTAGTGTGGAGGAGAGGCTGGTTGCAAACCTGGAAGGGCATGGTATACGGAGTATGGGATTGCAGTGTTTAGTCGTACGGGGAAGGCTTCGGTTCGCACAGGTATCGCGGAGGAAGCGCAGGCAAGGAGGCACGTGACCCGATAAGAGAGTAGCACTCGCATTTCCTGGTCGTGGCAGGGTTACATGCGCTTCTCAATCCTCCGGCCTCTGCAGTAGAGGGTACATCTTCGACTCCCTGCCACTGCTACCCTCCAACTCAGACCTTACATCCATCAACCTCACTCGCACCGTCTAACATCCTGCAGCCTAGCACTGTACGACACTGGCAATGCCTTACCTTGCATCTAGACCCTGCCTCAATTCTCCCCGCCACAGCGTTTCATCCCATCTCGTACCAGGCCAGTCGAGGTAGTTTTGCTAGTTCTGCCACCCTCCAGTCCTCGCTGTCTGTTCTGCAATCGTTGCATCCAAATCATCGCTCGCCATCCTACTACCGTTGCGGAGGCTCGAGTGACTCGACAGCTCCAGCTCACGTGGACGACTCAGTGTTCTTAGAGGTCAAGGTTGAGGCCTGTCAAGAAGATCATGAGTAATAGCTCTCATCGTGTAGTGAGGAGGATCCAAGATGCCACCATGGTTTGTTGCCGTCCAAGTCAAACTTGCTGCCGCGGTGCAACCTGAACAGGTCATTGCCTTCGAATTCAGACTCGGGTATCTTTCAACGGTGCCAACACGTCTCGGCCAAACTCGATCGTCTCTCGCCCTGATCTTGCGGGCCACAATGTCCCAGGTTGCCTCTCGGTGCCATTGCAAATGACGTGCCTAATGCCTTGTCCATGGCATTTCCCTACCATATCTTCCATCGCCTCTCCTTTCCTTGGTATTTTTCCTCTATTCTTGTAGGGCAATCCTACAGGCAATCGTCCTTTCCTTTATTTCCTTTACATTCGGTTCTGATCCACATCAATAGATAAACGTTGCATCAAGATGCCTGCATCCACACCGCGGGTAATCAAGTTCACCAATGGCTATCTGTTAGAAGATGGACGGCTTGTGCCCGGAGACCTCTGGATATCATCCGAAACGGGAAGAATCATCAGTCCTCAAGCGGCCTTCTACTCCGCCCATTTGACGCCAGACAGAGTCGTTGACCTGGATGGAAGGATACTTTCTCCGGGATTCATTGATGTCCAAATCAATGGCTGCTACAATTTCGACTTTTCGACGCCTGACCCAGAATATTCATCCAAACTGGCACATACGCACCGTCAAATGATAAAGTCCGGTCTCACGTCCTATGTCCCCACGGTCATTAGTACAACTCCAGAGGCTTATCATTCTGTGCTGCCGCATCTCGGTCCATCCGGAAAGGAGCGTGATGCCAGCAAAGGCTGCGAGAGCTTGGGCGCCCACATTGAAGGCCCCTTTCTGTCTCCAATCCGCAATGGGATCCATAACCCGGAAGTCTTACGCGAGGCTCATTCGTGGACAGATATTGAGGCTTGTTACGGCCGGGACAATCTGCGGCATGTTCGGTACATTACAGCTGCTCCGGAAAGAGGCAATATGATTTCATTTATCCCCGAGTTTGTGGCCAGAGGAATTGTGTTTGCCATAGGACATTCGGACGCCACCTTTGAGCAGGCGCAAGCTGCCATTGCTGCTGGAGCATCCATGGTCACACACCTGTTCAACGCCATGCGTCCGTTTGCACATCGTGAACCTGGCATTTTCGGACTTCTGGGTCAATCTGCCCCTTCCACGCCGCTTGCAACGCCCAAGCATAGTCGTCCAGCAAGTGCAACAACTTCGCCTCGGGGATCTCCAAACTCTTCAAGACGGACCACTCCGCGTTCCAGTCTCAGCATCAGCACATCTGCCTCAGATCTAGAAGAAGAGGCGCGATACGTGCAGCCTTTCTTCGGCCTCATCGCCGACGGTATACATCTGTCGGCCCAGGCATTGAAAATTGCCTACTCGGCTCACCCAGAAGGCGCGATTTTAGTTACTGATGCACAAAAGCTTGCTGGATGTCCCGATGGGAAGTATGACTGGCGAGGGGAGGACCATTTGGTCAAAGAGGGCAAGGTTCTCAAGCTGGGAAGCAATGGACGCATTGCCGGAAGTGTTGCGGATCTGGTCGACTGTGTCAACAATTTTAACCGATTTACGGGTTGTGGCTTGGCCAAAGCACTACAGTGCGTAACGAGCACGCCTGCCAAGATGTTGGGCAAGGACGTCGAGCAGAGCAAAGGTAAGCTTGAGGTTGGCATGGATGCAGACCTCGTTGTCCTTGAAGAAGGACCGACAGGGGACGTGACTGTACAACAAGTGTGGAAGTTCGGAGTTCAGGTCGCTTGAGACCATGGAAAAGATATCCCGGACAAGTCGACATCTCCACGGCTTTAGCATGCATCTAGGAAGGACTGGGCATACGGCACGGTGGCTCGAAAAGTGCTTTACCACTGGCGTTTCGGCCTCGGGGTTACCATAAGCTTTCTTCTGATGATCACTGTTTCACGATTGCAATCTTGATATCCTAGACTGATATCATTCTGGAGTGCTTGGGACACTGTGGAAAGTAGTGCATATATGTGTGTGCGAATCTATCAATGATGATATGGTCGATTCCCGCATGATCGAACTCTTTGGGTGGTTCCCAGTGTATCTTTTCTGCCACTCTCCTTGTACCTGGGTAGTTGTGTTGAGTGAAGTTCGGAACGAAAATCTGCATGTGAGATGTCGGATAAACATCTTCTCCGGATGGCCGAGATCTCCTTCCACTGCAATTGACTGACCCGTTGCGGCTCCTATTTCACCCGCAAGCCAGCAGATAACTTCCTTTGCTCTGTGCTATCCTTCCGCGATCTCTTCGTGCCCTCAGCCTTGCGAGTTGAAACCCCTTGCCACTCGGATTGAGCGTCCATCAAGCCAGACTGACGATGAGCCCGGGGTAGATCTCAACAATATGACAACAGCTACAATCACCGCCATTCAGAACATGAAGAAGCATCACGTGCCGGAGCCCGCAAAGGGTCTAGCCCGTCCAGTTCCCCCGCGCTTCGCGGACACGGAGAAAGCTCAGGCTCATTGTTCAACTTCCCGCCCCTGATATAAAGTCAACCTCACCTCAATCCCAACCGCCGACATACCACTGCATAGAAGTCCTTGTTCATGCCACTAGAAGCTGAAGCTGTGCCGTCAGCCCTCTCCAGGCACCCACCGGAGTCAAGGTCTTTGCTCGATTGGTAGACCGATCATTACAGCCATGACTGTCCGAAAGAAATATACCCCTGAGTAAGAGTATTCTTCTCTTTGAAATTGACTTGCATTCACCCTGCTAGGGTCCTTTTGAGTGCCCCGAGAAGGTCAGCAGCACTTGCTAGTCCAGATGGGAAGCTTGCTCTCTACACTCAGTCGACATACTCCTTCGACTCACACACGCGAACGAATGAGATATGTGTCCTGGATCTGACCACCGGTCAATCTGTGACCATCAGCAAAGACGCCAAAGCGACGGAACCGCGATGGACCGGGACGAATCATGAAGTTGTGTGGTTGAAGGAGTGCGAGAACGGCAACACAAGCTTCGTGATTACCGACGCCACCCTTCCCGGGAAGTGCTACACCGCCGGCACCGTAGCAGGAACAGTGTCAAACCTGAAGCTTTACGTGATCGAGCCTGGACAGGTCGCCGTCGCAGTCTCTGGACAGGCCAATCCAGATGGAAGCCTCCACAACCCAAAGGATGTTCAGAAACAGCATAGCTCGGCACGCCTCTATGATTCGCTCTTTGTTCGTCATTGGGACCACTACATCACCGATCAACGTAACACCATTTTCACAGCATTGCTTCAGAAGTCGCAGCCTATGGTGACTTCTCGCCAGGGTCGCTACAGTCTGTTAGGCTTCAAGAACGCCCTTCTAGGGTCCAAGCTGGAATGCCCGATTCCACCATTCGGCGGAACCGACCACTTCGACATTGGACCTACCGGGCTGACGATCGTGGCGAAGGATCCCAACCTCGACCCTGCTACGCACACCAAATGTGATTGCTACTTCATCCCCAAGAAAGATGTCATGGATCTGAGCCCACCCAACTTCCACAAAATCCGGGTGCCGGGGCTCCAGGGCGCGGCTTCAAGCCCGGTTTTCTCACCAAACGGCGAATCGCTGGCCTATCTTCACATGGCCACTGACGGCTATGAGAGTGACAAAAACCGCATTGTTCTCGTCCACGGCCTCGGAAGCACCGACATTGCCGCCAGGGAGTTGATGCAGACCGCCGACAGCAAGGGTGGATGGGATAGGTCTCCTTCTGCTCTGAAGTGGTCCAACGATGGCAAGACTTTGCTCATGGAAGCCGAAGATATCGGTCGAGGATGTCTTTTCGCGCTTGATTTGGACAAAGAGTCCCCAGGGCCCGAATGGCTTCCTCGGAAATTGACCAAGAACGGATATATTATCGATGTGTCACCGTTGTCTACCAACTCGAACCTGCTGCTTGTGTCAAGCAACAGCCTTGTCGACAATAGTACATACACGATCGTGGACCCTTCCGGTGAGTCCGAGCCTGCTGTGGTATCATCGCTCAGTCGAGCGGGTTCAATGTTCGGTCTTTCTCCCGAGCAGGTCTCATCAGTATGGTGGAAAGGCGCAAATGACCACCCAGTCCATGCCTGGATGATGAAGCCCTCCTTCTTTCGGGCAGACCACAAGTATCCGCTGGCATATCTGATACACGGTGGCCCTCAAGGAGCATGGAATGACCAGTGGTCGACGCGATGGAACCCTGCCGTCTTCGCCGAGCAAGGATATGTCGTGATATGCCCCAACCCGACCGGCTCCACAGGGTACGGGCAAGGTTTCACCGATGCTATACGCAATCAGTGGGGTGGTTTACCCTACGAGGATCTTGTCAAAGGTTTCGAGTTCATCGAATCCGAGTTGGAGTTTGTGGATCCTTCTCGCGCCGTCGCATTGGGTGCCAGTTATGGTGGGTTTATGATGAATTGGTTCCAAGGGCATGACCTGGGCCGCAAGTTCAAGGCGCTCGTCTGCCACGACGGCGTTTTCAGTATGACCGGCCAACTGGCCTCTGAAGAACAATACTTCCCTCTGCATGACCTGGGCGGACCACTATGGGAGAGACAGGAAGTATATGACAAATGGGATCCAAGTCGCTTCACTAAACACTGGGAGACTCCCATGTTGGTGGTACACAACGAGCTCGACTACAGACTGACCATTTCTGAAGGTCTATCAGCGTTCAATGTTCTGCAGATGAAGAACATCGAGAGTCGATTCTTGAGCTTTCCTGACGAGAACCACTGGGTCCTCAAGCCGGAAAACAGTCTTGTTTGGCATTTGGTTGTCATCAACTGGATCAACAAGTTTGTGGGGTTACCAAAATTGGTCGATCGCCAGGGCAGAGATGGTTCTTCTTTCTGTCGGCAGGAGCGGCGGAGAAGGCAGATCAACCTGCCCATAGGCTCGTCGCGGCTTGAGCAATGATGAGTGAACTCTGGTGTGTCTGGGAGGCGCCTCATGTTCGTCATATAACTTTTACCAACCGGCCTCTGCACAGTTGTGTCGGTCATTATTTATACAAGATGTTGCCACAGCAGGCGTCCGAACTAGGTCCACCCGCCGAAAGTCTCAAGAAGGATTGGGCTTGCCGGCGAGTTCGTCCTTCACCAGGTCTGCCAGGACTTTCTTGTCCAGCGGCTTGTCCGCCAACACGCCGTCCGGCTTGAGCAGTTCCTTAAGGACGACTCCTTGTTTCAACCCCCCTGACACTGTGGTCTTGAGCGTTTCGATGACCTGACGCACTGTTTTCCTCATCTCTTCAGGCCCCATTACTTTGACAGTGTCCACCAGCTCATCAATGACTGCGATTTCTTTCTGCTGCTTTTCCGCGAGGTCGGGTCGGCTGGCGGCCTCTGCCTCTTTCGCCGCGGCCTCTGAAGCCGCTTTCCGTTTCCGTAACAGTGCTAGGATCTGCATATCGCTTTTTATCGGGTTGGCACCACTAGCCGCTTGGTTGATCTCAGAGATGGTACCGCGGAGGACACTCAAACTACCCAGCACTTAGCATCACAAGACTACACTGTGACATTCTCAAGTCCTGCTTACCGAGCAGTATCTTTAGCGCGCATTGCCTTCTTCAGTTCCTCTCTAATCTTAGAGAGGAGCGGCGACGGTGGAGCAACCGTCGACGAGGTTGCTGACGAGCTCCATCGCAAGCCTGCAGTCGCAGTCTTTCGGAGACATCGTGCGCAAGTGTACCGGTCGGCAAGGCCGAAGACCCTTGCTATGCGTGTCGTCGCCATGAGATCTCACTAACACGATGAACCACAATTTACTAGTAGAAACAATCAACAGAAGCCTGGTTGTCCAAAACCAATCCTCGAATTTGGAGATGCTCTGATGGAAACAGGGACATGTTCCTGGCCTAGAGAGAATGCGTTCACAGTACTCGCTGCTTTGATCCAGTCCTTCACTATCTGGCCAATTACATGGAGCCTTGGCGCGTAGTCGCTGCAACTCCGGCAAGCGGCAGCAGATCGCGTCCAACCTCGTTCGACATCCAAGTTGTGCGGAGCTCACTGCGTTTCCCATGTCGTTTCGTTTGCGCGCTCAACACCAGCGCCAGCTGTCGTTAAATCTAGCTCTGCTTTGACTACGCCGTTTGCTCCAAGACAATCACCCCGAAACTATTGCTCGATCACCGCTCTCAGCGGCCCCCGCCATTGATGCGGTTTTCTCCTTGAATATACCGCCGCTGGAACGCGACATGGCCTCTCCCGCCGTGCAACAGACGCCTGCACGACCGGTACCAGGAATATGGCCTCAAACTCCTGCAACGCGACCTGGGATACCAGCTCCATCCTTTCGGTCTCCCGGGACGCCATTCAATCGGAACTCTCTCGTGCCTCAAGCCGCCAGCACCAATAGTCTCACCCCTCTCAGACCGCAAGATCCTCCATCTCAATCGTCAGTACGACACGCCGAGTCCCTTGAACCGCTTGAAAGAGCAGCCCGGACGATCAACGAGTCTTTAGCGATCGAGTCGCGGTTTCCAGACCTCGATAGTTATCTCTCGCAGGGTTATTCGGCGGACTATGATATTCAGTCGTCCGCAACATGGGCGCCTTTTCAAAAGGCAGGAGTGCACAAAATTCCCGATGAAATATTCGAGCAGTACAACAATGCGCAGTTATCTACGAGCATGGGACTGTTTGCGGAGCTGAGGCATGCTTGGGTAACCATTGACAACGCACTGTACATGTGGGATTATACCTCTTCCAAGCCTGAGCTTCTTGGGTTCGAAGGGCAAAATCACTGTATCCTTGCTGTCAAGCTATGTGTGCCGCGTGCGGGTGTATTTCTCCCCAATATCAAGCATGTCATTGTCCTCGCTACGACCGCAGATATCTTTCTTTTGGGTTTGGGGCTGGATCCACAGGCTGGGCCGGCCGGGGGATTATCTCTCTTTCAGACGGGCATGTCTGTGTCTGTAAAGGGGCTCGACATCAGTTTCATTGCTTCCTCGGATAAAACAGGGAGAATCTTCTTTGGGGGACGGACAGAGAACGAGATCTATGAACTCACTTATCAACAAGAAGACCGGTGGTTCTCAAGTCGATGTTCCAAGATCTGCCACACGAGTGGAGCGGCAAGATCTCTGGCCTTGACATTCACCAGCTTGGCAGGGGGCCACAAGGAGCACGTGGAGCAGATTGTCGTGGACGACAGTCGGGATTTGTTATACACACTGTCGTCTACTTCCAATATCCGTGTCTTCCATATCAAACCCGATGGTGGACTGAACCTTCTGATCACGAAACCGGCCAATGAGATCTATGCCAACATTGGCCACATCATTACACAGAACAACTCGCTCAACTATCAGGTGAAGATTGTGTCGATCTCGGCCATCCCGGCTTCAGAGGCGTCGAGGTACCATCTGGTTGCGACCACTGCCACAGGATATCGAATATACCTCAGCGCTACGAGTTCAGGATATTGGTCAACATCCAAGTCCGTGGCGCCCATTAGTATGCAGGCTCAACATGTCAAGGTCCCTCCCGTGAATCCCACCCCTGGCACCACTGCAGCACCTCAGGGGTCTGAACAGCCGGGCGGTGTTCACCAAGCCATCAAGACATTGACAATGACCAGACTGGCTGCCCGATATCCCCCAGGGTTCTTCTTCTGCTTCACAGCCCGCGACCCCAATGCGCCAACGGATCAACTTTTCATTTCGGCGCCCGACGCAGGACGACTCGCTCGGCCCGCCGAACCCGGCCAGCCTAGTCGCACAAGTGAGTCTGCCATGTGGCTATCCTTGGGCAGCCGCGCAGAGGACATTGGTTTAGTCGTCCCTTACTCGCCTCCGGTCTCGACACCTGTCGGCTTTGGTAACGACTTGGCCGTGCAATTCGACAAACCGATTCCAGAAGTGGCGATTTTGACCAACACCGGCATTCATATCCTTCGACGACGCCGATTGGTAGACATATTTGCCGCTCTCAGCCGTCAGGGTGGTGGTCCAGAAGGGTTCCAGACCGAGATCAACAATCTCATACGTGCTTATGGCAGAACCGAAACACTGGCGACAGCTTTGGCGGTGGCCTGTGGTCAAGGGGTTGAGTTGACCAAGGACGCCCACGCCATGCGGGTCAATGACCCTGAAGTCCTCGAGCTTGCTCGGAAGACCTTCATTGAGTACGGCGGCAAGCCGAGCATAAATCAAAACTCTATTACGGACAAGTCTGTACCTTTGATTGAAGCTGTACGGCCTTCCCCTCGTCATCAAGCCACTGGTCTGTATCTGTCGCGGCTGCTCCGATCCACCTGGAAGAATGTGATTGCGGTCCAAGTGACCAGTCCGACTGGTTATTCGATCGAGCCAGCCGTGCCGATCAGAAAGCTGAGAGATGTCCAAGAAGCACTCTCAGCATTGCAAAGATTTTTCAAGACCAACAAGAGCTTCATCAAGGGTCTCAGCGGCCCTGATGACCTCTCAAGCACGAGTACCAAAGATGACGAGATTGCGCTGAAGGGCGAACATCGCGCTTTGAACTCACTGGTGAAGTTCACCTCTGATACTATCGAAGGACTTTCATTTATTCTGGTCCTCTTCGAAGAGAAGGTGGCTGAGATCATCCCGCTGCTCCCCGAGGCATCCCGGCCTCAGATGTTACAATTGACCTTCGAAGAACTCTTCACCACAAAGAAAGGCTACGACCTGGCCAAGGAGCTGGTTAAAGCTATTGTTAATCGCAATATCGCCAAAGGTTCCAATGTGGAGACCGTGGCTGAAGCTTTGAGAAGAAAATGCGGGAGCTTCTGCAGCGCCGAAGACGTGGTGATATTCAAGGCGCAGGAACAGTTGAAACGAGCAGCAGAAGCTGGGGCCAATGCTGAGTTCTCCAGAAACCTGCTGAATGAGAGTCTGAAGCTTTTTGAGCAGGTGGCTGACAGCCTCCCGGATGACTATCTAGAGTCCGCCGTGAAGCAATACACGGAGCTGCAATTCTTTGCCGGTGCTATCCAATTGGTGCTTAAAGTGGCCCATGAGAGAGACAAGGCCAATGAAGCTCTATCTTGGATGGCCGACGGTCGTCCCGAACCAGACGCTCGGAAGAGGAAATTTGACACGAGAAGTCAATGCTACGATCTGATCCATGCCGTAATTGTGGCGGTGGACAAGAGTGCAGAACAGAGTCCTGGGTTTGTCGACGGTCGCCCTTCCCTTGCCATCACGAGAAGGAACGAGGCGTACGACGTGATCAGCCGGTCCAAGGACGAGGCATTTTTGACGAATCTGTACGATTGGTACGTCCAGCAAGGATGGTATGACCGGCTCTTGGCCACAGAATCCGCCTTCATTGTCACATACCTTCAGCGCAAATCCTCCGAAGACATCACTTATGCGGATTTGTTGTGGAAATACTATGGCCAGGCAGGGCAGTTCACCGAGGCGGCCAAGATTCAGTTACAGCTTGCTCGCAGCGCGTTCCCCTTGACGCTTGAGAAGAGGATCGAGTACTTGAGCCGGGCCCGAGCCAACGCTTCCACCTACACCCCGGGCGGCAACCGAAAGATCAAGCAGCAATTGCTACAAGAAATATCCGATCTGCTCGATATTGCCACTATCCAAGATGAAATCCTTCAGCGGCTCAAAGATGATCCGCGGTTGGGCCCGGAACGAAGGCAGGAAGTCCTTGACCAGGTCAACGGGGCCATTCTGGACATCAACACGTTGTTCAACAATTATGCCGACAATGCCGGTTACTATGATCTTTGCCTGATGATCTATCAAGTTGCCGATCATCGCGACTCGTCGCAAATCAAACAGACGTGGCAACAGTTGCTCCAGTCGGTGCACGACAAGACAGCCGAGGAGGATGAGATCCAGCCTTTCGAGGCCATAGCCGAAGAGGTCCGAAGTCTAGGCAGCAAGCTGCGAACATCCGAGACGACGTTCCCCGTCCATGTCCTCCTGCCGATTCTCGAAAAGTATTCATTTGAGCATCAGCGCAATGTCGCACCTGCTCATTGGGTGGTTGACATATTCCTGGAGCTGGAAATCCCCTACGAACGCTTGTTCGAGGTCCTCGAGACTATGTTCTTCTCTGGTGATGCCCCGTTCGTAGGGTCGAACCGGAAATACATTGCTTCAGAGATTGCCTATGTCGTTGGCAAATGGTTCCATGATTCCATGAGAGCTGGCACGGTCATCTTTGGCAGTGATACTGGAGCGGCCCGTGTGGAAGAGACCATGCAAGCTCTTTTGCAGCAAAGTCGCGCCGCTGGCCTGGATGACGAGACGGTTCAGGTGTGTCGGGTTGTGGTGGAGAAGATTGGGCAGCTTCTAGGGTGATAGCCGACAGAAGAAGATTTGGGACAGAAGGATGGCATTGCACGCCTGGACTGGAGAGAAAAATGATCATCTCTTTTGCTTGCATTGCTGCATTTAGCGATATTAGAGGCAGTGTGTTGGAAGTGGGTCGAAGCTTTGCAGTAATCTGCAAAGAAAAGGGAGGCAGTATCCCTGCCGGCTGATCCTGTATGTGTGAGAGTGACTGCACATTGACAGGATACGCGGTTCCTCTGGGCCATCGGCGACGACAGATCCGTCAGTCATTGGAAAAGGCAGGACTGGAAATGAAATAGTTGATTGCTTTATCGTTACAGAATGTCGGTGCGGACTGGACTGGTATGGGGGAATAGATACCCAAAAAGTGTAGTATGTGAAACTTGAAAATGAGACTGACACTTTGACGTCGTGATTCAGCGCTGTTTGTTCTAGCTGTATTTATGTATGTATACTGTCTTGTTTGGCTGTTGGCTGCAAGCCCAAGGTATTGATGGAAGGGCATCTTGTTCCGTGTGTAGGAGGTACCTTACCTAGGTACTTGATGTTCGCACAAGGCTGCCAAGATCGCGAGTTGTATTCCAATCGCAGCCAACACCAAACACTCCATTAGATCTTCACTTGAAGTCTATCTACCTGTCTCAGGCTGTTGTCCAATACTGAACAGTTCCATCACCACTCGATCAAGATGGCGTCTATACAACCCTCGCAGACATCAAGCGGAGGAATCCAGAGCCAGAGCCAGAGTCAGGGTCACCGCCGTCCTCGACCTTTAGCATCAAGGAAGCTTGACATTGTGTATCTCGTCTTCTTTATCATTCATGTCCCTGTCATGCTGTGTAAGTGAAATGGTTCCTTCTACGTATGCAGTCAGGTTTATCTTTTTGTGACCACAATGATCTCGTTGTGTGTTCTGTCCTCCGCGCACAGCGCTGTGTAGTGCAATGCGCGGCACCGTTTGCAGCCGCCGCGGGGGTATTCTTCTTCCTCTCACCCTTTCTTTTGGAGAAATCATCTCAACTCAACCTACTCGATGACACAGTCAATTTCTGCTTTTCTTTTGTTTCCAGTTGTTTAGCCGGCTGGTTTCAAGTGCTCGCGATGCGGCCCGGCTTGGTCATGGCAAGTCGACTCTCTGAGACCTGGTTTGAAACGTCCCTCTGAGGACTTTGTGTGGCTCTGCTTGCTACACAGGTACTTTCCTGGCGCTGTGGGATGGATTACACAGGGACCATTAAACTTGCCGCTCAGTAGCGCCACGGTGGTGAACCGAATATCAATGCTTGTTGAGGCTCAAGACCAGGTTGAGGGCCACCTAGTTTGGCCATTTGGTCATTCTAGTCTCGAATTGCTAACCAATTCGTGACCCGAGTCCTCTTCCAACTGCACCCATGTCTGCCCTTCTAGCCACGCAAAATCAATATACTGCATATTGAACCCCCGGACATCTCCATTACTTACTCTGTCCCTATCTACCTACATAGTAATCGACCTCGCCCCCCTCCAACCAACCTGGCTCCGCCCTCGCATCTCATACACCCTCCGCGAATACTACCTCGAGCGCTATCAGGACCGGTACTTCGAGCATCCGCCCGCCTGGTTCACGGCATACATGTACCTCGAGGCTGGGTACCATTCGCCTTTGAGTCTGTGGATGATCTGGAATATTCCGAGAGGTGAGTTAGACTGTTACTCTGTTGTTATATACCTATAAATTTCTGCGACTGCTAACCTTTCTACATTGCAGACCACATCCTCGTGCCCCTCCATCTGCTGCTGTTTGCGCTCGAAACCGCCATCACGACCCTCACGTGTGTGGTCGACGTCGCTGCCTGGGAAGGATATACGGCCATCCAGCGGAAGGATTTGTACGGATTGTATGTACCGTATTTGGTTATTGGTAAGTCGAATGAAAGAAAGACCTCATCAGCGTTGCTCAAGCTAACCAACTCGTTCTTTCTTTGCTTGTATCAGCGTGTATCATGGGGATCGATGCCTTTTTCCGCGTTAAAAGACAGATCACCATCATGCAGCCGGCTGACACGAATGCGAGGACAGGTCCTGGTGTATCTGGGTCCGGACTTGTTGCTGAGGCCGAAGAAAACGGCCAACAACAGAAGGGGAAGAGAGCGTGAAATGAGCCAGCGCCGCCAAAAAAAAAAGAGTGGAGTATCATTACGATGGGTGCACTCACTGCACTGTAGAAACAGAGACTGCCTTAGATAATCCAGCTGCATGGTTTAGGATCTCATGCTGTCCAGATTGTAACAGCCGTATAATCTCCTTCCCACTCGACGGGCAGGTAATAGTGGTTGTCATAATCCCCTGCGGACACACTATGGTTTTGGCGTGTGAGGAAACTGATGCTAGCTTACGTAATAATTTTATATCAAGAATTATAATCCTACAAAATCTGTTCAGAAATGACCTCCAAGATTGCTCGGATGGTCTAGTTGGTTATGACATCGGTCTCATAGTTACTCATTTATGATCTTACGAATTAACAAACGTAAGGAGCTATCCGAGGGTCGCGAGTTCGAATCTCGCTCTGAGCAACAACTTTTTTTTTGCTTTTTTGCGCGGGTTTTCTCCTCGGTGTCATCTTGTTTTTGGTATTGAACAGAGAAACAAAACCTCACTATCATATGTGAAGCTCAGTAGAGTGTGTGTGTACCTAGGGACCTTATTATGTGTCAAGGTTCTTCGTGTAACTATCTTCACAAATTATTCCTGTTTATTCCGGCAATGGAGAGATACGATCCTGGAATTTGTTAGCATTGCTACTTTCTTGTAGAATAAATTTTTGATAACTTCATCTCTGGATCGAGGCGGGTCGTGTGCAGAAGAGCCCAACACCACTCCATGCTGGGTCTGGCATATTGCAATGCGCGACGCGTAGCAGTGGTATACCAACCCTCCTGAGGTCTGCTACTCGACCAACACCACTACTCCTACTTTGTGAGATCCATTCCCATATACTGTGCCCACGACACCACGAAGCGAACTCACAAGAGTGCTCCGCTCCGACCCGGCACTGATGCGGTTTCGGCACAATGTGATACCTCAACTCTGTGGCTATGGCAGACCCAGCATAGCTCGAGCACGAACACGAGCGAAATCACTTCAATGGACATGTCTTCACATCCCCCTCAGCAGAACCATTTCTAGGTCTACTGTCTCGCAACCAACAACGAATAGTCGAAAACATGAATCAATATATCTCCCCGTAGGCGGGAGCGGACAGATCCGACTCGAGTAGGTAATCCGTGCGACACTCTTGCTTGCGAAGTTACTATCCAAAAAGTAAAGCTAAGAATGAACAGTATATTCTCCCCTACCTTGAACAATGGACAACAACAACAGCCACGGCAACGACACGGTCATGATGACGAGGCAACGCAACAACCCAATATGGTCGTGTACCTTGCCCCAGGCCCGTCCATCATCACCGGCCCGAGCAGACGCCATCACCACCATCATGATGGAACCACCATTACTACAACACCCTCTGCTGCTGCAGCTTCAGCTGTCTCTACATTCCTACAAAAATCACTTTCTCCCACCACCTGGCTCGTCATCATTAACTACCGGCTTTCAGGGTCATCATCGTCGGAGGACAATGACAACGAAAAAGGGTCCAAGTTTCAATTCCCCATTCCCATCCACGACGTAACGACGGCATTTGACCATCTCACATCCGCCTCGCCGACGTTACCATGGAACAATCGCGATCAGCAAGACCGAGAAGATGGCCCTGGATTGCCACCGGCACCGCCGAGAATATGTCTTTTAGGAAGCCACATCGGCGGCGCGCTGGCGACTATGCTGGCCCTGACAGAACCGAATCGTGTCCACGCCCTGGCGGCACTGGAGCCCATGGTCGACTGGGTCGGGTTGGACGAGTTGGTGAAGGAACAGCAACAACAGCAACAACAACAGCAGCAACAACAACAGCAACAACAGCAACAGCAACAGCAGCAAATTCCCTCTGCGGAGTCGAGTCAAAAGAAGAGAATTACTAGTACCCACCATTCGCACAGAACCGCCGCCCTCGTCGCCGCGGCAGCAGAAAAGCTGATCGAATTGCGTGGAAGACTGTTCGATTCGCCATCGGCGTATTTCGACCCGTTTGCTTCGCCGCTGTTGTTTCTACGTGCTCCGGGGAGGGATACACCGACGCCGTCATGGACACAGTCCTCAACAAGCTCGGCGTTAGGTCAGGAGATCATGGGCCTCGACGACCACCAGCAGCAGGATGGAGATGGGAATGGCGCTTTAAATGATCCAACTACCTCATCTGATAGTGAAGCTGGAGAACCAGTGACTACTCCACCACCACCACCACCACGACGTCGCAAAGTCCTTCGCCGCTGGCCGGCCGTTGGAAATCCCGACTCGGTCCTTCTCCCACACGTCAAAGTCTTTGTTCATGCGCCGGCGCCTCAACCTTCTTCTCCTTCTTCTCCTTTTCCTGGATCTACCACGACCGGCGGAAAAAGAGTGCATATGAAATATTACACGGGAATTGGGACTGCCACTGCCACTGACGACCACGACGGTAACAACAACAACAACGACGACGCAGATCGAGATACAGAGTTACAACTAGGTCTAATAGCCCTGAAGCGCGCCCAAGGCACCGAGCTCGTCCAATTCATGCGCAGAGCCTGTTTTCTAGGTCGAGACAAGAGTCTCGCGGAGGAGAGGGTTGTGTTGCACCAATTTGAACAACGACTACAACGACTACAACGACTACATCGATTACAACAACAACAACAACCGCTCGAGTCCCAGAACGACACTAACGGCGCCTTGAAGGGCCTGGATGGATATAACAACGGCGACCATGACCATGCCCAAGAGCAAATGCAAAAGCAAAAAACAGTTCCTGATTCGTCCCACACCAACAACAACAACAAAGACCCAACCCTGGACTTGGATCTGCACAAAGCTGCCCTGCACTGGATCGAGGATATGTTCCAACACGGGGACTGATTGAGAGTGACTGACTCCCTTGACTGGATACTTACCAGGTGCCTACCTATCCAACTTCCTACCCTTGGTACAATACTAGAAAATGACGGGAGATGTTTACCTGCTAGACACGCAGTGAGTAGTTCTGAGGTCGTCAAGTCACCAAGCCGGGCGGCTGGGCCGTGTGACGGACAGGGCAACGAACGTACTATACATACATACATACATACATACATACCTCCAGTACAAAGTACAATATGATATGATAATCCAGTATTTGAACTGGACCGACCAACCGACCATGGCAGTCAGTCTAACCATGGGCTGCAGAGACCGATTTATTCATCAAGGGTACATTTCAATTGATACAATCCGTTCAATACAACTCTTTGATATGTATAAACAGCATTGTAGCACATGACCCTCGACGACACGGGAGCCTTGTTTTCCCAAGCCAAGGCGAGAAGGGCTCCAGCTGCCTTTTCCATTTCCGTTTTCCGTTTCCACGCTCTCACCGTAAATGTACACCCAAATGTTTTCCCTTTTCCCTTTTCCCTTTTCCCTTGCTTCTCACACTTACGCCTCACCCGCCGCCGATTCTTGTCCTGTCCCTTCTATTCCCGCCTCACAGGGCATCACATCGCCCTGCTGTTGTTTGAAAATACAAAAATATCATATTCATATCATCTTGAGTCATGATTGGCGATCCAATAAGAATCCAAAACAGTGGTGTTGGTGGGCGTCCTTTCAATTCACACAAACAAAAATCCAATCCCGGACGGCCCCGTCTTGCAAGTTGCAATCAACTTGTCTTCTGATAGTGGTAACAATAATATAAGAACATGGTGGATTGCTCGCTCCTCGGCCAGTCACATCCAAAGTGGGTGTCTGAGGCTCGCATGCTGTAGGTGAAAGCTGCGCACATTTTCCATAGTCGGTTGAGGTTTGATTCCTCGTCGATCAGATGTGCATCCTCCCACGCCGCTATGTGCTGAGAGGCACAGATGCGTCATCCTTCATAGGATAGCATAATGCGTAATCTCTGTCAGTAATTCAATCTCGCATCCATTGGAAGTGCATTTCTTTTGATTCCCTTTTGTAGCAATGCTAGCCTCCTTCTGTGTATTCGTTCGCTTCACGTCCTTCGTCACCGCCGGTTCAGGAAATTCACGCTTCCAGCCTGCGGCATGCTCAACAAACTATCCGCTCGCTGAAACACATCACCCTTGAAGAACTGATCACCGTAAGCACTGGCTGGCGTACTGGGCACGGTGGCTTGCGCTGCAGGGCCCAAGGCTGCCGATAAAGGTGTGGCCGGCAACGGTGCGGAGACAGGACTGACTCCAGTGGCACCAGGATAACCGAACCCATTATTTCCATTGACCGTCGCCTTGGCGGCAGTGGTATTGTTGCTCACTGATGCCGACGACGAAGTTGGAATTGCGGGGACCGAGGTGATTGGAGGAGGGAACGGACTAGGAAGGGAGTGGTTCCCCAATTGACCTGGGCCCGCGTACCCCTGGATTTCGTTTATACTGCTGGGGTAGCCGTTGCCGTTCACTGCTGACTGCTGACTTGACGCAGGATTAAACACGCTAGGGGGCGGCATGGCGGCAGTGGCGCTGTCTGTCAAATACCTCCACGGACTCGACTCGATCAAACGGCCCGCTTCCCGGCTCGCCTTTTGTACCGGTCGTAACATGGTGATGAGCTCCTGAGACAGCAACCGTAGAGCCTTTGCTTCTCGCATATATGTGAGCAGGTCAACGAAGCTCATGAGAAAATTCTTGCACAAAAGCCAAAGCGAAGGATCATTTCGTCCATTGGCCGAGGGCGCTACATGCATACTGGGATCCTTCAGACGCATATTGACCAACCTCATCCGAAGCGCCTCACTGACTTCGATGCACAATTTACACCGGTACACAAGGGTGGACCACAGTTCGTGCACGGATTTGGGCTGGCGGTTCTCCTCAGCGGCCTCCAAGCACCGCAGGAACTGTTGCTTGGCGATGGGGATGGTATGCAATGCAGCATCGTAGGCGCGTGTCAGTGCGAGGAAGATTTGCTCAAACACCGCCTCTTCATGAGCATCAGTAAGTCCCGTGGAAGGATTCACCCGAACTCCGTAAGCGGTTGACTGCGGCAGGCTAAATCCTTCACCGGAGCGAGGTGTACTGGCAAGAGATGAAGATCCGAGACCGTTGATGAGCTGGGCGTTACGCGAACTCGACCTCGATCTCAAGCCAGACGTGGTGGATGATGAGGCCATAGTGCCACTGTTGGAGAACGTTGTCGAGGTTCCCGTCGGCAGTCCACCATTGAGGGTGCTACCACTCAGTTGGATTGGTGTCGGGAAGACAGCCGTGTTTGCAGGTGGTACAGAGTTCGGTTGATGTCCTGGGTTGGTTTCGACCACTGCATGTTGAATGGCCGTGTCACTGCGCAATCTCCCAATCTGCCTTGAAGGCCAATGCCTGTCCCGCGTAGGGGTGCTGGCCCGAACCGGTTGGGAAGGCGTGCTGAATTCTTCAGGGATAGTCTGGATGGGATGCGTATTGCCACTGGACATCTGTCTTCTATGACCCAAACCTTGTGTAACCTTGACATCCGCGCCAAAGCTCTGGATTGCATTTCTCACTTCCGCCATGCTCCCGTACAAAAGAAGCATCAGCGTCCGGACATACCGTGCATCAATCACGGCCACGATCTTTTTCACGTTATCTTGGAGTTGAGCCGTCACATGCGTATAAGCCATGATACATGTAGCACAATCTCGTTGGACGGTGGACTCGATCTTCTCCACGGCGTCCTCGTCTTCGGGGTCGACCATGTCGACTTGTTCCAGCGCCTCGTTCAGACGGTCCACATGGGTGGAAGCATTGAAAAACGTGAATTCCAACGTACTGCGCCGTACGTCTTTCCCCCTGATTGCAGCAATGAGGCCGGAGATCTGGGGGTGAACTTGATACAAGGCATAGAGGATGCCTTTGGCGCCTTCAATGATGGGGCTTTTCCACTCCTGCTCAACCTTGTGCTCAGGCAGGCTTGACAGTCGTTTGACAAAAGCCAATCTGTGCCTTCTTACATCCCTGGGACTGCTGGGACTCGAAGAACTAGCCGCCCCAGGGGACGACAAAACACCATTACGCTTCAAGGCAGAGCCATGGCTGAACCCCCTGAGATGACTGTTGCGATTTGCCCGCAATTCATCAATGCTGTCCAGATCCGGCTTTTCCCGTCTGAGAATGCCCATTCTCTTGTGACGAGCCGCCGCCGATGCTTGCAACACACCCTCGCTGTTACTCCGGTTCCGCTCATTATTGTTTTGACTGATCAAAGGCGCAATTCCGGGCCTCCGCATGGCCACAGTTTGGTTCCCGGATGTCACTCTATAGTGTGACCGGGTCGGGATGGGAGGAGCATTCGGCTGGAGCGGCGACGATCTGTTGCCGTCCGAGCCAATGTCAATGGAACTGCCGCTGGGAATTACAGGAAATCTGCTGCTCAAAGCACGTTTCAAAGGTTTCGGTGTCTCCATGGGACTCTCATCCACCTCAAGAGATGCTTCGGCTTCGGCGGTCGCGGGGTGAATTTCTCTCAGGTATCGTTTGATCTCCAGCGTAATGGCCGTTTCTCTTTCATGATCTGTCATTTCGGAAAAAGAAACCTCCGACTCTTTGGCTTCCACGATCTTTTTCAGCTTGAATCGAAGAGGATTCTCCGCAACTTTCAATATCTGCAGCTTGTTCAACTCGCACAACTCGGCCGGCAGATCCTCGATACGGTTGTGAACGATAGAAAACACCCGCAGCGACTTCAGGTTGCGTATGTCACTCGAAATCCTCCGCACCTTGTTGCGACTGATATCCAGGATTTCCAATTGACTAAGCTTGTACACCCCGCGGGGGATGTCCCTGAAAACATTGGAGCGTATATTGAGGTACCGCAGATGGGTACACTCGGCAAACCGTAGAGGAATGTGCCAGATCTGATTGTGGGACAATGAGAGCCTTTCCACCTCGGCCTTGATCAGATCCACCACGCTTTCCGGTAGTCTGGCTATATTCGAGTGCCCCAGGTCCAGAGTAAGCTTGGGCCTGACGGCGTCGCCGAACGCCTCGCTACCAGCAAAGGCATGCTCGGTCTCCTGTCTCGCATCCGCCACTTTCTTTCTGAAGAGCTCAGTAGTGTCCTCAAGTGACAGTAAGGCTGGCTCATCCTTTGTTTCTCCGGTCGATCGGTCTTCAGCTCGAGGAGAGGTATCCACAGGAACGGATGTGTTCGCTCGCTCAAGGCCGGGTCTGGCGTTCTCGCTCAGAGCTCGAGGTTGTCCCTCAGCTTCATCTTGTCGCGAAGGCCTGCCCAGGCGGTTTGCGTCTTCCGGCCGAAGCATGGGTCGGGAGTTGGCCGCCGGGGCATTGCCTGAGTCCATGACGTTGGAAATACTCATATCTCTGGAGCCCAAGGCCGAAACTGCGTCAATGGCCAGCATCGAACGGGGAGGATTGGGCGTTGCAGTCGACTGCGCTTCCAGAGCATAGCTGGAGTCTCAAAGAAGAACGCATCTAGATTTGTACGTCAATGGTCAAAACGCCATCGTGATGTCGATAAATCCACCGGCTGGATCGTCCGTGTTGCAGGTCGAATGGCGTCTTTCCACAGAAAGCGCGCGGATGGCTCGTGTAGAGGAGCGCACGTAGCAGGGATCGTCGGGTCCGTGGTGTTCAAGGGGTAGGCAAAGGCTCAACGGGGGTCGACAAGAAGAACTTGAAAGGATGTCTGATTGAGTTTGGTCGGAGGAGAGAGGGATAGCTGGATCGTTCTTTTTGGAACTTTTCAGAAGTATGATCGGAGGGTAGACATGCCAGGGTTATTCTGGGGCCATCCGCGAGAGAGCCACGGGGGGTGAAGCGAGGAACAGTTGTCGTTGGTCCGACGCTGGATGGGCCTGCGATGATGGAACACGCGCTGACTGCGTTGCTGGCAGAGCCGTGCAGCGGCAGCGGCAGTGGCAGGAGGCAGCCCGATGTTCGCGGAGGGTAACACTACGCCGAGAGAGGACTAGTGTCTGTATCAGGGGGCTTTTAACGTTGCGAAAGTGCGCTGTTCCCTGCCACTAATTGAAGTTAACTGCGTCTGCCACGTGATCGGTTCCTGGTGCCTTGCAGACACAGGCACTAAAAATATTCACTAGACCTGCTAGAGACTTGGCAACGGTTGAAGAGTTGAAGTTCCAACCGTACCTAATACGTAACAGTACTGTACAATGTAGTAAAAGGCATCAGGGTGTTCGGGTCCTGCAAGGCACGGCGCAGACGTCGCATTTCCTCGTTATACAGCCGGCGGGAAGTGTATAAGGCTGGGCTGAAGACCATGTAACAACCGCGTATCTCATGGCATTCGCTGCCTCGGTTGCAATCCATGTTCAACCACATTCCTGTTGACTTCCATCCTCCATCAGCCTACTCTCCGTGCCGTAGCCGTGCAAGCCACCGTCCAGAATCCATTGCTCATTGTCCTCGTGGTCGTCTTGGACCCTGCGCCATACGCTCTTCCTCGGAACATGGCCATCGGCCTCAGAAGACTTGCCTTTTTCAGTTCCCTCAGGGGCTTTCCACACTGGACGAATCAGTTTCCCAGTGGATAGTAAAGGGTTGTTACTGAAGGCGCCTTTGCCTCCTATGCTGAGATGTTGGCCTTCATTATCATCGCCGGCTTCGCCATCGTCCTCATGCCTTGAATCGTCCTCATCCGCCGGCGATGCTCGTGCTGGCGCTTTCTCGTGCCCGTACGTCTTGACCAGCTTCCCGTTCTTGATACTCATACTCATTACCGTCCGCTTCTTTTCCCACTCAGGACGGTTGGCTTCTTCCAGTTCGCGCAAGTATTTCTGTTGTTTCTTAAGTGCTGCTGCTCGCTGCAGTGGCGTCATCCACTGCGTAGCACCCGGCGTAAGGCTCATATCGTAGTCTGCGGCTTCGTCATACACTTTTGTCCGTTGTGCATTCTCCCGTTGAAATGCCAGCAGCTTATCCCGATGGGCACGCGCCCGAGCAGCGGCAGAAGACAGCTCGTCTCCAGACGTATCCGGTGTCGATCCGCCGAGAATTGGGGTGGCCGTGCCGGAATGGGACTGGGTTGCATTGTGTGCTGCCATTCTCTCAATGCCACGCTCTTCCTTCAGGGCCTTGATCATCTCATTGACTTGGTCTTTGGTGAGTATTGGCGAATCGCAAAACGAACAAGGTTGAAGTCCTTCCAGTGCACAAATGATCTTCCCACAATTCAGGCAGTTCGGTGCGGTCGTGAAGAGAGGATGTATGGAAGCATTGCAATCACATTTTCTCCTTTTACTGGAGAGGGTTGGGTTAGTCGAAAGTTCTAAAGCTGCAATAGCTGCGGTCAGGTCGGCTACGCTTGTCGTCGTTGTCGTGGCACCTCCCCTGGTCGGCGTTGAGGCTCCAGAGTGCGGCTGTGAATGAGCTGCATGGGTGGGCCTTTTGGCTTGTTTCGCTCGCACATTGGCAAACCCAAAGTCGGATATCAACTGGCCGGACGCCGAAGGAGGTAGCTTTTGAGACGTTTTGGCCGGCGACTCCGATCGAGAAGACGAGGCCGCCGCCAATCCTGAAGCAGAAGTGGAGGGTGCCTGACGTGCCGCGGGAGTACTTGAAAGAACACTGGAGTCCTGACCCTGTGAGCCGGGCCGCTGGTTGAATGAGGGAGAGGAGTAGCCGTCACCATCATTATAATGCTTTTTGTACCCGCCGGTCACATCGCCATATCCATCAGGCCGGCGGGCAGGACCTGTAGAGTGAAGAGGAGGCGGTTTCGACTTTTTAGCTGATCTCTTCTTTGGTGGCTGCACGTCATCTTCACGGTCTGCTTGTGACGGTGAGGCCTGTCGGGAGGGGATTTCTTTCCGTCTGGCGTTAAAAGATGAAATGAATTCCAGGGCTTGCGGCGAGTCGCCCAACAGGTTCTTGAGATGATCGGCAGCCGCGTCTTTCGAGAGACTGGAAGAGTAAGTGATGATTTCCCTTAATGAACCGTCATCGATGGGCAGTAGGCGTTGTAGTCGTGGCAATGCCCATGACTGTAAATCGTTGCTCATTTTGAATTTACCAGGCCGCAACTCCCAGTGCTATTATATGAGACCACGGGCAAACTCGAAGAGACGATGTCTTTGACTTTTGCAGAGATGCTCAGGGACGAGCCAATATTATTCACTACAAGTGAATTCTCGATACTGAATACATATGGTGGTTGATAGAAGCGTCATAGTATACAAAGTTGTAAGTTGTGATATTGCTTACTAACCCTGATAAGATAAAGGACGCAGAGCTGAAAATATGATCAACGCTAAAGGATTATCATTATTATTAGACCGACTCGGAGAGTTAATAAGACAAAGTATAGTTTGCGTGTTTCGCAGTCATTCTTATTATTATAGTTTCCTCAGCAGGATCAACGTATGTATCGACTTCAACCTCTCTCATCTGCCCTGCTGAACAGCAACATCAAAGTAGCCAAGAGCTTCCCCAATGCTGAAACGACAAGAGCCCAAGCGGACCCGATCCTCAACCTCATGAATGCGCCCATGAAACTTCCGGCCACGAGGAAGGCGAGAAAGAAAACACGCCGGTTCCGCGGGCGATTCTTCAGCACCAGAATATTGGCATCGATGACCAAGTCGACCCAAGCCGCGGTGGCCATTGCGGTAGTGATTTCCGGAATCTGCATTGCACGACTGGCGCCAACTTGAGCGCCCGAAGCAAAAGCCAGAAGGGCGATGGCGGCCTGTGCCCAACTCCCCGTCTCCTGCACGCCGTGCGAAAACTGTATGGCAGCCGCTCCAAAGACCATGGCCGTCTGTACAATGTTGGTCCAGAGCAACCAGACGCGTCGACGGGAGCCAACCGCATGGCCGATGTGGCCGGTCAACGCTGCACCGGCCACGAAGAGTGCGAGACTGATGCCTATGATATCAAAATGAAAGAAGCCTCCATTGTACCCTGCCAGTCCGACGGCCAGCAGCACCGTGTTTCCTGTCTGATTCGAGGCGAAGCATGCAAAGTCCGGAAAGCTGATGGCATCTTGGATCCCCGTGCTGAGTGTCAGAACCAACAGGTGAATCTCGATGAGTAGATCGACTTTGATGCGGGAAGTCAAATAGCTGGACAAGCTGTTCGTCGTTGTCTTTTCTTCTGTTGTGGAAACAGCACACCCCGTGAAACCAGTCTCTGTGCCCGCGTCCGCGCCCGGCCGTGGTCCGGGAGATGGATCGATATACCCGGAAAGCATGCTCTAAGTCCTCCAAAGCCGTTTGCTGACTGTTCTGTACATTTCTATAGATTGTCTAACGTTGAACTGTCGAGAGAAATTGCGAAGAAATCATAGTGCTCTGGTCCCCGGCCCGACACAGAAAGACTCTACAGCCATAGTATGGTGTGTGTCCCGACAGTGCATTTTTCAACCCGAAATGCTTGGAAACTCACGGACGGGCTCGGGGTCTCAAAATCAGGCTCTAATGTGAACATTACGCTTTAGGAAATCAAGAGGCTTGCCTCTCGGGGACTGCTATCGGCGTCTTACACTTTAACCTGCTCATTCTCGGGAAGTATCTCGATCTCTTTGCAATCAGCGCAAGACCAAGCTGACGCTTTGTATCATTCGGATGTCGGTCTACGGATGTCGGTGTTTGCCTCGCTTGCCTTCATGTCATTTGGTCCAGAAATGGGGAGACCCGTTGGCGTGATGGTAATCCACGCTCTGCTAACAGGCATTTTTGCTCATTATTCTACCACTAAAGTGTCCCCACATTTTCTGGCTTCGGATCTCGCTGGATGGCCTCGATCTACTTTTGACCGACTCCCGACTCTCGCCTCTTGCGTCAAACCCACTGCACCGCTCTTCCGAACAGAGGACTACCATTTCACCTGACCACCTGAGCCCTCACCGGTGGCCTTGTGGCGCTCTTGAGGTGTTCCACATGCCAGAGGGAAATGTTTCGTCTAGTTTGCCTGCTCGAGTTGACGTCCAACTGTACATGCTCAGGACGTATCAACATCGGATAACGTGTTCCTCCCCCGTCAGGACAGGCAAATTTGGGCTAAGCAGAAGCAACTTGAAATGCTACCCAGCTTTCTTCAACTCAAGCAGAGGATCCAAAAACCAATGATTGTCTTTCAAACGAGGTATTGTGATATAGTTTACATAGGTCGGTAGCCTCGTCTCCACGTAATTACATACAAAAATGCCAACCGACACTGTTCAATGTCATCACCATTCCAAGCCCCCCAGCTTCAAGGGCAGATGAAGCATTCGATATCCGTGAGCCGAAGGCTCAGGGAGTCTCCCGGCACGAATATTCATCTGCAGCGACTGATGAAGCAGACGGGGCTCTGACAACTTCGCATCGCGTTGGTTCCGCATAGTGACAAAGTCAGTTTCGCTAACTCCATCTTTAAGATGTTTGTTCGCCTCCCTGTGCTGCTGGACAGTCATATAGGGGATCGGATCCCCACGGCCATCAGGGGGATAATCATGCCCCGTCCAAATCTTGACTTGCGGATCCAAAGCGAGCAGTTTGCGAGCAGACCTGAAAAGGTCGTTGGAACTGCCTCCGGGAAAGTCGCAGCGGGCACTGCCGATATCTGCGTTGAAAACGGAATCACCGCAGAAGACATTATCTAGAGATGTTAGTCCGGGTTTCCTTGAGTCAAGTCCATGTTGGGCCACTTACCTCCTATTTTATAACCAAGATGGTCAGGCGTATGGCCAGGAAGATGAATAGCCGTGGCCTGTAACTCTCCAATGTGGAACGTCTCGTCGTCGTCGAAATATTTGTCAAAGACGCCGTCGTATTCTTCGGGCGGAATCTTGTATCTCTCGCCAAACAACTTCTGCACTTGCCCAATACGTTTGCCGATTCCAATTGGAGGTTTTTGGCCCTGCGTCTGCGCAAGACGTGACTGGAGATACGATGCCGCGGTGATGTGGTCGGCGTGGGCGTGGGTTTCCAGAATCATAACGACTTTGTACCCGTTGTTCTCGACTACAGAGAGCAATGTGTGGGCGCTTTGAGTGCTGATTTTCTGGGTGGCCGGGTCATAGTCTAGGACCGGGTCGATGATGACTGCTTTGGAGGTTGTTGGGTCGGCCACGACGTACTGCCATGTCCCGGTCTTGGTTTCGAATACATCGTGGACCACGGGTTGGGGGGTCACCGCACTGCTGGCCTGTCGCGACATGCTATATGGAGCTCGTTGTTGACCTTTGGGTGCACCACCAAGGAGTCCTTGATTCGTACTGCTTCGCTGCGCAAGATGTGACGATCTCGTCGTGCCCGCCGGTGCTCGGCTGGACCCAACAGCTCCAGCGCCGCGGTGTTCGATCCCAAGAGCCTGCGTAGAGTATGCCGCGGCGGTTGGAAGACGACCGAGTTGCCTGCTTGCCTGGGCAGACACTAATGCCGACGGTGATGTTGATGCTGTTGATAGCGCTCTCGACGTTGCTTGGACAAAGTGTGGTCTAGGTCTCAGCGACTGCATCGTGCGTTACTCGATTGCCAACGTCGTGTCAGTGTCTCTTCGGGCCATAAAGCAAGGACTTGGAAAACGGAAACAGGAAAAGAGTCATGGTCGGTACTAGTAAGTACATATTATGACCAGATACCGTATTTGAAGTTAAGGTTTCGTCACCAGGATAGGCATCCAAGACGGTAGACCCCGAAGGGAGACCCGGAGACGAGACGACGTCAAAGTCAAGTCGTAGCCTCGTACTGTATGTCTTCTCCCGCACATGTGATTGCCGCGGGAGGCCATGGATGGCCGATCAATCATCAGCATACGAGGACTAACATGTGGAGCAAGAAACGGCCACATCATGGTTCAAGACTGTACAATTGAAAGTTGTAGAGGCTTCGACCGCCCTCCCCCCGGCCCACTTTGTGTCCATCACATCGGCGACCACTTCGGAACCAATAATGAACACCCCCCTAACGGCCCGACAGCCTTGTGGGTCTGGTCCCCGATTTAAAAATCAGGCCATGAAGTGGACTCCGGGTTGGATTTTACGACATTGTATTTTTGGTACTAACACCTCAGCTTAATATCCAGGAGGTTTCTAATAACAAGCATACTTCTCTTCGCCGTCTATTACTTAAGCTTTTTTGATCTGTCTCACAGCACGCCGTCGCAGTTATTTTGTCCTTGTGACACTTACTACCGGTACCATCGTTGAAAATTGAAGCCCGAACCTGAATAGGAACTACTACGAGTATGGTTCGCATCAGCTTCACATCCAATGCCTGCCGGAAGGCACGCTCGCTCATAACCACCACCCAGACCATCAAACCAACTTCACACAGCACCAGACGGGGATTCGCATCAGTATCCTCCACAGCAGTAACCTCCAGCTCCGGCAACCGCCAACACAAAGTCGTAGTCGTGGGCGCGGGCAGCGCAGGCCTCTGCATCAGCCATCAACTCCTCCGAACCGGCAAATTCGGCACTCACGACATCGCCATCATCGACCCAGCTCAATGGCACCACTACCAACCGGGCTGGACGCTCGTGGGAGCCGGGCTCAAAAACAAAGAAGACCTCAAACGCCCCGTTGAATCATTACTCGACCCGAAACTGAAATTCTACAACACGGGCGTCAACACCTTCTCACCGGACCAGAACAGTGTCAATCTCAGCAATGGAGACAACCTCACCTACGAGCAATTGGTCGTCGCACCAGGGATCAAGATCAACTACGACTCGATCAAGGGGTTGCCCGAAGCTCTCGCGAATAAAGATTCACTCGTCTCATCGATCTACGGCTACGAGACTTGCGACAAGGTCTTCCGCACGATTGAGGCCCTCAAAAAGGGGAATGCCATCTTCACCCACCCGACCGGCGTGGTGAAATGTGCGGGCGCACCCCAAAAGATAATGTGGTTGGCCCTTGACCACTGGACGAAAGAGGGTCTGTATAATCCTAAACCGGATAGTAAGTCGCCTTCGGCGATCAATATCACTTTTGCGACCGCTTTGCCCGGCATGTTCGGCGTGCCCAAATACAGCCAAGCACTCAATGAACTACGCCAGGAACGAAATGTGGAGGGGCTGTTTCAACATGACCTAATTGCTATCGAGGGCAACACGGCTGTCTTTTCCAACCTTAACACCGAGGGCGAGGGCCAGGTGGTCAAACGCCACTTTGATTTATTGCACGCCGTTCCCAAAATGGGTCCTCACCCCTTCATCGCAACCAGCCCCCTAGCCAACTCCGCGGGCTTCGTCGACGTCGACGAGTCGACTCTCCAACACAAGAAATACCCCAACGTCTGGTCTGCAGGCGATGCATCGAGTTTGCCGACCTCAAAAACTGCCGCCGCAATCACGGGCCAGGCACCTGTCCTGGTTGCAAATCTCCTTCGGACGATGGAGGGCAAACCCGTTGAACCAGAGTATAATGGATATACCTCGTGTCCATTGTTGACCGAATACGGCAAAGTCATGCTTGCCGAGTTCAAGTATGGTGGCGTCCCTGAGGAGACTTTCAATAAGTGGTTTGGGTGGGATCAGGCGGTTCCAAGACGGGCGTTTTATCATTTGAAAAAGGATTTCTTTCCTTGGGTTTATTATAATTCCATGGTTAAGGGCACTTGGGCCGGGCCGAAGGGGTGGATTAGAGGGCCGTCCGAGTGATTGATTTACTGATTGATCTGATATACTGGAAGGCATAAGGCATGCTCATGCACGAACATGACAAACAGTGAAAAAGAATTCGACGGGGCCGTGGTCAAGGCTTGTGTGGCTTGTTGTTATAATGAAAGCGTTCAGCTGAACCTGAGATCCATCTGGCGCGTGGTGACCCAAGGTAAAATATAGAAGAGCAGCCTCATATAGAATCCAAAATGATTTACCTTATTCGCAGCTACGGCATATGCTGACCGAGTCTGGATACCTAGTACCATCCTTCACGCCGTCCCATAGCTTGTGTTGGGCAACGGCACTGGCAGAGGAGGAGCCCGGGTCTGTCTGATCGCAGTCAATCAAACACAGAACTTCTTCCTTGTGCCAGGCAACTTCAGTCAAGTGTATTGTCCATTCTTCGTTGGAGGAAGGTAGGTAACAATGGCTAGTCCGACCAAACACTCTCATATAAACCACTTGAATTTTAGGTGCGTTACTCATAAGCGACATAAAATGCTGATGCCGTCCCCTCCCGACGTCCTTGACGGCAGCTAATCATAGTACCAGTAGTAGCCGCTCACTGAGACTGTTCGGCATTGTGAGCGACCAAGGCAATCAGAGCCGCTCCAAGCCCGCTACCATCCTTGGCCAGCCCGATCCGTATCCTTTTCTCCTCTTCCCCAATGCCTTCAATCTCTCGGAACGCCTCCCGGATATAGTCCTCAAACCCGGGGTAGTATTCGACCAAACTGCCGTCCACGCCAATATCCACAATCTCCTCCTCTTGAAGTTTGTTCGTGGACAGAATCACGCCTGCCAGTGCAACTGCACTGAGTCGAGCTGCTCTTCTCCCAATAGCGTGCACCAACATCTTGACGGCCACGCAGTCCTCGGTGGACGCAGCTTCAATCTTCAGTTCCTTTTCCAGTGTCTGCTTGGTGATACGCAGGTGATCGCTCTGGTCCTCCTCGACGATGGACAGAAAAGATGTGTCAATACCCCACTGCTTGAACAACGGACTGTCCTCAGCCACTGTAGTTGTACTTCTAATATCATTGGTCAGGGACGAGGTGTCCTTGAACAATGCGATTCCCTCGTCGGGATGCTGATGCAGACTAAGCATCGCTCGCCGCAGGATCTCGCCGAGGAACATGCCCGACACGCGCTTTTCGAACATCTGTAATCCGGGGTTGACCGATTCGCGGTCTAGGTCAATGTCATATTGGGTATTGGGAAGGACGCTCAATCCATTGTCGAAACTGCCCCATTCTGTGTTGATGATCATAAGACCTGTAGAACGGTCGTAGTTGGCCACGGCACCTTCCGACTCCTCGATGTCCTTCATTTTCTTGACATTTTCCAGCTTTTCAACATACGCACCGTTGGTGCCAGTGCCGAAAATGGCGCCGATCAAGGTCTTGGTCTTGCCGGGAGAAGTGTATGACCTAGCCATCAATGTACCCACTGTGTCGTTGACCAGAGCTGCCACTCGCACCGGCAGCTTCAAGGCGTCGATTTCCTTCTGCAGCAGCTCACAGACGTCCTTCCCCACAGCTTCTTCGATGTCGTAACCCTTGGTCCATCGCATCAATCTGCCCTTGTTGATGCCGATCTGGTTGACGGGAAAGCTAAAGGTGAAGCCTAGGTCGAAAAAGTCCTCGGCGGCCGGCACGTTCTTGTGTTTCTCGAAATGTTCATTGTGATGTGTCTTGAGGAATGTTTCAATCTGCTTGGCTAGAAATGAAAATAGTTCATGGGCAGTTTCCGCTTCCATCAGAGCCCTGGGGACCGCAACTTTGGATTGCTGCAGGGAGAAGGAATGATTGCCGTGTAGAGTGACGGAGCAGACTCGAAAGTTGGTACCACCTAGGTCGACGGCCAAATACACCCCCTAGCGATGTCAGCTAAACGTAAATGTGACGAGCTACTGTTGTACCTACCTTTTCTGTGCCATTGGGAACCGAAGTCACGTAGGTCGGGATCTGGCTCAGTGTCGTTCCCTGCTTCTGGAGCCCTTCCTCCATTTCCCGTATGAACTCTTTCACTCCCCTGTTCACATCTTCCGCGGGGTATTCAAACTGAGCGATCATCCGCTTGGTCTCCGCTTCGAGGGCCATGTTGGTCAAGACGTCGGTGACAGGGAGGGAGAACAACGACTTCGGCTTGCACTGTGTACCAGGTTCTAGCTGTTCAAAGTAGGCTTCCTGCCTATAGACGCTGTCCCCAAACGGGCTGAGAGGATGTCGCGTGCGCTGGGAGCCTACAGACGAGGGCGCAAGGGTGGCTTTTCGAGACCCGAAGAACTGGACAAGTAGAACGACGACGAGGAACAGGCCCGACGCAAGGTAGAGGAGAGGGACTCGCGGTCTGGACGACAGTTTTGCTTGTGCTCTATACTCTTCAGTTCCAGGAACCACTGTAGAGGCTCTATGCCATATAGAATTATGCTGGGCTTCTTGACGAGCTGGGTTGTGAGGAGCCAGCTTTGCTTCCTCCAGCACTGGACTCGGTAAAGGCGGGGCACAAGTTGCACACGAAATATAGTAGGTAAGGTAGTAGATGATAGGTAATGAGATCGAACGAGGGGCAACAGGGATCAGGAGAGGTCGGTTCAGGTCAGGTCAGGCTATAGGTCAAGGTTCAGGTCCGATCGATGTCAGGAATAGCGTGCAAAGGTTCGTGGTTGCGTCGGGTATCTTGGAAGGACGCCAGACAACTGAGGTCGAGGCCAACAATTTTGGGAGCTGGAAGCGATGATGTCGTAACAAGTTCGTTTGTTACCAACAGTACAACGTTGTAGTATGACAGTTGTTTGGTGAGCGAATGAATGGGCATAAATGATCGTGGTGGCTTGTCAATCGTGGAGCTGCCGTCCGCCAGGATCCGTAGAAGTGTGAACTGTGGGTTCCAACTCATCACTACTGACAACTTTAAGTTGTTTGGTCGCTGGCCGCAGTTGGAATTCCTCGATCCTCGTCGTCGCCCGATGGTGACAAGTCGGAATCAAAGGAGCACCCACAAACCACAGCTCTACGACCTACGTCAGTTGTATCGGCTTGGCGTATCTTGTGCTATGATTCTTTCATCCCAACTGGAGTGAGGACAGTATCGTCGACCTTGTATACTAGGTAGACAACATCAGTGAGTGGCCCCGCGCCGACCAACACCACTGCAGCCAAATGAATGATCGGCGAAGATCCAACTGATGTTCTCTCGCACTGCACTGCAAACGTCATTTGAGGACTTTTCGGTTTCGAAAGCAGAATTGCTATTTATTACTCCTACAAGATGCAGTGCTGTAGACTGCGGGGGATCCACGCTCTGTCACAACTGGCTATGCATCGCCCAAAGCCATCCCTTGTGCCAACATTACTGCAGTAGCTCAAAAAAGCATATCACTCGACTCATCGTCTCTCACATCGGTCTCAGTCATCTCGTAGTCATCCAAGGTCTTTCTTCTCTTCACCTCCATAGTACGGCCATCCAATGTAGTCATGTCGAAGTCTCCCCCCTCACCAGCGTGTCCGCGACCACCCCAGGAGAATCGTTTTAGCAGACTGGGTCGACGTTGAATTCTTGCATCTGAGACAGACCGTCCGATACTTGAGGAGGACGAGGAAGACCGACCTAGCGAGAAATTCAATCGTTTCCCTGATTTCGACATCGGTGGAGACATGGTCTGTTCCCGCGGCAAGGGGTCGTCTGGCATCTCTTGGAGGATCTGGTGGTCGTCGCTGACGGGACTGGAGTCGATGGGATCCATGCCCCAGGCGCTCGCCAAAAACTTCATGTCGTGGTCGACCTCATAGGGTTTCAGTTCATGACTATCTTTTGCACCACCTGGTTCTACTTTGCATGGCCTCGTTTCCATATGCAACAACAAATGCTCGTCTTCCGGCAGGTCAATTATTGAAGTGTTCGAAGATGAGTTGTCTTGCTCTGCTGGTATAAGTATATGCAGCCTCTGGTGCTCTCTATGCTCACCGGAACTGTATGGAGTGTCAGGTGAGTCAGTAAGGAGGTGTCTGTCACCCTCAGATGAAGAAGAGAAAGCAGCGTCTCGTCTAACGGCAGTGTGTTGTAGCCCAAGCTCGTCGGGCTGGAAGATGCTTTCATCTAGCAGATTCTCAGAAAACCAACACGGTTCGTCTCTTCCAGAGACGTGCTGGCCACTTGCTTGCAGGTCGCTTCGGTCTGCCAAATACTTCTCTTCCTCATGCTTTCTCAGCGGATGCACGCGGATAAGATCCTGAGTAAGCCAACTAAGGCTACCAATAACAGGAGACTGGTCGATTACTGCAGCCTCTTTTATAGGTTCTCCATGGGTGGTCAGCATCGACACATCACTCGTGTGCGACGCGCTCCTCATCCGGCTTCTATTTTGGACGTCTATCGCGACTGAATGTTTGAGGTCGCGGGAGAACTCGTGCGTATTCGACAGCATTTGCCTAGATGTCGCACCAGCATCGGGAAAGTCCGAGAGTATTTCACTATGGCTTTCAGCATTTCCAAACCCGGTGGTTTGTTCAGCGTGTTCATATGGTTCAGCTTGAGAGGCATATGCCGCGGCGAAGCCAAAGAGATCGTCTTCCTCGATGGTCCCAGTACCTGAGTCCTTGTGCAAATCGAGGTCTGCTATCTCGGGCAGTAGGTCACCACCGACGGAGGCGGCGCTGCGCCGTACTGGATCCCGGTCATCGAGTACCTTGTGGGAATCCGCGGCGGGTTTGGACGACCACAATGGCCGCAGTCTCCGAGAATGTTCGTAATTATGAACACCTCCGGCGACGGTCATCCAAAGATCTCTGTCTATCACAGATGCAGAATTGTCGGCCGCCTCAACCTCCAAGGCATTAGCAAGTGACGTTCCCTTCACGCCCAGGGGAGGCTCCTCCCCCTTACTGGTCGCGTTCCGAAGAAAAGAAGCAAGGAATCCAGATATGCCTGGAATGTATTTTGCTTGTTCTTCAAATCTGTGAATGTAGTCAGGGGCAAAGCTGTTTGGGACAATCTCACATAATCGAAGCATGTCCTGTTCGGACAGACTTTTGACGCCTGGAGCCATCCGGATTGGCTTGGAACAGATGCTGGTTCGAAAGCCGGCATCCAACAACGCAACGAGGATTGTTCCGTCCAATGGAGTTATTTCCCCAGACTTCTCGTTTTGGCATCTCAGAAAGTTTGAACCCACCACCTCAGAATCGCAAGCTTGGGGACGCGCATACTGGGACTGACAGTTTTGTTAGTTGTGCACCTGCACTCAGCAAGAGAAAAGGTTATGGTGCACATGTTCTTTGCCTTCAGGCTCATTCCCAGATCTGCAGCCGTCAAGTCCCACCCCAAGCTTTTCTCCCGTACCAGAAGAGCCCATAAAGCGCAGGTGTAGCTGGATAGCTCGCAGATGGCAAGGTGAGACGTCGGTAGGGCAGAATGTGGCAGAGCCATTATGCTTCTGGGACTGAGCTACATCAGCAACATTTGCGGCGAACAGGACTCGCCATACGCGCAGCTCCAAATCTAGACTGTCGTTGTCATCTTTTGGCGACTCGAGAGATGCCTCGTATCCGAGCTGTTTCCACAACTGGGCTTGTCAGGATCAGCCGTGGTTGGAGTGTGTCAGCCTACATCGGCACTTTCAATATGGTCTGCTATGATGTTGTTGGCATCTTTGCTAGTGAGTGGTGTCAAAACTAGATCATCAGCGAAGAGGGCGTGAAGTGACAGGCAAATGACCATAGCACGGGGAAACCAGTGTTGACTGAGTTGGTTTGCATCTCGGGCATGCAGAGAGGGTGCTTGACAGTCGTCCTCGAACGATACCTCTATAGTGGTCCGCGTCCGCAGGCAGATGCCGGATTTCCGATGCAGGTGCGAGCTTTCTCCGAGATAATAGTAAGCTTCAAGCATCCCTGAGTTGGCAAAGAGTCGTCAGCGGACGGGACACGTCGTAGAAGTTCAATAGCAACTTGAATGTCGAGAGGGTATCAGAAAGACGAAAGCCAGACCAACTTCGAAGTCATCGGAAAATAAAATCACGGCGGATGAATCGATCGGCATCGGATCGGAAGAAGTTTCTCCGGCTGCGCATCCCGACTTCAACTTGAAGTTCCAATGGCTTCTGCCGCTGGCACTGTGGCATCATTGTAACATTGCAGTCTATCCACAATCCCGTCTTCTCGGGTGTCGAGTGGGTACATTTCTGTCCTCGCGTTGGCTGGTCGTCGATCGATCTTGCGGCCTTTTGAAACGGTTGAGCTGCAACTGTGAAATACCCGCAGATAAGCGATATCCACCGAAATTGTTTTATTATATGAACTTTTCATGCCTGGATCGAGCATGATACAGCTGCTGTTTGCGCCGTGATTGGAACCCTTCATCTACGCCCCCTACAATGTCTCTGCGTCCAGTACAGCGCCTCTTGCGGCCAAAAGCAGTTTGCAAAACGCTACCGCGGCTGGCCGTGAGCAGGACCGCTTGCGTGCCTGTACAGTCTCTACACACGAGTCAAACCTACCTCACCGATGGCGTCTACAAGGAGCTCGCAGAGATGCGAGTGCGGACGCCCTGGATTGAGGCACTACGGAGGAAGAGAGAGCAGGAACAAAACCCTACGGCATCAAACGCCGAACCTGTCAAGGTCGACCTCACGCCGAAGAAGATGTCGGATAGTTATGTCAGGATGATTCTGCCTCTATCTGTTAGTATTCCGGAGAAGATAAATACTGCGACTGCTGGACTATTTTTGCTGATCCTGATCTGTAGCAAGACCCGTGGCTCCTGGACACCTACGCGAACTATACCGGCCAGATCCGCACCGGCAGTCTGCTCATGGACTTGGATGCATTGGCCGGCGTTGTGGCGTACAAACACACAGGCGAAGGAGTGAGCAATGTGACCGCAGCGGTTGACAGAATCACCATCAAGAACCCTATCAAAGAAATATGCGATCTGGAATTGAGCGGACAAGTCTCGTTCGCGACCGGGAGGAGTAGCATGGAGGTGACGCTGCAGATCGCCAAAGCGCCGAAGGAGGGCCAGAAAGTGGCTCCGGAAGACATCTTCATGACTTGCGCCTTTACCATGGTTGCGTTGGACCCGACTACAAAGAGACCGGTCAATGTAGCTCCATTGATCGTCACCACACCAGCGGAAAAGGCTCTTTTCGCCAAGGGCGAGGAGAACTACAAGAAGAAGAAAATGATGAAGTCGTCCCATATCTTTGCCAAACCGCCTGACGCAGAGGAATCGGCGCTGATCCACAAGATGTGGACGGATTCCATGGCGTATCAGGATTCGCGGAACCCAAAGCATCAGCCGTCCAACGTCGTGGCGATGTCCAAGTCGACGATCCACAGCACGCAAATCATGCAGCCCATCAACCGGAACCGGCATGACTTTATGATCTTCGGTGGGTTCCTGTTGAAGACGAGCTTCGAATTAGCATTCACCTGCGCCGCTTCGTTCTCGCACACTCGGCCTCGCTTCCTGAACCTGGACCCCAGTACTTTCGAAGAACCAGTTCCTGTAGGCTCGGTGCTATACGTGTCGGCCAGCGTTTCGTACACGGAACCGGACCCGACTGGTGGCACACGCATTCAAGTCATGGTGAAAACACACGTGAGACCCGTGGAACATCAAGACAAAGAGCGCAAGTCTACGGGGACGTTCTACTACACCTTCTTCTCACCAGACAATGTCAGCGTCCTGCCTCAGACCTACGGTGAGTTTATGGAATGGGTTTCCGGCAGGAGAAGAGCGCAGAGTCTTGCCGCCACTCTCGAGGCTGATCAGCATCCTATTCTTGCCAATCTGCACACCGATTCGCTGAACGAGTGATCCATGAATACATTCCCTTCAGTGGACTCCGATGGGTCTCGGCTGCAGTGGTCAAGCACTCATTCTCCTGCCTGATGCCAGCGACCTGAGCCCCTCCTCAGGTTGGTTTTTAGCCCCTGGAACCATTGGGCAGCACTTTGCGGAGATAACTCAGTGGCATATCTATGTATCAATGCTTCGTCCCCTGGCAGCCATAGCACCCAAACTTATATGGCGCACGCTTGAAGGGGGCCTGCACCATGATCCTCAGCGCGACTAAGCCGTCAAGCCCGAGGAAGCACCAAACCGAACGAAACGGCCCGAACCTCTGCCCGGAGATGTAAATGGTAAATGCTTTCGGCATTATTGAGAGATCATCGAGGCCCAATCGTTCCAGTGGGCGCGCACGTCGGGAGAAACCAGCTCCTCGTCCGTTCTGGAGAGACTATTACTATCGAAGCAAGTTGCCACCAAACTAGAGCCGGCTGAGCCACCCTGGAGGCTATCTCTAGCTCAAAGCAGAGCTTCGATCCCAGCGGAGGACATGGGCCGTTTCCATGTTATACTACATTGATCCTGGTTGAGCCGTGTATCTGTGGTGTCCTGTACGTAGTCGCTCGCAAGGTAACGACCGCGCGCGAAGAACAGCATACTTACTAGTGGTCCTGGGTGTTGCGGGCTTGGAGATATATGACTGTTCGCTTCGTTGGATGCCCAGCTGCCTTACCACTGGACGAACAGCACAGCTAGAAAACACAACTTGCACGACAGCAGCAGCAGAATCAGCATCTGCCGATATACTTATACATACATACCAACCAACCAACCAAGTACCTGCCTATGCTTGGTATTGTGGATAGGATCTTATTACAAAAGAACAGGTCATCACTCGCAGCAATTACTAATGTGGTTCAAATTATTCAACTCCATTCCATTGAGATTCAATTCAATTTTCTCCTCCTCCCCGTAGTGTGCTCTACGCTGCTGTGGGCGAGCGGGCAGAAAGCATTGAATAAGGTGTTGAAACGGTTCGATCCCTTGTTCGCGAAGACTCTCAAAACAGATCGTGGGATCGGACACCAAAACCACACAGTAGACAATGGAGTCTACGGAGCAGTGGATGTGCCCGGACAGAGAGAGTGTGTGTGTGCTTCCATTAGGCATGCCTTGATGCCTTTCATGCCATTCATGTATCTCTTCGCATCGGCCTGAACTCGGGTATCAAGTGCTGCGTGGGACTGCTGAAACCCCCTGACAGAGCAGCACAAACGAAGCGCAACCGTTCAATCCAGCTCGATTTCTTATTGATCTTCCCTGGTCTCACCGCTGCTGCTACTGCACGGCACACAAGCTTCCTTAAAAGCACCTTTCTACCAGCGCTGCTGTGCTTGAGAACCGTCCCGTCCCGTACAATATCTGACTGCAAAGCCGCGTGTGTGAACTCTTGACCTTTTTGAAGCACACAGAGAGAGCCCAGCTTCCCTTGTCCACCAGGGCGGAAAGAATTGTTTAACACGCCGCAGGCCCTGAGGGCTCTCATAGGCGGCCAAGTAGTCGAATGTGCAGTTCCTTGACTACACCGATCATTCGAGGAGTATAAAAACTGATGTGTGTCCTTTCAATCATCATCGTACCGTCGACTCCGGCGATGTCTCTGTCTATCCGGACCACGGGATTCTCTGCGTCGCCTGCGTCGACGGTCATCGTCCTCATCGTCAATTGGCAACCCATCCGGATCCAACTTGACACTATTCCGGCGCGAATTCTGGGCACTGGCAGGAGGGAACACTCCCCCTCCACCGCCTGCCAGTGGGGGTCCAACACCAGCCATTTCCGGTTGTTGTCTGCGTGACTTCCTCTTTTCTCGCGGCGCCGAGGGCGGCCTTAGATTCGTAACATATTCGTAAACTCTCGGACTCTGTCTAAGAAGCACCATCTCGGTCTCGGAGAGACGTGCCTCTGGGATCTTATCCTGACCACCACCATTTCGGCGCTTTGTCGTGCTGCGGTCGGTCCACACAACCAGCAATCCGTCCGCATTGCCGCCTTGACCTGGGGGAACGAATTCCGTGTCGAATGTCCAGTCTCTCAGTGCAGGCGGATCATAGACGCCTCGGTCCTGAGACCCTGGGCCCTGAAGACCCAAGCGACTCCGCACACTCGCGTGGATATATTCGTTAGTATTCTTCAGTCTCTTGCCCGTGGGTCGTCCGGTATACGGATCCGTGCGGTGGTAGTTGCCTGGAGTGCGCGTCTTAGACCCGGCAAGACTATAGAACCCTTTGAACGAGTTGTACAGCTCGCCGAAACTCCACCAGCGCGTCTTCTGCCCTGTAGCTTTGTAATAGGCCCTGTTCTCCTCCCAGAGACTCATGAGGAAATTTGGGCGGAAATCCAGAAACGGCTCGAGTTTGGAAATCATCCATGCCAATGTAATGTTTGCCAGTTCTTGGTCTTCGTATCCGCCTCCCACATTACTATGGACGCCTGGGAACCAGACCTGTACGAGATTAGTGCGGTCGTTATCTCGTCGTTCCCACAGCGCAGGCGAAAACGGTCCCCGCCGCTCATCCAGTGCAAGGGCCTGGAACGCATTTTCCACACAGGGATGTAATCGAGTGTCGTAGAAGTCATAGTCGTGCATGTTAGGGTTCGACAACCTCAAAGACTCCATCCATCCGAGTCGCGGGATTCCTAGACTGCCCACCGTGTCCCAACAACAGATCGCCTTGATGGGCACATTGAGAGTCGTTAGTCCGCGCCTCGCCAACTCATGAATATAGTGCTGGTCAAAGGGTCCTTTGCCGGGAAACGGCACGTCAGGGAACTTGGACACATATCGATCGTCGTAGCGGTGTTGCCAGTCCTCGAAGATTTCATTGAATAGCGGTAGTCCTGCTCGGGTCAATAGGCCCAATGCCCCGATCATCCCGCCGATACTTCGTGCCGTGAATGCGCCGCGGCTGAAGCCGATCAGGAATATCTCGTCGCCGGGTCTCCAGTTGATCGCCAGGTACGTGTATGCTTCGCGCATGTTCTCTTTCAATCCGAGTCCCGTGGCTCCTCCTACAGCCCGCGATGCCGGCCCGCCTGAAGTGCCCACTCCGGCCTGGTAGTTGACGATTTGCGGGATTCCATCTCTTGATGTGTCCTTGATCGCCCAGCCTATACGTGACACATTGGATGGAGGTTGTTTCTGGCCATTCAACAGTCCGTTGTCGGCGTCAAGCCATGTCCCGTCGCATGTGACAATGAGTCTCTTCCGTGGTCCTGCGATCGGCCGCTCCAGCGTCCCGGGCATTGGTCCCAATGTCGAGCTCAGTGGAGGCGGTTCAACGCGCGACTGTGGCCGGCTTGGTGCTGCACTACTGAGTGGTGGTGCTGGTGGAGGAAACACGCCTGATCCGTGCATACTCGGAGGGTAAACTGGGGTTGGAGCGGGCGGCGCAAGGCCACTGGGGACAGAGGAACGCGGTAAAGCCGGGTGCGACATTATTGTGAATGGTCGCGTTGTCCGTCCGTGCTCTATGACAGAAGGATCTTTTCTATGTCTTCATGCTATCGTTCGCTAAGGCTGGAAGTCGATCAGGCAAGGGCGTCGGCGTCTGGAGATGCGTAGTTGTGACAGCGCTTCCATTGACTCTGGCGCTGCAGGCTTGATATCAACAAGGAATGCCTATGTCATGCGACAGTCTAGGAGCAACACCAAAACAGAGAGACAAGACACAGAAAAGTGAGGCGTAAACACGCAAGCATTCAAGTTTGATCATATTCAAGTTCGCTGGAAGCCGACTCTGGCGCAACCAAAACATAAGAGGCGGCGCATCTTGTGACTGCGCCCCACCAAACAATCATCCCAGCCTCCTCTCACCAGTCAATCAATCCTCCTTCGCCTTGGACATCCCAGTGCCTCGTAACTGTAAGGTTGGCTCAAGTTCACGCAGATGGCTGGTCTCGCTAACAGACCACTAAAATGACCGGCCTCAACCCCTGCTGCTTCGACCTGTAGCCTACCCAGTCTCCTGGCGCTGTGCGCGAACAGTGGGCCGACATGCAGAACTGGAGCCCTCTTCAAGCGACGATCCACCGAAGCGTCGAACTGTTCAGAATCGATGTTGTCATGGCGAGTAGGTAATGAAGAGTCCCATGGGACACGGGTTGAAATCTTGAAACCATGCCAGGCTGCTATCGAAGCTACTCATCGTCATGCTTATTCTTCCGGCCACACATATGGTTGAACCGATTTCGTACGCATTGCCCGGCTGCATACTGACCGCCTTGGGGAACCCGTGGACGTACGCGGGAAGTGGCCGGTTGTCAAAAGTGGTATTGCCCTCGACCGCGCCGACCCCAAGGGCCGACATGGAAAAGCTATAGGTGCCGAAACCTCGCAGTTGAAAGAACGATGTCTTCAGCTGGTCCAATCTGGGAAAGAGAAACTGGATCGTACATGTTTGACCGACACGACTCTCGGGTATGTCAAAGTCGAAGATGTCAGATATATCCCCAGCAGTGATGTTAGGGACGAAAGTGTTTGGATATGCCGTAGTCGGGTTGCTGGACGAAATGGGGATGATCAGATGTGGGAACTCGAAGTCCGGCGATGCTGGCAGATTCCCAGGGCATGGAACGTCCTTGGAATATACTTCGGCATCTACATCAGAAGCGACATCCAGAGCTGGGAGAGCAGACACAGGTAGTCGATGGAGGAAGGTAGCTAGTAAGAGGCTAGGTAGGTACAGCATATTTGCTCATGAAGGCAGCAAACGTCGCTGGTTCAAGAAAGGGCTCCAAAGCATTCAGTACATATTGTATCTGGGGGTTTAAGTTCCAAACAAGACACCTGGGGGGAAAACGACGAACAGCGGACACAACAACGCTTTTGAAGTCAGTCAATGGCATGCAACGGGCGGCAGTGGCAATATTGGACCTTGACAGAAAAGACAAAGAAGGTGCTGTTGTTGATCGTCCCACCCACTGGCATGCAGGAGCAGGTGTCATTCGACAATTTGGAAGTGATGGGTCTGTTGTGGCTACCTTGAAGCGAGTCTCTGAATCTCTTTGAAGTGATGCCGCCCTGTCTCATCCCTCATTGCACTTTTTATCGTAAACAGTCCTCGAACAAACCCCTGTTCATGAGGATGGAAAATCTCCTAGGTTATGCAAACTGATGTCCATCCGGTCACGCACAGCATGGTTTTCACCATTTGAAGCTTCAGACTTCTCAGGCTGCTGTGGGACGGACTCAGCACCATGGGTCGATGGTTTCCGCTCGACGCCGTTGACGGCCGGGACCACTTTGCCATCGTGGTTCACAATGGCCCCATTGGTAGCGAGCCGGATCTGGTCCTCTCCTGCCACGCCTTGTGCAACAGCTTGCCTCGCCTGATCCATAACTTTCATCTTTCGAGTCTGTCCTCTGACCTGTTCCAAATGCACGAAATAGTCTTCGTCCACTGGTGTGATGTATTTGCCGCAGAATACACCGACCTCGAAGTTCTGCGGGGCGTCTCGGCTATGGGCCTCCTTTGCAGCATCGACACAGGCAGCTTTCAGATCGTCCAGCGTCTGATAGACCACACTATCGGCACCGATGTGCTTGGCGATGGCCTCGGGCCCATTGTACTTGTGTGCAACCAGCTCCATAGGCGATGCCAAATCAATTCCGTAGATATGAGGATAGGCGATTGGAGGAGCGCAGCTGGCAAAGTGCACCTTTTTGGCGCCAGCTTCTCGGGCCATGGTCACGATCTCACGGCTCGTGGTACCTCGCACAATGCTGTCATCCACCAACAGAACGTTTCGACCCTTGAACTCCATGGCCATTGCGTTCAACTTCCGCCTAACACCCCTCTGTCGGGCCTTCTGCTCAGGCATAATAAAAGTTCGGAAAACATATCGATTCTTGACAAATCCTTGACAGTACTCTTTGTCCAGTGCCTTGGCCACGACCGACGCTGATGTGACCGAGGTTTCTGGAATTGGAATAACCACGTCAATATCCCTGAGATCCTCGGGACTAAGCTCTCGTTTGACCTGGGCAGCGAGCCGGGCACCCATGTGTTGACGGCTGCGGTGCACACTGATCCCGTCCATGACTGAATCGGGTCGAGCAAAATACACATACTCGAAAATGTCCGGAGCATATGCTTTCCGCTCCTGAACCTGCCGGAAATGCGGTTCGTGGCCCTTCTGGATGATGACAGCCTCGCCTGGAAGCACGTCACGGATGACATCGAATCCTAGCTGTGCGAGAGCTACAGACTCAGACGCCATCATGTAGTCCTTGCCCGGGCCATCGACAGAGTCACGAGAGCCCAAGATCAATGGACGAATACCAAATGAATCACGGAAGCCGATGAGACCGTAGCCTGCGATCATAGCGGTACATGCCCAGCCACCCTTACATCGCTCGTACATTCTGCTCAGAGCAGCAAACACGTCGTCATCGTTCACACGAGCTTTGCCGGTCTCGTTCAACTCGTTGGCGAAAATGTTGAGCATGAGCTCACTATCGCTGTCGGTATTGATGTGCCTGTGTGCTTCCAAATCCAGGTGACGTTTCAATTCTGGTGCATTGATCAAATTGCCATTGTGTGCCAGACAGATTCCATAGGGACTGTTGACATAAAACGGCTGGGCCTCGGCATTTGCACTGCTGCCAGCCGTGGGATATCTCAGATGTCCAACGCCCATGAAGCCTGGAAGGTCAATCACTCTTGCGCCCTCGTGGAAAACTTTGGCGGCCATGCCATTTCCCTTGCATTGGTATATCCGTCCTCCTGTTGCGCATGTCGCGATCCCGCATGCATCCTGCCCACGATGTTGGAGGAGATACAGAGCTTCATGGAGGTCGACCGCAGCATTGGTGGCCGAGGTGTTGGCGAGTATCAGAGCGAGAATGCCACACATCTTGGTGAGTCTCTTAGGAACCTATGGAACTGTCAGCCAACCCCGCTTCTTCGTTTCTCTTGAGAGTACGGCTGCGTTGATGTGTCGCTCGATCAGAATCGTAAAATTTCAGCAACAAAATTATGAAGTCTAACATCTAAAAAAAAAAATACGGATTCATCCTGCAGCAAAAGAGGAGGCGAGCAGTGCGCAACTCACCTAAAATGTTCCAAAACAAAAACGCGATACCGTACAGAGAGGTGTCACTGGCACAGAGCACGCGAGTTCGGCACCCAAGACTGGAGGGGTTCGAGGACGACTTTTTTTCGGACCGCGGTTCAGCGAATATGGCACCAACAGGAAAGGTCTAGAGGACCAGAGGCCGACGTGCTACTGCACACAAGGGGCTGTGACAACAGAGACAGCCGAGTAGACGACATGGTGTTAAATTTTAAGGAAGCAGAAAGCACTTCCGACAGCGATCCAGTATTTCTAGGGACCGTGACTCGGAGGGCGGCGACAAGAATAGCGGAACGCATTGGCATGGTCGCAAAAGTCTGGAGGGTCTCGAGTTGTTGCCCGCATTTTTCTTGTCCGTGGTTGGTGGATGTTGCACCGTAGTTCGGAATCGCAGGCACAGACTGCACTTCGGCTTGCGGAAAATCTCTCTTAGCAGGCCCACAGTTTAGACGGGCTAGTGTGTGATTGTTGGGAAGGTTGAGCGATCCGGTTGCGGGCGGATCATGGTTTCTCCGCACAGAATGTTGGACCCCCCCTTTTCTCAGCCTTGCGTTCTAAATCCGTGGCATTGGTGAACTGGAAGACCACAGCCCACGCTGGCTGTGCGAATGTTGGTCGATATGTCCCAGACTATACAATGGACGGTGGTAGGTGTTATGATCAGCAAACAATAAGCAGGTTATGAGGGTTCAGAAGTGGAACATGGCTTTCTCCAGGTTGGTTAATGGAAAAGATGTTGAGCTGAACCCTTTGAAGGTACTATATCTGGACCTGTGTCAACCATCTAACATGTGCACTGGGCAACAGCCTTCCTTGATTTTTGTTCATTCCTTCTTCAGGAGTCTTGGACAACGTCTCTCAAAAGCTTCTTAAAGCCGTGAACTCAGTCGTTGCTTGATGCTCTCGCTGAGTGAAGGACCAGAGACAATGGACCACATGTGGTATTTCATACTACTGCCTACTCACGCTTCAAGCCCTCCACCCAGCAGTACAACTACCTCAGACTCCCGTGCGCTTTGGTTCTCCTTGTTCATCACGTTGTTTGTTACCAGTCTACTCTGCCCTAACTATTTCAACGTTGGTTCTGAGAACGTTCCTTTCCATCCTACTCCTTTTGGACTTCCAAGTCCCTCTGTCTCTCTCTACCTTCGGACTACCTTCGGATCATCCCTGCTAAGCCCCCTGACTTCCCTTCTGTTCCTGGAGATTGTCAGTATTCACTTGAGGGCACAGGTCTCTTCTCCTTTCAGCTTATCTCTCCTCTCTGCTTTATTCCCTTCCAAGTTTGTCTCGAACTTCTGTATGACAGGCTCAAACTGGTTCTTCGATCGATCCTCACACACAGGGCAGTTGGCAAGGGCATTCAATTCCGTCTGAGATTGTGGTGAAAAGAAAGTGATTCCAGTTACGAGAATGAAAGACACACGTTCTACAACCAAGTCGGCCTCGACAATGTCTGGCGGCAAGCGTCAATCAAGACTGAGCACAAATCACTTCTCAGTTGTTCGATCTTACCATGTGGAGATTCAAGATGACGACGAAGACATTGTGATGCAAGACGGCGGCGATGTGGAAATCACACGAGTCCAGCGAATCGCAAGGATACAAAAGACAGCGTTTCGCTCAACGGCCAGACCACCTGGAGTCCCCGCACCTATCAGGCAAAGACAAGCTTCAGCTGCTTCACGACAACCACCACCCTGCCAACTAGACCTGAGCCCAGGTAGTGACGTTGAACTTGAAGACGGAAGTTTCCTACGCATTGAAAGCACCGGGACGGATTTCTTCGACGAGCCCTATATCCAAGGAAAACGACTGTTTCCCCATACCGCCAGCGAACTCTTGATGCCCGAACTAGGCAACGAATTAACTTGGATAATGCGCTTCGAGAACAACTTGAATACTGAAGAGTATCAAAAACGAGTCGGGTTCAGTCCATCTAAAGCGGTGAGAAACTGCAAGATTCTCTTTACAAACCAGCGATATCAAGATATTAATGCTAGCCATGGTCTCCAGGGCGGACAATTCGGAGATCTTCCTGTCTACTTCTGCCGCTGGAAATGTACCTTGCCACCCGAAGATCTCAGGCGCAGGCCGAATGAAGGATTTCGCCATAAAATGGGGAAAATTGAACACCTACGATCCAAAGAGGCAGACAGTCTGACCGTCATTTCCCGAGAGCTGAGAAGGCAAGTTCGATTGCGCATTCCAGATCTTGAAGTGCGGAAGAGATGGCGAGGCGCCGAATTTGCCCAGGAATGGTTGGGCAGCCACAAAATCTACGGCGTCAATGAGGAAACGGGTGCTCTCGAAGTCGTACTTCGGCAATATACCTTTGGAGACTCCTTCTGCGGCGCCGGCGGCACGTCCTGTGGTGCACTACAGGCCGGACTGAGATTGAAATGGGGCTTCGACCAAGATGAAATCGCCATCAGGACTTACAAGTTTAATTTCGCTGACAAGACTGGCGTGGATGCACGCAGAGAACATGTCTCTGACTTCCTTGCGGCTGCGGCCGAGGCCCGGATTAAGAAAAACTTGAAGTTTTTCGTTGATATTATACACCTCAGCCCACCGTGCCAGCCTTTTTCGCCTGCCAACACGACGCCCAACGAAGACTTGAACGAGAAGAACCGCGCTGCGTTGACGAGCATCGACGATATTTTGAGGTTCTGTAAGCCGCGAATTGCTACGCTTGAGGAAGCTGCTGGGATGGAGCACCCGAAACATCAGGGGTGGTTGCGCAAACTGGTTACGATGTTTGTCGACCATGGCTACAGCGTTCGGTGGAAAGTTGTCACGTTGAAGACTTTTGGGGTCCCACAGACGAGAGACCGGTTGATTGTGATTGCTTCAGGGTTAGTACACAGAATATCAAGGCAGTCTTTGGAGGAGAGGCGTGTTTTGTTTGCTGACAACTTATTTCTAGACCCGGAGAGAAATTGCCCCCCTTTCTGGCACCCACCCATGGAACCGAGCCAGGTCTCCAGCCACTACCGTCCATCGCAGCCGCCATTTTTGGTCTCGACCGGCGTGCTGCCGACCATGAGCTGCCTCGTTTTTTCGATCACCCCAGGCCTGCCATCGATGCGAACGGCTTAGCTGGCACCATCACGACCGGCGGTGGTGGTGACAATGTGTATCATCCAAGTGGACTGAGGACTTACACTGTTCGTGAACATGCCTGTCTACAGACTTTCCCACATGACTTTCTTTTCGATGGAAACCCCACACAGCAACGACGGCAGATTGGAAATGCTGTGCCTCCGCTGTTTGCGGCGGCGCTGTTTGGCCAATTGCGCAGTTGGTTGGAGAATGCCGATTTGGATGAGATGCGTAGAGCTGGGTTGAGACCTTGAGAATGCGAGAAGACTGAAGTCGATTACTGACTGACAAGTGTTACTTCTGGCTGAAGCATTCAATGAGGAGAAAAGGAGATTGTGCAGGGTTCATGCAGTTGCAGTTCAATCAGAGTTGGCATTGAATCCAGGCAGGCACGTTGACGAATTCGAAAACTTGGTGAAAAGTCTTTCTGGTCGATAGGGTCTATCGGAGTTGGCGCACCTGCATTGATTTAGAGTTGAACAGCATTGGATGGTACCTACGAAAGGAGATGATTCTTTCACAGGCGTGAGCAGCCGAAGGGTATCATTGGTCTGAGAACTAGACTAGCTAAAGGTGACATCCACGCTGCTCACAGTTTCAAACAAGGCCTCATGTGAGGATTCTATGCCACGAACTGGCTGAGATCCTGGTTTTTTCCATCGCACAACTCAATTGATTGTCCATTCCATCACTCAAAACTCTTATGCACATTTCGTAGCCGTCCATACTAGTCCGTAACACAGAAGCGGTGCTGTGCCGATGATTGATTGATTTGATTGTTGACTGAATTTTGAACCGCACAAATAGTGTTAGGGGTAATGCTGAACCGGAATGAAAGTTGACTGGAGAGAGAGACCTGGTCCTTGTTCAGACAGGAGAGGTGGGGGTGTGTCTTCCCTCACTGGGTGCGGTGCGGCGCTTGATGATCCATTCGAGGATCACAAAGCCAGCAATGACGGAAACAATGGCGCCGAGGATCACCATGGTGAAGACATAGGGCGCGGAGGGTTCCATTTTGGCAACGACAGGATGCAACAAACGAGAGATCGTCAAGAGAGAGCTGGGTTTGGTTGATGAAGTGAGTGGTTGTGAGTGAAGAAATGTGATAGACGCGAGTTGATGTTAGAGTGAAAGTGAAGGTTGATGGATGGGCTGTAGAGAGTCCGCGAAGTAAAGTACCAAAGACGGTTTCCGAATCAGGACAGGAAAACAGTCCTTGGCGAATCGTTGTTGATGACGTGCAGGTCCAGTTAACGAGAAGAGGTCTATTGTGATGACCATGGGGAGGGCACCGGAAGATTGTGGTGTGGTATCATTATCATGTATTTTTACATTTTGTACAGCAGGAGGCCGCCCAATACAATGCCAAATATTGCCAACACTACCTACCTAGTAAGCGGGCTCTCCTGGAACATCTTGTCATGCTGCAGACGGTCCAGCGTCTTCATGTTGTGAAAGTTGGTGAGGAAGTTCTGGGCAAAGTAGATGACTGAGAAATCATCCCCGTATTGTCCGATCACCTGAATACCGACCGCTCGTTCGGCTTTCCATGGATAGTCAGGATGGCGTGGTCCCGGCACCGAAATTGCTGGAAGCCCCGCCAAACTGGCAGGCACGGTGAAAACGTCATTCATGTACGACTCGACAGGGCTTGCGTCCTTCAAGAATCGAACATGGGGGGGAGGAGTGGGAGCTGTAGGAACAACAATCATGTCCACGCCGTGCTTGTTAAAGGGTGCATCATCCTGGAAGGGATGTGGCATCCTGAAAACGGCGTCGAAGTCCTTTTGTACCATGCGCCGGATCTTCTGGGCCTGGATGAAATAGTTGTCCATCGCACCGGCGCTCAGACTGTACGTTCCTAGCAGAATTCTCCTCTTAACTTCAGGACCCAGGTTGTCGCCACGATACCCGGAATAAAGGGCACCAGCATCATCATCGGAAGGACGTGTTCGCTCTGCACCATACCGCACACCATCATATTTGGCTAGGTTGGACGAAGCTTCGGCAGGGGCAAGCACGTAGTAAGACGAAAGCGCATGCTTGGTGGATGGCAGAGAAATCGGTACAATCTCGAACCCGTACATCTGCAGGTGACTTAATGTGGCAGTCCAGGCCCAGCGGACAAGCGGATGCATCTCGGCGATGTTGTATTCTATGGGAACGCCAATTCGTCGCGCAAAGCTTCGTTGGAAATCAAAGTGGCTTCGTGCCCAAGCCCGCTGCTTCGGAGGAGCTATTCCGTCTCGGGGACTGAAGGCAGGCGTGACGTTGATGTTGGACTCTAGGACAGACGCCCTGCGACGATTTTTAGTGATTTGTATTCGCTTTCGGGATTCAGCAGTCAGACAGGTAGGGTCACTCGCGTCCGGTCTGCGGAGGATATCTGGACTGGTAAGCTTCTGAGCCGAGTCTCAAGCAGGCCATACTAACCGAAAGTGAGCCGAATGTCTGCTGCGGACTTTGCGATGATGCCCACGGTGTCTAGTGAGTTCGCGTAAGGGACAACGCCAAAGCGTGATATCATCCCGTAGGATGGCTTGAAGCCAATCAGACTCATGTAGGCCGCCGGCAATCGAATCGAACCTCCTGTATCGGTGCCGATTGCAATGTGGGCGAGATCTTGAGCAACAGCAAGCGCGCTCCCACCAGAACTTCCACCGACTGATAAAGCGCCTGGTCGTCGAGGGTCACCATTGGATGAAGCTCCGAACGCAGAGTTGATGGTGTGTGAGCCCATGCCAAATTCGTCCATATTCGTCTTTCCCAGGACGATCATGCCTGCGCTTTCCAACAACTTTGTAAGAGTGGCATTTTGCGGTAGACAGAATCCTCGGAGCGCCCTCGATGCGCATGTTGTGGGTAATTGTTTCGTCAGGATATTGTCCTTGATCGCGGCAGTATAGCCTTCGTTTGCCGATTTGAGGGCATCTGTCCGTCGAAGGTCAGTGAAGCCGTAGAAAGGTCTGTTGCAGTGGTGGCTCACTGTAGTTGTTCCAGTTTACCGTGCTTCTGTGAAGACGTTCGGCATGCTTCAGCCGACCCAAGAGATATTCCGGCCGCAATAGGCTCTTGTCGACCGAGATGTACGGATTTCCATAATGGGGAGAGTACTGCGAGCGGCGTAATATAGCCTTCGCAGCTTTTTTCAGGTATATATCCCGCCAGTCACGGTGGCTCCGGTCTAAGCGCATCAGCCCCTTCAGCAGTACACACGGCCACGTTCGTGTGTATTGTACTAGCAACCGAGCTGGCTCTATGCTGCGGTGCGCGCAATGTACAACGATGTATACCAGGTCACGGTCAGTGGATGGACGTAGTTCTCAGGCTCGGCATTGACTCGGATCATTACACACTTGGCACGGCAGCCGGGAATACTGTTTCTCCGTTGAACCTATCCTGCCGGTCTTGCTTTGGCACACCTGATTGAAGAACATCCACCACTGCATCCTGCTTGTCAAGTAGCATACTGGAGAGTATAGGCTTCTCTGGCCCATAAACATATCACTACGGCTGTTCCTTGGAAGTAATTCCCCAACAAATGGAGGTTGTGGATAATAGAAGCACAAGGTAAATCCGAAGTAAATACGAGCACTGACACTATCTCCTCTCGAGGCCAATTCCGTTGGGGGCGCGTACAGTGTGAGTCCAGGGCTACAGGTTCAAGTCTTGTTTTACCGGCCACTAGCTACAGTGTCTTCTACAACGACGAGCGGACACCTGAAACCGAGCTCAGTTGCAGGCCCTCAACGTCCGCACTTGGCTTCTTTCCAAGCAGCATCTCGCTCATGACGAGTCCTGTTCCTAGAGACAAAGTGATGCCCCAGGGTCCGTGGCCGCACGCAATCCAGATACCTCCTTGTTCACAGCGAACACCACCTAGGTATTTCTCCGGCACTTTTCCAATAAAAGGCTTCCCAGTTGGAGTCACGGGCCGCAGGCAAAGCGCCTCTCTTATTGTTTCCAGGTCGTCCTGATTCAGATCGTCGCCTTCCTTTGTCAATCCAGACACCTGTACCGTCGCTTTACGAAGATCCTTGATGCATTCTGGGTCAAGCATCTTCTTCACGTCCACGGCCAGTTCCGGCACAGGAAAATTGCTGTGGTTCAAGCCGCCTAGCCAAAGCTCCGTCTCACCATTGCGAGCCAATCGGGCATATGCCTCCATAGCATATGACCAGTGCGGTCCGGGAGGACAGTAAATGGAATAGCATAACCAGTTGTCTTTGCCGCCAATCCGTCGGTTGGAAGGGTCGATAAAAGGTGTTTTATATCTCGGGGACCGTACCGTGATGCTGTGGCCTGCCAGAGCCTCAATGGGAAGTCGTACTTTGCTCTGAGGGAACAAGGCCTCGAACACTCTTGGAGTCCAGACACCAGCTGCGAGCACGACATCTTTGCACCGTATATGTATCTCTATTGGGCGGTTCTTGTCGGTCGACTGCAACTTCAACCCCTGAAAAACACCATTGCCATCGGTCAGAATGCCAGTTGCCTTAGTGGATAGGTGCACCTCAACACCCATCTTCTTGCACTCGTCCAGCAAGAATTCGCAGAACTCTCTCGGCTCGATCTGGGCGCACTCTTCGGGTCCAGCAATAGTCTCATAGGTTCCTTCGCGTTGCGGCGTGAAGACGGCTGGCGTGCCATCTGGATTGACCGTGTCGCCATGCGCGACATGACGGCCTTTCTCAGCCTCCGAGTTTGCTTTAACCGCGTTCGCCCGGCTTGTCCCTGCCAGCAGCCAGTCCTCGCCTCTGGCTTTCCGCCCGGTGCCACTGTCAGGGACATTCAAGCTGTACACATGGCTTCCGCCGTAGCCCCATCTTCTGGGACCGTTATGCTTCTCTGCAAGTTCTCGGTGCAAGCGATAAGAAAGCGCACCGAGATCGCTTACCTCCGGGACGAACCAGTCCAAGGCGAGAAAGCCACCAGCATACCCGCTAGCTGACTCGAAGAAAACTGGCGACGACTCGATGATATGGATCGAATCGGCTGATCCAGCAGCTTTCTTCTGCTGCGCGAGGTAATACGCTGTTGACAGGCCGATGATGCCTCCCCCGAGAATCACGGTGGACATTCTGACGGATTTGTTCCCAATGAGATGTCTGTAGGGAACTCGTAGTTGATGCTGGCGTGCACGGTTATGGAGGTTGTGAGGATAGAATCCCTACGTTCGACTGTACGGCAGCCCAGCTCGGTCACAAGGATGTCTTGGAGGTGTCGCAAAGCACAAAAACGCTGTTCGAGTATACGAATAGTATATATATCTGATATAACCTTGATGTGGAGCGGAGACTCTTGCCACAAACCGGGGGCGGACATGCAACGCCCTGTGATGATCTGATCATCGCCATTCTCCGCGACTTCGTCGGGCCGATCCACTGCACTTGACATCGTTCTCTTGTCCTTCCTCCCTTTCACGTCTTGCCCTCGAATTAAGCAGCGAGATGATTCCTGGAGTCACAGAGCGGAGGCCATCAGCAAGAAATATAGGATAACATAACATATGCTGCCCACAGCAACTCTGCCGCATCAAAGCAGGTGTCTCTCGCGAGTCCCTCATGATGGGGTCCGGCAGATACACATTGACCGCTTCCATTTTCGGATGCCAAGCCTTCTTGACCGTTTCGCGATACTGCCTGGCAGAAAACATATCAAATTGATAGAATGGCCCGCATGCAATCCATGAACGTCTCTGCCAGAGCCTATCGCGGATTGATTGAACACTCCAACATATATCCGCGAACAATCACAGATCCACCAGCATGCCTTGATTGAGCACAGCCAGGACACATCTGCCATACCAGGAATGCCCTCAACAACATCCCTTCTTTCACCCGCGCCCGCGCCCTCGGTGCCCGCATCCGCGATGCCTCTAATTTCTCCCAATGCGCTTCTCTACGCCCACCTGAAGCAGACCCCGCCTCGACGACCATCCAATCGAGCCCCTTCCGAACCACGACCCATCCAACTCAACGTCGGGTCCTTGACGCACTGCAATGGGTCATCACTAGTCAAAATCGGCTCGACCACAATCGTTTGCGGCGTGCGCGCAGAGATCCTCCCAGTCACCGAAATCCCCAGCTTTAGAGTCACAAAATCCGGCTCTGGCTCCTCGTCATACACACCTACCGCCCCAGTTGTGCGGGACACACGGAACAAAAACGACGACAATGACAGCGAAGGAGAATACTCGCCCATCTCGCTATACAATTTGGTCGTTCCCAACATCGAGCTAGGCACAGGTTGTTCACCGAGACATCCGGCCAACGCGGCCCCGTCGACGGAAGCACAGTCGATATCTCAGCGGTTGCTGTCACTACTGCACACGTCGCAGCTCGTTAGGTCTTCTGACCTGGAAATCATCTATACTCCACCATCGAATCCTGAAAATCTAGAGCTCGGCATCGACACCGACCCCCAGCTGAAAGCCTATTGGACTCTATACATTGACATGATGTGCATTAGCCATGGAGGATCTCTGTTCGACGCGGCGTGGCTGGCGCTCTATGCGGCGTTGAAAGATACCCTGATCCCCAAGGCGTGGTGGGACCCTGATCTGGAACAGGTGCTCTGTTCCGCGGAGGTGAGCGATGCCCGCAGACTTTCGTTGCGAGGGATGCCTGTACCGAGCAGTTTTGGCGTTTTCGTGCCTGAAAAGAGAGTGTTGGGAACTCAAGTGGTTGGCAAGCACACAGAAAACTATTGGGTGCTTATGGACACGGATGGGTTCGAAGAGGAGGCCTGTGCCGAGGTCGGGTGTATCACTGTCGACATCAGGGACTCGAAAACCAACACACCGTCAATACTGCGGATCGAAAAGAACGGCGGGTTCAATGTCGACGTGGAACAAGTGCTGGAAATTGTTGGACTGGCGGAGCGGAGGTGGCACCAGTGGAAAACCACACTGGACTCTGCCCTGACGAGCTCTTAAAGTTGCGATGGCAGTTAAGGGACTGTAGAACATGGAACTTTGATACCCTGTTTCATGCGAATAAACATAAATTTGAATCAGTTTCAGAGCCAAAAAAAAATGGCGAAGAGAACTTCGCATATGAAACGCCCCCATACTCCCTTGCGCCACTAAAGACTCAGCCATTGTCCGAATAGAACTGCTCTTCGTGTAGAAACCCGCAGCTTGCGTTAAACCATGGAAATCCAAGCATGGGAATCAATTCCGCAGAGCCCTCAACCTATCACCCAGCCCCTCCTCGAGTTTGGCCCTCTCCGCCGACTCCCCAGAAGCCAGCTCATGCTCCGGCACATTCTGCTGCATCTCCTGGGACAATTCGACGCCCGCCTCATCGGCAACTCTGCTCATCAAAGCCTCGACCTCGCCTTGGCCTTCCGCGCCGACCTGTTGGCTCTCCACGCCGCCCGCCACACCTTCATAATAGCTCGAGACGACATCAAGGTCTTCAAACTGCGCCTCGAATTTCTCCATGACGGCACCGATCTTTTCCAGATCCATGCTCTTCAACGCCGCGTCCATTCCCTTGACCGTCTGTGCCATCGACCCGGTCACCGTCCGCATGGTGATGGCGGTTTGGACGCGCGCAGCAACTGCGTCTATTCGAGCCGCTAGTGTAAGCAGTTGGATTCTTTGCTGCGAGTTGCGCACCGAGTTCATGGCGTACAGTCGGGCGATCTGTGGTTGCGGAGGAGTCTGGGTGAGGGCCTTTTTGAGCTTCGCTTGCTCGGCGCGCGCATCGCGGTCGGCTTTGGCGGCTTGCCGGTTGAGCTGTTTGGATGTAAACTGTGCAAGAAATTGTTAATATCTGTTGCTAATGCATACGATGACAGACATGGTCAAGTCAGGCAGCAGCCGGATTGTGGTCTTTGAGTGTCCAGGCTGATGCGGGCTCGCAGTTGGTGTGTCCAAGGAGGGTTCGAAATACCTTGAGGTTAAAGAGTGCCTTTTCAAGGCCAGACATGTTGTCGTAGTTATATGGTGTTGTAGAGTGCAGTAGCTATGTCGCGGAGATGGACGTGGGTTCTCTACCCGTCTCTGTCTGTAGCGACGGAGGATGGTGTTTCAGGCGTCAGGTCTCGATGGAAGGCTTGGTTGTGGTATGTGTACTGCCGTGATGGTACAGTAGCCACTCGGTAGCCTTATAGAGTGATTCGCTTGTCGGATGTTGTGTACTGGTAGTACTGGAATGAACTTCGAGAGTATTCGATATCGTCTGCGTCTTGCAGTGAGGTCTGAGTCGAGCCTCCCAACTCGGTGTCGGCGATGACGATGGCGGAACATGCAACAGTGCCAAGTATGGCCGGGCCGACATTTATCCGCTTTCTCACAGCCTTGCGGCCCGTGTCAACATGAACATCAAAACGAATATCTCCCTAGCTATCCTCTATGTCGATAGACTCTTTCTCTCTGTTTGTCGCTATGACCACGCGTGCAGCGTGATCTGTCCTACAACTGTCGCAGATACCTACGGCCCAAAATCAGTCGGCTTCACCAGAGATGACCAAGGAGTTCTACATAGTAAAGCCTGTGCTGATTCAGTTAGGCTTCCAATTCCCTCACCTCTTGAAGAACCTGTCCACAGCAGGCAGAAGTATCGGCGGTCTGGCTGCGACGCTAATCATGTTTTCCACTTGGAACGCGACTGAGGCTTACGGCTGCGATGCACTACAGGCTTTGCCGCGAAACGTAGTTTGTCCACGGTAGGCGCGCTAGGTCGGCCCCCTGAGCATCCAAAACGCCTTGAGGATTGGAAGTCTTCCCATCAGCCGTGTCAATCATCTCTTCTGAGCGACCGTTGAAGAAATACGTCCCCACACTGTATTTAGGGCGCTTTACACTCGGTTGACTCATTGCTTCCAGTTCCGCCAATACTGACCCAAAGGAACAGAGACAGGTCAAGTTACATTGCAAGATTCGGCATCAAGACTCTGATCCATTGTATGCAGGATACAGTGTACGACTCGTCAGCAGTTGCGAGGCTTGTCCAAGTCGTTTCAGCAGGCCAATGAGCTTATGGGGAGATTGCCATTTAGGCACCAGCTCTATCAGTAGCACTATCTGACTGTAGTCAGAGGTTTCCCGCTTCGGCGAAACAGTCCATCTACAGGCATCTAAAGGAGCGCTGTGAAGAATCCCTCCTCAGCTTCTGATGATGTCTTCATTCGTACTGCCCTTGAGTCTATGCAAGATGTGGTGGGGCTCTTTGCGGAGGTGGAGCACAGCCGGCCACCATCCTCGGCCGGAGGTCCAGCCAGTCGCATTACACTACGTTGAGTCTACGAGCTGCCGTCTACGGTTACTGGATGTGGACCACTGTCTGTCTACGGCATGTTGGAGATGGTTAGCAGGCAACAATGGGTGACATGACTCAAATACACCGCGCGTCCTTGCCTTCCGGGGTCGGCTTATCAAAGACCTGTCACTCTTCATTCATGCTCCTCGCCCATGATTTCGAGTCAAAGTCAAAATGGGCGACGCCACAAGTGACAAAAAGGTGATTGGGAACATATTGGAACGTCTCCCTGGAAAGTTCCCGCGCGCAACCATTCCCGATGGTGTTGATCCAACCACAGTTGCGTTATCCGTCATTCAGGCCTTCCCAGATTTGCGGGATGGCGACTTCACAGACGATGCGATATGGCGAGACATCTATGCACTCACAGGTACGATGAGGACTTTTTACTCGGGCACCACCGTATCCAGCGTATGGACACAACTAGCCAAGAAGCATAATGTTTCTTCAGCAAAGGTTGTTCCAGGGTCACCCCGTGTGGTTCGTCATGACGACCAGCAATCAGCTTGGGTAGAATGCAGGTTCGTGTTCACCACCTCGAAACCAGCAACTGAGTGCTCGGGTTTTCTCTCCCTGGTGCCGCATGCCGATGGACAATGGAAGATCTGGATTCTAAGGACAATTCTTGAGCAACTCTCAGGGCAGCCGAACGTCGACACACTTGAGGAATGTCAATACTTGGAGTTTGAAGCAGCCAACAGAGCCAATCCAGAAGACGATGTCTTTCAGGGAATAGTTGTCAATGGAACCAACGGTCATAAGGAGAACTTCCATTTTCAAGCCGTCATTATCGGTGGTGGACAGGCGGGGTTAAGCACTGCTGGACGCTTACAGGCTTTGGGCGTCTCTTACGTTGTCCTTGAGAAGAACAAACAAGTCGGCGATGCCTGGCGCTTAAGATATGATTCTGCGAAGCTTCATACAATTCGCGAGTATGCGCATCTGCCGTTTGGTCGTACCTTTGGTCCCGAGTACGACGAGTATCTCACGAAAGACGATCTAGCTGACGGACACCGAAAATGGGCGGAGAAATATTGTATTAATGTCTGGTTGGCAACAACAGTAATGTCCGCACGCTGGGATGAGCTAAGTGGACTTTATTCGCTACGCGTCCGGCGGAACGACGACGTGCTGGAGATATCGGCGAAGCATGTCATCTTCGCGACAGGAGCCGGGTCTCAGACTCCTTCAATGCCTCAACTTCCGGGGCGGGATAATTACCAAGGCATTGTCATGCATTCAGCTGATTATAGATCGGCGGACAAATGGAAAGGTAAGTCTGGAGTGGTCGTTGGCACAGCAAATACAGGTCATGATGTCGCCGATGATATGGTCGAAGCCGGCATGAGAGTGACAATGGTCCAAAGAGGTCGCACATACGTGCTTCCGGTCGAATACATCGAGGGAGGCTATAAAGCGGTATACAATGACAAGATGCCGACTGAGGTGAGCGATCGAGTCATGCTCACGAATCCTGTCTCTATCAGCCGCATTGTCTCATCGAAAGCGTTTCACGCTATGGCACGAGCACAACCGGGAAGATGGGCTGCTCTTGAAAAAGCCGGGTTCAAAGTTGACCCTTATGGCGATATTCAGCATGCCATAAATGTCCGTCTGGGTGGTCATTACATCGACATTGGCACTTCGGCGAAGATTGCCAAAGGTTTGGTAAGAAATGCACTCCCTTAATCTCGTTGCGCCATCCGGACCGGACCGGACTGCGTTTGTACAGTTCCATGCTAATCTGCGGCTGCTCTTGCTTCAGATCAAGATAAAATCCGACGCCCTCCTAACAGGATACACAGCAAATGGGCTGGTGTTCTCCGATGGATCCGAAGTCAAGGCCGACGTGATCGTATTTGCAACAGGATTTGTCGGAAATCTACGCCAGCACGTGGAAGAAATCTTTGGAAAGGAGATCGCTGACCGCGCTGGAGACTGTTTTGGCCTGAACGAAGAAGGAGAGATTTTAGGAGCGTTCAAACCTTTGAAGCGTAAGTACATCACGCCGGTCTGATGGCCGGTAATCTCACAGCTGACCTTGGAATTTTTGCATTCTACAGAACCCGGACTATGGTATATCGGTGGAACACTGGGACATGCGAGATTCTATTCCCGATTTGTCGCTCTCTCCATCATGGCGGAAGTTATCGGTACTCCTTTGCCAGTATACACAGACTGCCAGTACAAGTTGCACTGATAGTGATAGGGAAGTTCCTTGGTTGACGGCGTATTATCCACGCCGGCGAACTTTTGTGGCAATGATGCTATGATCGGCTTCTTACGACAGTGATGTTACAAGGGAAAAGGCTTTGAGGGTTGTTTCAATACCTCTCCTAAGATCACGGCCTTGAGGGTGAACATTGGTTGCACTTCATGACTAAGCAAGGCTGAGTCTGTACGGAGTCAGGCTTTGCAAATTGCTTATCTCGACGCGCAGCACTCGGCCGATCTTGTTGTCTTATTCCAGTCCACCCGGTCCGTGTCAAGCTACATTCTGACTGAACGGCTCTGGGTCTGCGGATAACGCAGACTGGCCTTTCGCTCCTGGTCATTAGGATTGTCTCCTGCTACCCGGTCCTTTCGTGGCAGGGCGAGGACCGTAATACCTGAACTGCAACTCCCTGGTAGAGCAGAAAATTATCACACAGAGCCCGCTACTCTATCATCTGCTGAGTGCCCTTCCTGCTGAAGAAAGCAGACCGGCTTTCCTGTTACCGCCCGATACTCGACCCTCGTCAAGTTCATTTACCCCGCATGGTGGTGGTCATCCCTGCAAGGTGACATTCTGCAAGCATCCAGCGCATCGTGTCTGGCGGTGCTTCAATTGGTCCTTCACCTGTGGAATGCGGCATACATACATGCCATCTTATCATGGCCTACCAGCAATCATCGCCGCAAGCGTCTCATCCCTGTAATGAGCAAACCGCTAAGCTCGCGAAGCTCAGCTCTCCTCAGCCAACATGTTTAGTGGTCAGGCACAACAGCTGCAGATTGTGCCCCGTGCCTAACGATGATAGATTCCTCGGAAAGCTTTGTTCGGAACCTGAGGTGCGGCCCAGCATACCCACGACACACAAGCCAGCGACTCTGGTCTCCTGTCGATGCGCAGTGGCCAGCTTATCTCATTTCCAGATTCTGCAATCTCGACAATGGCCTTGGATCCAGGAGGGACGCTCAACACTGCTCTACCACATCTGAATTTCAACCGCCTCACCAAATGTCACCGTCAAGATTCGGTGGATTGCCCGTCTCCAGCCTCCATGAGACCGTGCCTCATGTGTAACCCTCGCCTGTCAGGAAGGATGTCATTGTGCAGGTCGCTCAGCTACGCCTTTGTTCAGCCGCATTCCCTGGCTGGCGTGGCATATTAACTGTCGTAGCTGCACGTTTGTCTTGACTTTGGCTTCCTTTCCTCCCAGAGCTGTCGCCGACAAGTTCAAAATGAAGCTCAACATCTCGAACAAAGTCCTGCTTATCAGCAGTCTCCTGTTAGGTATAACATCCGCTGGTTACAGCGATGTTGCTCGGAGGAGAGGGTTCACGCCTCAAGCACTTGAAGATTTACAGGCCAGGCGTCTACACGACGCTGTCAGTGCCCAGGCTGACCAAAGGCGGTACTACACCAATGACACTGCAAGTGAGTGCGAGTTTGGTTGTTGATTCGATCTTGTCCTATGATGTGGTTTCAAGAAGAAGAAAAAAACCCCTCCTGACCGCATCTTGGAGCAGAATACTTTGTCGAGTCCCTGCCGGACATACCTCAGAGCTACATGACAGAGATGTATAGCGGCATCATACCACTTAACATGTCTGACGACAGCCGCGGCTTGTTCTTCGTCTTCCAGCCGACGGTCGGAGACCCAGTAGACGAGATCACGATCTGGTTTAATGGCGGACCGGGTGAGAAAGTGTCGCTCAAAGTTCCCATAAGGATTGGCTAGCTGACCATATCGCTCAGGCTGCAGCTCCCTCGAAGGATTTCTCCAAGAGAACGGTCGGATCCAATGGGCCTGGGGCCAGTATTCTCCGCAGATCAACCCATACTCGTGGGTCAACCTGACAAACATGCTGTGGGTGGAATATCCCGTGGGGGTGGGCTTTTCTCCTGGAACGCCCACCGCCACCAACGAAGAAGACCCAGCTGCCGAATTCATTCAATTCTTCAAGAACTTCCAAGTAAGATTCTTTTCTCCTCGATCTCAACTGGTGACATGGTGCCTTAAAATTGACATTCTCATAGACCATCTTCAACATCAGCAACTACAAGATCTACGTCACCGGCGAGTCATATGCAGGACGCTACGTCCCCTACGTTGCAAATGCCATTCTTGACCAGAACGACAAGACCCACTTTAATCTTTCTGGTGCGTACATGCCATGAGCACAGTCAACACTTCCAGGCGTAGCAGTATCTGAATCACAGGCTAACTATGTACCTTGCTCTCCTCTTCTTGTACAGGTGCCCTAGTTTACGACCCCTGCATTGGATCCTTCGCAGCCGGCAACGCGATAGCAGTTTACCCGTACGTGGAGCAAAACAACAACATCCTCGGCTTCAACGAATCATTCCTCACAACCCTCGCCGACCGCGACAAGCAGTGCGGATGGGCCCAATACCGACAAGATTACATCCAATTCCCACCCAACGGCACCCAACCACCTCTGTACTTAAACAACACGGCCAACCCGGACTGCGACCTCTGGACTACTGTCTACGACAACGCCTACGGAGTCAACCCCTGTTTCAACGTATACGAGCCCAACCTGCAATGTCCATTACTGTCCGATCCGCTAGGCTATCCCAGCGACATTGTTTACTCGTACCCCGGTTTACCTCCCTACTTCAACCGCACGGACGTCAAAAAGGCCATCCATGCACCCCTTGACACAGAGTGGCAATTGTGCAAAGGTCCCGTGTTCATCGGCACAAACGGCGGTGGACCGGAAAACGAGAACGACACGAGTCCCGATCCGATTCAGCGGGTGTTGCCGAGGGTCATTGAAGCCACGAACCGAGTCTTGGTGTAAGATGGCCCTGTCCTAGTTTAAAACTGTGTGGTTAGGCTAATATACTTGTTTTTGTGCTGTCTAGGTCCAACGGCGCTCTCGATCTCGATCTGCTTACCAACGGTACAATGCTTGCTATCCAGAACATGACTTGGAATGGGCAATTGGGGTTCCAGTCAACCCCAAACACGCCTATTGTCATCAAGTTGCCGGACTTGATGTATCAGGACGTCTTTGAGGAGAATGGCTTTGGTGGATTCGATGCCTATCAGGGGATCATGGGCGTGCAGCATTTTGAGAGAGGTCTAATGTGGGCTGAGACGTATTTGAGTGGGCATATGCAGCCGCAGTTTCAGCCGAGGAGCAGTTATCGCCATTTGCAGTGGTTGTTGGGGAGGATTGATTCCTTGTGAAGATTGAGAGTGCAATGCAAATTCGCAGTGAAGGAGTAAGTGAACCATGGAAGACGGCCGTCATGTTGGGCATAATAAGTATTAAGTGTTGTGACTTTGGCTGAACAGGGTAGCGGTAGGTGGTAGGTACTGATATGGCATCGCCTTGATGGACAAGGGGTAGGACTAATACAAAAACCATTTGCGTTCCTTGACTCCTTTTTCGTTCAAGTCAGCCAGGCTGGGAATAGGAACCACAACATCCTTTCGTTTCTGAGGAAATGGACTCGAATGGACTTTTATAGCCAAGGCTATGTATGTATGGCGCAGAACGAGCCCCATGCGTGGCCGAACGCTGCGCTGCACTATGCATCCAGCTTCGATATATGTGGTGTGCTCGAGGCGAGATATGTGTGCACATCTTTCTCTGGTGGAAACGGATTGGTATCTTTCGTTGACGGTGACAAGCACGATCACAACCACGCCCTCGAACAAACAGAGAGACTGGGGACGTCACATGAACAAGACTTGGAATATGTCCCGGAGAATCCAACTCAAAACTTTAAGGCCTTTGGCAAAACCCTGTCCAAAACGACAACAAGCAGAGCATAGCATGTCACCATGACCCACGAATGCATCAGCGCCGCCTCTGCACAATGTACGCAAACCAAACCCAGCCCTCTCTCACCAACAACACATCAGCCAGCAGGACATGACATCCTTGTCTAGTAACCTTTCCTCCCTCCCCCATCTAATCCATAACCCCCAGATCCTCCGCAACAGTAAACTTCGCACTCGTCTTCTCCCTGACCTGATCAACACTAACCCCCTCCGCCGTCTCCGTCAGCAACAACCCCTTCCCACCGACCCTATCGACCTGAAAAACCGCAAGGTCCGTAATAATCGTACTAACCACCCCCTTACCCGTTAGGGGCAAATCGCACTGATCAACAATCTTGCTCCGACCATCCTTATCGGTATGGTACGTACAGACGATAATCTTCGTCTTATCCGGATTACTAACGAGGTCCATAGCACCACCCATCCCATTGAACGCTTTTCCAGGAATAATATAATTCGCCAGATCACCGGTCGCCGAAACCTGCAGAGCACCCAGGAGCGACACATCAACATGTCCGCCGCGGATCATGCCGAACGACTCGGCGCTGTCGAACGTGGACGCTCCAGGAAGTAACGTGACTGTCTCTTTGCCCGCGTTGACTGTATCTGGATCCGCGGCCTCGCGGGACTCAGGGTATGGACCCATTCCGATGATTCCGTTTTCGGACTGGAGCCAGACTTTTGTGTCGGGCGGGAGGAACGAGGTTGCCAGAGTCGGAATCCCCACGCCGAGGTTGACGTAGTATCCGTCTTTGAATTCTTTGGCTGCGCGTTTTGCGATGCGGTTGCGTTTGATGGTTTCTTGATCTTGACCTTGATTGTTACCACCATTTCCACCTCCACTGCCGCTGCTACTACCGCTTCCGGCCGCCGAAGATGATTTGTTGGACGATGGCGCCAGAACAAGTTTCTCAATATGTTTCTCCGAAGTTGCAGGACAGATACGGTCGATATATATACCAGGCAAGTCGACCTGGTCAGGATCCAAAGAGCCCACAGGGACAATGTTTTCGGCTTCGACAATGGCCAGCTTGGCCGCCTTGGGCATCAATACGCCGTATGCTTTCGTGGTGGTGCGGAAGATGCAGTTGCCGGCCTCGTCGGCCTTCCATGCTCGAACGATAGCCACATCACCTTTTAGAGCTGTTTCCATCAGATACGTGCGGCCGTCAAAGACTCTCGTCTCACGGGGCCTTCCAGGCTCGATGACTTCGTGTTTTCCAGTCTGTGGATCCTTGGGCCCTAATCGGATCGGGATCCCGCCTGTTTCAATTAAAGTGCGTGCTCCCGTGGCGGTGAAAAAGGCTGGGATCCCGGCTCCTGCTGCACGGAGGCGTTCGGCTATTGTGCCTTGTGGACATAGTTCGATTGCGACCTGGCCGTCGTGGTATTGTTTGCCGAGGGATTTGTTGTTTCCGATGAATGAGACTACCATGCGTGAAATCTGGCCGTTGGAGGTGAGTTTCGCGAGTCCGTATTCGCCGGCGCCGGCGTTGTTGGATACCACTGTTAGGTTGCGCGTTCCTTTGCGGCGGATTGCGTCGATGAGTGTTTCTAGTTGGATTTGTGTTAGTCAAGAGATATGATATTGCGCTCGTCCTTTTTCCTTTTTTTTTTCTCTTCTCTCCATGGTGGTCAAGGAAAGAATATTGAAACCAGCAACATGCATGATTTGAGGATATGTCCTCCCCCAGACACAGCAGCACCCAGAACAAGACAAGCAAGACAACTGTAGGCATTCTTGTATAAAACTCACCAGCTACTCCGCAAAGTCCAAACCCGGAGCTCAAAATGGTCGTGCCATCCTTGAGGTCTGCAATGGCGTCGTCGGCGCTCGCATAGACCTTGGACGCACTTCGATGTCTGACCTCAGACTGAGACTGTTGGAAAGGAACACGTGCTTCCTTGAGACTCGCACTGGCGCAGAACTTCCGCCTCTGCTGCTGCCAGTGAGCCGGTGTTCGTCTCGGCCGCCGACTTGAAAGTGCCGTCACCACGACCAATGTTCCTGTTGCCGACTTCAAGTTGCAGGTACTCTTGGTCGCAGATACAGACACCCTCTGCGACCACGTCTCCAGAATCAGCGACATGGCGTACGGTACGTCTACTGCTGGATCTCCCTCCTCATCCCGGGATCAAGAAAGCATTGTGATGGTCAGAGAGATCAATGATGTGTTGATATACCCGTCGGACGAACGCCGATGGCGGCCCCACGAACACCAAAGTCATTGGCGGCGTCGGTGCTTTTCCCGGCCCGGCAACTTGAACCTCGATCTCGGGACTTTATCTGGACTCCGAACAACTGAGCCTCGCCTCAATGCTAGTACTAGGGGTGAAAACTACTTCATTGAAAACAGTTGATATCCTGGGTATCATCGCATGGAATTGCTTTTCCAATAACGATTTGAAAGGCACCAGTATTGTACTTGCATTGCCAGCAGCCGAACCATCATCATCCTCCCAGTTATCATCTGTCGCTACCGACCGGCAACACGGACTGCAGCACATTATTTATATACCCAGATATCGATCAATCAGTAGTCTAGACCCAACTCCCTTTCTCTTCCTACTCTATCTCTATATCACATACACTCTCTATCAGTATTCCATTCTTACATTTCACTTCACAAAACCTCCCTAACAACCTCCGCAAAAGTAACATTCCCCAACCCCTCCACCTCCTCCTTGTTTTGTTCCAAATACGTCCCATCCCACCACATAGCACCCGCCAAATTCGGCAGATCCAACGTCTTAACATCATCCTTCAATATATCACTATAAGTCTGTGGATCGACATACCCTCTATTCTCGACACCGGTATAAAACGACCGTGACCCAATCAACAGTCTCGGATACGTGATTCCATTATCGATAGTGTTGAATTTGCCCTTTGGAACCGTACAAGTTGAACCCTCACATTTCACTTTTCGTCCATTCAACAATACCTCCGACCACTGCTTCAACGAGCTCGTGAACCCGTCGCAACTCCCCACTTGACACGCCTGCGCATTGTAGAACTGCACGTTCCAAAAGTCGATATCGTTAATAAGTTTCGACACGGGGATCTCTTGATCGGATGAGGACGACGACTCCAAGGCGCATATCGGCGCCGCGCTGACGTAGTATTGTCTTTTTGGTTTGGCCTTGTCCTTTTTCATCTTTTTGCGCAGTGAGGAGATGAGGTTGGGGAGGTATTTGGCGTTTGTGGCGTTTTCATTATCTTTGAACTTCCTGTTAGTATAGTACACTTACACCTCTCGTCGGTACAAATGAAAACAAGGGAACATATCATCATATCCAGCTTTTTTTGCGTGGTCACAGTCACTGCAATTGGCACTGAGAGGTATTGTTCACTCACCCAAATCAAACCCATCCAAAACCACATCCATCCCAAACGGCCTCAAATCCTTGGTCTTGCCATCACTCGTCCCACCCAAAAACAAATTCCACAGCATGGTCGCCAATTTCCCAGCATCCTTCTTTGACGGGATATACAGATCCCCACTGGCTGACCCGGCACTAATCAGCACTTTTTTCCCTTTTGTCTGACACGACGCAATTCGATCCGCGAACCCGGTCGAAACACAGTCAAGCAACCCCGGCTGACCGGCCTCGACCTGTGCAGAAGATGCAGTGGACGAGCATAAGTCTCCGGCAAAATCTAGAGTGATGTTGATGGATTTGTTGTTTTTGCCACCACTACCGTAAAATTGTCTGATGAATCCCAGAATAACCACGTCGACGGAGTCGTCGGCGCAGATTTGGTCGAGCGAGACGTCGGCGGTGATGTTGCTTTGGCCGTAGTAGACTATGTTGAGGTTGGTGGCGAGAGGATTGAATGTGTATGTTGACGACGTGTCTGCTTCTGTTGCTGGACTTCGACGATCGATGCCACTGCCAGCAACGACGGCGGCGCCATCACACAATGCCACCAACACCAACAATATCAAAAGAAATGGGCATAATGGCGACGACGGCCGCCGGAAAGACTCGATCATGGTGGGCTGAGCGAATAACAACAATCACATAGATAAAAGACTCGACAGGATCAGTTTGTTGTCGGCCCGGTCAGTTTAAAATCCAAGATCAAAGCGACAAGAAAACGATCAAGGACTGTATGTTTGATTCTTTCTCATGGTTTCATAACGCAGTGAGTACTGTCGGAACTTCGCCTTCTTTGTCTAGAACACCTGTGGTGGTCAAGTTGCCAACCCGTCGTCATCCTCGTCATCTTGTAACTCCATTCGGCACCTACTAGTTAAAACGATTTGATCCACAGAAATCCAATATTCACCCAGGTGTTGATGACACCAGGGTCCTGGTCTCCAACTTGAAGTGTTCGTGTTCAACGGGTGGTCAGTGCGAAGGTGACTATTGGGCCGTTGCGGTGGCGGTTGAACGGCGGTGCTAGTACTGTACAGTTGTACTGCCACCACAGCACGGACCACTGGAGACGCACAGACACAGACATAATTGCTTCGAACTGCACTGCACCAATCGACTCACTGGCATCAGGAACACGGTAACATCGCAACACTGGCAGCGTTAGTTGGTACAATGGTTGTACGCTCTTGATGTGTGGTAGAGCTCAATTCCAGCAACCCGGAAACAGACAACTGGGTGAAAATGATCAACTCGCCAGGCTGGGACTCGAGTATGATGACGCCTTTTTGTTTGGAGTCCATTCCAATATCAATGAGCACCAGAAGGAAAAATACTAGTACTGCATTTTGTCCTCGAACTCTCATTCTCACTCTGACTCCAGCAAGGGTACAATTTCCCCTTGGTTTTCGAATGTGCCGCGCTTCTCGAACATGACCTTGCGCTTGGACTCTAAAACAGATGTCCATGCCGATGTCGATGTCAATGCAAATGCTGATAGTAGTGGAGAACTTTCTAATCGCAACCGCTATGCTGTTCTGTATTGTGGTAATTGTGCTGCATCCGTATCAAGGATAAGGTACCTTAACGGACCGGCGGTCTGTGTGGTGGAGTGAAAGGTAAAACAGGACAACCGAGCCTGATCTCATGTCGGTCGATGAAGCAGGTATCAAGTCGTTTGGCAAGATCCGAATCTCAATCCTATATAGCGCAGTCGTGGATGCCCGTCGGCCCTAGTTCGTTATACTCACTCCTAGTCAAGAATCCTTTACTATTGCCTTGGTCCACAATAAACACGACTTTGGCAGCCACCTGCGCACCCAAAAACCCGGCCTCCTCCATGCCATGCACGCTGGGATCCTTCCACTCGGGAAAGTAATCTGGTGCCTTGACCAACTTGATTGTCGTCGGAGTCTGGCTGAAGCCCCGATGCGTGTGGTGTAAGCCTGGATCCGAAACAAGCCCGGACTGTGCGCCGGGTGGTTGTAGATGCTGATTTGGTTGCATCATGTTCTTCGTGGCTGCCACCAGTAGCGGATTGACCCCGTGGCCGCCTTGGTGGAGAGCAGGTTGGCCCCCTTGCCTTGGAATCGGTGTGTTCGTGCCAGGCGTGGCCACAGGAGTGGTGAAATTCGAAGGAAGCTCAGATGTGAATATGGTCGCGGTCGAAGGCGACAGCACGTATCTGGCATGGAGAACGGACAGTAATGCAGAAGTAAAGCCTGCAGGAAATATTAGTCAGGACACGCCAACAAAGAGACCCAAAGTAAAACTCACCTCTGATTCGGCTTCCATTCCCCAGAAAAATAAAGTTCTCCCACAACGTCGATCTCAGAGCCATGTCAGGCACGCTCAGCACAGTATGATGGATGGCTTCTGCAATAATATCAAGCACGCCCTCTCCAATACCAGGGGGCGGTGTCGCAGCCATGAATCGTTCCACGCCTACCTCAATCTCGCGTTTTCGTTTTCGACTTTTCTGTTCGTCCCCATCGGCCGGCGCTGACTCCGAATCCTCGATTGGAAGGAATTCGACATATGTGAACGACGCCCGCTCTCTCTCCGAGTTCCTGAGGCGGATGGTCTTGGGGCCTTCCGCTGCACCTCCTTTCTTTGCTGCAGCCTTTTCAGCCTTCTCCTTCTCACGCTTCGCAATTAATTCGGCAGCATTGTCCCGGGCAACGATGGCGGCGACATCTAGCACGCCCTCATTCTCCTCATCATTTCCGTCGGCACCCTCCTCACCGACCACCGTGCCCAGTCCCGGACCTCTAGGCGCTTGACCAGGTCGCAGCCCGTCCACATCTTTGGCATTGACGCCCGAATCCAGGGCTCCCGTAGAGGCGGCCGCAGCAGGGTTCGGAGCAGCAACTGCACCACTGGGCGCAGCTTTGGGATATCCTGCTCCAATGGGCAGGAGTTCACAGATAGGGCTTCTTTTCAACTGTTCGGCCATCTCTTCCGTAAACCCTTGACTCTCCAATACCTGGTGCAGTCTCTTGGTCATCGCTTCCCCGCCACATCCTGGAATGGCGACGCCACGACCGATATCGTTGACTTGGAAGTCGGTGACCGCCGTCACGTCGCATTTCCCGTGCCCGACATCAAGAACCAATGCGGTCGGCACACCGTAAGCGTAGCAAGCCGTCAAGGCAGCGTCCATGAGACAAAAGGCCGGAATCTTCCAGTTTTCAAACACAAATTGCGTAATCATCTCTTTGTCTCGACTTGTCCAACATGGCTGGGCGACAAATAACACCGGCATGTGGAAAGGAGGAGACATCATGTTGTAGATATGTGACAGGAGTGCGAAAAAGCAGGACCAATTTTCGATCCGGCCCTCTCGAATAGGATACACAGCACCTTCAGTGGACCAAAGGTCGTCCTCGAAGGTCTCTACCGTCTCTTCTTCTGCCTCTTGGGCACCATCTTGTTGGGGTTGTTGTTCTTGTTGTTGCGCATCACCAGAAGGTGCCGGTGCAGCTTCCGCTGTGCTCGCATCGACTGTCGGTTTTTCTTCTGCTGCGGGCGCTTCTTTCATCTCCACATCTTCAGAAGGGGCCTGCTCTGTTGGGACTGGGTCGGGCTTGGACACGTCGTCGGCCGGCTTTTGTTCATCGGCTTGCTCGACTTTGGTGGTTGTTGCATTGTTTGAAGTCGCATTGTTGGACTGTTCTGCAGGTCGTGGTATGGTTGTAGTCTTGGGTCGAATCTTGACCGGCTCCCATTCATCAGGCTTGCTCCCCGGGAACATGCGAGTAGGAAAGCGGTATCGCGGAGGAGTGAAGGACTCGGGCAACCCAAGTTGTGCCGCCGTGATTTGCGACCCGGGCGCAATGATCTAAATATTCAACTGGTTAATGCACGTCGAGCAGGTAAAACCCACGGGCACTCACGAGCACATGCTCATCCTTGAACGGCGGCATTCTAGTGTCGTTGCGCAACACTCTGCGCGATTGATCTCGGGCTTGCAGGTCGGTTTTGCGCTGCCGCTGCTTCGGCGTCGCGTTCCACGTTCGACTCGATCAGCGCGACACTGGCACAATTCTGCCAAGTGCCACGTGACTGGTCATGTGATCATGGCACCTCTATCATCCCCAGTGCTGGACAGTGCTGTACCTTGAAGCCCTGCCGGCATCGTGATGATACGAGTCCAGCTGGCCCTCAAGCTGCTTTTCTTTATACATATATCTCAGCTTCCCTCCAGGTACTTGGAGGTACTGTAGCTATCAAAGACCTACCTGATATGCCAAAAGCAAACTGGGTACTCAGGTCACATTACGGTAGCAAAGATAAAGAACAAGTCCAATAGATCGAACCCCTTTTGATTGTTCTGTTCATCTACAGTATCAAATATGGCCAATTTAGTGGACCTCCTGTGCGGCCACCCAACCATCATCTCTGGTAATCGTACATTTTGTATCCGTATTCATCCCATGTCCATGTCCTTGTCCTTGCCCTTGCCAGAGATGGGAACTCCTGGCTACAGCACCACAATCAACGCCAGCCATAACCCTGAGATCCGGAAGGCCTTCCGGTCTCGTCCAGACCTGACGACGAATCTTTCGGTGTTCTCGTTCCAACCTCAAGATAACCCACTTGATAGTCATGAGACTCGACCATGTCCATCGACGGTCAGGATCTTCAGCGAAGCCATCCTCGCTAACCACTTGCTGCAAAGCCCGGTCTGTCGCTGCCAGTAAGAGGCGCGCCATGTGTGGGCTGCATGCAAGTAGTCTGCTCAGGAGTTTCATGCGGAAGACCGCTGGCCTGGTCGGTGTCGAAGGCATCGAAATCAAAGAATGAATTAGTGGGAAGTTGGTCAGGATGCTGGAGAAATCCTGTTCCGTCGAGGTCATTGACAATCGCTGAGCCAAAATCTGGAAGAGGTTGCAGATCGGCAAGAGCGTTGTCGTTGAGAAGGTTTGAAATATCGTCAAGGTCTGGAACACTTGAAGGAGGTAGCTGAGACCAAGGTTGGCCTGCTGACTGAGGGGAGCCATCGGCAGCTTGATATCCCACGTCTCCGGCTGACACTGCAGGTCACACAATATCTCAGCAGGATATTGTGTCATACCGGAGACGGTGGGGAAGCTTTGGAAGGTTGCCATCGAGTCAGAGCCGTTGTCTGCCTCGGAGTGTTCGTTGATCAAGTTGAGCTGTGGTGCTAAGACCGGGGATTCATGTTTGACAGGGGTGATGCTGTCGGAATGAACAAGAGTGGGGTGGTTTGATTCAAGATCAGTGGTGTCGTAAGAAGATGGAGTGAATGGTGTTTGTACTGCTGATTCAACCTTGTGATCCAGAGAGGGTGAATCGGCGTCGAGGTTGATGGTGGAAGGAGGCTCGGCGGTGACGGATGGCGGGAAGTCTGCCTGCACGCCGAACCTCGACTGATATCGAGCTAGAAGGTCTCGCAGAGCGGCATTCTCCCTCTCAATCCTGACTTGTCTGGCCTCCAACTCGGCAACCGCCGCCTTCTGGCGCTGTCGGGATTTGTCTGCGGCTCTCCGGTTTCGAAGAATTCGCTCGTTCTTGCGCTGCTCCTTCTCCTCGGCCGTTTTGGCCCGTTTTCGCGGAGGCAAGATCTGTTTGATTTCTGGAACAGGCTGACCCCACGCCTTGCGCTTCTTTCTCTGCGGTTGTTCTGGTGCGGGTTGACTGGACTGACTGGATTCGTTGTCATCCGACATAGGAGGGGGAGTTGGATAGCTTTGAGGATATCCAGACATGGTCAGCGACGCAGGATCGACAACTGTGGGAGAAGAAGCCATGGTTGTGGGCCGTGACAAATCCAGGGGTGGATGTCGAGGATGTAGAATAGATGACAGATTGTCTGTGTATGTGTAGGCGGGAAATTCGTCTGCTTTATGACGAGGCCCAACTGACCACGTATCCTCAAGGCGGCCGCATGGTCAACAGGCAGCACCGTTAAGAGGAGAGTGGAGGTCAATCATCAACGGGCAACTAGTAGCAAAAGGATAACTATTATGGGGTTTGGTGAAATTGAGAGTAGTGAAAGTCGACGAGTCGAGGGGGAGCAGGCAGCGGAATTAAATAAAGGCCAGAGTGTCCGATTCAGGGGGCGCCAGGGATCCACGATCCACGATTCCCGATCCACCGGCCTGAGGACTCTCTAGTAAAGGCTTCGTTATCCGCGCCATCAGCTTCACCACGGGCCCCTACGCCGCCCGGAAGTACAACGTACTTGTCACCTAGTGCTTGTCACAAGTGGTAGTGTCCTGACAGATTCACGACAACGTGCTCTATTCCTGGCCCTATCGTGGTCCTCAACATCGGCTTCACGTTCTTCTGCTGGTCCTGTTCCTCATCCTCATGCGAGTAAGTCTCACATTCTGACCCACGGTTACCCATCAGCTCCTGTTCCGGCCGCCACTCACTGCGTGTCGTCTCGCTTACTCGCCCTCGCGTAACCTGTCTCACTGTCGCCGTCGCGTCCAGCCCATGCCATCCCTTGCTTCCGGCTTCGCTGCCCTTCTCTCCTCCGCACCCAACACAGCCTCAGACTCGTCAGCCGCAGCGGTGTGCAACTCCACTCTTACAGTTTGTTCCACTGTTCCTGGCCGATGAGATCCCTTTTTGTGCGAGGCGACGTCTGCTTGTACCACGTCAGAAACTGTCACCGATGCAGGGGGCAATGCTTTGACGGCAGTACAGCTACTAGTATGAGGCACGCATCATCGAGACACCGGCTCTTCGAGTGTCGAACTGTATCTTGTGTGTTTTCTTTGCATGCCGACAGAACTAGAACTTGTCCTACAATGTTGCAGCATTCCAAGAGGACTAAACACTGCTGATTATCTGTGGATTCAATTTGCTGCTGACTGCAGTAGTAGAGGAAATTCATGCAGTACCTGGTAGAGAGTAGCCGTAGGATTTCAGGCTGACTTTGCATACTTAGGTATACTTACTGTAAGCAGTGCTACTTCGCATACCATCAACACGGTTGGGATCCGGTCATAGTAGTACTCGTGTCACTAGTATTTGGCAATCCTTTCTTATCCGACTACAGTGTTGTAGTAGATCAAGTCACTAGGTACACCTGGTATGTACCTGAGAGAATCACGCCTGGACAAGCTCCTCCATACCTAGGTATACACTGCAGTACTACGGCAAAGCTGGTCACGACTCCGCCGTAGCAAAATTGCCATTTGTGTACGGTGACACATTCATACCAGATACGCATGTTTTGCACCGCGTTGAAGTCCCCGTTTGAATCGCCAGCATTTACAGTAGATAAATTCTATCCAGGACCGCAAGACCTGCCAACAACCGCGGTGCAAGTTTGCAGGTGTCATAATATGCGGCTCCAACCCTGATAAAAACACATATACCGCATTCTCACTGGTCGACGACAATGGAAGAAACCACATCCTTCCCCGACTCAAGGAATCCACTGCTCGACATAGCAGGCCAGGACTCATCGGGCGTTTCCCCGCTGGAGCAGGAAGTGCTGGACGAATATGAAAGGCTTGCGAACAACATGAAGGAAGTAAGTGGGTGATTAATTCAGCGCTCTCTCTCTACTCTCCTCTACAACAACTCTACTCTCTACACTCCGGAGCCTGTTTTCGGAGGATATGCCTTATAAAAAACCACGAATGGGTGCCCTTTCTTGGCTAATACATAACACGATGGTGGTCCTCACAACACTTTTTTCTATATTTCCCCGTCTACCTATGTTGCCTATGGCTTTCTCCTCCCTCCCCCAGTAGACTAATCAGTCCTCTCATCCAGCTCTCATCCACTCTCGCATCGCTGTCGAGTGGACCAATCACGCTTGAGATAGCAGAGGGTCTGCGGCTGTTGGAAAGAAAGGTCGCCAGCGTCTATACGTTGATGAAGGCGAGTGTCTACAGCATTGTCCTGCAGCAGGGCCAAGTGGAAGGGGACGACTTTGGTGGCGACGACAGTAACATCTGATGCGTCCAACGGACTCTCGGCGAGACCTTGTTGTTTCGGAGAATCGAAAGCATGACTTGATGAAGTGCAAACGCGACCACGAAAAATGTCTGCCCGGGACGACTCCGTTACTAGGCCACAACCCGCCGCCAACAATGGATCGAAGGACGAACCTATCAACGGGACAGGGCGACAAACTCGATTGAGCATCACTAACAGGCTCTTCCCTGGGTCGCCTCTATAATATAAGGGCGTGGACTCTACTGTACAACCACTATGTCTCTCCAGCATAATACACTTTTCGAACGTCGACCAATTTCTTACCGCGAGCTCTCGCGATATCCTCCGGGTCTTTCTGACTCAACAAGGCTTGGATGGTCGCTTTGACCGTGTTCATGGGGTTGCGCGCACGCGTGACTCTGGCAGCAAGATCATGAATACCGGCACACTTGCAGATTTCATAGATGTACTGCTGGCAGCGGAGTCCGAAACCTAAACCAACAATGTTAGCCAGCGAGCCCTCTACAGGCGAAAAAGAACGAGGAGGTGTTTACCAGGTGGTCTGGAGTAAAGCTCCAATTCTGTAGCGCTCACTTTGCCGTTGACGTCGCCAAAGATGGTGCGGTTTTCATATCGCAGAATTGGCGTCATGTTGCGGATGGCACGATATTGAGCTTGCAATGAAGCATCCTCGGGATCGACTGCTTTGCCCTCCCCAATTCCAATCAATCCGTTCTGATTCCCAGCCACGTAGAGAACGTACTGTTTGCGGATTTTGCCCAGTCTGGTCTGGTTGGTCACAGAGTGCGAGATGACCCGTTTGACTCGTAACCGGGCGATTTGCTCCCGGCTGTACCCGGTCATCTGCATTAATCTGACCAGCGCCGGCGAGGGAGGCTCTATTTCCACCACCTCGTCGCCCCTGGTTTGTTTCTTAGGTCGAGGGTTGTTTGAGATGTTGGGCAAGTCGGGAGCCATGGCGGTCCGCGGGTTTCGCTCCGCCTCTTCGCGACCAACGGTCAGCCTGAGATCTCGGTCGAACTTATCCCACAGTTCTGGATCGTAGTCATTTTCGTGCTTGGGCTCGGGGATCTTTTTCATGAATTTGATCAAATCGTCCTCCAATTCTTCCTCTGTTTTTAATCGGGATTGATCGTCGATGTTTGTCCAGGGCGCTCGTACGGGTTTATCGACCACCGGATCGATCTTGGTCAGGTCGTCAAAGTATTTCATTTTCCATGGATCTTTCCGCATCCCGGTTTGCTTCTCCAGTTTCTCCGTGTCGATCAACTTTTGGGCAGCCTCGATGGCGGCCCGTTGCTCGGCAGAGTAGTGTTGCGGAATCGCGCCATCTTGAGACGCCGAGAATTGCTTCGCAGCCTGTGCGAGGTTTATCTGGTTGTTGGAGGATTTGACGCTGGGATATCGAGGTTTTCGCTTTTGGTGAACAGGAGACGAGTGAAATTGACGGCGAACAACAGCGGCAGGGCGCGAAGACCGCGAAAATAGACAGAACACGCACTCGGACGGCCGAAAGATGCTCATCGTGCCAGATGCAGCTCCCAGGCTGCGACACGACGATGACCTTCGTCGTTGAACGGCAGAATAAATATTTATTCCCTTGCGCGTTTCAATTGAGCTCCGAATTGACTGCAATTGAAGTCCGCAAAAGGTGCAGTTCAGGATACAGCGGAGCAGTAGTACGTGTGCGCAGTACTCATTGTGCTAGTATACAATGTTAGACGGTACCTAGGTACTAATCCCAATATGGCTTAACATAACACTATAAAATCACCTTGGCAGAAAAATGGCTAGACCGCTTTTGGGCACCGTGACATTCACAACTTCTACCAGGGTCACGTTTCTCACCAAATACCTGCCTGGTAGTCCGTCCGAAATATCGTCGACTTCAGCCTGGTGCAGCGGTGCTGATATTGTCCAGTCCGATCGCATGAGGATAAAAGCCGTATCTTTTCAGCATGGGCAGCTGAATCACCGGAAACAATTATAATTTCGATCCTTGGAACCACGTGGACTGGGTATAGTAGGATCTCTTCAAACAATATGGACGACCAACAGCCTCGCTTCATCATTGGGCATCATGATCCCCGGAGACCAATACCAGTAACCGTCGAGGCCATTCAAGATGCGCACGCCGCCGATGTAAGAATTTGACAAGGAAACCTCGTGCCACGGCCGCTGATACCATGTAGTATGACATGCTGACAAGTCCCATTACAACACCACAATTCCAATCTCGAGTCCTGGCACTACTTTCTTCAACTCTGTCAACTCATACAGAAGAAGACATTACAAAAACCAAGAATGCTTCCCCTGTTACCATTCCTTCTCTGACCCCAGCCGATACTCCCTTGACCCCGGATGAATCCATCAGTCAACTCATTGGAGTGACCAGCTCCTGGATCGACCTGAGTTCTCCAGACCCCATCATTGCCGATGTGTCTCGTCAGGTTTTGAAGCTGGAACTCGCCTATGCTGCTTTCTGTGGCATTACGTACGCATTGATCCCTGGCCCTCGTCTTCGCGGACAAGGCGTGTCGGAGAGCGGCTTTGCGCAATACGCGCGAGCTATCCAAGATGCATTGGCGCAAGGACCTTATATGCAGCTGTACATCTGGCTGCCCATGATCGACGACTCGGAAGACCAGACCGAGGAGATGGGCGATCTGGCACCATTTGCTCGGCCGGAATTCTTGGATCAAGTCGACGGTGAAACCAAAAGATTGGATTTGTTTGGTTCTTGGGAAGCTTGGGACATGATCCGATCGATATGTAAATATCCTTCTAGGTTATGCGTAGGTAAGGACAATAGAATTGCGGTCACATTGCCATCTTTCAAAGTCTTTTCTTTCTTTTTTGCCTGGTACTAATCAGATTTTCTTCTTCAGCCTTATCAATTCCCAAGCTTCTCCCGCCAGTTGCCATCCAGTCACGGTGGTATTCCGAACCCGTCCGATTACTCACTTTCGACGCCAAAGTCTTCTCCAAGAACGCCAAAGGCTACCCTGTGCTCTCGCGAGCTCACCAGGCCTTGATCAGCCGGTTCATCCGTCTCCGCAGTGCTCCGTGGGTTCTGCTGTGCGACGTCGGACCGATCCCTGGTCAGACCACAGATGGAAATGGGACCAATGTCTCGGCACCAGGCTCCGCCGGCGGATTTCCCACCCTCGCCGAAGCAGCAGATACTAACAGTCGACCATTGAAAGATCCAACACCTCATCTGTCGTACATGCGCAACCTGCAGACAAAGCAACCAGTCCAAACAGCACTGGACAGGTTTGGAGCTGGCTACCAGGACTACCTACAAACCCCACTGCAGCCACTAACAGTGAATCTGGAAAGCATCACGTACGAAGTGTTTGAGAAAGACCCAATCAAATATGCATGGTACGAGCGCGCCATTGCGCGCGCGCTACACGACTGGATCGAACAAGGCAAGCCGACATCCAACCCTGATGGACGAGTAGTGGTGGCCGTCGTGGGAGCCGGACGTGGTCCACTGGTGACTCGCGCCCTCAAGGCCAGTGAGGACGTCGGTGTCGAAATCGACATGTGGGCATTGGAAAAGAACCCCAACGCGTTTGTGCTGCTGCAACGGCATAATGAAACGACATGGAATCATCGAGTCAATTTGGTCAAATCCGACATGAGGACGTGGCGTGGGCCGATCAGACCAGCCAATGCGCACCAACATGCTCGTCGGGTCTTTAATGTTGACGGTGATGGCGAGGACGATAACGATGTCGCAAAGAAGAACGACGGCGAACCTCAATCTTTATCCGTTCAAACGACATTCACCGGTTCACCATCTCTAGACTCGACCTATCTCCTAGCCACGAGCCAAAACCCATCTGCAACGCCGACGCCATATAAAATCGACATATTGATCTCGGAGCTTCTTGGATCCTTCGCAGACAACGAACTATCGCCCGAATGTCTGGACGGCGTGCAACATCTGTTGAATCCCGTGCACGGCATTTCCATCCCCGCCTCGTACACGGCCCACATCACTCCGATTGCGGCTCCCAAGCTGCACGCCGACATCAAGCACGGAATGAGCAGTTCGAACCCTAACGCAGCGGAAATTCCATATGTGGTCATGTTGAATGCGATTGATTATTTGAGCACGACTCCAAACTCTGAGGTGAATATTCCCTGCCCTATCTTGCCTCACCATATCTTGTTCCCCTGGCATAGTGGTTTGGTTTACTGACCACCGTATTTGACAGACCTCGGCGGCGTCAGCTTCAACGACGGCCTCGACAAACACAGGCACACCGGCGCCATATTCCGAAGCCCATACACACTCACAAGTTCCCCAGTCTGAATCTCAATCTCCGGCGTCGTCGTCCTCGCCGACTCCGACTCCAACTCCCATCATCGGCACAACATGGTCATTCCAGCATCCGAACCCATCCTTACCTCAAGCTTCTCCTTCTGAATTATCAAACTCAGTACCATCCATAACCAACGCCCACAACGCCCGCACCAGCACGTTGACATTCCCCATCCCCAACCGCGGCACATGCCACGGCATAGCAGGATACTTTGAAACCGTGCTGTACAAGGGCGTCGAATTGTCCACGAATCCGAATACCATGGACGCAAAGAGTGAGGGGATGATCAGTTGGTTTCCGATTTATTTCCCATTAAAGGTATGTGACTACGAGCGAAGCGAGTACTGAATGACGATGAGCGAAGCCCGACGCCGGAGAGCAGTAGATCATATCTACGAGCGAAGGTACACAAGCGAAGCGAAGTGGTTTATGCCTACGAGCGGAGCAAAGTATCTGTGGTCGTATTCTCGAGTCAAGCCAAGTAGATTACGGTTACATTCAAGTCGTTCTGGACCGTTGACTGACTCGAGCTTCTGTACCAACAGACCCCCCTCTTCTGCCCCGACAAATCCGAAATGACAATCACCATGTGGCGCAAGACGGACGATCGAAAAGTGTGGTATGAATGGATTGTCGATGTATTTCTACCTCAGTCCATCTCGGCGGACCAGGGCTCGGGGTCACAATCACAAACACAATCCCACTCGCAATCCCACTCGCACCAACAAACGAAAAAAGCTGGAAATGGAAGAAATCCCCGTCGCATCCGTATCGGCGGGAGTGAGCTCCATTCGTCAGAGAAGGAGGCTTGTTTGATGTGATTTACTACCAAAATTGAATTGCTACAGTATAATTCGATCTGATCCTGATTTGACTGTCTGTCTGATGAGTTGGTTCTTTCCCTACTACAGACCTACCTAGTACTTACTAGTAGTAGTAGTAGTATACTGTGCTGTACTAGTACATGCTACTTACCTACAGTACTAGAAGAAGCACACGTACTAAGTAGTAGATACATGTACTGTACTATACTGTAGGTTATAGTGGACGCGCAACTGGCGGTTTGCTACTATACCTACACTATGTTGTGACAACGAGACCTAGACACTGTCAGTACAACATGCCCGGTTCAAGTTGGAAGCTCAAGTTCCGAATAGGATGAAAAAAAAGAAAATTGATTAATGCTCAACCTGAGCCTGGATCTGATCTCTATAGTAATATTGCTTCATCCCAAGCCCGAGTTCAAACTGTGCTTATCACTCCATTCTTTCCCTAGATAGAGTAGGTAGACACTTACTAGGTACAACACAACCTATAGGAATAAAAATACCAACCACCACCTTCGTTGGCACTGTTCACTTGATCAGGTTACTAGTACGACAAATAAATATCTACCTAGGTAGTAATCAATCACCACTTGAAGGTCCCGTGTGGTTCTCACCTTCACCGGGCTGACGAAGAAACTGCATCTGCAACTGCATCTGCATCTGCCTCCTCATCAATGATCGTCAACGACCGCCGATTCAGTTTCGCCATTGACGACCTTGATCGCGGGCAACTCCTGCTCCAACTTCAACTCGTCAGGCTCATCAGTCAAGACGCCATTTACTTGACCGGCACCGCCCTCTGTGGAACCCTCTTTGGACTCTTGGGCACCAACACCGTTGTCACTGGTGGCTTGACCATTCCCGTTCAGCTTCTTCTCCTGATGCTCACGTGCCAAATCTTCTCCACTTCCACCCTCATTTCCATTCCTACTTCCGTTTCTGTCATTCCCACTGCCCACTCCATCCTTCTTCTTCGAATCTCCACCGGTCAACCCGCGCCGAATGGCCAAGACATTATCGACAATGACGGCATCGATACCCTGCCTCACCTGCAACTTGACGTTCTCCGGATCATTGTTGAGCGAACCATAAGAGACACAGACCAACCCACTTTCCTTCACGACCCTGACCAATCTCGGCGCAGCGACAAACGGTTCCGCGGCACTCACAACCCCGAGCAAATTCCACCGAGACGCAAACCGAATCGCCTCCTGGAGACTGGTGGCGCGGATATCTCCCACAGGCGCGGTCCCGGAATCCGTCAGAAACAAAACCGGAATGCTAGGCTGCTTGAACGACAACAAGAGACAAATGTCCGGGTTGAAGGACGAGAAAATAATATTTCTCCCTTTGCCCAAGTCATACACTTTGGTCAGGACGGTATCGACAAACGAATTCAGTTCCACCGCGTACGTGTCCATTTCTTCGTCCTCGCTCTCCGACAGCATCGGGTACTTCATTTCAATGTTGAACCCGACGTTGGGCGGCAATTTGTGGAACATTTCTTCGAGTGTCGCAAACGGCGCTTGGATGTGGTTGCCCCGCGTGTTGCCCTTGAACCCCTTTTTCTTGAAATCCCGCGTATGTTTCATCCGTTCTTCCACCATGTCGATCGTCTCTGCCGCGTCGCCTCCTCCAACCGACATGGACCGTAGGCGTGATGCCCTTCCCTCGCCGTTCTTGAGGCTGGCAATCTTGGGACTTTCAAACGGCACCGGTGATGCCGGTCGGGACTGTCGAGGCGTGCGCATGTCGTTGACATGCAAGAATTGTTCTAGAGTCAATGTGTGCACCGGTGCATCGATGCCCGTCTCGCTGACCAGAAAATCATGATAGATGACTGGCACGTGGTCCTTGGTCAATTGCACGTCAAACTCGACATAGGATGCGCCCAAATTGGCCGCGGCAATAAATGACTGAATCGTGTTTTCGCCCAGTTGCAGTGACCGTCGTCCAGCTGCGAGATTCTTCCCTAGTCCCCGATGGCCAATTACCATGGTTGACGCCATGCTCTTCCAGTATGTTTGATTCTCCGTCACCGACATGTTGGGGTGTTTGAAAGGCGTAATGACCAGGAAATTGAACGTCACCGTCCCAATAACCTCAAGATCATTGGCCGCAACAATAGGCACCGTCACATCCCCCTGTAGAGGCATTCGCTTCGTGCCAAGGCTGGACTTGATGCTTGACAACAATGCCACTGCTCGACCCACGATGCGCTCCTTGGACCCGGCATACGTCGGGATTAGGTCAAAGAGCAACTTGACCTTGGATGGATCCGCGGCATGGAACACAATCGGTTCGGTCGATATGTTGTCTTGGACCGGCAAATCGATCACTTCGGCATCGCCTTCCGCGCTCTTGGCCGAGACCACAATCGACAAGGCAGTATCCAGTTGAGTCGAGTGAGCGCTTGACAAGGGAATGCGGTCGAGGTTGACGGCCCGAACTGATTTACGGGTATCCATGGAACCCAGACTAACCAGAATCATACTTTTGTCCGTCAGGTACCGATGGCCAAACTCCTTGACAGGCTCACTGATCCTGATTGCGGTGGTGGTCTGGACTTTCGAAGTCCGTTCTGCGAGAGACGACGAGTCAGGAGGAGATGTCGACGTCGAGGACGAAGAATCGCCCCCTTCACCTTCCGGTTCAGGCATATAACTGGCCAGATTCTGGGCAATGGCAATATGACCTCTCAAGGCAGCGTGTTCTTTGGCATTCCACCCAGAAGTGTCGACGCGTTCAAGGTCAGCGCCATGTTCGATCAACAGCTCCACAATGGGGAGATGTCCGTCGACCGAAGCGATGAATAACGGCGTCCATCCATATGTCTTTTCACAGAGCTCCGTGTTGGCCTTTTGAAAGTCCGAGCCTTCAAGCAATATCCTTGCGCATTCCACATGGCCGAACCTAGCAGCCACATGAAGCGCCGTATCGCCTTGTTCGTCCTGGTAGTTGATGTCGACATTTGCCTTGACTAGCAAACGTACAATCTCAACGAAATTGGCCTTGGTCGCCAAAGCAAGGACCGCCGACGATTTGGACGACGATCTTCGAATGGTCGACTCGGAAGGATGAACGGCGGCATTGTGTTCAGCCTTCAACAACGCCTCTGTTGTCAACGGGTGACCGCCGATGACACTAAGATGCAACGGAGCCCAGCCCTCGTTGTCTTGCCATTGCGGGCCATCGATGCCCTCGGAGACATCAAACAGCTTCCACGCCTGGAGATGTTCGATGATGATCTCACACACGACTCGGATGCCATATTCGGCCGCGAAATGCAACGGGGTCCGGCCAGCGCTGTCACGAGCCAGCAGTGCCGACCGTTGCACGGGCTGCAAGTTGTCCAGAAGGAATTGGAAGAAAGCAATCGAATCGTCATCTCTCGTGAGAGTGCGAGTTCGTTGGTCTTCCTGCACGACCGACCGCTTGAATGGGACAGAAGGCGGTGCGGCCGGAGTGATGAAATTGTGATGCTCAGACAAGAGAAGAGGGTATGGTTCGGCGGCGGGTGGTTCAGGGTCAGGGTTGGATTGTTTTCGGCCAATGGAGACAATGAGTCGATGAATACAATTCCTTCGGTTGATGTCGTCGGGGTCGTCCAGGAAAACGATATCTCGCAGTAGACGTGCCGTACACGCCCTGCTCCGGTTCGAGATTGCTCTCTGCAGGAGGGTCTTCAAGAACTGTTGGATGGCAGGTTCCGACGCGTCGGATGTCGACTTGGTGAAGAGTTGCACCAGTTCGTCCAATCCATCTGCGTCATCCTGCCGAATGGCCGATTCTAGTTTGGCGAGCTGCTCAGGGGAGATGTTCAGCGACGGCCGCGACGTCGTCCGCTTTAAGGAAGTTGAGGAGATGGAAGCCACATCGTCATTATTTGTAGATGCTGCCGACTCGCCCAGCACCGAAATCCAGTCATTGACCTTGTTCAGGGAAGCAAAGAGCTGGGCGTTCGTGGCAAAAGCCGCGGGATCGACTTTCAGCTCAAGGTATCTTTTCTGAGCATGGGCAACAGGGATTCTCTTGTCCAGCTTTTTGGTGATTTTGATGAAGCCTCTTCGGTTCACCTCACCGTACCATTGTAGATTCCGGAGCTGGCCTCGTAACTCCAGCAAGGCGGCCAACAAATCTTCGCGCTCGTCGGGGTCGAGGTGGGCCGCAGCCTGGGGGGTTGTGCCATATCGGTCTTCGAGGAGTTTCAGACGGCGGGAGAAATCCTGGAATTTCTTGTTATAGAAGTGATCCACGTCTTCGAGGTTGCGGTCCAAGGTGTAGAAGAATCCTAAACAATAATATGAGCCACACTGCCCGGTCCCCTCGTGTCACATGTCAACCCATTCCTACCAGCAAGATCGAGACCTCCATCCTGCTTGGCGCCTTCGGCGGCCGCCCGAATGAGCTTCTTTAAAGCCTTGTAGTTGATGTACGCAGATGCCCATTCAGGGACTTGGTTTCGAGGGAGATTGCGACCAAACTTCATGGTGTGTGTGCAGTGGTCGCCGAGGTAAGGGACAGGACAGCTCAGCTGCCGGTGGCCGGCAGAAAGAGGTCTATTTCGTAGGAAGAAAAGGCCGCTAGGTCAACTCGGAATCGATCAATGAGGACAGGCCGCTCTGATTCGAACGCGGAGCACAGGAACAAAGGGATGGAAACGGAAGAATAATATGGCCATGCTCACACCAGGTGTTGCACGTGCGAGGCGGTTGGTGGTGGTGGTGGTCGAGTGAAGGGAGGGAGGACCAGGCGCAGTCACCCGCTCGCTTGTCGAACAATGAAAGTGAAGGTGCCGAGGGTGAGTGACCACAGCACGGCAACTGGCAAGGGATGAGAAAGAGACAGCAATCTCAGTCAGTCAGTCAATCAATCAATCAGACGAGAACTTGAAAAGTGTGAACAAAGACGAGGAATCGACGAGCGTGGAGCAGGAACCCGCCGCGATTGGGTCCCTTTGATATCATCGCCGCTGTACGACTCTTCCGATTGGCTCGTGCCTGACCGCCCTCCCGAGTCAGAGTCAAGGCTGTACACTGTATAACCATACGAAACAGTAGTTGTACAACCTGAAGGCGAAGACTCGGCGATTTATTCCATTATGTGTAACACGAGTTGCGTGGCAGATGGGACGGGAAACATGCCGGCCTATCATGCAGTACCAGACGAGAAGGCATGTACAATACGTTACACCGTCACGTTCCAAGGAAGTCACAGTCAACAGTCTGCTCTGGCACCACAATCTGAATGAATGGCCATATAAACACCGCTTTGCTCTGCTGTATATCTGTACATGCGCATTGTCCGCCGTCGTAACGCCAGAATATGCCTCCAGCCTCATCAACGAGGCCGCCACTTGCACCCACATAGTGCATTTATTTTCTTACTAACGCCAACAACGCCATTGCAGAATTCAACCGTCCGGTCCTTTTGGAAATTGTATCATGAACCCACGCATGACTTCCTCCATCATCGTCCGCTTGGTGCTTGTCCGCTGTCCATCAAAATCGTGTCTTCATCATCGTGGTGCAGCGTGACGCTGTTGAACTCCAAGAAAGGATCCGCAATCTCGCCACCAGGAGTCGCCATACCAGAATCCAAAGGAACTCCTTTCAGCCGGCTGGCTGTTCCACCAATATCGACACTAGCACTGTCCTTGACCGTCCGGAAGTTCAACGTGTCGATTGCCCGGCCCTGATGAGGAATCATCGGGGGTTTCATATGGCGGAGGAGAGCCCAGGTGATGGGACGGAAAAAAGGATGGTTTTTTACATCGGACGCACCCGCGCGGGAGCCCAATCGTTTGGCCTCATCCTTGATCAAAAGCTTGCGAATCAACGACTTGCATAAACTATGGTTTGTCAGCCCTGTCGCGTCTGCCTCTTTCGGTCAGAACTTCCACTTACTTGCTCACTTGCGTGACGTGTGAATGGTCCGGAAACGGCACGTCGTCTCGGAGGATATTGGCAAATGTCGCATTGCGGTTCTTGCCCTTGAATGGGGTGGTTCCGAACAACATTTCGTAGATCAAAATGCCCAGGGTCCACCAATCAACCGCGCTTGTATGTCCATTGCCCTTGATGACTTCGGGCGCAATGTACTCTTCCGTGCCGACAAATGAATTGGTTCGAAAATCGGCAATGCACGATTTCGTGTCTACCAGCGGATAGCCAGTCGGGTTGGATGCGTTGCGCGTGCCCAAGATCATGGTGGGTGCCCCGCCCGAGTCTGACTGCTTGGACAAATCGAAATCGGACAGCATGATATGGCCGGATTGGTGAAGAAGGATATCTAGTAGACATTAGCGAGGAGCAAAATAACGGTCGTCTGGTATCGTACTCTCGGGCTTGAGGTCTCGATAAATAAACCCCATCAGGTGCAGATATTCCAAGGCAGCCGTGACCTCGGCCGCATAGAATCGGGCATCTTCCTCTCCAATACACTTGTTGGGTCGAGTTTGCAATGCCCTGAAGAATTCTCCGCCACTGCAATATTCCATGCATAGATACAGATGCTCTTCCGACTGGAACGAATGGTAGAGGGTGACGATGAAAGGGTGATTGCTGGTAGCCAGGATTTCCTGCTCGGCCAACGCGCGCTTGATCTTGTTACGCTTGATCATCTCCTTCTTACTGAGCACTACCTTGAATTAGCAGGGCTCACACAAACATCTTAGCACCAACAAACCTTTCATGGCATATAGCCGATTCGACTTTTTCTCGCGAACCAAGTACACCTTGCCCACGTCTCCCTTGCCGATCAACTTGATCTTGTCGAAACTGCCAGGACCCACTTCGACATTGCGCACCTTGATTGAATTCGAGCTGTACGTTCTTCTAAAAGCGACAGATTGGCGAATCTGGCCTGGCAAGGGGATTTTGGCTCCGGCTGCAGGCAGACTTTCGGCCTCAGCATCCTCAGGCGGCGTCATGCCCAACTTGGGCGAGGAGCCGGAAAGGACAGTGAGCGGCTCTTTGCCGAGCTCAGCGGTTTGAGGTCTCTCACTGCCACCCTTGGCTCCACTGAACAGACCTTGGGCGTTCGGGGCAGATGCTACTCTTCTGAGTTTCCGCGCCAGTTCCTCCTTGCCCGCTGCAACGGCCTTTTCCTCGGGCGATGTACCATTGACTTGGACTTTAGGGGTATCGGGCGGTGAGGGGGGCACACTGCCTTCATTGCGGTGTCGGAGAGCTGGAGGGCCTTGATGGACAAAGTAAGGGTTGGCTTGGGCGGTGGGCGAGACGATGGCATCGTCAAGCGGATGACCTTCACTAGCGATGGTAGTAGACCGGTTTCTACCCAGACCGGGGAGAAACCGCGATTGCTTGACGTGTTTGACTTCAGTCTTGGGGGTGGGCAGCCCGTCCGGGCTTATCGATGTCTGACTGCCACTGCTGGTTATGCGGAAGAAGTTCTTGAGCTTGGTAGCTGTAGGCGTATGCGTTCCCGAACTCGACTCGCCATTGAGATGTTTCTTGGAAGAAAAGGACAAAGACGAAAAGTTGCGCTTTTCCGTCGCCATGATGCCGCAGGGTGCCAAATCAATGGATCCACAGAATCGGGGGCTGGTAGTCGCTGCGGTTCAGCAATTCGTAGGAAGAGGTCCGAGTCGGTCGTGAGGCGCGGCGGGCAGTGAGGAAGGCGAGCCTGAGATGGCTCGGGGGTTGTCAGGAGAGGAAAGATCTGGACTGGATGAAAATGGGGGTTCCGGAATGCGGACGAGGGTGCTGGCTCGATGGGGGGCTACCGGTGGAAGGCCATGTCCGTGTGTCTGTCGCTCCTGATGAGATGAGGCGTCGGCAGTGATGCTTGCCTGGAAAGATGGATAAGGAGAGAGCAGGCTTGAGTTCAAGTTGCCGGAATGCGCTGGCAGTTGTATACGAGTTCAAGTTGCCGGAATGCGCTGGCAGTTGTATACGAGTTCAAGTTCCGGTATCCTGACAGTTAACTGAGAGGAGGGAAGGACACAAAAAGGATACTAGTGATTAGCGAGTGGTGAACTGCGTGCGAGTGATATCAGCCGGTGGAGGAGGAAGTGGGAGGATGGCGAGAAGGGGAATGTTACTGCGGTACAATCGAACAATACTACTACAGTATCACTAGCACGGTAGTAAGCAGTCGATCAGCTCAATGGCGACGGCGGTTGGCCGCGTGTAGGATTTGGTGGGGATTAGCCGCAGTGGTGACAATGTTAGACGGCACACTGGCCGTAGTGGAGAGATCTAGCACCTAGAGTCTGGACCCGGAGGCACCGCTAGGGGGCACCTGTTGGGGTATTTTAGGCGTTGCTTACCTACAATTGACCCGGCTCAAGGTGATTATCCAGGCCTAGTCGCACCTAACGCCGCCTAACACCGTCTACCATCTTGGCTGACACAATCCTACATACCTAACAGCCACGGTCAAGTTGTTCTTTTTGCGTCAATGAACATATACACAACATCTGAGACGTTCTCGTCACACAATAATGAGATGATATTCCACGGCCATGACGGCGGAATTTGTCGCCCGGCGAACTTGCAATATCCTGTCGGTTCAGCGGGGGAAATGGAGGGAGGACCGAACGATTCCGCCAATTCAGATATTCGCTTACTCACGGTTGTATCATCACCTCCTGTCACCATCTCGTGTGTACCGAGCATATCGTCCCTTTTACCTACCCTTTTCTCTACAGTCTCTTGTCTTTTCGTCCTTCGGAGTGTCTACAGCATAGCAATTCATCTGACTTGTTCTCTCAGCTATCTGTATTGCCTGTTCTCATATGCTGCTATTCTACTGACGCTACCTCTCATTGTAATGCCGAGTGATTCTGATTCTTCAGCTTCCATATCACCAAACTGGATACATGTGGAATTGCTCTTCACAGTCCGCTCTCCTTTGTGAGGTCCTGTGCGGTCAGTCAGATGGCGGTCTCCTGACCCCAATAACATAGTCTCTCGGGTGTCCCATGGACAACCTGGCCTGGCAATACTTGAGACGACATGCAGTCAATGACTACCAAAGCCCTGTTTCAATTTCGCCCAACTGGATCCTTCAAGTCGTGTCTTGAAGGAGTTATCCATACACTCCTCAAGACGGCGATCTTGAGACATCTCCAGCGACTCATTTCTCCTCCTCTTTGAGGAAATGACGTGGGACTCCATCCTCACTCTCGACCCCCAGGCCTCGACCTGCGCGACGGGTGGGTCCAAAGGCCTCTGAGGCACTGGTTGCGCTATGTCCTCGCTGTGGGCTTCGTCCTTTGCCAGCTGCTGAGAGCATCCACATGGCTGACCGACGTTGACTGTCAGTGGTGCCATCCAACATGTGTGGGAGCCGACCTATGGCATGCACATTTTGCACAGACACAGAAGAGAACCCTTTGTTGACAGCTGCTTCTTGTGAATGTTCGCCTGCAAACCACGCGGCCCTGTCGTCTCCTCGAAGCCAAAGAGGTGTGGAAGATGCAGAAGACTGTTTGAAAGTCGACATGCTTGGATCAGAGCCATTCGACCCGAACGGCGCTGAATGGTGTTCCTTCTTGTTGAGCTCCCGAGCATGACCTGGCGGGCTGCGTCTGGTTAGTCACCCCTCGCGACACGTACAACAATGCTCTATTTTGTGGCAAACTCACCCCATATGTGCCTTTCCCACGTCTTTGAAATTGCCCGCATATCCACCTGAAGACCCAGAGCTGCTACTGGGCAAGACCGTGATCGCATTTTCCTTTTCCTTCAATGGTGTAGCGCGTCTGTTTGTCAGAGATACAGTGGTTAGCATCAAATCGACGGTGGATTGCAACAGCAGGGGAGGACCTACCTTTCCCGATTGGGGGAATTAAAGTCGAGGTATTCAACGGCAGTGTCTGTAAGAGGTGCCTCGCCGGAGGGTCGCATCTCGATGAAACCAGCTGTCATTTCCTTGGTCAGGACAGGCTTGGACTTCCAGTATCGTCTCTCAAAGTCGTCCATGCCCAAAGATGGCGGGCGCTGCAAGCCTTGACCTCGGACTTCGGTGACAGTGCCATCAGGCAGTCTGACCTTGCTAATGATCCCCTTGGGAAGCCGCAGCGCATTCAGTTGCAATTCATAGGATGCTTCGATATTTGGAGGCGCACGTCCGGTCTTTGCAGGCAGCCATTCATCGCCCTCTCGCTTGTTCTCTGCTTCGTCGCCGCCCACGAGGGGGACTGATTGATCGTGCAACGGGGATGTATCGTGGCTGACTGCAGGACTACTCGTGGACCCTTCGGTGGTCGATTTATGTGACGACTTGCTCGCTGCACGCATGAGTGCCTTAGCCATCTCCTCCTGGTGACGACGCAACTCTGGCGGTGCATTGCCGACACGCACACCCCATTCATCAACAGCCGCAAAAGTGGCTTGGCTGGGAGCATCCTCTCCGACCTTCTTCATAGGCGAAGCTGAAGCCTCTGGAGGCGGCACAATCGGGATTCGACGCCGTCCTGCCTTGGGCGAGCCTTTGGGCCTGGTGGTTTGTACCGTGCTGTCACTCCCCTTCAACAGATTGCTGGAGTTGCTGATCGATGTGGTGTCGAGCGGATTGGGCTTGAGAGGAACATAGCTAGCTGCTTCCACATTGAGGGTGCTTGAGGGAGCGCCCACAGAAAAGTCGGAAGTAGCCCTATTTCCGGCAGCAAGATTGGTCCAATATGAGATATCTGCCTTTGCGTTGGCTCGCATCTCCACGACTGCCATCCGATGCTCGACAAGATAGGGGTCGCGCGAAGACATGGCACGGTGGCGATCGAGCGTCTTCAGTTGACGATCCAGTTCTTGGAAGCGCAGAGTGGCAGCGGCAACCATTTGATCGAAATAGCTTGATCCGGTAGGAGATGGCTCGCCGACCATCGCCGCGGTCTCGCCCAAGGCAGGAAGTCCCATCACGTCTGGGAAGTGGACCGGAGGCATGGCGAACTGTCCATCAAAACCACCGTTGAACCCAGATGGGGGTGGAGACAAGGGCAATGCATAGCCAGGGAACAGCTGAGGACTATGCAAATAGTATGGATCAGGGAACACGCTTGGCCCGACGGACGCGGGCAGCATCGGTGCTAGCCAGTGGGACTGCGCACTGGTGGTGTCAACAGCCAAGGTATCATTGTTGGGCACAATGTTCACGTTGTATCCGGCAGTAAGGGCATTGTGGTCCATGGGTGCAGTCTTGACAGGCAGCTGAAGCTGGGCCTGAGGCTGGGGCTGAAGGAGATCATCAGGATCCGCCTTTGGCTTGACCTGAACTCCAGTATCCAATCTCAGGCCCTGCATTTTCATTGCCACTCCCTCACGTCTGGTGCTCTTGCGTTCTGGCTCTGGACTTTGTTTTCCATCACCCAGCTGATATACAGGAGGACGGGGTCGCTGTTCCATTGGCACAATACGTCCCCCAGCCGTGACTCGCTGGTGGGTTGGCGAAGAGTGCTTTTTGAGGAAGCGAGCGAAGCCCTTATCTTGCTCGAGTCGGTGTTCGGAAGGTGGACCCTTGGGTTGTCTCTCAGGTACTCCTTCTTTGACTATGCGGTTGGGTCGAGGCACAGGCACATCATCTGCTGAACTGCTCGAGTCCTGCGACCAATTGCGAGGCTGATCGCTCAAAGTCCGTCGAGTGGACATGACGCAAGCGCCTAATGGAGGCACCACCCCAGCTGGTTTCAGTCAGCTTGTTGGTGTCCCTGGCTCGGGCGAGGCGACGACTTACCTCGAGCTGCGTCGTAGGTGAACTTGGAAAGGTCGAATTGGATGCCTCTGGTGTGAGGAGCGAGTTCGAGGAGACGAGACACAGTATATCTGCGACGCCTACCGATCGAGCTATCCGTGCTTTGGTTAGTCATATTGGCTGTATGCCGTATAGTGAGCGCCGGTAGGCAAGTGATGCAGTAACCAAGGGAGGGAGCCAAAAAGAAGTCTCCAGAAGAGAGGGACACGCCAGCAAGGTCTTTGCCAAAGCCGTGGTGAGAGATGGACAAAGGTTATGGGTGCGACCCAAGTTGGTGGTGGGCGGTGAGCGCAGGATGAGGTCTTGCTCCCTCCCAAATGAAAGGCGCCCTCTACCTGCGACTTGGAAGGAACGGCGCATGACTTACCAACTTGAACAACAGTACTAGCTCTAAATGCAGGAGCAATGGAGGTGACCTCCGGTCGCGCTGGTCAAGGGAACAAGGACAAGGGCTGTCAAAGGCGGATCTTGGCTGCACGATCGGATGCGTAAACCGACGTGCAAGGAGAAGAGGCGTCAGAACGACATAAGAAAGAGAAATAAGGAAATAGGAGTAAGGGAGCAATAAGGCGCGAAATCTCGTGCTGCTGCGATGGAAGCAAATAAGGTTTGTTGTGTCGTGCCTTGTGTTCAGAATCAAGTGAATGACTCTCCTATGTCGCTTCAGGTGTCGCAAGGTGGTAGGCCCAATACTTCATCTGCCATAACTCATCGTGTCGTACCCTGAGCAGGACGGGCTCGCCGATCTCATAATCTCATAATCTCATACATGGCTCCGTGGCTGTACTGGAAAGGCGTGGGGTTCGATTGGCATATCGTCGTCTTCATAGCTTGGAGATCGAGGTGAAGGAGCGCCGGCCCCGAGCGCTTGACGTTGCGCTTCTACTGCTTTGCCTTGGTCCTTCATTTCCCAGCTTCCAGTTCGTTCATGGCCACCCGTACCAGCAGGGCCTTGGCTGGCGATGACCACTGCGCCGGCACTACCTTTGGCCACGGAGAGGTCCGGGTCACTGGCAAGCTTCTCGGCCCCCTTGAAACCTCCCAGAGCGGACCTGCGCTTGTCGCGAACCCGGTGCATCCTTACACCACCGAAGAGCATTGCAGCACCATATATTAAAGCAGTCGCCGCGAGTGTCACAACCGCTCCAATCACACCCCCAATGACGGGCGACAGTCTTTTCCCGTAAGGAGAACCAGATCCCGTATAGTCCAAGCTGCCGTTCGTTGTAGCAAATGCTGGACAAAATACACTGAAGCTATTACATGCCGTGCACCAGTCCTGAACGTTGGATACGGAGAAGCGGTCCAGACCAGCAACGAAATCCGCAAACGATATCAGGGTTTGACTTGGACTGAGGCCAAATAGAGGATACGGGACCAGAGACGAATCAGAGCCGGTCCCATTTTTGTAGAGAAACCTGACAAACAGGTCTGATACTTCGGGATACGCATCAGTATCGTTGCCTTGCATGGAGATCAGCTCAAAAACATAACTTGCGCCTGGAGCAGGGACATTGTAGAAGGCCGAATGCTGGGGGACAACAAGGCCGGCTAGAGCCGCCAATGCCACCACGGGTTCGTAACTGCCGAAGACCAGTGTCATTTTGTCCGAGGCGCCCTGAGTGTTAATGGTGGCAGAGAACGCCTGTGTGATGCGAGCGGCCAACGTCCTGCCTGCTATTGTTCGAATATAGTCGTCGAAGGAAGAACCCGAGGGCGATATGTCTGTATTCAATGCGAAGACCAGGTCGTCGGCAAGGATCTTTGCTTTTGCCAGTACTTCAGGAGCTAACAGCCCTGATGCAGAGGTGTTATGGATGGAGACGTAATTCAGATAGTCGTAAATCTGATACGCATTGAAATAGCCGACTGAAGCATCTGACAGGATTCCATCAAGAAAATCGGGCTGGATGCTTCTATAGAAGTCTTCCGTGCTGTTCTGAAGAGTCTCGAAGGCTTCCGTCTCATAGTAGTCGCTGGAGGAAGCCAAGTACGCAGGGCAGCTTTTTGAACCACGGAGCCATATTGAATTGAAATCATTACTGGATACTGTCATGATATCGGCATATTGGTAGCCACGCAGTGGAGCAACCATGGTGGTGTCATTTTGAGCGGTGTTAGCAGAGTTCGAATCCGTTTGCAAAGGAGGGTATAAGCCCTGTAAAAAAGCCTGCGCCGACGCTGCTACGAATTGATCAGTGGTCGACAGCACCGTCAATTGATCGTCCTCCAGCTGATAGGCGGAAATGCCACGGATTGTGAAGCTGTTGCTCTCACTGGGTGCAACATATCTTTCACGAAAACTGTCACCAGCTGCGAATAGCTGTTCAGCACCGAGCGGCGTCAGACTCGGCGAGGTGGGCAGGACGAGAGGCGTTCGGTCACCATGGAGAGTGTAGATAAATGTACTTAGAAGCTGTTGTTGGATAGCTGTTTGGGCTCCGGCAACGACGAACAGAGCAAAGAGAAACACAATCGAGGTAGGGAGGTGGGCCATCGTACTCAGTGAGCATTCCATGATTCTAATAGCAGATATCATTGCCCTGAACTGCGTGTCGACCCTGAAAATGGCCGGGGAAGGACAGAGCAACGACGAGGTAGCGGGGACTGTCTAGCATTATGAATTCCATCAAACTGGCCATGAGGCTGCAGGGACAAGCTCGCAAGCGCTCGCAGAAGCCTTCGTGACCACATACCTAAGGTACCTTACCTGGGCAGGCTTGGAATCTAGCTAGAAGAAGCAGCTTACTGAATGGAGAGCGGTGTCCCATGACCAAAGCAACATCTGGACTGGTACCTGCGGGCGAGGACCAGGATGGTCCTAGCAGGAGTACATCGACGATAAGGCGGTCATGGAGCGGGGCATTCTGAGCTTCAACAAGCGTCCCGTATCCGTCGAAATCCGGCCTAGTCAATATGCTGCAGAAAGGTTCAGTCTAGTAGAGCTGAAGCCATGTCGATCCCCGCGACCGTGATATCGAACAGTCGGGCCGAAGAATGCCTGGCTGAGACATCTCTGCCCTTGGACCTGGAAACTTGGATGAACTGATATTAGCTGATGGCTTGATGCTGCCTGGAGAATGCTGGTGGCTGGGTGACTGGGGTGCCCAGGGTTGTTGCAGTGGTGCTAGCAGTTGTGGTACAGTACAAGTTTGAAGATTTGGCCTGGAGGTTGGAGGCTGGTTTGCGCGATCAGTGAATATGACTGTCTGACACGACAAATATTACCCCGGATGCCGGACACTTACCCCACAATATGCGGCGTCAGACCAGTCCTATAAATCTTTTCTCAACTGCGGCTTCTTCAATCTCTTCCACGTGACTTGTATCTCAGTCGACAAACAACGTCCAGTCGCAACGATGCTGAAATAGCCAAATGTCGCTGAATGGGCCAGAAGAGCAGACGGTAGGAGCAGAAGGGGCCCTACCTGTGAAAGTACAAGGTCAGCACGCTTTCTCCAGGCATCGTATGTACTGTACTCACTCCTTACAGTCTCTCAGCCCCAACCAGCAGCTTCCTCCACTTCAATATCCAATGCCGAGTTCGAGGACAATCCGCGGAGTCCCAAACGACGGCGCTTATCGCCATCAAATGCCGAGGAAGAAGCAGTCAGGAATGTGCTCGCGCAGAGTCTTTCGCAGGGTCTGGTAGAGTCGCAAAGAGAAGGGGACGAAAAACGGGGGCCACCCGGACCGGCCTCAGTGCTTCCACCGAACGGTGGAAACCAGAGAGACCATGTTCCAACAATCCCTCCCCGACCGCAGCTCTCGATTGAGAAATCCCGGTTGGAGAGCCTGGCTACGTTGGACAACTACGCATCCCGAATCCTAACATTTCTTGCACGATTGACACCCACCGAAGCCTTGGGATTGTCCAATACTCCCAACTCGCCGAGTACACGAGAATATGTGGCCATGCGAGCTGTGTTTGACCCGATCAGAAGGCTATTCAACACTGGCACGCCATTTCTATCCTCAAGGGACCTGGGGCTACGAGAAGCAAGTCAGATTGAGACAATTCGGAAGGCCAACCAAGCCATCTTCATGTCAAGTGTGTTCACCGGAGAGATCGGGTTGCGGGATATGGACAGGATGTTTCTTTCGGTCTTTGTGCCTGACAACGGCAAGCTGTTGAAAGCGCAGGCTTCCATCTATCTGGAACTGAAGACCCAAGGTTTCATCACTGCCTGGCGAACAGGCGCTGCTCCGCCTGCAGTTGTGATGGCCGATCTCTTTGGGCCAGACCTAGACAAGGCTATCCTTGCACGGAGACCTGGGACAACCGCCCTGGCTCCAACTGAGCAGGACTTTCTCAACAGACTTTCGTCGCGCCGCGAGATCCTGCTGAATCACGTCAAGAACAACACGCTCGATCAGCTGCCCTTCAAATACAGGTGGGAGGATTTCAGTCGAGAAGTCTCTTCGTATCTATCCAAGAACATCGAAAGTGCGGCCTCCAGCAGTAGCGCTGTGTCGGAGGCCCAGAGGACGGATCCCACGCGAGCATTCCAACGGGGTCAAATGGAAGGACAATTTTCGATCCATGCACCACCGTTGCCTGTCTCATCGAATGAGACGATACTTCCCCCTACAAACCCCCCTAAATCGACAACAGACCAGCTCTCCCTCGACGATTTTGTTGCTCAAGCGGCAAGAGCGGCGGAGATTGCAATGCAAGACGCTGGTGGCTTTGGGTTCTCGGAATCTTTCCCCAACATCTCCTCTCCAAGTAACTCTGCTGTCCAACCAGACACGCCAACTCCTCAGCCAGCAGCCCCCGCCGACAGTTATCAGCCTTTCGAGCCGATAATCGAGAATGTCGTCCCGAGGTCAGAATCTACAGCAGGCTTGTCCGGTCCACTTGGAGAGATTCCACACGCATCCCAAACAGCACCAACGTCGGTGTTGTACGAACGCGCAAAACTAGCGGCCACAACAAAGGCCTCGCTTGTACCTCGCAAAGGCGTAACACCCAGTCAGCGGCGTCCTTGGACCACAGAGGAAGAGAACGCTCTCATGACGGGACTCGATCGAGTGAAAGGTCCACATTGGAGTCAAATTCTTGCCATGTATGGGCCGGGCGGCACTGTCAGCGAGGCTCTAAAAGACCGCAACCAGGTGCAGCTGAAGGATAAAGCGCGCAATTTGAAATTATTCTTTTTGAAAAGTGGCATCGAAGTGCCTTACTACCTCAAATATGTGACGGGCGACTTGAAGACTCGGGCTCCGGGTCAAGCGTCGAAACAAGAGGCCAGAGAGCGGGACAGACTACTGTCAGAAGGAGATGCAGCAGCTCTCGACGGGTCACAAGATGTGATGGGCTTGGGACATGCTGACCAGCAGGTCTCAGGAGTAGCTGGGTCAAGCGCTTCTCACTCAAATCTAGGCTCAGATGGCGATGCTGAGTCTGGTGAAGCCAGCCCTCAGGTCGAGGAAGGCTCCTTCAACCCGAGCATGGATGATGTTGAAGCGATGATCGCGAGAGCAGCGGCGCAAGCCTCACAGTCTCTAGGTCCAGACTGGCCGTGACCCAGGACTACCTAGATATCTAGTGGACCTGGTACGGTTGTCGGTAGCATTGTAGCATTGGAGCATTGTAATATAGAGAATCTAATGATTGGATCAAATAGCGAATATCATGATCAATTGTTCTATTTCCCGGGTAGCATACAACAGTAGGTACTAATGGTCCTCTTCACCTCTGGCAGTACTAGTACTGATCGATACTGTACTGTAGGACTCGGTGCATACGAAAAAATAAGGTTGTAAAGTCAAGATTTCCTTCTCCACACCCCAAAGTGCAGCCGTCGTTAGTCTGGATCGTCGAAGCGTGTGCCTACTACAACTACATACTACCAACACTCAATTTGCAAAGTGCAGACTCACTCGCACTGGCACGAGGCGATGCAGAAGAACCTGAAATAAAGGCGCCTTGAAGTCAGCTTTCACCCCTGGGACCTACGAATCAACCAAATACACCGTACGCCCTTGGAGGGGCAACCCCTTCTCGCTTCCAGCCTTGTATTCTGTTACACGCAGGCGGCGCTATACCACGTTCAACGTCACACCGTGACCTGCCTCTGTTTCTCTACTGAATGTCACAATGTCGTCGCCGCCTTCCTCAATGCCTCCCGCAGACGGTCAAGCCGCAGCCGATCCCAATTTGAACCAGAAAGATCAGATCGATGCCGACGTCGACGCCGAAATGACCGGTACAGGACCCCAGGACAGCGCTGGCGCAGCCGATACAGCCACAGCTACGACAGGTGTACAGTCGACGACAACCAACGCCGCTCAGAACGAGGCCGGGACGATAGATCATACTACTCAATCAACTACTACTACCCAGTCCGATAACGCGCAGCAACAGCCCGCAACGTCGACGTCAGCTCCGGGTTTACTCCAGCAACAACAAAATCGCAAGGATGTGACGCTGCGCGAGTTTTTAAGCAAGATGGACGACTATGCTCCGATTGTACGTACTAGGACACAGCGACCCACTGCAGGCCAGAAGGCACTTTCTTCTTCCTTGAACCAAACTGACGGACTAATGTTTTATTTTAGATCCCAGACGCAGTCACGGCGCATTATCTCACTCTCTCGGGTCTACCACCGCCATCGCAATCCGATCCCACAGGCGCAAGCACCAACACGACGCCTCTTCCGCTCGCTCGTCTTTTGGCCCTGGCCACGCAAAAGTTCATTGCCGACATCGCCGCCGATGCGTATCAGTACAGCAGGATCCGGTCGTCGAATTCGGCAGCGGCTAATAATCCACTGGGAAATGCTGGGTTGGGAGTCGGCGGCGGTCCTGCTGCCCCGGGCGCAGGTGGTGTGGGCGCGTTGGGTAAGGGCCAGCAAGCGACGCAATTGGGAGTCCAGAGGAGCGGGTATGGTGGTGGTGGTCAGGGCGGGAGTAGTCAGGGAAAAACGGTTTTGACCATGGAGGATCTCGGAATGGCGGTGCAGGAGTATGGTGTTAATGTTAAGAGGAGTGAGTTCTACAGATGACGGAAAAGTCCCCATCGATTATGCATCTATCTGGGCGTCTGGCGAGTTTCTGTGATTAATGGTTCAGGTTCCGGTCCCGCAATAAGAATGGGAATAGGAATGGGAGTTCCATGGGTGGAGGGGAGGGTTACGATCCATCAGGGCCACTGCAGATGGAATGAATTATTTCAACTTGTACGCATCGAGGAAAGGCGTCGTCATCAGGGTGGCATTATATCATTCCCTAGGGTACTGACAATGTAGAAATTGCAACATGACTAGGTACCGTAGATGAGCGAGCAGACGTCGCGTCTTGGATATCCTAGCTTTGGTGATAGGGAACTCAGACGGCGTTTTCCGAGATCAGCTTCCGTTCCTTGTTGCCATAGGGATACTCCGTGGATGGTACTGTAGTAGCAAAAGACATGATCGAGCATGAGCAGATTTGGCTCTTCCCTCCCGCAGCAATGCAATACAGTGGCATAAGGTATTGTACATGGGTGCGTCTTTTTTGCGTCGTGTTCCCTCCTCTATTTGTTCTTGGTTTGCTTGTACGAGAACCGCTTTCTCGTTCTAGAGCACAGCACGCAAATGGCGCATATTGTTAGCCATCACTTTCTTTCCATTGAGTCTCTCGGGATGATGAAGGTACAGAATAGTACTCACGCAACAAACTCGCCCAATTTCCGGCCTACCATCTCCTCCGTAATGTATATTTCTTGGTATATCTTGCCATTGTGTACGGCGAAGCGGAGTCCGACAAAGCTGGGCAGAATCGAAGCGGCTCGCGCTTGGGTTTTGATGACCGGAGGTGCCTTTCCTGATCCCGCAGGCCGCAGCTGAGGAAATGGGACAATGTTTGGCCCTAAAAGATGAGTGCGTGTCAGTGAGTGACTGCGTACCGTATGCCAATGGACAATGGCATTTTACATCCCGCGGCCGCCGAGGAAATATTGTGTTCGAGTTCGCGCGGCGGGCCTAGAAAAGCACTGCAGGATTTTTCTAACGGACCTTTCCAAACCGATCGCTTCAAGAGCGATAGTGATGGGCGCATGGTTACTGATTGGTCATCGCCCGAGGTTTGTATTCGGCCAAACCGTCGAATTTCTGGTATATGAAGTCGGTGCCAGTTCAAGGTCCGCAGGGCAATTGCAGTGTGCTACCCTGGGCCAATCACGATGCCAGGCGAGGCTGCGGCAAACAGGCGCGGGAGTTTTATGTGGCTGCTTTAGCACTCATTGCACACTGCAGGCACTGCCACTTCGAGGTTGGTTCGGCTCGATGCGCTCATTATTATGATTTTATCCTCCATAAAAGAAGCCAGAAAGCCACAATTGCAACTGAAACTCCACACTCGTGCATACAGCGCCGCCTCCTCTGCGTTTATGGTAATTTCGTGTCTGCGCCTGTCCCTGTCCCTGAAGAACCGGCCGCCAAAGGGGAATTGAATTATACATTGTGTGTTCATTCTTCGAAAACGGTGTTTGGTTCAAGTTTCTTTCATACACCACCTTTGTGCACCAGGCTTGGGCTTTATTGCAGTGCCGCCAACATTATTGTCATGACCGTACGGATAGCAAACTTACAGCACCCATAATCTCCGCGGAATCTTTGCTTGAGTCCCTATTCCAGTACTGGTCGCCAGCAGTGCTTGCTTGACTGTTTGCTCCTGTCCATTTGGCTGGCTCCTGTGCACGAGAGAGCCGACCATGGCGCAAACTGGCGTGGGTTCGTATTCGAACCCGTTGAAGAAGTTCAAGTAGGTCGCTCGCCTTGTCGTGACCTGCGGTCGTCAAATCGATGCTGATGGACTTGCTCTCATAGACTCGTCTTCCTCGGTGAACAAAGTGGTATGGTCTTCCCGCCTTAACCTTTTTACTGCATCGTGCATTTCTCACAGGTTCTACAGTGGGCAAGACGTCCCTAATCACACGATTCATGTACGACTCGTTCGACACGACGTACCAAGCCACGATTGGCATTGACTTCCTTTCCAAAACTATGTACCTCGAGGACCGCACCGTGCGGTTGCAACTATGGGATACGGCGGGCCAAGAACGATTCCGATCACTGATCCCTTCCTACATCCGGGATTCGTCTGTGGCGGTGGTGGTCTACGATATTTCGTCAAGGAAGACGTTTGAGCAGACGCGGAAATGGATCGACGATGTCCGGGGCGAGCGCGGCAACGACGTGATTGTCGTGTTGGTCGGAAACAAGACCGATTTGGGCGACAGCAAACGAGAGGTCACGACCCAGCAGGGCGAAGAGGAGGCCAAGCGGGCCGGTGCTATCTTTATGGAAACCAGTGCAAAGCTCGGCCACAATGTGAAGGCCTTGTTCCGGAGGATCGCGCAGGCGCTCCCTGGCATGGAATCCGAGGGCGAGTCGCAGCCAAACCCGCAAAGTAAGCCATATCCATTTTATTGCAAGCCATTGATTTGCGGTGTGGTAGGAGGGATATTCGACTGACTTTGGTTATTGCGCAGTGATTGATGTTTCGATCAACAACCAAAAACCGGCGGAAGAGGGTTGCGCGTGCTGAAGGTGTTGGGATTGCCATCTCACACACAACCACTACTGGTACTCCAGCCTCCCTCGTGGCATCGACTGGTTTCTCCTGCTCGGCTTGATTCATTTGCTTTCAGCTGTTATGACCTGAGCAGGGAAAGAGGCTCTACCGATGCAGTGTTCCGAGACACCGACGGTCGAAATCAAATGTATGTATATTGGATCCCCGCGAATGTCTTGTACATGAGCCCTTTTAGGCTGGCTGTGTCGGGAGCGAAAGAAATTCTGCTTGAAATGGGGGATTGGACTCTTTTGCAAGGCACTGCACTTACACTGCAGTGCATTGTAGGATGTGATTTAGCATAGCATGGCGTTCTCTTGGGGGGCCACTGGATGGAAAAATGCAGGTCAATTGCCGTGGCCAACGGCTTGTGGTCAGCACGAATATACATATTGTTCAAGCCACACCGTGTTTCCTTGCGACACCTTGTACATAAAAGGCCAATATTGCCGTTCTTGTTGTTGATCCTGAATCACCCTAAAACACTGTAATCTAAGGACTCTATCAGGTACTACATCATGATTGTAGCATAAAACAGTTCGGACCCGAAAGGTGGTGAAACCAACACGGGTTCCTCAGGCATCTCTCGCTCATAAGCCCAAAGTCCATCTCCGAGACCCGAAACCCCGAACTGGAAGAAGTCTTTTGCTGTCCTCCCAGTGGCCAGGAAACAATTATCGGGATCAGGCCTGCCAACCCACACATGGCAGGGTCCGCTCGGGGAGCAGCATGCATTTCCAGGACACGGTGTTTTAAGCCTTCCAGGGCTGTCATAGGCGTCATTCCCCGGAGCTTGTTAAGCCTGCGGCCCGAGGGGCCCCCAGTAACGCTTGGAAACAGGGCACCTTCCGGGCTGTATCCATCTGGTTTATTAAGCATGGGGCCCAGCTAAGCTCGGCCGGGCATAACCAGCAGCAGCTTGGGCATGTGGCCTCGAGAACAGGTCGGAAGCACCATGGAAGTTATGCAGAAAAGCTGCCAGCGAGAAATCCCTCATCTGCCCGAGCTCCACTAACATCGAACTGCAATTGCTGCGAACTGCGCTCTTCCACCAGCTTCGCCCCATGCAAAACAGCCGTTCTTCTCTTATGGTTGGTGTTTTGCTGTCCTCGTCGTTCCTATATTTCCCTCTGGGCTAGCTGTCTTTGTCTTCCATCCACCTGACCTGGGCTCCAGCCAGCGTCTTCCATTCGTCACCATTTATCAGATCCTGGCCACTGCTGTCACGGTTTACTCCGCCAGGCTCTCCAGGCATCACTTTTTCCGAGTACGATCTCGCGTCTATCACAAAGTAGTAGTGTGACTGATTTATTTCAAAACCAAAGTCACCAGCCTCGACGACTTCACTCTACCCTTACCCATCGACGTTTGAACCACCATTTGCAGACACTCCACTCCCTTGAGTGTGTGTCTCAACACCAATCCTTTTTCACCATTCCACCGTTTACACTTCTCAGCCTGCGCGTTCATTGGCGGCCTCCGCGGCGTCAATGAACCTGCCTGATTCGCGTCTGTTTCTTGTCGACACCCTACTCTTCGGCCGGAAGAGGACTTCCCTATCCTAAATGCCTTTCAAGCCTTTTGCACATCTTGCTCGAGTTAGCGTTGCAAAGGGTATCGCTCACACCTACGCTCCCTCGGTTGTTGCTGCTGGTCAGTCTCTGGGGCAATTTCAAAATTATCCTGTCGCAAAATTCACAAAGACCGCGCAACTTCAAAATGCCTTTGCAGGTCCTTCGGGCTCCGGCGCTGGAGCAAAGGCTGGGTACACCTCTCAGTCATCCAGCGGAGATGCTGGGTTAGCCCAGTACTACGCAGCCTGGCAACATGCGCAGCAGACAGGGGATGACTCTGACTGGAAACAACATCAGTTTGCTAGAAGAATAGGATGGAAACATCAGGACAAGGTGATTCCGCCAAAGCACCAGCGACTCGACTCCCGCGCTGTTGGTCTGCTTCGTCCCACGCCTCGGCCACAGATCTCGCGTGTCAACAGTGAACGCGCCACTCCGGTGGTTCAAGAGGCGGAAGAAAATGTTGTCGAGACCGTAGCGGTGGACCAGGCAGAACTCCAACTCCAGGATGTGAAAGCACCATCGCCGTTGGAAGAGCCTGCAGCTCGCGAACAAGAGGTGGCTAGTCCAGTTGTCAAGTCGAGCACCGTTGTTTCGACGGTCGACGAGACCAACACCGAAATTGAGTCTTCTTCTTACACTCAGGACCTTTCAACACCTCCAACAGATGTCGCGTCCTCTGCTTCTGAAGAGGTGTCTCTTTCCGAGCAGATCGTCCTTCTAGGTCAGCAAAATCGGTACGCAGAAATTCCTGCCGTCTTTGAAGCGATCATCAAGGATGGTCACGTGCCAACTGTCGATGCGTACAATCATATCCTGGTCTCAGCCATCAGTCTGAGCACTGGTTATCAGCCATGGCCGAGGGCGCTCGAGGTGTACGGTGACATGACGAGACGTGCTGTCAAACTGAATGCCACCTCATATTCTATTCTTCTGCAGTTTTTGGCAGCCAGAAGCCTTGAGGCTCATGAAGTACAAAAGCTTGTTGGAGAGCGAGCATCTCGGTATGGTCACGACGGTACTCCAGTCTTCCCATCGGCTACCAGACAGCAGCAGCTGTATGCGGCTGACACCTCGCTTGCCTTTGCCACCAAACTTTACAACATTGCCCGTGCGACCCTGCCAGATTTCCGCCTTCCCAAGTCCGTTTACAATGCTATGGTCAAGGCCTGTGCCCAAGCCGGATTGGTCGATCATATGAACCACCTTCTGGCCGACATGGGTGTCCATGGCATACAACTTGACCCTCGATTGTATACGGTCGTCATTGATGCTCAGGCCTTGAAGCAAGATATGCATGCCGCTCAAGCATTGTATGAAGAATACCGCGATTTGGCTATCCAGCGAGCCGCCAATGATCCTCTGGACATGCAGGTGTATGCCTCATTGATCAAGGCATACTATTCCTGTGGTCTTGCCGACACCGGCCGCCAGTTTTATGAGAAGGTACTACAGTCGTTCAAGGGCTCGGTCCACGAGCAGGCGCTTTCAGAGGAATTGACGAACGCGTTCCTCCTGAACGGCCTCGTCGCCTACCACGTTGAACAACGGTCATACTCCGCAGCCATATCCAGCATCAATGAGTTTACTTTGCCGCCCATGATCAAGGACCAGGCCTTGTCGAAGGTCTGCATTGCCGCTGCGGATGCTGGAAGCGCATCTGAGGCTCTAAGAAGCTTCGATGCCATTTCCGTGTCCAACCTGAAAGCCGAGCCCGTCATGGCCCTCGCGGCGATGCATATCCGTGCTGGTGATGTCGCTCAGGCAAAGTCGACCTGGAACAAGGCTCGCCCGCTGTCGATCGTCCCGAGCACGGATTTCGCTGCCATGTACGGTCTAGCCCTGATCAATGCTGGCGCAGTTGAAGAAGGTGTCGCTGAAGCACGGTCAATGTTCCAACGCATCCGAGCTGGCGCCGACAGCCATGTCAGTCGTCAAATGGCCGTTTCAGAAATCGACGAAGCCATTCTGCTCTTCGGCGAAGCTCTTTCTCAGCAACAAGCTGTGGTCCCAGCACCAACCAGCGTGTCTTTGCTGAGGGCGATGATCGAAAATGGTGGTCTTGTTTCTCCGGTTGCTCAACAAGCAATTGCTAGCCTCGGACCCGAATGCGTTCACCAGCTCAATGCTCAGGACATTGCTCTGGCGCTTCATGTCCAGGCTCAGATGCTGCTGTCTCCGGAGACCGTCGATATCGCCCACGTGGCCCGGTTTTCACACTTACTCGAAACCGTCCTCAACCGTGGCATTTTGATGGACCCTTCAACGGTGCATGTCGTGAGCGAGAGCCTGCCCAAAGTTGGCGCTGCCCGCCCAGACCTACTTCACCGATGGCAGCAACTCCTTCACCCAGCTCCTCCGACCTCTGTTGTCAACATACAGCCTCAATCGCCATTGTCACCTCACTCTGTCGTGTTGGAACCCGCAGCTGTCGTGGACACATACGATCCGTACGGTCACACCACCGACTACCGTGCATCCAAGGCAATCTCCGAATTGGTTGAAAGCACCAGCGGCCGGATCGAAAATCATCTCCACGACGGTCTTGCTCGGTTGAGAAATGTTCGACGTGCCGGTCGGAACCTGCACTATTCTGCCTATGCCAAACTCATCACTGCTGCCGGCAAAGCCAAATCACCCAAACTGGTTCACGACATCTTGGGCATGGCACAAGCTGATGTCCCCATGTCTCTGCAGATCCCCGCGGTCCGCAGCGGATGGATCTCCATCTTGGACTCGATGGTTGCAGCCTGCTTGACTGTTGGCGATCGAGAGCAGGCCGCCAAGTATCACCAGGAACTTCTCGATATGGGTGCAGCTCCGTCCGCCAATACCTTTGGAATCTATATCACGACTCTTGAAGGGACATTCGATGAGGCCACCGAGGCAGTCAAGATCTTCCAGCGTGCGCTTTCCGAGGGAGTCACCCCCAGTGTCTTCCTGTACAATGCTGTCATCGGCAAACTAGGCAAAGCCCGTCGCATCGATGACTGTCTTCGCTACTTCGGTGACATGGAAGGTCGTGGGATTCGTCCATCATCCGTCACTTATGGTACGTTGGTCAATGCCCTGTGTCGGACCAGTGAAGAGCGATTTGCCGTGGACATGTTTGATGAAATGGAAGCGGCGCCGAATTATCGACCTCGACCCGCTCCATACAACTCCATCATCCAATATTTCCTCAACACCAAGCGCGATCGGAGCAAAGTCTTGCAATACTATGAGCGGATGAAGTCAAAGAACATCAAACCGACGTCTCACACGTACAAGCTCCTGATCGAGTCCTATGCCACCCTTGAGCCGGTCAATTTCGCCGCTGCTGAAGCGATTCTGGCGGACATGAAGCAGGCCGGAGTGCAGCCCGAAGCGGTCCACTATGGGTCATTGATCCATGCCAAGGGCTGTGTGTTGCATGACCTCCCGGCGGCCAAAGCGATTTTCGATACGGTTTTGCATGTCGAGAAGATTCGGCCAACCGATACTCTATACCAGAACTTGTTGGAAGCGATGGTGGCAAACCACGAAGTTGCCAATACTCCAGAGGTGCTGTCGGATATGGCAAAACGTGGAGTGTCCATGACGCCCTACATTGCCAATACATTGATTCATGGCTGGGCTGGAGAAGGTGAAATTCAAAAGGCCAAATCCATCTACGACCAACTTGGCATGGAGAAGCGCGAGCCGAGCACATACGAAGCTATGACTCGAGCTTTCCTGACTGCCGATGACCGCGCGAGTGCCAGCGGCGTGGTACAGGAGATGCTGAAGAAGGGTTACCCGGCTGCCGTAACGGAGAAAGTCCTTGCGCTGGTTGGAGGAGTGACTGCATAATCGATTTGCTGAGCACGAGCAAGCCGTGGAGAAGAGTACAGGGTACGGTTATGGTTAGAGTGCTTCGAGTGTGGCGACAGTTCGCTTGCCTCGATTGTACTCCTGTTTTCTTTTTGTTTTCTTTTGTGCAATGGACGATGATACCCGGAGAAACAACCACAACCACAACTTTGCCGAAAATGGCAGTCTCACACCATACGTACGCTGTGTGTGTGGACTGTTCTGTGCGCGGCGAGTAAAGTGGCCTTACGACATTGGCGTTTATTGGATTTGTTTGTGCTTCAGCCTGGACTTGTCGTTGAAAAAAGCGACGGCGACGGCGGAAGTTTGTTTTGGTTTCGCCATGGCGGGTTTGCGACGGAGTCATGAGCGTTTTGGATGTGCCCGTCAAGGCAATGGGTTGGATTGCATCGCATTGGGCAGATGCAGGATTCGGAATGGTTTCATTCCACGTGTACCAACAGAACACACGAAAAAGAGACTCCCTACTCAATAATCCTGAAAATAGATGAACGACACAACTGACCACCCAACAAGTCCAGTGCAAGTCACTGGATCTGGGTGAGTTTGATGTCGTGTCGATCGATATAGTCTAGTCCTCCTGGCAAGAGCCGGTCGAGGCGAAATGAAATGAAAGAAAACAAAAAATATTTTCGATGCGCACTTATCTCGTTTTGTCTTGTTTTGTGTCTTGATATCTACATGTACATGTATGTACAGTTGACCTAGGTAGTCTTCCTGTTGGTCTTTGTTTCTTTTGGTCAACATCAAGGACTAAGTCTTTCGATCTTCCAAGCTGGAGCCGACTGATCAGGTTGTTGCGTCCCATCTTGTTTTTGGATCCTAGTATACCGAAACCGATCATGCAAACGAGACTCTCTCCCCTGCCAGAACTCAATGGTTTCCGGAACGATACGGATTCCACCCCAGAACGGCGGGACGGGAATTTCATCGGTATCGGCAAACCGGGCTTCGATTTCTTTGACGCGGGCATCGAGTTCGGCCCGACCGTCGTCATCGTCCTCAGCACCCTCAACTGCGTCAACGTTGTTTTGATTGTCTTCTTTTTCTTCGGTAGTCGTCGTCGTTGCTGTCGTTGTTGTTGTGGGCGTCGCCGGCTTCGCCGCCGCCGCCTTTCGCGGTACAAGCACACTACTCTGCTGACTCGCCCAAGCCCCAATTCTCGACCCTCTGGCTCGAGTATCGAAATAGACCTGACTTTCCTGCTGGCTTAATCTCTCGACGCGTCCTTCAACCCGCACCTGTCTCTCGACGGGTTTCCACCAGAAACATAGACTGGCGTAACTGTTGGTCGCGAGGTCGGAAGCTTTGCGACTGGTTCCTAGGTTTGTGTAGATGACGAAACCGCGCTTGTCGAGTTCTTTGAGGTAGACCATGCGGGAAGACACGCGGCCTGAGGGTAGTTCGGCGGTTGAGAGGGTGACGGTTTCGGGGATCGAGGTGCTCAGTTCGGGCGCGGAGAACCATTTGTGGAATTGGAGGAATGGGTCGTCGACTAGGTCGTGCCGGTGGAGGCGGAATTTTGTGAATTGCGCGGCGCGGTGGATGTCTTTGGGGTCGTGGCCGGGTGCGACTAGGAGAGAGAATAAGTAATAGTTTTGGGGTTGCTGTAGGTCTGTAGGTGGAATAGGATTGTTTGTGATGGTATTGGATGACCCCTGGTTCATGGGTAGGGAGAGCGTTGATATATCGGTATGCTTGCTGCAACGGTCCAGGGTATGTTTGTGTGTTTGTGTGGATATGCATGTACATTGAGGGCATAGAAACATGATATCGGGTGTGGGTGCAGTGGGTATCAGCCAGCATATAACATGACAGGCAGTACCACCATCATTTTGCAAAAAACAGAAGAAATTCGGCGAGGATGATGATTTTCCATATTCACCCCATGGAGTGGCATTCCCTGTCAGGATCCTTCCTCCGCTCGCGTGATCAATGATGCTAGGATGTGCATAGCATAGTGACAGTTTTGACTGCCTTATCTGTTTCTGGAACCAAAACCAGACTCGTGTTGAAACCGCGGCATGATACATATATGCAAAGAAACAACTCAACTCGACTTACAGATCAGCTTGTCTAGTGAAGGGGCAGTCGACATGCCCGTGGCTTGGTGGAGTGCCATTGGGATGGATCGGATTTGATGACCAGGTGTGATTCTAAGGGCTCGGACTCGAGTTGCAGCTCCAGATAGCATATGAGAGTAAACGATCGAAGAACGCTCAATATCAAGGGCAACTCGAGCGGGTGGAACGGGTTATATTACTCTTCCTTGAGCTAGGAAAAGAGCCGTGTGGTAAAAGTCTTAGATGTCACCCGGTACCTACCTACTACTGCTTCGCTCCGTGAATCTCCCGATCATGACGCGAACAAGGCTCTGACCGAGCCTGGGTGGAATGACTGTCATTTCAACCGCGCCGGAAGCGGAGTATCATGCGAAAGCAATCTTACGTGATTACTTATGAAATGCAGTGCCCCAGTCACGTGTGAGGCCCTTCGTTTATCCCAACGACCCCCCACAAAATGGGATTCCGCATGTCTTTCACCACCATAAACACACCGACGCACCACACCGACTGAAACCAACCACACCAGCAACAGCACCTTGGTCCGGCACACTCTGATCCAGACCCATTGCCTTGGTCCATTGAGATCCAAATCATCCAGACCCTTTGCGCTGGGTAGAACCACGAGAAAGAGCACACTCAGCTCTTCTGTCCCAATTACGCTGCATTGAGGCCCCGTGCCCAATCACTTCCACACCGCTTTGCGTCTCCCATTCGCGCCACTTTTCCAACAAGTCCTGGCTGGTCGAAAATTGGGCGTCCGGTACAGTACATACGACAAGGCGGCATTTGGCACGATTGTCAGGGTGTTTAGCCCCTCGTTCACTTGCTACTTGTCCGGTCTGGAGCCCGCGTCAGGCTGAAACCAGTCGCGCCCAACCAAGACTCATCCATTTCCCAGTTTGTTTATATTTCAGCCCTAGCCCACTTTTCCTCGAGCACGAGGTTTTGTTTCAATGCCGCATCCGAAGGTCGAAAAGATCAATACCAACACAGATTCCGCCTTGACCAAGAATCCAATGGTACGCATTGCTTTGCACCTTTATCCGAGCCGGCCTTGGCTGGCTGGCGAGATAGACAGTAAAGTTGACTGACTGACACTTGCCATGGATACAGACACAGACACCCACATCAGCTAAACCCTCCGAGGAGGAAATCAAGGCCTACAGGGATGTGTTTGCCCTTTTTGTAAGTCATCATCCCTTGAGACTGGCACGTCTCTGCATGTCTAACAATGTGTGTGCTCGCAATAGGACAAAGATGGAAGTGGTTAGTAAATCCGACTTCCTTGCCCGATGTTGAAAGCCTCAGTCTCAGCCTCATCATCGCGACAACTTATTTATCTTGGCAATCATCTTCATCGCCTCCTGAAAAGAGTCAATGAGATGAGCGTTGCCCCTTCAAGAGCCAGTCTAATCTGCTCTCACCAGGAACAATCACTGCCCAGGAACTCGGCGAGATCATGCGATCGCTGGGCCAGAACCCATCGGATTCGGAGCTCCAGGACATGGTATGTTTGGTTCACTCAGTATCACTGCCTTGCGTGCACATGACCACCATTACCAATTCTTTTCTTATCGTCAACTTTGACACCTCACCCGATTCTTTCAATATGTCTATGGTAACTGACACTCTGACCAACTTGCTTTCTTCTAGATCAACGAAGTCGACATCGACCATTCTGGCAGCATAGATTTCGATGGTGGGGAATCATATGCCTCTTTATACCATATCGTGGTATTCCATTGCTAACAATCGGGCCAGAATTTCTCAAAATGATGTCCACGACCGTCCGAGCGCAGGATTTTGCGCACGAGACTCGCGCGGCCTTTGATGTCTTCGACAAAGATGGCAGCGGCACCATTTCGGCCGACGAGCTCCGCCAGGTCATGAAGTCTCTCGGCGAGAATCTCACTGACGCCGAGATTGAGGAGATGATCCGCGAGGCCGATAAGGACATGAATGGCACGATAGATTGTATGTTCCCTTCCCCATCTCTCTCCCAACCTATGTGTTCTATGGACTGTCTCCAGACAGCCATACATCCTCTCTACATAATTCCATTTACTCCACCTTCCCTCATCTGCCCTCCCTGCAAACTGGTCTAGTCCGTACTGTACAATGAGTCAATGTACCTAGGCTAACGTTGAGACCACTTGTTCCATCGAATTCAGACGAAGAATTCGTGCAACTGCTCTCACCGAAACCATAAGGAGACCCCGAAACCAGCAAGAACCCAGAGGAGGGAGATGGTGTTCTCTCTTGCTCTCCTTTCTCCCCGGGACCGACCGGCCGACCGACCGGACTAATTGAGATATTTAACGGCTGCCTAGGTAGTTTTGATCTTGACCCGACATGACAATGACGCCTTATATATATTGAATACATAATGTCACATCCTCCTCCACATACACGTACACAGTACCCATCTTCTGTTCTTCTCGCTTTTGCCTCCCGCATGTTTTGTTTGTTTCTTCTCTCCGTGTGTCTGGCTATGACTATCTACCCCTTTTATGGTCCTCAAACACTGCAATCCCAAAACGATTGTTTTCGATTGTGCTGCAGTGGCAGGAAGGGGACCAGGAGCCGGCACATGGCAGAAGAAGAGCACTTTGATCCTGAAGAAACTGTTCAAGATGCCTCGAATACATCAGCACACACTCGCCAATTCCTGTCTAACTTAGTTAAGTAGGATCCATCTGTCCTTTGGTCGGTGTCTATCCGTCAAGTTAAAGCTGCCAAAGAGTAGCAACACCTGGAGGTGTGTTTGGGGTTGAGTTGACAGCAGTATTCGCAGCATACATAACCCCCTGGAGAGTACACAGACGTAGACTCCCTAGAGAAACTTATTCTCGCACACTACGCGGAGGACTATGGAAATGGGAATTCAAATGGCGAAATCTGGAAAGGCACGGGAAAGGGAAAGGGAAAGGAAAAGCTGAAGCTTTGCTCGGCTCATTCATCTACCTGTACAATAAAGCGCAAGGCTGACCGGGCTATCCGAGTGTCTCTCTCTCTCTGTGGTGCCCTCCGTGACTGAAGGAAGACAGATAGGCACAATAAAGCTGGGCATGGCCACTTTTTGCTGCGACTCCATCTTTGCCCCCGAAAACAAGCAACACGTCGCCTCGCCTCGCTTCGCCTGGTTAAGCCACGCCACACATCGCCGAGCCCGTTCCACAGATTAAGAAAAGGTAAAGGCAAAGGCAAAGTTGCAAAAAAGCTCTTTTTTTTTTTTTTGCATGCGCCCACACTGCATTCCAACCTCTCCAGCCCCGTTCTTCGGCTTCCTCGACAAACCCGCCGAACTAAAATGATGATGCTGATACGAAAAAAGAGAAAGGAAGGTCGCTGACAGACAGATCTACCTCCATTGTGGTGTGCTTGTTGCACATGGCAATGGGGTCAATCGATGTTGTTGCAATGTTGTTTTTTGCTGCTGCTGCTTCGGCAGTGTCGACACGACCAGTCCGGGAAAATACAGTGGGAAAAACACGATGACAGCACCGGACCAGGTCAATTTCATTTCCAGCGTGCGGTGCACTACCCCTGCTGAAAGACCATGCCTCTGGTGGTGTGACGGTGGTGGTGAAATAATGTCCTGAAGAGTGTGCCGTGCCGCTGATCCTAGAAAAGCAGCCAAGGGCTGGTCATACATGGCCTTCAATGTGCTTGTGCTTGTGCTTTGGACACCTGTCGAGACCGTGGTCCACCTCGGTACCGAGAATGCTTCCCGGCATAAGATCCGCCAAATCGCTGCCTGCCTCCGTTGTTCCCCGCGGCTCCCTTGAGCGGAATGTCCTTTTTGATAGGTTTTGTAGACCAAGGGAATCGAATTAGGGCATATTGAGGCTTGGGCGGAGCATGGCGCTCGTGCAGGTTGCTGACCATAAACGGATGGCACGAAAAAGGCTCCACTGGGGCTGGTTGCGGCAGTCTCGTGGCATAGGAAGATGGTGAGTATGGCAGTATCATCGGGGTTTCCTTGGGAAAGTGGATGACCGGTAGCGAGCCTGGCTCTCTGTCTTCAAACAGGTCGTCCTCATCCTCCACATTTTTGGTGGTTGCGAAAGAATCATCTCCGTTAGCCACAAATTCCGGCTCCGTATGGGAGGGGAGAGACACCGAGGCGGCAGATTTGATCTGAGAATGCTGTACCTCCAAAGGCTCTCGTGTCGATGAAGTCACGGCAAGACGAGCATCCACGGGATGGGTTGCTTCTCTCACAGGAGAAGATTTCTTCCCCAACAATCCATTAAATCGTTCTTGCCATGATGGATTCTGTACAATAGGAGTAGAGACGGTACGAAGCGCAGAGCCGGAAGCTGACGGACCAGATGGAGGCGGCCTTGATACCCTTGCGGCCCATGTCATGGGAGCAGCATCGGCAGCACCTGTGGTCTGGGGTTCCTCGGGACTTGGTGGGGTCGGCGGGAGAGCTGGTGGTAGCTTGACCACAGCTTTTTCGCGCGGGAAATGGACAACAGGTTTGGCAGAGTCACCGTCGAATGCTGGATGTAGACTAGAGTACTCTTCGGCTGGCGGTGGCGATGGTGTTCTTGGTGGCTCTGGGTGACTATAAGTAAACGCCCGTCGATCTTGAGCGTGATGACCCCCAACGTGGTGTGGAAAGAATCTCGATCCCCGACCGCCTGGGGCTGTGATCGTCCTCGCACCAATATCTCCGCCAGGCAGCGATGATCTCACGGCGCCAAAAGCAGTCGAGGCTGGCACGGCAGACTGAGAGATGTTTGCAATGTGTCGTTGTTCGGCCGAATCACCAACATGCACCTGCTTCCATGTCTCGTTGAAGGAATATTGAGGCCCCTGCCGAATACCTGTTCGCGCCTCTTCCTCGCGACGAGCCATCAAATCTCGATGAAATTTGTCGTCTTCCGCACGTTCCTGTTGCCTGGCAACCTGGTGGAAATTGCTCCAGGCATCTAGGGCCTGAGGTCGATTGTTGTTCTGGAAACCGTTGTTCGCAGAAGATGGCTGAGATTGTGGAGGAGCAATGGGCGCCGGTTTGGTGGTTGGCAAAAGAGAGTCGACTTCGCTGTCGACGGCCAGAGAACCCTGATCGGGAGAAGCCACAGACTGGTATGGAAAAGACCTGCTGTCTGCAAGCGGAGCGTGGTTTACATATTGGGTCTGCGGCGAGCGACCAGCGTGAGGTGTTCTGTTGTTCATCCAACCTTGCGTCGTGGAAGAGGTACGCGACAGATCCTGTGGAGCATACCCTGCTAGACCTTGGTCAAAAGTACCATTACCCAGCGACTTGTTGTTGGGCAGCCCCCAAAGATTACCTGTCTGCGGTTGGCGATGATCGTGCCGCACGTCTCCCCAACCACTTCTAGCATCACTCGTAACTGAGCTCGGCTTGGGTAATTTAGGGCTCGGTTCGGCGGTATCAACTGCTTCTTGGCCGCTTGTCCGTCGCATCTCGGGACCCAGTCCTCGCACGCCATTCGCAAGGGGAGAAGGTGCTTGAGTGGTTTCCGGATGTGGCTCCTGGGTTGGGCTGGATTCAACCTTTGTTCGGGAAGGCAAACGCTGGGACTCGACAGGCCGAGAGATCGAAGTGCCCAACTTCTTGACCGAATCCATGGGGTGGACTTTCATCATTCCATATTGCTGAGGTTCGCCAGAAGCAAGCGGCTGAGGCGGTTTCGGTGGCGAATGGGTGACTGCAGCGGCCGGAGGTGCGCTCGGAGCGGGGACAGGAGGCTGCTCAGGTTCTTTCCTCTCTTCGGTATCCTTGTTCTCGGTCTTTTTCTTCGGAAGATCAGGATCGAGACCAAGTGAGGCTAGCTTCGCACGGATGCGCTCCTGTTTCTCTGCCTCCAATCGTTGCTCTTCCTCAATCTTACGTCTGCGGGCCAGTTCAACCTTTTCTCTCATCAACGCTCTCTGCTGGGCACGTTGAGCCTCAAAGTCTACACCAGCAGCGGGAACTGGTCCTGCGGTGCTCGGCTCACCGGTGCCGTGAGCTTGATAGGTTGGTGGTTGACTAGGCGCAGGCGGTTCTTCTGTGGAAGGCGGAGGCATGCTAGGCTTCTGCTCCTGTTCGCGCGTTTCGAATACGGGAGGCGCTGCCTCGCCCGATCGGATAGACATTCGGCGGCCGAACTGTCCACTTCCGCCAGAAACAGTGGAAGAAGCTCTGCGCCGCGCTTGATCAGTGCTTGTGCGGTGAGTTTGGAACGCAGCTGATGGCTCAGCCGGAGCATGGGGATCAGTGTGACTCGGTCGTTGTAAAACGGCAGGAGCTCTGAAGTTTTGATCGTTTCGAGACATACGTCTTCGCCTGTCGGGAACGGCTTCATAACGTCCAGAATTTGGCATGTAAAGCTCGCGGGGATGGCCTGGCTGTGACTCGCGCCAGGTTCGATTGAAGTCATCTGCCGAGATTTCTTGCGCTGGGGATGGAGCCGCCATGGACGGTGGCTCTTGGTTATGGGCGTGACTCGGAGGCATGCGGTTCGGTGGAGGCATGGACATCTGCGGGTTGATGGCGACTGGCGAAACCTTCTCGACGGGAGGTAATGGTGCCCATGGAGATTTCGCTGGTGTAGGAGCAGGGCCCGATTTTGAAGAAAGGAACGAGGGTCTCTCTGAAGGGCCCTTGGACTGGAGAGTCGCCTTCTGTGCTTGATGTCTTTCCGCACTTGCACCGAGTTTGAGAACAGTGGCATTAGGACCGACAGAGCTGGCAAAATGTGGAGCTGTTATCTTTGGAGGTGCTGCAGGCTCTGACTTCTCCGCCGTCTCGGCAGAAGACGTCGTAGGCTTCTGAGCTGCCTGTGGAGCCGCTTCAGCGGGAGTCAAGGTGCTCTTGGTGCCATCATTCCATTCGATAGTTTCCGGAGCCCAGTCATCTTCGTCGTCATCAATGTCCGCCCATTTTGCCTCTTTTCCATCACCATCTGCCTGTATCCGCGACGTCAAATGAATTCCGTACTGCTGCTTAAGCTCTTCATCGGTCAAATGCTTCGTCGACGGTTGTGGTGTGGCTAGGATAGTGTCAGTTGACTACGCGGCTATGAGTTGTGACGAGAAGCATTACCTCTGTTCTTGTTCCACACTTGCATCGGGTCTGGCGAGGCGGTCTTGTATGGCTTCGATGAGGATTGCAGGGTACTGGTAGTTTTGGCAACCAAACGTGGACGTCCGGCCTGTGAGATTGACGCAGTCGACGAGGTCGGCGTTGCAGCTAGATTCTAAAGTCAGTCGGATCCGCGGAAATGCGGTTTTGCCATTACCTTTGTCGAGACCTTTGGCCGCTGCACTGGCAGCAATAACCTTGGGGACTGAGTACTTTGCAAAGCTAACGGGTTTGGCTGTGAGCTTCTTGAAAGGCTTGGACTCGGCAACCTTGTCACCGGCGACACTCCCATCTGCACGGCTGGTATCGGTGTCGGATCGCGCTGAAGCATCTTCGAGGTCCTCCGCCTTGACATTGGCCAGTGTATGAACTCCATTCTCCTTCGAAGTAGCCTCCTCGGCACTAGTGGTAGCGTCCCCAAAGACTTTGATATCAGGTGTGGATGTGGGCACAGGTGCGTCGGAAGGCGATGCGTCGCCCGCCGACCGAGTTTGGTTTACCACATCCTGCGCACTCCGCTCTGCCATAACAAACTCGAATCTGTGCGACGGGGAACGGCCTTAGTCAGGAGGCGTGAAGTCGGGGCCAGCGTGCCGGTGTGTACCTGTTAATGGGTGCAGTCTGCCAGGGTTGCCAACGTGCTGTATCTCGGTCCGATGACGGACGGTGTCGCTGCGGTAAATTCGGTCGCGTGTCGGCGGGAGGACCGGGAAAAGAGCAGGAGAGGAAAGGCTACGACACCTGATGGGGAGGAATACAATGCTTGGGGAAGAAAGGGTGGTTATTGAGGGAGTTTGAGATTAGGAGACTTGGGCACGCAGTTCAAGGTGGAACTTGAAGTCGGTGCCAGTGCCTGAGTTGCGGCGTTGTAAGGCTTGGCGCCTGCGAGACTTCAATGACTGCAACTTGCAGTGATAAGCGAACCCAGGGACTATACTGATGAGCCTCACTTCACCGTCCAACATTGCCTGGGCTGTGTATGTTAAAGCTGACGATGGCACACATCCTCGGTGACGGGCTCACTGCATTCTACTGGGGTCCTGTGACTCAATTCCTAGGTCCCTGGTACCATTGGTGGTTGGCCCAGTACATCTACTACTACTCGCAGTGCACCTCCGGGGTATATCGGTCATGCCACTTCCGCGCTGCCAGGGCCTCTGCTCGCTACACGGCCCTACAATGCAGAGGCGTCATATCTTGCAAATAGATCCGCGCATGGACCCATTGCCACTCCGTAACCAATACATCGGGTAAGGCATTACTCCTGCTCGGCCCATTCCATCACGACTGCACCCTGAGGTACTGGGGTTGATGGTCATTTGGCTCTTAATCCGTCATGCAAATGGGTTGTGTCGGATTGCCATTTCACTTGCGCAAGACATTGGTGCGGGTTTGCAACTTCGTAGCCAGAATTCCACGCAGCATCGTCTGAAGTGGCTCCCTTGAGCGAGACCCAACAAGGGCAGTAATCCAGGCATCATGCATCGTAAGAATATCACCACAAACGAGTTCAACATGACGATTGGCATGTCACTTTGAAATAGATACATTGCTGAAGTCGGCTCTAATTCATTTTCGGAAAGCACCTTGACAAGCTCAACCGGTTTATTCGATTTTATATACAGTCTGCTCGCAGGCTATTCAGTCATTCATCGATGCACAATCAGTGAGCATTGTTCTTGTGGTGTCCTGCACGTGGTCAGCACTCGGATCCCTCTAAAAAATATGGTTGATATGACATACGCAGATGGAAGTAGTACTCCATGCTGTAACCCAAAGCCATGATACCGAAGATGACGTGCCAAATTGCTGTCGCTGGTCAGTTCTTATCCATATATGAACATGTTGGCGGTACGTACGAGCTGCTGACGGATTCTTGCCAAAGTATTTCGCTTGATATCTGCCCAACAGTCCACTAGGGGCTCTTTCCGGCGCAGGACCCTTGGGGAGTTGCTCGTAGAATTTGGCTATTCTCGCCATGCGCTGGGCATTTTTGGCAGCACCAAGGCCCTGGAATTCATCAGATTCTGTTCAGCTCTTCCGCGCAACCACGACTGAGGAGAATGGGTGAGGATTTCGTTGTTCGTGTTCGGTACGGATTTCGATGGGTCGGGTCGGGCCAATTGGGCGGACAAAGTGCAAGCTATCAATTCCAACATACCTGTGGGTTGGCGACCTATGTCATCCGTTAGCTTGTATATACCTTAGGAGGCTTCAGAGCAATGTGTTACCTTCGGGGGGACCAAGGTTGATAGTCCACGACGGATGACGAACGACATTTTGAGCTGGTCGGCGGTGTTAGCCCTTTTCTTGCCTATACTGCAGACAGATTATCACCGTACAAATTCCTCAGAACTGCTCAACGGAGTTGCGGGTCACTGCTGGAGCTGTTCGAGCGTTGAGTCTGCTGTCGAGAGCTTCCCATCGACCTTCATCGCAGACACTGGCAGGGAAAGCTCCGGGCTTGGCTAAAATATAGCTAACCATTTACGGAGTAGTCTACTATGCTGACTAAGCGGCCAGGCTCTGCCTTCTCCCATAGTATCCCCATTGGTCACCGTTATTGTTTATCCTCATCCTGTCAATAGCAAGGTATTCCATACACATGTTCCTTGTGTAGGCGCTGTGCAAGCATGTCCCCTCATAAATATATCGATCTCACATGATAATGCTTCCACTTTATGCAACCGACTTCAAATTACTAGTAGGCGAAGACAACGGTTCCACCCATTCCTCGAGAGATCGTTTCAAACCACCCCCTGAGCAGTTATACCAGGTCACTCATCACAGCCATAGTCGTCATCAGGAGTAGCCTCTTCTGACACCGTCTCTTCGGCAATATGACTGTTCCCACTCCGAGGGGCGTCTGAATGGCCAGACCCCACGCCTCAGGCAAAGAAACGAGGATCTCGTGTCTCATATCCCAGGGTACCACGACTCTCATCGTCAATGACAAGGAAGTCGTGCGAATGTTGCTGATCTTTGTCAAAGCAGTCCTGGTTTCGCGTATCATTAATTGCAAGCACAGGAAGTTGATCATAGGGCGTGCCCTCGTTGCTGATGAGTATCGGAGTAGACGTTCTGGGTGCGACCGGCGGGCTAGAATTGCACACACCACTGTGATGGGACGGAGTGGAAGTTGAATTGGGGTCCGCACTGGACCTTGACGGGAACAGTCTCGGGAAGAAACGCTGAAAAGTCGGTCGTAGCATTGGCAGATTAGCACAAATCACTCCCAGACCGGCCTCGATTGTTGTCCAAATAGTTGACACCAATGACCCGGCAGTGAGATCGCCGCCGTATGCCGAAGAATAAAGTGTTGTCAGTCGAGAGATTGATGCCGCGCAGACAATGACACCTAGGCCGAAAATGCAGGTCAAAGCCAGCTTCTGGCGGATCGGCAGCCTGAGAGTGAATATAACAGGCGGTACCATCAAAACGATGATGAGGTCTGTTAAAATATTGTAGATGGCATTGCTGTACCAGAGTGTGTATAGGTTGAGGCAAGTTCCCTCAACGCTCCATCGATCCCATGCCCGCCGTACAGGGCTGCATTGAAAGACCGTGACAGAAGTGAAGCACAGGCAGGCACAGCTGACAAAGAGGATCAGCCCCCAGCAAGTCCGAACGAACCACGGACGATCGGTGAAGATGCGGATGTAGAGAAAGAGGATGGACAGCTTGGTACAGTTTATGGTGAGCTTGTAGAATATCTGAAGCAGGAAGAAACACTAGATGGCAACGGCATAGGTTAGTAATGTGCCCAATTGAGGAGAACGGACAACCAGTCTACATACCCTCAGCGCCAGAGCGGCTTGATGCACATTCATGCTGTTGAAGGGCCTTCCGTACCCAAAATTGACGGCAGCGACAGATGCGCTACACTGCACGAATAGGAAGATCTTTTCATGCGTCAGCCGTACGGCAGTATGATACAGGTTTTCAGAAGCTTACCGTGGATGCTATCGTCGACAGATCGTCGAGGCCGAGACTCCCCACGAGCCTCAACCGCCAGTAAACTCTGTTAGTTACTAACAGAAGCGCAAGCATCGGCGCAATGACCGAAGGTATCACTAGATGGACGCCACGCCCACCCAGGCCGAAGTTTCCATAGCGGCAATTGGTACAGTTGTCCATGGCAAAAGAGTACAGGACGGGATATCTCAAGCAAATGGGCTTTCTGGGCACAAAGAGGGCTGGGTCGTCCTTAAAAGTACCTTTATTGCTCAGGTTTCCCTGCTGCATAGACTTGATTGTTTTGTTTTGATTCCAACGGCTCGCAACGGATGAGCCGCAACGGCACCGAGGCGGGACTTGGTGGCTTGGAGGTTTGAAGAAGGGACAATTTCAAGGGAGGAAGGGCAGAAATGGTGTTCACGGGTAGTACACCACCTCCATGGCATGCAATGGAAAGATATAAACATTCTCAAAACCAGGAGAAACAAGCACGAATAGCATTTTATTTCAGCACAAACCAGACAACTGTACATCTCCTTGTATCGGGAATCGGCCTGCCGACAAACATTGTCACCCACCTGAAATGATCGAGTCAACTTGAGTTCCCCCCGGAATGTATGGATTCTGGTATTTTCACTGCGATACATCGATCTGCCATGTTTGCGCTGACTTGTGGACTCGCGGGACAACTGCATAAGGAGCGTTGAAACTTCAGGGAATGGGTCACTGACTACCTCAGAGCCAGCACTGCGACTCTGCAAGGCAGGCAGTGCCATGCAAGTGATTCTTCAGGCAGTGTGAGACCAGTTGCCTTGTGGGGCACTTGGACTGATACACCGCGTCGCCTTCTTCCTCAGCCGACAGGTTTCGCATGAGGTGCTGTTCTGTTATTCTCGACTCTTTCAAGACTCGCACGACCAAGCCATGAGCCTAGGCTATAGGAGACGGGGAATCAGAATCCCATCAAGACTGACTTGTAGAGAGACTCGAGACAAAATGGACCTGTCCGTTCGATCTGTCACAAGTGCAAGTTCCCGAAAGCCTAGTTGCGTGGTCGGTCCTACCATCAATCCAGTCTCGTGGTCAAGCTAATCCCGAGGATGGCGCCAGCGGCAGGTCAATCTTGTGGAAGAGGCGACTTCATGCTTGCGGGTTGCGGGACAGATGGCTTAAGTCCGAGCTGAAATTTAAATCGAACGGTCGATGTTGATGTTTGATGATGTTCAAGTTGTTGGCATCTTCGTTGGTCGAAGAGCTTACGTGACCGGTCTTGTCTGATTGGCTCAAGTTGGATGGCTACAACTTGAACATCCCCTGAACAAAATATATATGCACACACGCCTAACAGCTCAAACACCTCTCCAGCTTGCGGTGGTTGTCGATAACCATAGCACTGATGCCTCGCTCCGGCAATGAGGGTTTTGATGGGTGAGTAGCCCCATTCTGAAAGTGGCCACCGGAAATCCCTCCGGCCCATATCCACGCCAACCCTGCGACCGCTTCAAGAAAGCGGCGTTACGGTTATGGCTCGAATGGAGCCTTTCGGTGCCTTTGACATCGAGCCTTATCTCAAAGCATTTATACATATCATATATATGATATGTGTGTGCATACATGCATTCGACTCTCTGGGGTTGTCGCCAGGGCATGAAGACCAGCCGCTTCATCCCAAGAGTCGAGCTGGCATGAGCTGGGAGGCTGCAAGAAATATTCTGCAGTGGCCTTTGAAACCACCAAAAGCTCTCGGGTGGCAGTGTTGAAAACCCTCAATAATGGCTTTGCCTTGTTCAATCAGCAACAAAATAAAGGGCTGGTCACTTTGTACCCAGGGAGTTGGCCACTTTGCACACCATGAACGCGCAATGCCCTCGTCCAGGACTGTCTTTCTCCATATTTCATGACCATGCAAAAGCGTCAATGAATGCTCCAAGAAAGGAAGGGCTACGAGAGCCGCAGCGAGGACAGCCTTGGAGCGTCAACAATGAGGTAGGTTCGAGAGACCACAACGCGCCCATCATCTTCACTGCCATTGCGCCGCACTGCCTGGTGCTCGCGTCCTGGTCACAGTGAAGGAGCCTATGATGAATACGGCGCACTGCCTTCAGAGTTAGAGACTCGACGAAGTGAAGCAATCCATGGTTTCCTCGGTCAACAGCGCGTGTTGTTTCTCTCATCCTCTGCCTCAAAACATGACAACCAGACCCTTCCCATCGCGAACCATCCAAAACCCCCATCCCATACTTTCTCGAACTCACTTGCACCAATCATTAAACCTCCTTGCTTGCCTCCTTGACCCATTATCACAATAGCGTCAGCCTCTATTCTGGAACAAGCATCGACAAACGCTCCGTTTGCCCTACCTGCTACCACACCCAAAGTCTTTCTAGCGACTCTGACTCCACTCCAGCACGGAGTCTACCATGGTACGGACAAGACTAACAAGACTTCGGAGTTATCTAACCATTGGCAGGAAAACTCAAATTCGTTGGAGGTCCTCATCGCGGCTCCACCAGCTGCGCCTTCCGTTACTATTTCACTCCCTGCATCCCCGGACTCAAACGCCATGCTCCAGACAGACGACCACCCTGCAGAAGAGACCTGGCCCTTCTCGAGGTCATTATTTCACTCTTGGTGGAATGCCGAAGCGCCAGCATTCGTGCCAGGCCGGCAGGAACATGCGAGGACGACCACCGACGATAATATCCTGGGAGGCATGCTCAGAATGAATGATATGGGTTTCAGCATGACGGCTGCCGAATTTGTACCTGGAAACCAGGAGCACATGGTCGTCCTTTCCAACGTCAATAACAAAACTCACTGTGACGAATACTCCTCCGAGTCCCTCGTCACTCAACGAGTCAACCGTGGTCGGATAACAGTGTCTCTACCACATGTCACTGGTGATCACCACCTGCTTGTCTTAACAGAATCCGGCGATTTCGTGCCTGTCACTCCCCGGGCCTGTCCATATGAATTCGTGGCCAACGACGATTTCGACGCCGAGTACGCCTTCGAGGTTGCCAAGGCAGCGGCGTGCATGCGAGAGTACCAACAAGGGTGCTCCATGTATCGACAAGGCATCTACTTGCCCACCATGCGCAACCGCACCGATACGGTGCCGGAGGTCTTCTGCGCCATCCGCTGTCTGGCTCGATACCCTCTTCTATCGACGCCGGCGGCAAGAGAGATCCCCGCGGAGTTCACACAGCGCAACAGACAGGAGCACCTGCTCGGGTGGCTGGAGACATGGTCCCAATACGACGAGTACGCGGTTGAAGAGATGGTCGGCCACTGCATCCACCATTTCTCCTTCTTCAACCAACCCGTGTACGACAAGTCGGCCACCAAGCCAGCGACGACGATCGCTGTCCTCAAATCGTCGCCCAAGCATTTTGCCACGAGGACAGATTCGAGGGACCTCCGCGTTCCCATCACAGTCTGGTGGGCATCTCACTTCCTGGATCCGGTTCGGTACACTGGCAATCCAGAGATCCTCGACACGTTGAGAGGAACAGCCCTAGAAAACGCGGTGCTGGGCCAGTGCGACAAAATGTACACCGGCAGCGGCTGGTGGTTGTACGACACCCGGTGGACTCGAGAAGACGACGTCCCAATGCTTGACCTTTTGACAACAGACAAGTATCTGCCGGGGCACACCATCATCAACGGCTGTACGGAGGGCTTCCCAAGCAGCAGGGCAATCCTGTCCGCTGGCACCGAGGAGAAGCTCCAGATCGACAAGGCTCGCAGAAGTGCCTTGCAGTCTCGTCTTGCCGCCGGTCGGGTCAACTCTAGGCTTGGCTTTTCATGTGTGTCGGCCGATGAACTGGAGGAGGTGCCCGTTTTCGGCTCTACGAAGGTTGTCGGGTTGGAGCGCCGGCCACAGGACGATGGCGACGTCCAGTGTGCCAAACCGGCCGCCCCTGCTGTCGCTCCCCCCGTCAGTTCTATGGTTCCCAGTTCTGGGGTGGCCCCGGGCTCCATGTCCCGTGAGGAATTCCACCGACGCCTGGCAGCCATTCCACTGCCGAGTGGCGGAGATTGGGACGATGATGACGAAGACGAATGGGACCCTTCCCAACCTCAACCTGCAGCTCCGGAGCGTTCGGCACTGGACCAACGCCTGGAAACGCTCGGTTCGCTCGGAAATGCCAACTGGGCAGATGACCTAGACGATGAGGATTACGGGGAGATGCTGTCGACAGCGCCACAAGATGCGCAATCGAACTACGGGTCGTGGAGAGAGCGGTTGGAAGCACCCATTCCTACAGCTCTGGTCGAAGTCATAGCCAGCGTGTCAAAGGAGCAATCAGCAACGGCTGCGCAGGCAACTACACCAGATGTTCCTCTGGTCCCAGAACCATCAACGTCTGCAATTGAGGCTATGACCGCAACAGCTGCAGAGGAGGCGGTGGCGGTACCAGAACAGCTAGCAGCAGAACCCCGAGACAATGGACTTGGAGATGATGTATCACCCGCATCGTCGATGACAGCAGAACTTTTTCAGCCTGCGAGTGTGCTACCAGAGACCCAAATGCTAGACAACGCCTATTCGGAGACCACAGCATCGTCAGAAGGAGCACCGTCACATACTTCACGCTCCGCGTCCGTGTCCTCTGCCACATCGGCAGCACCATCGGTCGATCCTGCCGAGCCAAAGCCCACAACAGACTCATCGGAGCCGGGCAGCAGTTCTGAGGCCGTCGATGAGGACCAAGATGTCGTCGGAGTCGTCGTCAGCGACGACTTTCCTGTTGTCTCAACCGAGTCCAAGCCAACCCAGAGCAACGACGCCAAATGCACAACTGCAACTATGCCAGAGCCTACGCCAGCAGACAGCGAAGCACATGATCCTCCTGCACAGCACGGAATCTCAAGAACAAGTGTAACGGTGCAGCCAACGGTGGTATGCATCGAACCAGCGGACACTGCCATGGCCGGGATGGCAGTTACGACGCACCCTCGGTCCGGATCGGCCCTGGTGAGCCTTTGCCGAGCCCTTGCAGAGGCGGCAGCATATTCGCCGATCATGGGAGGGGGGTACGACCAGTGGGTTGACTTCTTCCCAGGGCCCGAGTACATGGTAGCTGCTCCTGCTGGTTCAATCACGCTACCCTCGCCGTCGACTTCCACGTCGTCACTGGCCCAGACGAAGACCAACAAACCTGTCGATGCACAAACCGGCAACTTGAAGCCGCAAGGCTGGTTGAAGAAGGGCTTTCGAAAGGTACTGAAAGTCTTCCAGCGTGGCCCGAAGAACTAGATGCAAAAGTATAGGCTGGGAGGCAAATTATTGGATGACAAGCCACTGATCATGACAATCCATCAGTCTTTTGTGAACGGGCGGGAACATGGGACTTGAGGACAAGGATGTGGGAAGATGGAAAGGGGGCTGCCAAAATCCCTCTGTGTCTATCTCCTTGATGAAGTGATGAAGCGATGAAATAACGACTCTCATGACTGTTTAAAGCAAGCAAGCGATGAATTTTGCGATGATACCCCGATGCAGAAAGCATCATGATGCACACACGATTAGATTAGTACTAGATGCAGAATGTACGAGTACGAACCTACCAGGTATCTCTTGTGAAGCCTTTCCCTGGTCCTGTCGTGACTTCTTATCTTGGTAGCCTTGCGGTAAAATATTGGAAACTCCCAAGAAAGAGTAAATTTGACAGTAATCCTTCGACAATATGCGGAAGGATGGGAGTGTGGTGGCGATACCATTTCTACTTTTCGGACTGTATAGCTTCTTCAGCCAGGTGCAGTGGTGCTGGAGCAGCCGTGTACAGTATCAGTAGCTGCATCTTTCAAATACATCCGAGACCTGCTGGAGACGTCGGCAGGAATATCGCAGTTCTGGCTGGTCGCTATCGTGCCTCCAGTTCAGTCTGCTGGAGTCCAGTGAATCTCTTTGACCACGATCGAATATGGCACGGAAGCAGCCGATGGAGGAGAATCCCCACGCCAGCACAGCAGAGTTGAACAGGCCTGTTGTATACAGTAGCAGTCCAGTTCACCAGTAGTCGTAATACACAGGCAGGTGAACAGGGAATCTCCAAGATACCAGGTGCTGTACCAACCACAGTAGTACTAGTAGTACTAGTATACCACATGTTCTGTACGTTGTTGTACCTGTAACAGATTTTAGATGCTCGCTGGCGTGTGTGGCTGCGACGCCATGCAATCTCCCCAGCCTTTCCTCCCCACTCATAGTATCACCCGCCGTCTTTCTGGCTGGTGGTGCTAGTCCTATCGAGGAAGACCGTCATCCACCATGCTCATCAAGTCAAGTTGTCGTGGGTCTCGGTTTGATGCTCTCGATGTTTGTGTCTTTTTGGGATCGATGTGTGCCGAACTCGAAGCACGTAATGGAATAATGGAAGGACGACAGGCGACGGGTGGTCTGGTACCACTACTGTGCAGTGCTTGTACCTCACTGCATGGCACGAAAGACTTGGTTCAGTTTGTGGTGCAATCATTTCGGATGTTGCGAGATACGGGAGAGTCCGAGGATCCGCAAAACCAGGTCGTGAGACGGGAGAAGGAGCATCGTGGTTGCGAAGCGAGTAGCGGGAGAGATTGCAGCGTCGAGAGGAACAGGGATGGTGTGGGCGTAATTACCATGCCGGGGCTGCGACTTAGTAGGCGGCTAGTTTAGGCCTTAGCAGCGTGAAATGGTCGCTGTAGGCGTGTCTGTCACCCAGAAGGCCGCCTAGGATAGGAAGCTAACCCTCTAGCCGATGACCTAGTAAGGTACAACTACAGCACTGGTACGGGTGCTACTGATAACCCCCCGGTTGACCACATTTCCCACGGCAAACAAGCTCACCGCCGGCTTCCATGCTGGCTTCATCGGCCTTTCACCTGGTCGACCTGGTGCCGGTGTTGCTGGTCGCTTTCCTCCTCTGACGACGGAGAAGAAAAACCCTTCTGTTAGCTGCCAGTGTCAGTCGTCTGTCGACAGTCGCAGTCGCCGTCAACTTGAACGTCCACAGGCTTCCTAAAGCACCTGCCACCGCGTCCCTGTCCCCGTCCTGCCAGTGTCACGGTGTTCGTGTGCCAATCACACCTTGCGACCCTGCGACCTCGACTCTGTGTCCGATCTGTACAGCTCTACAGTAGCTCTACCCTTCCACCCCCTTCGCAACTCTCCTTCAAGCTTGCTTTCTTCTTCGGCCAATTCGCTTCAAGTTCAACGCTCCTCGTGAGCTGTCAGTTCAGTTTTCTCACCATCAGTCACTCGTTTACTTTTGCTTCACTTCCCGTTGAGAGCCACGACTCTTCCAAAGTCCAGCCGCCGATCCCCCGGGTGCCCCATTACGCTTTGACCTTCGGACCCAGACCGCTGGAAGACGGTCATAGCCCTTCAACCAAGAATACCGGCCACCGACTTGCTGGTTCAGCCTCTGCGTGGCACCTGGTTCGACCGCGACGGCACACAATAGGGGTCCGGACAAGATGAGTCCAGCATGAACTTGGGACAGTTGGATACCTTTTGAATCCCAGGGTTGGAAAAAGACCTCCTTGGATCGACCACATCCACCCACGAGTGCGCCGACCGACGTCTGTTATTTCGAGCATGGTCAAACTGCAGTCTTGGGGTGCATTGGCCCTGGTGGCTCCCGCCGTCCTGGCGCAAAGCTGCATTTCTTTGGCGGGCTCGAAAACCTGTCCTGCCTTCAACTCTTCTTCAATATCAACTGATACTGAGTTGGTTAATCTTTAGTATGTCCCCGATGGGTGATTGTTTGACTGGACACAGACTGATTGCAGCAGCCCTTTCCTAGCATTTGTTACCAATACAGAAGACTTCGACACACAGTTAAGTCAATATGTTACTCAGCGATACGTACAACTCAAGTACGTCGATATCTTCGGCTGTGACAATGTGGATCTTCACAACACTTCAAACTATTATGCCCGCTACACGACCAGCTTTTTATGCAACGGAATCGTACAGAACTCTCTAAAGCCCTGTGGATTGTCCACTGCAGAGTCCAGACCCCTTTGCGCCGACGCTTGTGCCGAGCTGGCACTCAGCGAAGATCAGATCGTCTCAAGTGATACCTTGTGCAGGGGCCGAAATGACGATTGGGAGGCTCAGTTGCGGTCCGACTTCACCAACTGCGCCTTGCCCTCCAATGCGACCAGTGCGAACTGCATTACCGGCGAGTCCAACGAACCTCTGGACTGCGGATTTGGGGGAAACTTGATGGGGCTTTGCAACTTCTGTCGTAGCAGCACTGAGAACGGCACTGACTCGTGCTGCTTCACTGCCAATGCCACCGGTCGATGTCAGGATGTCACACTTCCTGTTTTCTCAACTCTTGCCGATCTCTTCACTTCCACTGCCACGGCTACAGGTAGTGCGGCCACCAATACTTCATCTTCAAGTGCGGCCAAACATCACGACGGCCACGGTCTGAGCGGTGGTGCCATTGCGGGGATTGTTATCGGGTCAATTTTGGGATTTCTTCTATTGCTCGGTCTTCTTGTTCTCGCTTTTGTCTGCCTTCGACGTCGCCGCAACGACAGCAAGGCCGGCAGTCTCCTCAACCAACCATCTCCACACCGGAAAGGTGTGTCCTCGTCAGCATACAATCAACCCATGACTCAGCAACCAGGGTTTGAAGTCCTCCCAGGCGGACGAGTTGCCCGTATGTCTGCTCTACAGGATGAACAAGCAGGCGGTATGACCGCTCGCCCAGACATTGGGCCAAGAAACTACACTTCTCACACAGATCCATATGGTGATAGCCCGGAATCCCACGATAAGGTTGTTGGGGCTGCCGGAGCCATCAAACATCGGGGATCCCCCGGGGATTCGCAGGAGAGCAGCTCGCCGGGCGAGTATTCATCGCCGGAAGGGGTGGGAAGCGGACAGTCCGAGCAATTACCTTTTTTCAAAGACTACTATTCCAACGACGACATTCATCCAGGAGACAAGGTGGCCGTACTGTGGGCCTACCAACCACGGGCGGGGGATGAGTTTGAGCTCGAAAGAGGAGACATGCTCAAAGTGGTGGGCATCTGGGACGACGGCTGGGCAACTGGAGTGAGGCTTAACGAGCGGGCAGAGGACTATGACGGCAAGGAGCACCAGCTGCAGCGAGACAGTGGTGTTTCCAATGTGACGGGCGCACGGCAGGAGTCTCCTACACCGCCTGGAGAGATCAAAGCTTTCCCTCTGGTCTGTGTCTGTCTGCCTGAAGCGTGGAAAAAGACGGTGGAAGGGGACACTTCGACGGACAGCGGATCAGCCGGTGGTCGACCGCCGACATGAAACTTGACTCTCAGTTCTGGTTAGTCGACAAACTTGAATCAGTTATCGCGTTTCTCTTACGACGACATGCAGTTAGCACGGGCGTTTTATATTTCAGGGAGGTTGGCCCATCATCCCACCGCATTCTAGCAGAGTACAGACGATAATATACCAGTAATTTTGTATCGCAGCAAAAGAAGAGAGATTGACTAATGTAGTCTCTGGTAGAAGCAGTCGGTATTCTGATCGGTTGGAGCCGCCTACTAAGTAAGACAGAAGACAGAGAGTGCTAGCAGGATGATTGTAGACGAGCCGACTGGCCTGGTCCGTTTCTGGTCCAGTCCAGTCTGATCTGGTCGTCCGATCATGACAGCACTGCTGTTCCTGGTACTGTACACTACTCACTATCTACATGTAGTACCTGGTATGCAGCTACCTAAGCATTGTTGGACCTTCAAGTTCGGAACGCGCGAGGTGTACAAGTACTACTAAATAAGACTCCTTGAATCGAATCAAATCGGAGATGAGATACAAGGGCGGAAAAGTCAAAGGGAGAGAAAAAGAAAAAGGCAGCGCAGCACTGCACTGCAGGGCACGTACTGTACTAGTCGCTACCTACCCATGTACAGTGCCATGTACTGTAGTAAGGACCAAGTAAATTACTAGGTAGGTAAAGTACATGGTAAAGTAGGTACAGAGAGTAAGGTAGGTAGGTATAAGTAAGGATGAACTTGGATAGAACAAAAATTGATTTTTCATTCCAATGGAGACAGAACACTCACTGTCTCTCGATCTCTCGATCTCTATCTATTACTATCGATACAGTACATGTAGTCGTACCCCAGGACCATATCCATTAACCATCCATAACCATAACCATAAGTTTCATCCACATTCTCGTGAATGATGTCGTGTGTTGAATCCAATTGGTCCGTCCAATCTTTCTTTTCCTAAACCGTGTCGTGTCGTGGTGTACTGGGGTATCCCAGTTCGCGCAAAGATGCTGATGCTGATGCTGATGCTTGTCGTCGTCGTCGTTGTTGTTGCTTTTTTCGTCGTATACCTCAATTCTCGTTTTTTTCCTGACCCAAACAAACTTTTGTTGTCCTGTTGTCCCATACTCATAGTACCGTATACCATACTAGTACAATATCATGTATGCATGCTCCATACTCATCAAACCCTCAATCCGTCTCGCCATGCGATGTCCAAAACTCCTACTCCGCAGCAATGATGTCTTGTGCTATCAATCATCACGCAAAAACAATCTCTCCATTCCGACAAGCCGTCCCCGCCGCCACGGGACCCATATCGACCAACCCGCCCTGATCACACATGTAGAAAGCATTCTCGCCATTACAAAAGATACTGCCGGAGGGGGTGCAGGCGCCGGCGTTTTCACGGATGATCTGGCCATTGGAGCACTGCATCCCCGCCGCCACGGAACCCATGTAGATCCACGTGGTTGCCGTGGACGAGGTGCTGACACATTGTGAGAACGTGGTGGACGAGTTGCATTCGAAGGATCCCGGGGAGCATGAGCTGGCTGTAGCCGAGGAGGAAGGTGCGGAAGATGTAGCGGAGCCAGTCGCAGAGCCAGATGATTCGGCAGTAGTGGTCGTGGTCGTGGGAGACGAAGAAGAAGAAGAAGAGGTGAGGGTGATCAAGGTTGTCGGAACAGTTGACGAAATATCCGTCGTGGTCGACACCGTGGCAGAAGAATCGGGGTTAGTCGATGATGTTGCTGCTGCCGAGCTGCTTGAGGTAAACGTTGTAATGCTTCCTGTGACGGTGAGTATCGGTCCGGTAGAATCTGTAGTGGTCGGAACGCTGTCTGTTGAAGAAACAGAAGAAGAAGAGGTCGTGAAATAAGTGATGCTACCTGTAACGGTTAGTATTGGTCCTGTCGGGTCCGGGAATCCAGTTCCAGTGGGCGATCCGGTGGTTGTTGTGGCGTTGGAAAGCGGGAAAGGAGGTTGAGTAGTAGTAGTAGTGGCAGAGGCGATTCCAGAGTCCGTAGTAGTAGCCAAGGAAGTCGATTGTCCAGTAGAAGCGGCCGTGGCCGTGGTCCCAGCCGAACCGGAAGTTGCCGTTGCCGTCGCAGTCGATCCTGAAATGGTATAACCTGGTCCTGCGGCTGCGTTGATGGCGTCGGTGCCATAGACAACATCGTCTCCGGGGTTGGGAAAGACAATTTCCGCCCCTTCGATGGTCTGACAGTTGTTGCCAATGTTACAGGTGAAAATGTCCGGAAGGTCATCCAGGGAAGATGCTCGCTTGAAAGGGGTCCGTTTGTACTTCTGAGTAGGATTGCTGACGATCTTGACTCTGGCACAATTTTGGTACATCTCCCTGTTGCCGACGATGTTGAACCAGGTCCAGGAGAAGAGAGCCGTGTCCGAGGCCGGGGCGTATTCGGGAATGGTGAAATCGTAGGTCCGGGGTAAGGGGCATCCGCCAATGATCGACTTGATGACTTTGAAGGTGACTCCATCGTCATATGAGAGAGATAATTGGCATGAACCCCCATCGTGGGTCGCTGTTCCGTTCACCCACATGTCGTAGGTACCGCCTGCCACATAGGTTGCCTTGGTCACGTTAGAATCGGCGTAGTCCTTCTGGTAGTGTTTGCATGAGAAGTCCGAGCCGTCGGCGAGAAGGGGAGAGGTCATGGAATAGTCTTTTTCGTAGTAGGGGACATCGGGGTCAAGGGGACTTCGTAAGGGGTAAGGCCAACTCAGTTGCATATGGGCTTGTACACAGAGGGGAAGCCATGTTAAGAGGGATGCAACGAGAAGAGGGGTGGACGGTGATCGGGGCATAGTGTGGGCAACAAAGTGGTGGAGAAGTGAAAGGTAGGGAAGAAGTCAAAGGGTAGGATCAGGGAGGAAGAAGTTGAGAGTGAGGAAATGGAGTTTCTGTGGTGCGCTATGCAGCGAGACGAAGCAGATAGAGGCAGTTTGTTCTGTTCGACTCAGAGCAATAAAGTGACAAGGGAAAAAGGAACAAACCACTCTTCAGGTCTTCACCTGAATGTGATTGTTAAGGTATGTAAAAACGAGTTCAGTAGTAGTGAGTGAGCTTGGTGAAGCTCTGAAATGTGAAGAACAAGTGTGTAGACAAGCAGAACTGCCCAGATTCGACGACGTGATGATGCTTTTCTATCCTCCGGCGATGGCAACAAAGCGTTCCATGGCCACCTCGGCCCACGCCGCTCCTGCCTCAATCCTCCCGGCGGCAGGCGCTCATGAGAACAAAGCTTGTCGCGATGTCCATCCGTTGGTCTGGATACTGAGGTTGAAAGCTGGTGTAGGTGTTTGACGAAGGCTGTACTGCGCGGTCCAGGGCCTGAAGCTGGTCCGGGCGGAGGTGGAGCCGCTGTCCACACGGAAAATTGTTCGACTGGCAGCCCCCGGTTGACATGCCTTCTGACCACTCCCACGCCTCCTTTTGCGCCAACATTCAGGGGTCAGGCTGGGTGAAGTCCGCCCTAAGCTGTTCCCTGTCCGGGTGATGAACTCGCTAATCTCAGCCACAAAAGCTTACCTGGTGCGATCAGTTGTTCCCTCAGCTTCTTACTCGCTCCCTCCACATTCCTGCAGCCGTCAATGCATCTCGGTGCAGTTCTTGTTCTCAACAAGCATGACTGTCAATCTTTCATTCTGGTGATGTGGCTGGACTCCGGCTTTCTCCAACCACACGAAGGAAGTGAGACTGGGCATAGCAGCTGATGGAGTTTCGCACCGGGCCTACCGCAGCACCGCCCAGTCTTTGCCTGGGCAACTGCGCACTGGGCATCTTTTGGCATGAACGCTCTCTCTGCCACAACGTGTGATTCATCCCAACTTGCGTAAGCCCTTACAAAAGGAGCCTGCTGCACTTCTTTATGAGGATTAACCCTGCTGTTGCTCTGGGGCGAGTCTTGATGAGGCCCCATCGGCACTATCTCGATCATAGTCGCATCACCTGAAAGGTTGGCTGACTTGTCGATCTCGCACATCCGAATAATGGAATTCAGGAGGTACCAGCGCACGGAACTCTGGCTGGGCCCCAACAGCCCCTTCGTTGCCCGTCCTACATACCAAATGTGAATCATTTTTACCACTCCGGCTTCTCATCATGGTCGTCATCGTAAGTTCGAGTCCTCAGGGTGCAGGAGGCAGATGTCCCAATTGGGCATACAAGGTCGACCTGCGCGACTTGTTTTCTCCCAGTCACTCCATTTGAGACGCATTTCTTTCCGTTCCTTGTGGTCGACGGCATGATCACTCCAAGTCTGATCACGGCCGGCGGTCAGAAGAGAACCAAGCCAGCGGTAAGTGACAATGATCAGCCAAACTTGCCGTCGCCCGGAAGCATCTGGAGACAGACTTTCCCGGGCCTGGAACATAAACTGTGTCTTGCACCCTCGAGTATAACAGCTGCCTTTACACTTCGCTCCGCGTCTACTCCCACCAAACTCGCGCTTGTTTTCATTGATACAAGGCGGGCCCCTTACCCCTGGCGGGAGCCGTTGGGTGTTTGTACAGGCTCTGCAGAACTTGCTGAGGATGTAGGGGTCGCCCAGTTTCAGATGTGGACAGAGTCGAAAGTCAATGGCTTGGAGAGCTGCCGACACATCCTTGACCTGAAAGACTTCCTTATACATGCCACTTCCACCACTCGTCCGCGTGTTGTACAGTGGTGCCGGCGCCTGCAGCAGAGCGATCTTGGAGATGAGCAAAGACTGTGCCAGCGGGTTCTCCAACTCAATTGCTGAAGTCCCCTTTTCAGGACGATCCGCAACTGACCGGTTGCGGATGGAGTCTCTACAACGGGGACATGGTTCCAGGGTCTCGACCCGAAATGGTGACTCGACACCTGCCTTGATGGCCCGGATCGTCCTATCATAACCCAGTGTCCGATGAGCACACAGCCAGATCTGTCTGCAATCCCGAGCTGTGGGTTCCTGCTTGATCTCCGAGGAAGGGAATGTTGACCGAACGTGCAATTCTTGACACTTGCCGCAGACTAGACGATCCAATTCAGTCGGATCCTGGTCGCGCTCCGTCATGCAGAGAAAGTCAAACAATTCATTGCCTGTCAGGACAAAGGAGGGTGTGCTATAAAGATGGAAAAATCGTGAGCAGCTGTGTCGCAGTGCAACCTCACTGCTAGGCGTCAAGTACGGTTGAAGAAACATGAGCAGCTCGGTCGGCAACGAGAGAAAGCCAGATTCGACATTATTGAAAACGGTCCTTTCGGACCTCCGAGTATCAATCGATGGTGCCTGCGGTCGTGGAGAACGTTCAATGATAACAGTGTCTGGGGTAAATGCGAGCTTCGCCACAAGCTCTTCATCGGAAGGAGTTAAGGAGCAGGCTTTACTGGCCCATCTTTGGATTGGATATTGATCATGTTCTTGCCCTATTCCGGCTGGATCGGGGACAGACTTGGTACGGGAGAGCTTTCGTCGGACCCGGGCGAAGACTGACATACTAGTAGTTCAATGTGATGTGAGGCCAAGGTGGGCATCCGGACGGTGATGACGATGGTCGCGCGAACAACAGTAGAAGTATTAAAGTGCAAACACTCGTCAAACAGCTTCATTATTGATCTTCAGACTGTGTCATTCCGGAAGCCGGCGCACCGGTGCCAACTTGTTTGCCACAGCTCGTGATATGTATACTAGTCGCGGTTGTTCTAAACATGTGGATTGGAGAGCTGGCGCTCTGGTTTGTTGTAGCTGAGGGGCACAGCGTCGTTCCCGCAGATGGAGGGGAGACGGTGCAAATCATAGTTGACGGATGGCAGCCCGGGCAATTTGCCGTTGCCACTCGTGATATGCACCATCTGATAAAGCGGCCACCCAATCTGTTGCTTCTCGCACGCGAGCTGCCTTGCCACATTAGCACAAAGGAAGAGTGGAGGGTGCGGCATTCGGCGGATGATCGGTGGAGGAGACCAGGTGGAGGGGGATCTGGCTAGCCTGGCGATGCTGCCAGATGGTAGGGCACAAGTAGATCAAGATGCAGTGCTAGCCGGCGACAGGTGAGCTTCATCCAAGATCGTGGATTGTATTAAATTTGCTGACGGTGCTGCCAGCAATGGTGATGGTGATTGATGGCCCAACCCCTCCGAGTCTGGCTCTCTCGCTCTCTCCAGGGCGTCAGGCTCCTTCGATTTGGCCGCGTCTCCAGCGACGCGTCAATGCTCGATCTGAGCGCGTTAAGTGCCAAGCCACCAAAGTCCATGACGTCGTGACAGGAATCGCCCTGGCAAGTGGATTTTGAGTTGCGAGGAATGGGAAAAGTGCACAGGCACAGGCAGTCAATTGAATTTTAACCATGCAGAAAGTGATGCGGGAGGCGTCTGCCTTCGTTCTCTTTATTTCTGTCGCATACAATGCTGGCAACCAGACAAACCACCGAGAAAACGGTTGAATGATCAATATCTCGACCAGACTACGGCTGGTCGTAGCATTCCATCAACTGCTCGTATTGCCACAGTCCCTACACAGTTTCGGTAGTCGAGCCATCTCCAGCCTCCATGCCCCTAGCTTTCCTACGTCTCTACCACTGTCAAGACATTTATTCCCCTTGGCCACAATGGCGAAACGCAAGAGATCTTCCGCAGCTGGAGCTGATGCAGAAGTTCTGACACCCAAGACTCTTCCCACCAATGTCGCCTCAATGGCCTCCAGCATGATGCCTGCAGCGCTTGCACCTTCTCAGGCGGCGGGGCGAAGAATCAGCACAAGGAGAGCGTCTCAGATTCCTCCTGCGAACATCGACACCAATCCGAATACGAATGAGAAAATTGAAGATGGGCCAGACGCCTTACGGGCCTCTCCAGATGCGGAGCAAACCGGGCCCGAAAGTCGGGCAAGCAAGAAAAGAAGGACTGCTGCGTCCGCGCTTAAGGTCAAGGTTGAACCAGAGGGGTCTCAACCCGACGCAAGGGTCGCCACACCACCAAAGCCAAAGTTGGCAGCTAAGGCAGCTGCTACAAAGCAAGACGACGGCTTAGACAGAGGCGACCCTGAAGCGGAAGACGAGGAAGACGCCAATCCGGAAGAACTCCAAGAAGCTTTGTCCCGGCCGCCCCCTGTGAACAGTTCATACCTCCCATTGCCTTGGAAAGGGCGGTTAGGGTACGCCTGTCTCAACACTTATCTACGGTATTCGAATCCTCCAGTCTTCTCTTCACGAACGTGCCGCATCGCCTCGATTTTGGAACATCGTCACCCGCTAAAAGACCCGAGTCAGCCTGAACATGCGACGAAGAACAGGCCGGACAAAGAGCAGCCCGCAGATATTGCTCGGGGACAGGCGTATGTTGAAGCGCTAGGGCTGGCTAACGCTCGAGATATTGTGAAGATGTTGCGTTGGAACGACAGGTACGGGATCAAATTCATGCGGCTGTCATCCGAGATGTTTCCCTTCGCCAGTCACGATGTGTACGGCTACACATTGGCCCCGTTCGCCTCCGAGACCCTGGCTGAAGCTGGGCGCGTGGCCGCGGAACTTGGTCACCGACTCACCACACATCCAGGCCAGTTCACGCAGCTTGGGTCTCCCAGGCAGGAAGTCATCAGGGCCTCTATCCGAGACCTCGAATATCACTGCGAGTTGCTTGATTTGCTGAAGCTGCCCGAGCAACAGAACCGCGACGCCGTGATGATCTTACACATGGGCGGGGTGTTTGGAGACAAGGATGCCACCATTGCACGGTTCAAGGAGAATTATGCCAAGTTGCCGCAAGGCATCAAAGACCGACTGGTGCTGGAAAATGACGATGTCTGTTACAGCGTGCACGACTTGCTTCCTGTGTGCGAAGAATTGAATATTCCGCTCGTGCTGGATTTCCATCACCATAACATTGTGTTTGACTCGGATAAGATCCATGAAGGTACTCGGGACATTATGGACCTCTATGACCGAATCAAGGCCACATGGACCAGAAAAGGAATTACTCAAAAGATGCATTACTCGGAGCCAGTTCCTTCGGCGATCACGGCGCGGCAGCGACGCAAACACAACCCTCGAGTTGCCACGCTCCCACCGTGCGCCCCGGACATGGATCTGATGATTGAGGCCAAGGACAAAGAGCAAGCGGTGTTTGAACTCATGCGAACATTCAAGTTGCCCGGGTTCGACACGTTCAACGACATGGTTCCACATGTGCGTCATGATGAAAACAGACCTTGGAAAGCACCCAAGCAGCCCAAGAAGCCAAGCAAAAAGAAATCCAAATCCCACGACGAAGAGCTTCTTGAGGATGAGGAAGATGACGAGACTGTGGTGCAGGAGGCCAAGCCGCCTCCCATCATCCCAGACTCGGAAGTCGGCATGGGCGGTCCTGAAGGCCGGGTTTACTGGCCACCCGGGATGGAAGAGTGGCTCCGGCCTAAGAAACGGGAAGTCAAGCCTCGCGATCCCGAAAAGGCCAAGACCACCGCCGAACGCGCTGCCCTGAGACGTGCGGAGAAGGCGGCCTGGCAAGCAGCTCAGGAGGCTGCTGCCGCCGCTGGTGGTGATGCTGTCGGCGGTAGCGCATCAGCTTCCGAAGGCGCAGACTCACACGCACCTGCTCCGAACGCGGCTAAGGCTATTGATCACGCGGCAGCAAAGAGCGTTTACGACGTTCCCAAAGGCAAGAAACCCGCCCGGGCGCCGCGATCTCGTTCCGCCACGACGACGACAAGAGGCAAGAAAGGCGTCAAATCTGCATCTGTTCCGACGCCGAGCACCAGTGATTTGAGTTCCGAACTTGACGACTCGGACCTTAGTAGTGGTGAAGGTACGGATGGGAGGAGAACCATGCCTGATCTCACCGACACCGAAGAGGTCGATGTTGATGTGGATCTCGCACCCTCAGCGAAGACGAAAACGAACTCCAAGCGACAAGTGCCTACACGGACAGTGAGTGGGAGAAGTGCGAAGCGAAAACCTGTGAACTATGCAGAACTTGAAGCGGACATGGATGACGAGGTGTAGCTAGCCACTGGCAGCGACTACAGCCTGCAGTCTATGGGATCTGTCAACGTGGTACATGTATATACTATATCTATCTGATCTGATGACTCCTGTTTGGAGTTTGGTTTGGCTCGCAGATGTATTATATGTACTTTAGGACAGTATGGATATAGTGTATTTTGGGAGGATTGTTGATGCGGTGGGATTTATGGGGGGCGTGGGGGAGATGTTATTTTATTCTGGATCCATTATTGGAAGAGCAATGTCTCCTGGTACAAGTACAGCATCCTAGATTGTCTCGTGAACTTGGGAGGATATCGCAAAAAGCATGATCACTGGTAGGTACTACTTACCTACCTATCGTGCCGTCATAGTATAAGCAACACACGAGATGCAGCATACAGTCCGTCCTGTGTATGCGTGCCGTGCATGAAGTACCAGCAATAATAAAGATACAGACAGTACTGTACATGTGGACCTGGATGGGATTCCATTATTCTCGAGTGGTCGGCCGACAGTGGTCCGCCACGCTTCCCCGGTTACTAGTATTTAGGCGGTCGGCTTGACTGACCACCGGAGCTGATAGCCTAAAAAGAAAATCCCACACGGCAGTGGACGGCATCCCGCGCGGGCCTCAACAATACCTAATAATGATGATGATGATGATGATGCTCGCCCGTGAGCTTGAATGAGGTGGTCACCGCCGGCGTTACTTTCAATGCTTGTCCACCCCGCCTTGCTCGCTAACTAGGTACAGTAGGTAGAGAACACAAACCAAAAAATATTTCAGCTTTAGACTTCACTGTTCACTGTTCATCCTCGAATACTAGTTCTGTTCGATTTGTGCTAGTCAATTGTTCTACCTTCGTTGTGGTCAATTACTCCCCTTTAAGGTAGGTGGCTATCTACTGGTAAGGTAGCAAGTACACTGCTGGCAGGACAGGACATAAAAGCGCGCGAGAGAGGAAAAAAGTGAAAAGAGTGAGAAGGTCTACAGTAACTAACAACTCAAACTGTACCACTAGGAACTCGAATCAATCCAATCGCAACGCATCGCAACCAGCAACCAGCAACCATGGGTTACCCGGACGAGTTTGAAGGCTTCATGATTGAAGACCATAGCAAGTGGACCGAGTTTAAGAAGAAGACTGTACGTTTTAAAAATGTTTTGTTACTGTTTCCCGTCTATATATGCCCATACATGTACACTGCATGTTGTGCCATGTTATGCCATGTTATGCCATGTCTCGAACTGAACGGTCCCTTTCGTCTGCGCTGCCAATCAGCTGAGTTGCTATGTCTAACGAGGTCAACTTTTTGTTGTCTACTACAGTTCAAGCCCAAAACATTCGGCGACCACGATATTGACATTAAAATCGACTGTTGCGGCGTCTGCGGCTCCGACGTCCACACCATCACGGGCGGCTGGGGAGGCGCCACTCTGCCTCTCTGCGTCGGACACGAGGTGGTCGGGCGTGCAGTCAAGGTCGGCCCGGCCGTCAAGAGCGTCAAAGTCGGAGACCGAGTCGGGGTGGGAGCCCAGATCTGGGCGTGTCTCAAGTGTCCGCAGTGCAAGAGCGACAATGAGAACTATTGCCCACACCAGGTCGACACGTACGGGGCGCCGTACCCCAAGGAAGCGGACCCGAACGAAACCATGACTCAAGGCGGGTATTCGTCGCATATACGGGCGCACGAATACTTCACGTTTCCAATCCCGGACGAGATCCCGTCCGAGTCGGCCGCGCCCATGCTCTGTGCCGGCTTGACCGTTTGGTCTCCTCTGGTGCGGGCGGGAGTCGGGCCCGGCAAGAAAGTGGCCGTGGTCGGCCTGGGTGGGTTGGGTCACTTCGCCGTCATGTGGGCCAATGCTCTGGGTGCGGAGGTGACTGTGATTTCTCACTCGCCGCGCAAGAAGGAGGATGCCCTCAAGCTCGGGGCCAAGGAGTTTGTCACCAACGATAAAAAGGGCTGGGCTGACCCATATGCCTTTGCTTTTGATTTCGTCCTCAACACCGCCGACATGACCCATACCTTCGACATTGCCGAGTACTTGTCGATCTGTAAGGTCAATGCTCCGTTTCATCAGGTCGGCCTCCCGGACGAGCCGCTGCCTCAATTTGAGGCCAAGGCCTTCATGAGCAATGGCAGTTCAATCGGCGCCAGTCATATCGGGAGCCGCCCGGAGTGTCTGGCCATGTTGAAGTTGGCCGCTGAGAAGAAGCTGTTTCCTATGGTCGAGACCATTCCCATCTCCGAGGCTGGGTGTGCTGAGGCGGTCACCCGTGTCAAGAACAACAAGGTCCGTTATCGCTTCACCTTGACCGATTACGACAAGGCTTTTGGGCCGCGTGAATAGATGGAGAGGGAGAAAACAGAACCCGTGCGATGCTGTGTGAGACCGAGCCAGCCAATGGTTGTGTGTCGGTGAAGAGCCTGGGCATAAGGTGGACCAACCGTTCTGGTAGATCAACGCAAACGGCAAGATACAGAGCGAGATGTAGTGTTACTGTTGAGAGTCGCGCGGGTTGTATTCATGCCATCTTTAACAGACCGCAAACGCAGCGTCCTATCCGAGTGTAGTTGTTGGAATAAGATCGGATCAAGCAGGGTTAGATGAAGAGGCTAAATTAGCATGATGCCACGGTAATAGGTTGCTAGGTTGCTGCACCTGATCGGGCCATATGGACTTATTGTAACTGGGTTGATGGAATGGCGTACAATACCTGGTATAGCCGAGTGTAGGGAGTGGGCGCTCCCTGTGTACACGGACCACAACCCAGGTGTTCTTTCAGGGATCGTCGGGCGGCCCGATCTTCCCGCTCAAGATCTGGCTCGTGCCCATGACCATCTGGTACTTGACCCAGCCATCCGGGGCTCAAGTTCATGGTTCCAACCCACGATGTCCACAATGACAAAACCCACCATCTTGGTGCATGAGAGCACATTAGATTTTGGATGCTTCGCTGCGGCGGTTGGGAAGATAAATAGATGCTTCATCGACGGAGCTCAGGAAGCGGCTGGGCACTGCAAGGGAATCCCACTGGCAGTGCTAAGATCTGAACAATCGCGGAGGAGTGCCTGTACTGTATTGGGGCAAAGCGGTTGATCGTCGTCGGCAAAAGGCGTTGGAGGGCCGCTAGATGGGCACCGGCGTGCTCGCCAACATTGCTCCACAGACTGGTAATGACGATGAACGAACGTGAACCGAACAGACTGGAGCATCAGCAACTTCAAGCAAGTAGTAGAGGTGCAGGGCTGAGGCAGCATCCGCAGTTGGCCGGCGCGGTAGCAGTGAGCAGGTCTCTCACATCCGAAGTCTGGAGAGTAAAAGGCGTTGATAGGCTCCTTAGGCCTCCTCCAACGCCCGAGGGGCCTTCAGCAAGCCACGGCGCTGCAGTTGACATGACTCCAGTACTGCGTAGTCCGCCCGCCAACCGATGGAAATCCTATTCCTGGTTTAGGACGGAGGAGACCTCGCCGTTGAAGTTTGATGATAGGCAGAGTGGAGCGCGGAGGCCGGCCTACGATGCTGCTACTGCGCTGTTGCTGTTGGTGGGATGCTTGAAGCTCTCTGATGCTGTTCAAGCCGTTTTGATCCATTCCATCATCATCTTGGGACCCTACAACCTCCACCTGCCGCCGCGTCTGCCCTTGTCACATTCGTGGGCAAAACTGTCACTCTGGACGTGTGCCAGCCTCCCCGTCTGAAGACTGCTGTCTGCTGTCTTGCACTTCTCTTGCTCCTGTGCAGTTACTATTGTGCTCACTTCTGCTCTCTCCGATTCCTCTCGAGAGACGCGCTGATACTCCAGGAAAGTATCCTCCTCCAAAAATCCCTTGGTAACCGCAGCAGCCCAGCCTCGAAGTATTCAATCCACGGCCCTCATAGCGAGAACCGACTCTACCTAGCTGCATTCATGGAATATTGTCAGCCTGCGCATGCGCGCTGAGTTGGTGCCGCCCTTGTCGCGTGGTTGATCATGCTCGGTTGCTAGGCCTTTCACGAGGGGAAGGCATGAACTGCTCAAGAGCTGGATAGACCTCAAGGATATCTGGGATGACACTGACGATAGAGTCATGGACATCGACCTGAAGAAGTTATGGAGTTTTCGCAAGAGTAAAGGTCGCCATGTTACACAAGATTCGGGAGCGAGCAGGTCGCAGAAGAGCCATGGCACGGGTGTGAGCGCGAGACACATATCACAGAGCCCGCGAATAGGTCATAGCGGTGAACACTCGTTAGACTATTCAATACCTGAGTCCTCCCCGGTTTCAGCGGCAGCGGCCCATCCTCCAGGATCGATTGCTGGCAACCCCATAAAGACTGGGCCAGCCGGGATACGCAGGCCTTCGACTTCTCAATCTCGACCTGGTACCTCAGGTAGTGACAGTTTGATGAGTGCCGTCAATCGCGCGGCAGATGCCATTTCAAGATCAGAGCAAGAATATCAGGATACAGCCAACAACTACTTCAAGCGCCATGTTCGAACCAAGACCCCTCGTTATGTTGACATATTCTCGCTCGCCAGCCCCAACAGTATCAGCTCTTCCATCAGGTACAATGAGGATGTCGCTGAACGCAATCTGGACCTGACCCGGGTCGCGCTGGAAGCCTCACAAAATGACTACTTCCAGGAAGAGGTTGCCATGAGGAATGCATACCCGACTCCGCCGGCAAGCAATGGCATCAAAACTTCACCTCCGCTCTATCGCGACAGGTTCAGCGAGACACGGCCCAAGGGGCAATCCGAGCATCTGCTGAACAGAACAAGTAACCCTGAAGCGTCTGGACGGCATGAAGAACACGCGCCGCTGAAATATCATAAATCGTTAAGCTCGAATGATTCACATCGCCGCCAGCAAAGGGATCAATCATGGGGTTCTCATCCAGTTCAGGAATTAAACCCTTCGAGGCACCAAACTGACGAATCCCGGGTGGCAGACACCCGGCAAAACCACCTGCCACCACCAGCAAGCCATGTCCATGCCAACGCGAGTTTATACGATCCTTTAGGCATTATTTACAACCCATCTGTCAGACCTACCGGTCAAGAACCGGCCCCAACAGAAACTCTTACCAGTGATCAGCTATCGGCCACCGAATCAGCGCCGGCTGGACGGTCCGAGCACCCCGGCTTTTCACAACCTGGGAATGTGAGGTATACAGGAAGCTCGACTGGGTCCAAGGCGGCTGATTTCTCTCTTCGTTCACCGTCAAGTTTGAGTCACGCCCCTTCGGTCAAGCGTGTCATTAATCTACCCCATCGCAAAATCATGGACTTGACAGGGGATGATTCAGATGTATTTTCCGAAGTCAATGTCGAGTCCAACTATAGTTCATCTCCTGTCATCGGACATGCAAAGGTCGATGTGGTGCGCAGAATTTCAGGGTTGGCCATCAATGGCGCACCGGCAGAAAATACAAACAGTGTATCCGACTCGTTATCGACAAACGAAACATCTACATTATCCGGGGAGGTTCCTTTGAGCGTTTCTGGGCCGGTACAGTCTCCGCCAGCTCGAGATCAAACCTCGGAAGTACTGCTCTCGGAAGCCGTCGCAAGACATTTCCGATCCAAAAGCGGCTTTTCAGCCATCAGTACCGTTGCCGCCTCGTCGCCTCGCGCGAGTGTGGTTGTGGGACCTTCGACAACGACAGTGAACAACGCTGCAATCCCCGAAGGACGTGGGCAGCCCAAGGCAATAAATGGCGAACATCAGCATATGGCCGAAGGTGAAAACCCGGCGAACCAGCATGCTATCGAGGGAGAGCCTACTAGAGACGAGGCTACGACTCTAAAACATGACGAAACCCCTCCTGTTGCAGTTGAGGAAGGTGCTTCCTCAAGGTCTGACGCTACGGCGAACGAAAGGCTCCTATCTCATGAGAAGCCAAATGGTACCTCCAAGCAAGACGGGTCACAGGCTCGATCAGAGCAGTCACATCCCGCGCAATCCGGGAAGATGCCTTCGATCCAGGATCACAAGCAAGGAGACTTCGCGGAATCACCTACGGTTCCTTTTGCTGCTTCTCATCTTCCGGATGGGGTCATCACAAGGGACTTTGCCGACATGGCAAGCAGATCCAAGCTTACTAGTGTCCCTGAAGGTGCCGAACCCGGCGAGACTGGACGGCCCAAGAGACTTAGTGACCCAGAAAGCAAAAAGCAAAATCACACACCAGCTGCCTCAACCTACAGCGAGCAGTATCCTGTCAAACACGTGTCTGTACCGCCACCACCCATGTATAAGTCGACTTTCGATGAAGCGGAATTCGCACGAAAGCAAGCCGAGGCTCGTGCCGCTCTGATTCGACTGCAAGAGAGTTTAAATGAGAATTTCCTCGAGCCGATTCCAGCGCCAGCGGCTGTAGAGCGGCCGTCATCCACCAGGTCCAGAAGTGGATTCTCGGAGCACAAACAGAAAGCGGCCTCCAAGAACGGCAGCGCCCCAGCTTCATCAGTTGCCTCGGCAGAGGTTAGACATGAGACTGTGACTGCGACCGTTCCACCAGAGATCATGGTCCAAGATGATGATGGCAATATCGACGGCGTAAAAGCTAAACCCGAGACCGAGACCGAGACCTCATATCACAATCTCGCGACTCTGCCACATGCTGATGTTTCCAAAAATCGTGAGCACGTTGAGCTAGTTTCTCGCGAAAAGCACAGAGGAAAACAAAGGGCAGAAACTTCGGACAACCTCGATGGACCCGGCCCGTCAGTTCTTGACCAGGCACAGACACAGTCGCTACCTCTTCCACCTTCCTCCCGAGATCATTTCCGTCAGCCACATCAACAACAACAGCATCATCATCCCGGTCCCGTCCCGCCAAGTCCGGGCGAAGTCTCACTTTCTCATTTCCCCATCCCGGTCTCGGCCTCAAAGCAGTCTGCAACCTCAGCCCCGATGAACAGTGGCGTTGGCGTTGGCACTGGGAATGGTAGTGCTAATGGCAATACTGTCGGAGGGGGGCAAGCTGCCAGTGGAGAACAACAACAGCCCCCAACGCAACAAGGTGGTGGTCCAAGTAATTCACGGCCGCACTCGCAGACACATCCGGCGTCTCTAGCTTTCCATTCACGGCAGAACAGTGAGACTGGTGCTGGGGCTGGGGCGGGTCCTGGAGGTTCAAGTCGGGCCATGCAGATGCGGAGACAGTCCAGTCAGCGGAGTCAAGCGAGCACGGCCTCGGCGTTCAGCATTCCGTACCATTTGATTCCGGGGCGGTCGAGCAGTATTCGGGATCAGTCGGTTGCGGAGGTGGAGGGGAGATGAAAGAGAGCAGCAGTACAGTACCAAACGGATGGATAGGTTGAGGGCTGTTCTAGATGCCAGTCAGGGTGGTTGTCATCTCTTGGGCTCACCTTACTTGGGCCCCGTGGACTCGGAGATGTGGATTTCATAAAGGAAAATGCAACGGCTGGCACACTACAAGGCAAGGCACCAGCAGGTTTAGAGATATGACGACGCCTGAGCACCAGTGCCATGACGACTCTACTCATAGGAGCTGATGAAAAGATGAAAAAAATGCGAATGATGGAATGATGGAATGAATGACGGAACGAAAAGGAACGAATGGTACGATTCGATTGACTGTTTCGAGGCGATCATGGATAGATGAGTGAGAATTAGGTAGCAAGCAAGCTATGTAGTCAAGCATTGTGTTGATGTGCAGCGTAGTGAGTGTCATGACTTTAATTGCAGTGTACCGACAGTACCTACTTGGCCTTCAATATACTCGGGTATAGCTGACTTGGACATAATACTGCAACTAGGGCAAAGGTAGGAAGGAGTACCTGTATAATACCTACCTACTCCGCTTCGTAGGTACCACTACAATCCCCAAACCCTCATCCAACCCTCATTCGTCCTAATATCCCCTCTGGTCTCGGACCGACCGACCTCAACACCTCGCCCGTGTTCGCTGACCTCGTCCTCGCCGGGCAGTCGAACCCATTCGTCCACCATGGGTGGGATTTCCTCTTTGACGTGGGACACGACGACGAGGGCTTGGGTGGGAAGAAGGCCGGGGAAGGATTGACCGTCATCATCTTTTGTCCGCCTGATGCTGCTGTCACCATCGTTTCCACCTCCGCTCACGCTCGAGCTCTCGCTCTCGCGTTCGCCATGCTCAAGCCACATCATAGCCTTGTCTCTTGTCTCGGCCGACAAGCCGGAAAACGCTTCATCCAAAATCACAATGTCCGGCTGCTTGATGAGGGCGCGCAACAAAAGCAGTAGCCGCTGCGTGCCGAACGGGAGAGTACCGAAGGCGTGAGTTTGTTTGTCGGTGGCCCATGACAAGTCAGAACTGCTCCCGTCCTGTCTCAACTCGGGCTCCCACCACTTCAAAACACTATCGACCAAAGCACTTCTCTCAACCGTCAACTGCGGTTTTCCCGCATACGTCTCTGCCCAAGCACTCTCGAGAACACGGCGGACAGTTAGATGGCGGGGGAAAAACGCATGGATTTCCGGCGACGAGTGGCCGATGCGCGACTGGATCTCCCACAGCGATAGGCCCGGTTGGCCCCTTTCAGGCAGTCGAGACCGACCGAAGATTTTGATCGGCAAGCTGTACGATTGAGGATGGTCGGATGTCAGGAGAGACAGAAGGGTGGTTTTGCCAGATCCGTTGGGACCCAGGAGTGCTAGGCGTGTGCCTTGTCGGATTGTGAGGTTGAGTCCCGGGTCGGAAAAGCCGGATTGGGCGGCGCCGTGACCTAGCACTACTTTGTCGCCGTACTTGACTATTACTGATTGTAGTTCGATTAGAGGTTTACCTAGGGCACGGGAATGGGAATGTTGTGGTTTGTCGCTGTCGGACCCAGTCGACGATGATGGAGCCTGTCTCTGAGAAGAATGCTGTGTTGATATCTCCGATGAGGTAGATGATGATGATGGTTGGTCAGCAACTCCTCTGCCTGCGAGATCGGCGGGGATCGTGGCAGTGAGGGTTAAAAGGTCTTCTAAACGAGCATCTGAATCTGCGGTTGTTTCTTGGAGTCGTTTTCGTGCTAATCCAACCCGCTCTGCATCTTCGGCGGAGAGCTTCGTAGGATCGATGGAGCCGTCATGAAGAAGGTACTGCTTTTCAAAACCTGGATCTTGGGAATATTGAAAAATGGGATGCTTTGCGATCCCCCTCTTGCTCAAGACATCACCCACGCCCGCCGGAGGGTGTCCGTAGGCCGTAAGCATGCGTGTTGCCATCTCGAGGTCCAACCGTCCCGACAGGGACACCGAACCATTCTTTGTTGTCGTTGTCGATGCCGGCGCCGCCAATTTCATCCACCGACACAGACCAAACAAGACCCTATCCTTGTCACCCATCAAAGCAACTGTATGATTATGACCCAGCACAACAAGATGAGTGATCCAATCCGGAATAGGATCCTGAGGCCGCAACGCAAGCAACAACAACGGCGACGACCGATACGCCAGCTCACGCAGCATAGGCGACAGCGTGACCAGCGTCGGGGGGTCGAGCCCCATGAACGGCTCGTCGAGCAACAGAAGCTCCGGCTTACCCAGGAGTGCTTTTGCGATCCTCGCTCTTCTCGTCTGCCCGTTGCTGAGATTGCTGACGGGCATGTCGGCCAGCTTGTGCAGCCGTAGATCCGACATGACCTTGTGTAGCAGCTGCTCGTCCACATGTGAACCGTCTTGTTTGGCGGGATTCAACTCGGTCTCTCCTCTCAAATACTGCAGGACCGTCCAATCTGTCTCTTCGCGGCGGCTTTCGTATCGGGCACTGAGATATGCGCCTCTTATCCCGCCCGAGGATGTCTGCCCTTTTCCATTCGTGTTGAACCCGACGTATTGGATCGCTCGTGACGGCACACGCAGCCGATGGTCCTTGCGCTCGATCTCTTCCGACGACAAGTATGGATATGATCGCGCGTTCGGTGGGATGCAGACGTACGACCCGCGCAGGATCTCGAGAAACGTCGTTCCATCGTTGGCCGCGATCACCGCCCAGTGCTGGTCTTTTCGTGGCTGGTTCTTTTCTTGCCGTTGCACGGTGGTGGCCGGTAGTTCGTAGGTCAGATTCGGGAACAGCGGTGGGTTGGACGTGGATGAGTCGCCGTGGTGAGACAAAGGGTGGTCTTTGTAGAATGTGCCATTGCGGATTTGAATCAGGTTGATGTTGGAGTTGGTGTTCGACTGCTTTGCCTGGCCGCCATGCAGGCTCTGGGCAAACCGTACAAGTGTTCTTCGCATGGCCGTGGCATCTTGGTCAGACACTTCAGGTTGCCAGGACGGCCACTGGAACCACGCTGAAATACATTAATACGTCTCGTCTGTGATCAAGCCCGCATAATCCGGTGCTGTCAGTTTCGCAAAAGCACTCTCGGAGAGGCTCCCAACTCCCCGAAATATGGAGAAAAAGGGTCCAAGCCATCCCGCCAATCACGGCATCATTTCCGACGAGGCTGCACTGTCGTCCGGGTCCTGTTCGTCTACACGAGCGGCTTTTACTACTAGCGAGAACATCTACGGTCACCATAAGAGCCAATCCCAATCGCTGTTGCGCACGTAACGTAGCATGTTTGGTTCTCTTCTGAACCATGCTGTATGGTAGGCTAGCTCTAATCTAGCTCTTCTCGTCGTGGGTATTGTACAAGATGGTATGCTCAGCTCCAACCGCGCCTCGCTATGCTGAAATTATCGTTGTCGAATTTTGTACCAAGAAAGCTCGTGTGACTTCCAAGCTCAATCATCTCGTCTGTTCATTCCTTCCCCCGTTAGCTCAAGTTCCTGCTTGATTTCATCATCATCATCGTCCTAAAGGAAGTATTCGTTTCGATTACCCCTTGAGGGTGGAACATGTCGTAGCTCATCTTTGACCGCACTGAACAGTTTGAAGGTCGGTTTGAGGTCCTCATCGACGTGACACACAGATGCCAGGTTGCCACATCTGTAGCAATAGTTTGGTGCGCTCCATACCGTAACCACGTCCTGGCTCTTGAAGTGATATTTGTATCCTTCGTTGACCAGTTGATGTGCGCGTGCGATCAGATTGAGTCCGTTGACATGACAGAATTCCTGACTGACCCTGTCTCCGAATAGCCAACCAGCCCCTCGCGGTGATACGGCCCAGGTGTCAACGTCTTCCGGATCAGACCAAACAAGGTCACAAAACGCTCCTTCGTGCGGAATCTCTTGTGCTCGGGCCACAACTCTAACCTGGTCCAATGTTCGGATCTCAGGCGACAACCCACCGTGCACACATAAGATTTTGCCGTCAACAATGGCTCCGAGTGTCATAAAATCGAAGACCTGACAACATGCTTTCCAGACCGAGGTGTTTCCATATTTCTGGACGCATTCTTCGTAGAACCCGTACACTTGGGTGATCTGGCGGGACTCGTGGTTACCTCTCACCAGTGTGATTTTTTCGGGATATTTCGCCTTGAGGCACAAAAGTAGTGTAAGCGTTTCGAGTGAAAAGTACCCTCGATCGACGTAGTCTCCTAGGAAGATGAAGTTTGCGTTTTGTCGGCGTGACACGACGTTTCCGGATTCTGATCGCTCATCTTCGATCTCCGATTGTTGGGAAGAATTGATTTCCTCTGCGTCGCTGATCTCGCCGCTTTTCTCGCTGGGCGCATCTGGATGTTCTGCTCCTCCTAGTTTGAGTTTCTTTTTCAATTTCGGGTTCGTGATCGTGGTAGGGGGTTCAATGTCTGCGGAGGTGATGATGTTTGCGGGAGTAGTAGGTGTTTCTGGGGTAGATTCGTTCGGCATGCCTCCTGCGACTCTGAAGAGTTCGAGTAAGTCGTAGAACTGGCCATGGATATCGCCGCAGATCGTGACTGGAGTCGAAACCGGTTGAATGTTTGATTCTGCGGATTTTCGTTAGTCAAGCACAAGGCGATAGCTTTACGCTGTTCGCTCTCACCTTCCATCATGTACTCCTTGACAATTTCGCAGAGTTGTTTCATGTGGTATTCGGAAAGGTATTTGCAGTTCTTTGCTGCTTCCAGCCATTCGTCCGGGCCAGCAGATCTCTTTAGCCGTGCTGGGCCTGGGACGGGCACCTTTACTGAGCCCATGGCGCAGGTTCGAACGTAGTATTGGCCTGTTGCGCAGCACTTCTTCGTACGTAGGTCGCTTCTCTGCCCACTTGACCGAGTGGGGCTTTTGGCAGTTTGCCGGGGGAGCGAGGGCAGCGGAGAGTCTTCACTAGGTCAACGTAGTCGAAGATCTTCTTCTTGGACTGGCCACGGAAGATGCGCAAATCGTACTCGGTCACGTTGCGTGACCGGCGGCGTCTAGGAGGAAGAGTGGGGAGGGAGGAAGTTGAGACGGGCGTGTTTTCGAGGCTCTCCTCCTCAAAAACAGGGAATGAGGCGCTGTCGTCCTCCTGGTGCAAGGAAGGGACAGCGATGGTGGAAGAGGAGGACGCTTCGGACGAGATGGGGTCGGCAGCGGTGGAGGAAGCGGGCTCGCTGTCTTCATGGACAGCAGAGGCAGACAAGGGCAGAGCGGACGACATGGTGCCAGTCACTGCACGTGACTGGGGAGGGAGTGATGGAGGGAGGGATCGGAAGCGGAAGAAAGAAAGACCGAGGGGAGACGGAGCGGAAGAACTTAAGGCCGACCTTTATATCAAAGTGACGGTCAACAACGTGAACCTGAACACAAGCCTTACACCCTGAAGTTTCTTACATGTCACTTCAACCTCACTTATCCCTCACACGTCCCTCATATGGTTGTCATTGTACAGTGACACTTCCGGAATATCTGCCTGGAACCTACGGATCTATTACCTAGGCAGCGAAGCAGCTGTTGCCTCTATTGTCCTCAACTACCAAACACCCTGGTTCAAGAATGTCAAATTCGACAAAAGGGCGCTCAGGGGGCTTGCTGCCCGTTAATGCAGCCACCAGAAAGAATGCAGCACCAAATTCTGGCTCCAAATCTGCCCCCAGGGCTCCTGCCCCGAGACTGAGACTTGTGATTCGAAGACTGCCGCCAGGACTGACCGAGTCTGAATTCTGGGCAGCGCTGGGCGACGACTGGAAAGTCGGCGCGGGTAAGGCGGAATGGGCAGCTTTCAAAAGTGGAAAAATCTCAAAAGAGTTAGAGAACCCCATGGCTCTATTCGGGCTTTTTGCTAATCCGTGATAGCCTGGCTAAACCCTCTCGACCATCGAGAGCTTACATCAAAGTGCGAGAACAGTCATTGCTGGATGTTCTGTCCGCGGCGGTCAGAGGAGCATCATTTCAAGATGCCAAAAATACCAGCAAGGACCCATGTCTTCTGGGACCCCCGTCATTGGAGTTTGCACCATACAACAAGATTCCTAGCGGTCGTGCCCGCAATGACGGAAGGCAGGGTACAATTGACCAGGATCAAGAATTCATTGACTTTCTGCAAAGCCTGACCCAACCGATCACAAAATCGACCACAAGTGTTTTGGAACCCGGGGAGGCGAAGCCGGAGAAAGTTGCGATTACTCCTTTGGTCCAGTACATCAAGGAGAAGAAGGCCAACAAGGCCAAAGAGACCGCTCAGGCAAAAACAGCCAAGTCACGTGAGACCAAAGAGGTCAAACCCGCCAAATCCGAGACTCGTCCCACGATTGTGGTCAAGGGAAAGAACCCATCCGTTGCAGAAAAGGAAAAGGAGAAAGTTGAGGAGAAGGAGAAAGAAAGAGAGCAAGAGAAAGAGAGAGAGAAGGAAAAGGAAAAGGCAAAAGACCGAGGCGCCAAAGCCACGCAAGAAGCAGTCAAGCCCATCGCCAAACCTGTTTCCCGGACGCCAGCCAAGCAGACAGCAGCGAAGCCCGAGGCCAAACGAAGTGCAAAAGAGACGGCGTCTCAGCCAGCAGCTGCACCGGCAGCAACATCGTCGTCTGCGACGGCACAGGCACAACCACAGGCACCGACACCAGCCAGACGTGAGAGGGAGCGAGGCAACGTGAGTGCAGCTGCTCGAATGCTCCAGCGCGATCTCGGACTGGTGGCAAAGGAGAACAAGTCACAGCGAACTGGTAGAGGAGCTGCGACATCGACCACTCCGACCAACACAACCGAGACCGCGGCTAGCGGCCCTACCAAAGGAGCTCCTACTGTACCGGCAAGCAACAAGGCAGAAAGTCCCATCGAACCACCAAAGCAAGGGACGTCAACTCCGCCTGCTCCGAACACAACAGCCACACCCACACCCACCGGTCCTAGAGCATCCCGAGCCCCCAGCACAGCGTCGTCCAAAGCCGGTTCTGGTGGTGCTGCTGCTGCAACACCGGCGCAGTCTCAACGGCCGGCAACTCCAAAGACCGGTCCGCAACCATCAGCAGGAGCCAAATCTGCATTCCTCAAACACGCCAACCCATCGCAAGGAATCACTGAAGACACCTTACGAACCGTTTTCGGGGATTTTGGCACCGTCACACGATGCGAGATCGACAAGAAGAAGGGGCTTGGATACATTGACTTTAGTGAACCGGAAGGATTGAAAAAGGCAATGGCCGCGAGTCCAGTTAAAGTGGCTAATGGTCAGGTTGTCGTGCTTGAAAACAGACCTCAACATGGGAAACGCGGAGGACAGGCCAAGTCTACAGGAAACACATCTATCCAGTCACCACAGGCTTCGGCACCACATTCAGCGCCGGCGTCGACGACAGCAGCACCATCAGTGACGGGTACAAAGACGACGAAACCAAGCTCGTCCAAAGCCACTGCCGTACCTCCGGCGCCAGCATCGGGATCGGCATCGGCACCAGCACAAACGGCAACACCATCAGTCGCCGGCTCGAAGGATGTCGAGCAAGTCTCGACAAACAGTACCCCTACCACAGCTGCTACACCTACAACTACGGCAGCGGCAGGTACCACCACGCCGGCGACAGCTCCGCGAGGACGAGGAGGCGGTGGTGGTGGCGGTGGTCGCAGCGGACGCAACAACCCGCGAGGATCAGGCCAAGGAGCAAAACAAGGTCAAGGTCAAGGTCAAGGACAACAGCGAGGTGGTAGGGGCGGTGGAAGACGGGGTGGTGGCGGAGGAGGAAGTGGTGCAGCAACTTCTTCAGCCTCAGCTTCAACCTCAACACCATCAACCGCTGCGACACCTGGCGCAGGTGGCAATGCGAACGCAAATGCAAATGCAACTGCAGGCGGAAACACATCAAGTACTTCCAAACCACCAGCACCATCAGCGGTGCCGGCAAAGGCTGAGTGAGATAATGTATGTCAACAAAATCGGGCGTCGAGATGCCAGATCTGCTCTAGGGGTTGGTTCATTAGAAGCACAAAGGCTGTTGTAACAAGACAGGGATAATTAGGACATAGGCCAGATAGGGTAGATATTCCCTTGGCCATCCACTGCTGTCACCAGATACTAGTATGGGACAAACCCTTTGTTCTTTCATCTAGTCATACAGTACATCTCTAAATTAGAGCATGTCTCCTTTTTTTGCATCTTCATTACTCTCAAAACCGATGGGTATAATTCACAAAGTACACATGCGCGCAAAGTCCAAACACTCTGAGATGGCTGCCACACGCTCGTTTGCAGCAGTCACGGGCACAGCATTTAACATGCCCGCAAAGTGGTTTGACCCTTTGGTTCCATTTCCACCACCAGGGAGAAAGATGAGAGCTTTGCTAGGAACTAGTAGACCCGGATCTACCGCCTACGCCTAGCGGCAGGAGCCGATTCGAATGCGTCCTCGTCGTCGTCGTCATCATCTTCGATTTCGATGCTTTGACTCTTGCCTGTGCCATTCCCAAGAATGCTCCTCTGGGACGAGGTGAAGTTGAGCGTTGACTGCTTCGCCCTTGTTGCTGCAGTTCGAGCCGGAGCAGGCGCAGGTTTCTTCTTCGGCGCAGGTGAAGCGGCCTTCCTGCCTCGAGCACTGGTACCGGACAACGCAGGCGTACTAGTAGCCGTAGCCCTAGTGGTGCGGCCTCCGGCGTTCGTGTTCGAGGCCGTTTTAGTAGCAGTTTTCCGCTTATCTGGGAAGAACATGGCCTGTGAATTGGGTTCTTCCTCTTCGTCATCATCGACAACATCATCGTCATCGAGCATAAGAGCATCTTCTTCTTCCTCTTCCTCTTCGTCGTCAGAAATGGCTCTCTTCCGACCTCTTCCTGTAGCCGCAGCACCAGCAGGCTTTTTCTTAGTCGTGCTTGTTGTTGTTGTAGTCTTCCGCGTGGACGCCGCAGTAGTTGCACCGGCGGGGCCGCCTCTACCTCTGCCTCTACCGCGTCCTCGGGCGGCAGTGCTGCGGGGTGCAGGCGTTGCATCCTCTTCCTCGACGTCGTCATGATCGTTATTGTCATCCTCCGAGGCCTCGGACGAACGTATCAACGCGGTCAGCTGGTCCTCCCAGTGGCCATCCAAGTCACTGTCCCAATCGTCTGGCTTGGGTTTGTAGCGAGCTTTGCTGGTTGGAAGCTTCAGTAAGCCCTTAGCAAACAGCTCTTCCATCCTCGCTCGCTGCTCGTTGATTTGCGCGGCGAGGTCCTCGTCATCGTCCTCGTCGGCATTGGCATCCGCCTGCAGTTTGACCAGGTTCTTGATTTGGTCTGCGAGAGACGTATTCACAAACAGCTCCATTGCATGCTTGTCGTCCTTGTCCACGTAATCGGACACGGCGTCCCCAAATCTGTTTTGAGGCAGGATCGTGAGGGACTGTGCTTGGAGGAACTCTCGCACTAGTTTTTCCACCTTGATGTTCTCGAGCCCTTGGAACTTGGCCATGACTGCCCGGTCCGCTTCTGCATCTCGGGCAGCACGGGCCAATGCATTTCTCTTCTTCACGTGGAACTGGATCACGTCCGTGGTGTTGGCGACCCTGTCAATAAATCGGTTCGAGAAGCGTTGTGGGTTTTCCACGTCGAATTTGCCTACGCCGTCGGCCGGCGTCGTTTCCACCCGAAGGCGGATCAAGGGTAGTGGACATTCTTCTGCCTCTTCATCTTGGGCATTTCTCTCCTCTTGCGCTTCCCGCCATTCTGCCTTTGCCTGTTCAATCAGTCCCTCGACAATACCAATCAGGTATCGCGTGAGCTCGGTTCGATGGTCCTCCTTGTGTTTGGCAATCCGGACCGCTTCTTTATCCGTGCTCAAGACAAGATCTTTGTATACGAATGGACGCACGGTTTTCAGACGGATTGGCTCACATTTCATCTCCCGACCTGTGATGGTGACAATGGCAACACGCTTCGGCACGGCTTCTCCAGGGATCAGTGATGTCGCGACGGAAGAGCCTGGTTGCATGACCTGGAAATTCATTTCCGGGTTCAACCGAGGCTCAATCAGACACTCGTGTTCGTGGCCCCATATCACCAGGTCAAGAAAGCCGGGAAGGAAGTTTTCCGGCAAGTATGATGTTTCCGTGTAGGCATGATGGTTCTGGTGGACGGCTATGATATTGTACCAGTCTTCCATCTGGGTGCTTGGTCGGTGGAACTTGACCTTGTTGTTTCGAAACGTGCGATAGAGTCGCTCGTCTCGGACATTGGAAAGGCCGTACAGTGCGAGCTTGGTGCGACCTTTCTGCAACAGCACGGGTTTGACTTCGATGTCGTCGCTCTGCGGAGTTTTGCCATAGTAGTTAATCAGCCCGGCGACGGCGAGCAGGTCCAGCGCCGCATAGTGCCCATCGCCGGTCGGATCGTCATGGTTGCCGTGGATGGAGAAGACGGGAATGCCGACATTGATATTGGGGTCTTCGTAGTTGACGTGGTCAAATGTGGCGTCAAAGTGTTCCGATTCGTCGCTGAGCATTTCGAGCTCGCATGGTTTATCACCGAAACAGTTGAGCCGTATTGACCGCATGACATTGTACATGGATTTCCGTGAGGGTTTGTTCTCGTGGAACAGGTCTCCGGCGAGGAGAACCATGTCAACATCCCGTTCTTTCGCGAGGCACATAATCTCGTGGAACGTCCTCCACGAGTCGTCGCCGCGGATGGGATCTCGCTCGTGGGCTCCTACGTGGTTGTCTGTGGCGACAAGAATCGAAATGGTGTCCGCCATGTTGGCTGAGAGCGTGGTGTACTGGCAGTCCGGAGAACATCAGCTGAGACTGAAAGAGCGTCTTGGAGTTCCTAAAGAAGGGATAGGTTCTTCAAGGTTGTGCTTAAATTTAGCGCCGTGGCTGCCTGCTTTGCGGCAGTGGTGATCACGCTTTGAACGCCATCAACGAGAGGAAAAAGCCCCCAACAAAGCAGCAAATCGACATGCAGATTCTGGAAGAATTGTGAAACGTCTCAGCTACACCAGGAAAGACAGATACGCGTGTGATGGCCGGTATAGTACCAGAAGATGATTGTAGTATGGTAATATCTGTATCCAGTACTGCCAGTGAGTATACGGGGCTCAGAATCCAAGATGTCGTCTGACTGCAACCAATCGGAACTGAGGATTTCAATTCTTCTTGGCGCATCGAGGACGAGGACCACTGACTGCATCTCATCTCGACGTGCAATGATGCGAGCTAGACTTCAATTCCATACTGACACCTTCGAGCCGCGCCGCCACCACATCCTCTTCGCATTGGAGTCCCTCCACGATACATCCGCGTCTTTCGAGCCCTCTGACTATCGAGCTCTTCTCCAGACTGATCCATCACCTGGTTCAGTCTTGCCAATCCCGCGAAAACAATTCTACGTTCTTTTATGCAACCTGCGCCTCCTGAAGCCTCTTCAACCGCGACTTCAGTAAACCAAACTCAACTCTCCCAAACCTCCGCACAGTATGGACTTTTGGACCGCGACCATCGGGCCTCTGGCGGCGCTCTCTCCGGCGGTCGCCCCAGAGTGTCCCACTCAACGGTGGACGACAGCGACGCGCTTTCTGTCAGCTCTGCCGGAACACACGGTGGACGGCCAGCCAACACCCGACGGGTGAGCAGTTCGGACGACTCTTCGCAAGCTGGCTCTCCGGGATCCCGCATTGATGAATATGAACGAGCGCATACACGACATCAAAAACGTTCCGATGGCATGTTGTTTCAGGTCGTCCCTACTGCGAAGGGCAAACCATCACGCGTCTCAATTGAGGAGTTTCCAAATGGTACACACGCTGCTGCTGCCTGTCATCTGAGCTATTGCTAACATGGAACAGAGGTCCTCACACACATACTGTCACACCTCCCTCCAGAAACTTTGTCTTCGATGAGTCTGGTGTCTAAGCGGTTCCACCGGCTTGTCACGACGCCTCACGCCTGGCGCATTGCCTTTGCCAGGTACTTTCCTGGGTCCGAGGCTTTAGATGATGGGTCCCGCAAGGCCACAAGAGACATTGTGTCTGATGTTGAAAGAGCGCAACGCAGGAGTTTTACGCGACTGTCAGCTCTCTCTTCTTGGAGGAGCGAATATATCCTCCGAACACGTCTATTGCGTTCCCTGGGGCGAGGGAGACCTGCTCTCGAAGCGGTCGCTCGATCGGAAGCCTCCCGCCATGCAAACAGCCGAGCGGCTGCTGCAGTCACCACGTACGCGTCGGGCTTGTACTATCCTGTCAGCCATCTCCACGCTACGTTTGGCATTGGCCTGAACAAAAGACAACCCTCGTTCATGCACGGCGCCGTCGAGCAGGGAGGAGTTACGGTCAGTGAGCCAAGCACCGGGAAGCCAGGCCCTTGGGGGTTGACCGACTTTGAGGCGTTCAAGCATTTCGCAGACCACTTCCCGGGCGAGTTACCATATGGAATAGGAGCGGGGGAAGTGGTCGGCATGCCGAATGTGATGGACATCAGCCAGCCTTATGGAAAGGTGTATGGGGAAGCGTGCCCTGGCGGACGCCTCTTCTACACCTCCACTAGCGAGCAGCGCGGCCGCTTCGTTCCCACCGTATCTACTGCGAACCATTCCCTCGGCATCCCGGAGGTGACAATGATTGGGTGTTCAGTAACCTCAGTCTGGATTGCAAAGTCTGAGGCCGTCCTAAAAAGCACAAACGGGCTATTTGGCTTTCTCGCGGGATTTTCCAACGGTGTCCTCATCTCTTATGCGCTTGGTGTCAATCCTGTCCACGATCGTCGGTACGAAAAGGGAGAACCCACTGCAAAGTGGGCGCTCTGTCCGGGCGTTCCAATTATCGCCATCTCCATTGATGAGAGAGTATCCTCGCGTCGGCTTACTTCGCGCCGTATCTGGGCGACAGTTCTCAACGCGCTGGGAGAAGTCTACTACCTTACGGAAACCCCGACAAGACCGGAGTTCGCTGGTAAGGCCACGGCGGATGATACCGACCGACTAGCGTGGCAGACTGGGAGGAGTGTGGAGTGGTCTTTGGTCGAGGCTACACGAAGAAAGGCGCGGCCGGACCCCTTTGGTGCTGTACAAGTGGATGGCAGCTATACACCGCGCACTTCCAGCGACGCATCTGGGCTGAGCAAGGATCAAGTCATTGCGGAAACCAAAGAGATTGAGAAATTCTTGGTACACAAACCAAAGGATTTTCAGGGCCTTTGCGAGGGGTGGGACATGCGACGGAAGATGTTGGTCGATTTTGCTGGAGACGATCGTCATGATGCTGGAGAATCCATTGTTGTAGTCGAGTGCGGCCATGACGAAGGTGTACCGGCGTCTATCCGACGCTTCACGCGCTGCAAAACCAAGATTGCCGTCGACAATGAGCTTGACAGCTGGCCAACAATCGAGTCGACCGTCGCCCGAAAATCGATATTTGGTGGCGTACATGATGGACTGTCATCCCCAGCATCGAGAAGCATACCTAGGTCACGCACGTCCAGTCAGGACGACGGCCTCGACTCAAAGTTCAAGGAGGATTGGCGCGTGTCGCAGTTCGCCTTTGCCGAACACAAGAATATTCGAATCTCTGCCGTGGCGGGAGACGAGTCTGAATTTGCAATGCTAACCATCAATGAAGATCCTCTTCTGGGAATGTCAGGTGGATCGACGGCCTCCTCGCCCTTGGCTTCTCCTCTCGGTCATGTACCGACGGCAAGCTCACCCTCTGAAATCCCTGGACATCGAGCTCGACTGATGGGTGTTGGTACCATGTCAGGTGTTGTCATGCTTTGGGACATGCGTAGCACTGTCCCACCCAGTTCCGCCATTACCAGCACCGTCCAGCCAGTCCGGATCATTTACTCAAGGTCACCTCAGATTGCTTCCCTTGCATTGACTTCGTTGTATGTTGTTCATGGGGGCAATGACGGCCTAGTTCAAGCTTGGGATCCACTGGCCTCGACCAATGAACCGATTCGGACGCTCAATTCACGATTCTCCGATCGAGCCCGACGAAGGATCGCTCAAGCCGAGGCTACAGCTCAAGGCGTAGGCAACAACTACTATGCTGCAGGGGCGATTATCCTTGATCCCGATCCGACAGCGTTACGTGGGATGGTCTCCTTGGGTGCTTACCTCCGTTACTGGTCGTATAGCTCGACGGCGGCTGATGCGTACAAGAGCCGCAAGAGGGGTCAACTGCGCCGACGATCTGAGAGAGGCAGTAATTCCACGCCGGCCAGTCAAAAGGTCAGCGCCACTGCCCGAGGGTTACTGAAAGACCACATTCTCAACGAAAAGTTCGAAATGGAGAGGGAGCAAATTGCCAAGCAGAAAGAAGACGAACGCTTGAGCGGCAGATTCGGCACCACCCTTCTCGGAGAGGGCGCTAGCGAAGAGGAGTTGCTCGCCTATGCCACCCTGCTTAGTGAGGAGGCATTTTCGGCAGATGAGATGAAGAGAAAGGTCGACCATGGCAGCAGCTCGATTTCGTCACCTAAACTTCACGAGGTCGACGTTCAAACAAAGGAAAGCGGTCCTTCGACAACAGATGCTGAATTGGAAGAAGCCATCCGTCTAAGCTTGTTGGACACTGAACAAGTATCTTCATCTCCACAGGGTAGCGAGTGGGGATTCGATATACCCATACGGTACGCGAAAGGATCTAAACATGGCACACCTTCACGCAACCCCAAAGCTGGCAGCAGCAAGGCTCCTGTGACTGCTGCCGAGGATGATGATTTGGAATTTGCCCTCCAGCTCAGTCTTGCGGAGGCCGAGAGTCGCCAGATGGACGAGCAAGACTTTCCGGCTCTGTCTGGTTCGTCTAGTCCTACATTTGAAGATGTGGGAAAGGGGAAGGGCAAGTCGAGGCTTCGGTGAGGAGAGGTGTATTCTCTTCTAGGTTGCATTCTCTTCTGTTTATGTCTTCTTTCGGTGCTTTCTTTCAGTCCCTTGTGGCTATTGACGGTCCGCCTTTTCTTGAGCCAATTATTAGAGCGACGAAGGCCGCTTCGTTTGCTCAGCTACAGAGTAGAATACAAGCTCAGTCGTGCAGAGGAAGTCCCTGATGTGTCTGCTTGCTGCACGATATCTTGTGCCTTGCACCAGAGTACAATAATAATGTACCTTTAGTGTCCCCCGGCACCTAGGTAGGTACTGTGTTAGTCCTCAATGGGTGCCGGTTTTCCTCAGTCTCGCAAGGCTCCCCGGGTACCTGTAGTGTGCTACGGATCCGAGTCGGTCAGGCGGAGACTTCCGACGGCACCGAAGTCGCCAAGACCAAAGTAAGTTCGGTTGGCCGCGGCACGATTCGCTGCCACACCACGAACCCGCGGCTGCGCAGCCATCATCCAAGCTCTGTTCTGTTACTAGTAGCAGCTTGCACTGGTAACGAGCCAGCCGTGCAGTTCAGCTCCAGCTCCAGCTCCAGCCTCCAGCTCCAGGATTTCCCCGAAGTGCATCGCTCACTTCGGGGAGCTCTCCGCACTACCAACCGAGCATGTCCTGTGGCCCCGGCCTTTAATCTGCGGCCTCACGTCTGCTTGTATGCTCAAACATGTTGTCTCGTCGTCCTACCAGTACCAGTAGTAGGCGAGCTCAGCAGAGATGACTGTGACTTTGGTAGCGTCTGCCCTGCGGCGGTCATCTTCACATTTGTGCTTTAGAGCACGGCATTTCTCTTGCTCGGCGACGAGAGAAGCATCATGGGGCTTCATCGGGTTGGGTGCCATGGGTATGTTTGTTTATTGTCGCGACGGCCTTTGATGAAAATGAAAGTATATGCTAACAAGAGACGTTTCTGTGCATTGCAGGCTATCCCATGGCGAAGAACCTCCGAGCTAAAATCCCCGAGGGCGACACGATGACTGTCTTCGATGTCAATACGGCCTCGCTGGAGAAATTCTCCCAGGAAGCTACCCCGACTGGAGTCGTTGTTGCGAAGAGTCCTCGTGAAGTCGTGGAAAACTCTGTGAGTATAACCCTGCGTCGCTCTGCCAGCATAACATGATGAGCATTTTTGTTCTATCTATGATCTAAGTTGGGGACTTCCATTTTGGTTGTCTTTTCTCTGATTTTACATACCTATAGCCAATCCTCTGATTGTGTTGTCATAATCCGTTCGCTACTGCCCGACTATGCGGCGGCAATGTGCTGATTATTTTGTTTGCCAACTAGGACAATATCGTTTCGGCGCTCCCTGAACCTCGTCACGTAAAAGGCGTTTTCGAGGAGGTCCTCGCCTCGTCCTTGCCCAAGGCGCCGAGCCAGAGCTCTCGTCTTTTTATCGACTGCTCCACGATCGACCCGTCAACCTCCAGGGAGGTGGCTAAACTGGTGAAAGAAAAGGCTGGCGCAAAGTTTGTTGACGCCCCCATGTCCGGCGGCGTGGTTGGCGCTCGCGCCGGAACTCTGACCTTCATGGTCGGCGCGGAAGAGGAGGATGTGCCCAAGATCCGAGAGATTTTGTTGCTCATGGGAAAGAAGGTCTGGCACATGGGACCGCAAGGTACTGGTCTTAGCGGCAAATTGGCCAACAACTATGCGCTGGCGATCAACAATATTGCTGCGGCTGAAGCATTCAATTTGGGTGTAAGATGGGGCATTACCGGAAAGGCGTTGGCCGATCTTATAAACTCGGCTACGGGTAGGAGCTGGCCTAGTGAGGTCAACAACCCTGTCCCAGGTGTTATTGAGACGGCTCCCTCAAGCAGAGATTACGAGGGAGGATTTGGGGTCAGTTTGATGAACAAGGACCTTCGGCTTGCTATGACGGCCGCCCAGGAGGCCGGAGCCAAACTCGCCCTGGCGCAGAAAGCGAAGGAGGTGTATGATGAGACTGAGAAGGCTTATAAGGGCAAGGACTTTTCCGTCGTGTATAGATGGTTGGGCGGCAAGGAATAGCCTACCCAGACGGATTGTCGTTGACAGAATGAAACAAGTTAAAGAAAGCAGAACACCTGTGAGAACTCTCATTCTCGTAAGTACATACGGATATGTGTACATTACTAGGTATTTTGTAGGTACCTAGTATCGCCAACTTGACCGGGGTTTAGAAGTGGCACGCGTCTTTTCTCCGCGTGGGACTCGTGCGCCGTCTCCAACTTGAAGTCAAAGGCGAGGAATATGAGATGATGACCCAATTCCACATATCTACCGCCTACTAGTATATCCTACTCTCCTACGACAAGCCCTTCACTCTCAGTCCGGAGCTGCTGTACGTCTTTCCAGCTCGCACGGCTTCGGGCGAAGTTCCAGGTCCCTCCATTGAGTCCGCTCTGCATCCACTTGATCTGGTGCGCCTCATGACAGCAGCGGCCTGCGGTAGATTCACGAACGATTCGGACTCGTGACAATGTCCTACATTGTGCCAATTCACCGTCCCAGCGGGGTACGGCATGCGATCAAATTGAACTTTCTCGATCCCAATTCGGATACGCTGATTGTTGCGTGAGTGTTCTGTTATCAAAGACATCTAGGGAAACCATCCGCTAAGTCTGGTCCAGGAAAGCAAGCCGTTTAGAGATCTACGAGCAAGGGACCGAAGGTTTGGGTTTGTTATACTCGAAGACAGTCTACGGCTACATTACGATCCTCGAGAAGCTCCGACCGGCTTCCTCGCAGACAGACCACCTCTTTGTCGGCACTGACCGGTACCACTACTTTACATGCTCGTGGAACGCGGAGATCAAGCAATTACGAACGGAGCAGAGCTATGTTGATTTGGCGGATAATGTCCTGCGCAACTCGAAGGAGGTGGATAGATGCCACATCGACCCTACAGGGCGATACATGACCTTGGAGTTGTATGATGGAGTCATTTCGGTGCTGCCGTTCGTGCAACCCTCAAACAAACGGGTCAAGCGGGAGACGACGACAAATTCACCAGTAGGGAGTTTGGGCGAACCCGTGCAAGTGAGGGTGGAAGAGTTGTTGACGAGATCATCTGCATTCTTGGAAACGGATCCAGACACTAGAGAAAACCCGAAGCTGGCGATTTTGTGGGAAGACAACTTGGAGAACCCGCAGTTGAAACTGCGCGAGCTGAAATACTACCCTGGCGGCGACCAAGCAACGGCAGAGTTGGAAACAGTTGCCGAATTACATGGTGATCAGTTGGACAAGGGAGTCAGTCATCTCATTCCGGTGTCGGCGCCGTACGGGGGATTTCTGATCCTTGGAGACCATGCAATTCGGTACGTGGACCGCGGGTTGACCAATGTCATTACCCAAGCGCTTGAAGACAATGCGACGATTTGGACGTGTTGGACCAAGATCGATGACCGACGGTGGCTGCTGGCGGATGATTTCGGTAGGCTGTTCTTTCTCATGATCGAGGTCTCTGGAGGCGAGGTGTCGTCGTGGAGATTGGATACTGTGGGTGTCGCGTCCAAGGCCACTTGCTTGGTCTATCTTGACGAAGGGTATGTTTTTGTCGGTTCACATTCTGGTGACTCCCAGGTGGTACATATCGAAGAGGAAGGGGTTCGTGTTGTCCAGAGTTTCGCCAACATTGCCCCGATCTTGGATTTCACCATCATGGATCTGGGTAGAGGAGCCGAGGCAGGAGGACAACAAGCCCTTGAGTTCTCGTCTGGTCAAGCAAGAATCGTGACTGCGTCAGGTGCATGGCAAGACGGCACCATTCGCAGCGTGAGGAGTGGCGTGGGGCTGGAAGAACTCGGTACCATTGGCGAATTGTCTCATATTACAGATCTCTGGGGATTGAGTTCGACGGGACAGAGTGATGTGCAGGATGTCCTTGTTGTTTCTTTTGTCACTGAAACCCGCGTGTTCAAGTTCGACTCGGAAGCGGCCGTGGAGGAAGTGGACGAGTTCCATCACCTCGAGTTTTCGCAGCCAACGCTCCTGGCGGCAAATTTGCCTGATCGCAAGCTGGCTCAGATCTACGAGACGGGCTTGCGGATAACTGATCTTGAGTCTAATATGCTTACACTCGAGTGGAAACCGCCAGACTCGGCGGCCAAGATCACCGCGGCCTGTGCAAACTCTGTACATCTGCTCATGGTCGAAGGCGGCCATACCCTCCATGTATTCCATGCCAGCAACAACGAAGCAAAGCCGACTGTGTCGAAATCATTCCCTCTGGACTCACAGATATCTAGTGTGACGGTGGCTGATTCTCAGAGCAATGTGTGCATTGTCTCCTTCTGGCAGACAGCATCGGTCGCCATCCTCGACTTACATTCCCTCGATACTCTATACACGCAGACTCTGGGCACGCCGGGGACAGATATTCCACGATCGGTTCTGGTTGCACATGTCCTTCCTGACGCTCCGCCAACATTATTTATTGCGATGGCCGACGGCACCGTTTTATCCTACTCGTTTGATCTGGCCAAGCATTCCCTGTCAGGCATGACGAGGATATTACTCGGCACGGAACCGGTCGTTTTCAAGCAGCTACCCAAGGACAATTCTCCGGACTCAAATCTGTCCAATGTCTTTGCGTCGTGTGAGCAACCGTCGCTGATCTACTCGTCTGAAGGCCGCATCATTTATTCTGCTGTCAATGCCGAAAGTGCCTCGCGGGTATGCAACTTCAACTGTGAGGCATACCCCGAAGCGATTGCCATGGCCACGCCGACAGAGCTGAAGTTGGCTTTGATTGGCAGGGAGAGAACGACTCAACTGCAGACTCTTTCGATTGGCGAAACTGTGCGTTGTCTCACGTATGAGCCAACAGCAAAGATGTTCGCCATGGGCTGTATCCGGCGCATCATGGAGGGCGGCACTGAAGCTCTACTTAGTTCTGTCAAGATCGCGGATGAGGTTAGCTTCAAGGAACTCGATTCGGTCGAGTTGCAAGACCGTGAACTGGTCGAGTGTATTGTATCGACCGGATCGTTCGACACAGAGGATGAATCAAAAGGTTACGGCGACATGTTTGTTGTCGGGACGAGCATTTTAGAAGAAGACGACGCTGGAGAGGAGGTGACGAAAGGCCGCATTTTGGTGTTCGAGGTCAACAAGGAGAAGAAATTGAAGGCCGTAACGCAGATCAAGGTCAAAGGTGCATGTCGAAGTCTGGCCATGTGTGACGGCAAGATTGTGGCTGGATTGGTGAAGACGGTGAGTGCGAGTTTTACTTAATAAAGTGGGGTTTGTTTGCTAACTTTTGGTCAATAGGTCGTTCTTTATGGATTGATCCCGTCCTCGACAAGAGGAGAGCATTCTTTGGAACTACAGAAGCTGGCTACATATCGAACGTCAACGAACCCGTTGTCATTAGCCGTGACGCCGGCGACCCAAGACAGCCCGGCACTAATTGCTGTAGCGGACTTGATGAAATCGTTGTCGGTTCTTCAAGTTCTTCCACCAGACTCGTCGAATTCGGAATACCGGCTTCATGAGACGTCGCGCCATTTCGCCACATTGTGGTCATCCGCCACCGCGGTGTTGAGACACGATGAATGGGTCGTCGCGGATATGGAGGGCAATTTAATCACGCTCCGGCAGGGATCGCTGGACGCAGAGAACAACGGTGCGGTGGCGGCTCGGCGCCGGCTCGAGGTCACGGGCGAGTTCCGCCTTGGAGAGGTGGTTAATAAGATTGTGTCGATTTTGCCGCCTGGGTCGCAGAGACAGTCGGACCAAAAGATGGTAGATGTCGGATTGGACGGTGGGAAGAAGCCTGCCAGAACCGGCCCCCTAGTCACACCTCGCACGTTTCTCGGCACGGTCGAAGGCGCCATTTACATGTTGGCGACGATCAATCCGGCATACGTCAATGTTCTACTTCTTCTGCAGTCCTCGCTGGCCACGCGGGTCCAGGCTCCCGGATACATGCCTTGGGCGAAATATCGAGCTTGGAAGACGGAAGTTTTGGAAAAGGATGAACCGTTCCGTGTTGTGGACGGCGAGATGCTGGAACAGGGACTTGTCGCGCTAGATGATCGGGAGTTGGAGGACGTGTTGAGAGAGGCTGGGTTGATGGAGGAGGCGTTGAATGTTAGTGTGGAGGAGGTCAGGGGGTGGGCGGATGAGTTGAGACGGTTGTATTAGACTGGTCAACTAGACGGACAGACAGAAGACAGAAAGACGGACAGGCCGACTTTGGTTTCTATACACTGCCTTCCTTCCTACCTGGCTTGATTCCTGGCGAGAGATACAATGCCGGAAATAGATTCAAGTGCAGTTAGTGTAATGGATCAGCAAGGGACGTGGTGCAACGTTTATGGAAGTGGGCATCGGAGGCACAGCATGGGTTTATAGCACTACAGCACAGTGCAGTAGTACACTGCAATTCAAGTCGTAGAATGTACATGATATTGGCCTTGCCTCGCCTTGCCTCGCGGAGATAAAAAGTGGAGTTAAGCCAGGTGGGCGTCATTCAATTAATAAATTTAATAACTCGTAAAGCTGCCCGCTTCAAGTCCAGCATAGCATTGTGAGTTGTTTTCCTAACCGTCAACAAACCATACTGTACTGTACCATAGGTACCTTTGAGCTACTACTAGTACCTTATCTAACCTACCTCCACCCCATGCGCAGCGCAGACAGACATCAAACCTTGGAAAGTCCGTGACCCAGATCCAAATCCGACAACCCCAGAAACAAGACCAAACCCACCTAAGCTTTCCAATCTTTCACGATCCCAATCCGGACCTACCAGTCCCAGCCAGTCTACAGTACCTTATCAATCTGTCTACCTTCCTCGTATCTTGTTCGAGTTTGATTGATTCGAAAAGCCCACGCTTCTCAAAGCGAAGCCTTCCAGTCTCAAGATGTCTTCTATTCTCCAAAGAATCGACACCCTCTCCTCAACGTTCCAATCCAGCCTCCCGGAGAACTTACAACCGTACTTCACCCGCGCCAACCTCCAATCATTTTTACGGTTCATCGTCATCGTCCTGACGTATCTGTTATTTCGACCGCATTTGGAAAGTTTGATTGCGAAAGTTTCGGGTCGTCCGGATCCGAAGCGGGCGGAGGTTGAGGCGAGATTGGAGTTTTTGAAACAGCAAAAGGAGGGACAATCAGAGTTGACGAAGTCGGAAATCATGATGCCGCAGGCGGATGGGACGATGAAGAAAGTGGGTGTTGTTGCGAGGAATGGGAAGATTGTTGGGTTGGTGCAAGACGAGAATGACAAGGGGACGAATGGGGAGGGAAAGAAGAGTGGGCAACAAAAGGGAAAGAAGAGTAAAAAGGCAAAAGGGAAGGGGAATTGAGATCTGGAATGGAGAGTCGGGATGAGACGGCGGTATCTAGGGAGAGACTGTCAGCTTAACGCCTGTTGGCTGGTTGATGTGTCGTCGGGTGTCAAAGCTTTGGGAAGAGAAGCTGAGGTGCGATGGCAAGGCATCCACTGCGATTCGATGGGAGTCGAGTTGACTACCTACTGGCGTACCAGGAGGACGATACGACTACGGTCGGCATTGTGTTATGATCAACCAAGGCCCTTGGTCCTTGGTTGGCTGAGATTCAGATTATGGGGAGGGGAGGCTATTGCTATGGCTACTGGTACTGGTACTGCTACTACGACTACCTTACTTCTGAGGGAGTTGAGGCAGATGTGCAGATCAGATCAAATTGGTCCAAGTGGTGTGCCAATGGGTACGATGGGAAGACCAGGACCCAGACCTGGACCTGGCGGGAAGGATCGGTCATCTCTCGACGATACAATACCGGTACGTTTAATGCAGTGGTGAATCGTTGGCAAAGTGAAACCAACCATTTGAGTCTGTCTGGAGGATATTGTGCCACGCGGATGCCGCGACCAACTGAAGATCATCCTTGAATTGCGGCCACCCCGCCTGGATTTGGTCACCAGGAAGCGGTCATGTCTTCCTCATTGGGAGAGCAGATCGCGGAAAGACGTTCAAGTTCATCATTTTGTCATGCAGTGCAGAGCCGCAACCCCATCTCCAAGCTGCCAGTGGAGCCCACTGGAGGGCATACAAGTCTCTCACCATGATATACCTTATTCGGTCGTGGATGAGCTTGGGGGAAAACTGAGCCTCCCTGTCTGTATCGCTATCCAATCGAGACATGCAAAGCAGGCAAGACAGGATAGGGAGGGAGTGAACAGGCTAGCTGTATTGAAGCTATATATAGAGATACGAGCGAAGGCCAGAAGAGATTCCCTCCTTTGATTCAAGTTCCCGACGATCGGAGAGAAGAGATCATTACTATTGGCAATAAGGCTATGGCACGTCAGATTGCCTCCGATGCAGTGGTACATCTAGTACCTATGGTGCTACAAGTGCTACTAGTAGTAGGGAGAGTATTATGACTGCTCACACACAGCAAGGCTGAAAATTAGGGGGAGAATCAAACGGTCACTTCTGCAGTTTTTCAAATCTGATCCGCCGTAATAATAATAGTGGCCGCAATCCAGACGCGTCGCGTTTATACGCAGCGAGACGCGCCAACTCCCCGCCTTCATCTGGAAACTTGTTTTGATACCTACTGTAACCAAACGTCATACCTAGACAGCCTACGTAGGTACCTAGGTATGTCCCGACGTTACGATCCTAAAGCACTGGCAGTACTGTGTTGTTGAGGCAGCAAAACTTCATTCGAACCATTGGCATCGCAAAGAAATTGAACCGTCGGGCTACCTAACCCTCGAACTGCAGTGTTCCTACTAGCCGCAGCAGAGCAAGAGCAAAAATCGAGATTAAGAGATGGCAACAGAACCCGAAGCCGAGGCTTTACAAAAGGTATGTCTATGGCCAGAAAAAGACATGACAATAAAAGCATTTGATCCCAGTCGCACTCCCACTGGGACATCGGAACACTCTCTCCGGTTGAAGACAGAATGGCGTACCTCCAACGCACCACGTTCTTGTCCAATCCCTCAGCTTGGATCCGGAAACTCGCCCTCCCATCGCCCACTGCACCGCGTCCGCCCAGCATAAATTCCATCACGCTTGGTCAATGGATTTCAAGTGCTCACTTCGAACACACGTCACATGCTGACTTTTGACTTTGGCTTTTTGTCTTATCTAGAAACTCCGCTCAGCGCTCTGGTTCCAGATCGGCAAGATTGTCGACGAAGAAAGCATCAACTTGGGCGTCAATGCCACGCCGCAGTTTATTGGCAGTTTGATGGAGTTGGTCTGGGCTCAAATAGGTAAGTCAAATGAACTCGGATGTCTCTTCTTTCTTCGATCTCTTTGGTCGGTATGGCTTGCAGGCCGTACGTGGCCTTCAACTCTGAACCACTATAAGATTGTCGAGCCAAATAGATGATGGTCATGTGGAATTACATGGGGCGGGGTCAGACGACCGTTTCGGCATCGTCTCTCGTGTGAAAGAACGTCCATGTGTTATGTTATTGATTACTCTATGCGTCAGAGACTAACATTTGGGGGCAGGAAATGCTGCCATCGACTTAGAAGCATTTGCAAAACATGCCGGCAGATCCAAAATCAAGACAGACGATGTGATGCTACTTACCAGAAGGAATGAAGGGCTCGAACAGATCTTGAAGCAGGAGTTGAAGAGGCTAGAGGAGATGCACGACAAGGAGAAGACGAACGGCAAAAAGTGAGGGAGAGGAATGGCTCTCTTATTCTTGTGTCCTGCGGCACATCTGAAGTTCAGTCATTGCCAGGACATATTCTCACTTTTGATGTCAGCAGGAACCGAGCATGCAGAGACGAGGTCATACGCTGAGCAGGTTCTAACAAGCCGTCCGACCCGGGGGACTCGCGAAGACCAGCTGTTCCATGGGCATGGTGGAGATATCCTGTGTGGCGCTGGGGTCACATTGCGAAGTACACATTCCACGGTTGCGGAAGACAGGGGAAGGTCTTTACAACCGCATTCGACATGGGAATATGAAAGCGAGTTATGAGGGCATGTGATTTTGGTAGCTTCGGGGTCGAATGCGAGTCGGTGGAAAGCAATCCAGATCAAAGGATATCACGAAGCGGAGGACTACCAACTCGATATTTTCACAGGGCTGCCACCCAATATACGAGCCATCGGTGTGAGGGGAGGTCGATATACGACCGTGCTGGACGAGATCGCAGCCGGCAACTTTCCTTCAGGTTGGGCCAGAAGCGCTTAGGGCGCACAGCATCATCATCATCATCACCGAATGAGGCTATGTATGCTGCCACGACATGAGTCGCAGTTACTTTGTACTCGCGCTACGGCCAAAATCAGTGCTCAGAGCCCTGAAAAGCTAGAGCGGGATGGATAGGTCGATTGGTGCGTAGGCGCATCTCCGGATAGCTGACTGATGGGCTGGCAATGCGTCGGACGGACTCGAACGAGACACTGGCTGGCAATGCAACCCTGCGAGGTACTCGCATATGGTAACCCGTATGCAGAAAGCATAGATTACAGCAGACAGTACAGTGTGTACATATGTACAGTATTGTAGTTGGGGGAATTTGAAGCAGGCGAAACTTACAAACCCCTAGCCGCAAAACCTCCGTATTGGACCTTAGATTATGGTTTTGGCCAAAAGTGGTAAGACCACTCCGCTGGTTAAGGACAATTTCGACTCCTATATCATGCTTCATCCTTTCTACACGAGGAGGAAGCATACCCTTGGGGATGACAATATACATGGCCTACTTCGCTGCTAATGGCCGTTTCCCCATTGGATGCGGTATCCCTGCTGAAGATGTTGACATTGTCTTGCTCTCCTTCCACTTCGATGCCGCCGAGAAAGACCACTCCCTGAGGATGGCCTATGGCGATCGAAAACATTACGCCGAGCGCGACATGAGGGTTCCTACTTGTGGACCACGGCGGTGTGGCCGGAATAATATAACAATGCACTCTCCCATCTCTGCGAAGGAAATATGTTTTCTCGCTTTCTGTGCTGCACTGCAATTCTGAAGAAAATCATAGCGTGCGCGGCACCCTGCCGCTCTGCATACATGTTCAGACAAAGAGAACATGGATAGAAGGTAGGCTTCACACAGCAAATCGATGCGTATGGATGGCTATCATTGACCTTGCGGTGGCCGCCCATGATGAAGACAAATCTACGGTCTCCTGTGCCCTCAGATCCGGTCGCTGGTTTCTGGCTTGACTTGTAGACGAGTGAATAACAAGCGGGCCAACGCGAAGACTGCGCAGCGTTCAAACATCGTCCCTTTTGACACCTCACTTGGTCAAGGTATCGTTTTCCCTCGGGTTGTATCCCTTTACCTGATACGCAAATGAGAGTATCACTCAAACTTCATCCCATCGTGAGCATCAAACAACGCTTGAACCAAGCAGCTTCGATCAGGACATTTGAATCCTCTTACCACGAAGCTGTTAGCTCCATTTGTCTTACGGCAGAAGATGGCACAACGTGATATGGATCGATTTCGGAACGCTCACCTGGTCCAAGAGTCGCTCAACGTGCCTGGCTGGAAACCGTCTAGACAAGAAGTCATGATCATGCTAACCCTGGCCATCATCTCTCTAATGGTGTCTCTGGATGCCACAGTCATCATTACCTCGTTGTCTGTACGTCTCGAGGTTCCCTTTGGTGAAAGTATTTTTGGGACGCTTTCGATCCACTGACTCGATTTGCTTGCTATCAGACAATTGTCCAGGCCCTCAACGCTACGGCAACTCAGGGCTTCTGGATCGGAACCTCATATCTCCTCACATGTGCGGTGACCATGCCATTCATTGCCTCTCTGAGTGACATACTTGGCCGGCCACGATGTCTTCTTGCCTCAATAGTGACGTTCACGATTGGCACCATCTTATGCGCCGCAGCACGTACCATTACTGTCATGCTGGTCGGTCGCTGTGTCCAGGGAATTGGTGGCGGAGGAATCATCATCCTATCGCTCGTCATCTTCTCTGACATTGTTCCACTGAGATCTCGCCCACGATATGTTGGTATCATGTACGAAGGGAGACCCCGATTCCCCATCCCTAGCCATTCTCTCTTTGTCCCTCGAAGTCACCCATCTCTTTTCTTGCCTCCACTCTCTTCTGCCCAGATGCTAACAGAACGACCATAGCCAAGGAGCTTGGGCAATAGGCACCTGTATCGGACCGATCGTTGGCGGCGGCCTAGCCACTCCATCACTCTGGCGCTGCGTCTTCTATCTCATGTTTCCATTTGCCGGAATCGGACTTGTCTTTGTACCGCTGTTCGTTCGCTTGAAGCCACGCAAAGCAGCAGCGACCTGGAAAGAAATGTTCAATCGAATCGACTGGCTTGGTGGATTTTTGTTCATTTCGTCCGCCACGAGTTTTCTCATCGCCGTGTCGTGGGGCGGAGTTCAAGAACCTTGGGGCAGCTGGCGCACCATCGTGCCTTTGACCATCGGAGGTTTGGGACTTATTGCCACCATGCTGTGGGAACGGTTTGGGGCCCTGCATCCGTTTCTGCGTCACTCGCTTTTCGAACGTCCTTCTGCCGTTGCGGTGTATGCATGTTCTTTCGCACAAGGGTTACTGGTACGTTTCAACTTTTCTGTTCATTAAAAGAAATCGACATTGTTCCGAATGTCTCCTCGATATGATAACGGATCTTGCTGCTCAGCGAACTAACATCTTGGTCGTTGGATTATCATCACAGCTCTACGGCCAACTCTACTACATTCCCTTCTTCTTCGAATCCGTCAGACTCGACTCTCCCATCCGGACAGGCGTCTCCCTATTACCCGTCATGTTAACCCTAATCCCTGCATCGGTGGTCGTCGGCTCCATCATTACCCGTTTAGGTCATTACCGCTGGGCCATTTGGGCAGGATGGACACTCGGCACGCTCGGCACTGGACTCACGATCCTCTGGGACGAAACCACAGGTCTTGCGGCACGGGTGATTATTCTGGTCATTCTCGGCTTGGGGCATGGTCTCTTGCTCAACTCGCTCAATACGGCGTCGCAGGCCGTAGCTGGCGACAGCGGAGCCAGTCACAAGGAAGACACAGACAAGGGAGCCAGAGACCACGGAGTCACAGATAACGGAGCCATAGACAACGGAGTTTCAGATTCAGTCTCAGTCTCAAACCAAGGCTCCGCCGTGGCAATGTACGCCTTCCTCCGCAGCTTCGGCATGGCCGTCGGCGTCGGCATCGGCGGATCCATGTTCCAGAACGTCATGAAACATAAGCTTTTGGACTTGGGTCTATCGCCCGAGATTGCGGTCCGTGCCGAATCGTATATTGCTGTCCTTCGTCAGATGGAGCCAGACAGTCCTGCAAGAGCGGCCGTCACAGCAGCCTATGTTCATGGCTTCAAGGGCGTGTTTGGATTTTTCTGCGCTCTCGCTGGCACTGCGTTGCTGGTGTCTGTTGTGTTTGTGAGACATTATGAGTTGAATACGAGCAAATTGGGTGGTGAGCATACGCTGGATCTGGACCTGGATCGTATGGATGGGACTAGGAGTGGATACCCAGGGACGACTACGAAGACGGCAGAGGCGTCGGTGACTACAGACTCGGATACTGGTATCGAGCGGAGTGGTGATCGTAATCGTGGTCGTGATCTTCGAACTGATCTCGAGGGATAGATGGTGCCGTACCGGCCGGCATGAAACGAAGAAGGGTCGAGAGCAACAGACCAAAGCTGCAGTAGCTGAAGCAAGGAACCAAAAGAATGTATGTTCATCTGAGGACCATTGCCCTTTTTTCTGCTCTTTGCACATTTTATCATCGGTGGCTACTAGTATCGACTACTTCTTGCTACGATGTTTCTGCACACCGAGTAATAGACGGACGTCCATCTGTGACTGCCAGTGCCCAGGTGTTGATTCCCACTACTAGATCAATATCATCCATTTTATGCTGGCTGGGGGCCCTAAGCCCTCCCGGCTCTCCCACCAGGCACGGACTCTCTGACCTTGAATATTTCGTTGACATGGGCCTTTTTGTAGCACACAGTAGACACACCACACTGTCTCCCGATAGCACTCCATACCCCATCCTGATTCCTTTCAATGTCAGGTCAATACCCTTAACTCAAATACCCGCCCCGACATCGACGAGGATCTTGACATGGTTCTCCTTATCCTCAATCAAAGTCTTGAACCCTTCCTCGGCGACCTCGTCCAGCTTGATTTTCTTGGTGATCATGCCTTCGGGTTTCATGGCACCTGTAGACAAGAAAAACAGCCACAGCCAAAAATTAGTCGCCGTATTGAGATATGACATAAAAGGGGCCGTAGGACGGACTACTGCGACTGCTTACAAGCACAGCGGCTGGAAAAGGCGATGGGATGGGATGGGATGGGATGCTGATTGACATGATTTTGACTTACCGCTCGAAATGGCTTTGATGACAGACTCAAAGTCGCCGAGTGCATATGTTGCCCTAGAGAACCAAGTCAGAATCTCAAACGCATAGGGAAACAGCGCAGGCGTAATTGTAATTCAAACTTACACCCCCATATACCCCCTCTCTCTAAACACGACATCATTCATATTCAACGTGGCGCGCTTCTCCCACACAGCAATATTAACCAGTGTCCCTCTAGCCTTGATAGCCTTAAGAGCAGTATCAACAGCAGGCTGGACCCCGGCTGCATCAAAACCAACATCCGCGCCCTCGCCATTCGTCAATTTCTCAACTTCAGCCACAATATCCTGTTTGACAGGATCAATGACATGATGGGCGCCGAACTGCTTTGCAAACTCTCTGCGCCGACGACTGACTTCGCTGACAATGATATTCTCACAGCCTCGACCGACCAGAGCCTGGACGACAGCCAGACCAATCGGCCCGCCGCCGAGCACGAGGACAGCATCACCCTTTTTATACGGCGAGATGTCGACGGCATGCCAGCCCACGGCGAGCGGCTCAATCAGGGCTCCGACCTCGAGCGAGATGTTATCCGGCAACGGCTTGACGCAGCTCGCGGGGACGACCATGTGTTCGCTCAACCCGCCGCCCCAGCCGCTGAGGCCGACGAATCCGTTCTTGTCGCAGCAGTTGACTAGCCCGCGACGACAGGCGCGACAACTCCCGTCGTAGATGGTCGGTTGGACACAGACACGGTCGCCCGGTTTCACGTGGTCCACGCCGCTGCCGACTTCTTCGACGATCCCGCTGAATTCGTGCCCGAGCGTGAGTGGGAGCGTTTCGCCTGTGATCGGGTGCGGGTTGTCTTTGGTTGGGATTAGATTCGCTCCGCCTAGATACTCGTGTAGATCGGAGCCGCAGATGCCGCAGAATTTCGGGGCGATTTTCACTTGGCCTTCTTTGACGGTTGGCACGGGGATCTGGTCGAGGCGGATGTCGCGTTGGCCGTGGAATCGGACTGCGTTCATTGTTGGTTCACCCATGGCGCAGACAGGAACGGAATTGTAGTGTAGGGGAAAGGTATTTATGTATGATGGGAACCACGAAGGGCCGGTCGCTCCAGGTAGAGTCTTCTGTGCGTTATGACGACTAGGTAAGGTACACAAGCGGGAAGATGGGAGTGTGGCAGTAACTGGTGTTCGTGACTCTTAACAGGCTGTGGCCGAAGATACGGGAGAACAATGGCAAGCTAGGTAGGGAGAATGCAAGTGTTTGGCCTCGAACGAAGAGAGATTGAGTCAAGATGCAGTGGATGATTCAAGGACTACAAAGAGGAGGAGGAGAATGGGCTCGGTCAAACCTCTGCTTATGATATACTGTACCAGGATGCGTCTTAAGAGCGGGCTGTGTCGGTCCCTCGGGCGGGACTCACCCTGCCTTGCTTTTGCATTGTGATTGAAAGCTTCAGAAGCATAATAACCCGTCACTCGCGTCGTCGTGTTTGTGCGACTTGGTCACGCATGGAGCCCCTCATTACTGTTGCTGCCCATGCCATCTCCACTGCGGTTCTCCGGATTGATCAACAGAGGGGGATGGAGACCGGTTTGCCGAAACGAGGAACCCGAGGATGAGGGGGGCTATCTATCCCGCAGGTCATACAACGTTGTAGAGTGGCCGAGAGCCGCCGGGGAGTCAACAGGGATTTTCCTGGCACTGTCCTGTCGGATGCGAGGAGCGACGGGTACCCCAGAGGTCAACATCCTACACTCCTGTTGAGGCAGATCCTGAACCAAGAAGTGACGTTAATATAGAAAACACATTAACATTATAGTAGTACTACCTAGGCAAGTAGAGTATATGCTATCTCTACAGCGCCCAATGTGACAGGCAAGTCTGCCGAAGAAGTTATATATGGACTTACATAAGCGCGCCTGGCACTGGCAAGCACCAGCATGTGTGGCTCATCAGTAGAAGCCTCCAAACCGTCGAGCGCCTGAACAGTCGACAGCTGGATATCAATCTGACCAGATAGATGATTATATCTAGCTGCCAAATTGGAAACGCCTCGAGGAGACCCGGCACCTATGCCTGGCAAGATCAAGCAGTAGATGCATATGCAAACGGTTGTCGCGGGACACAAACGCCGCCCTTGCCAACCAGCCGATCCTTCAGAGCAGCACCTTCAGTCCTGAAGCCCAACTTATGGACGGGGACGCGATCGATTTGCTTCTGTGTATTCTGTCTGAAATCGACATACCGCTCCGTCAGCGAACGACTCGACGTCGTCGACTTCATCCTGTCCAAGGTGGCTTCTGCCGTCCATGCCGGACGACCAAGACTTGCCGTCGTGACCGCAATGTCCTTGTACAAATCAAACAGCTGGGAGTCAATGTCTGACTCTACATCTTGTCCCGGTTGGGGTTCTTGTATTGCACGAAGATAGCCCATCATCAGGATCGAGACTTTGGCATCCAGCAGTGAGGTAGATTTGAAATCGTGCATGATATAAACTCTCGCCGTGTTCTTGCGGACCACGGCTCTCTTCAAGTGGGGTTCTGGCGAGATGAATATAATGGCCTTGTGCCATTTGTCATGATCAGATTGCGTAGATGGAGATACAGGTGCAGCAGAGATGGACTTTTTTGTGTTGTCACCGTCGTTTTCTTTGTCATTGCTGGCGTGGCTGGCCACGATGGCACTTTTGTCCTTGTGGTGTTCCTTTTTCGGCAGATTCACCGCGGCCCATCCAAAAAAGACACCCTTGAAACGCCACAGAATATCGTCAGGAACGCCGGTCAAATTGGCAGTAGGCATGTTCAACAACGCCCTGCTTTTCCCGGTGCCTGGAACCACTTTGCCGTGAAATCGTACTGGGAAGGGTGGAGCAGGTCCAGAGTCATCTCCCACGATATCTGGCCGGGCCAATGCATCGTATGTATCCTGTCGGATGGCAGTGGAGTCCGGGTCATACGCTGCGTCCCGAGCCTGATCATACTGTTCATTCAAATTATCAATCCTGCTCTGGACCTCTGAATCATAGGCCGTGGTCATTGCTTCCTGCGCGATCGTGCCGGGCTGATATATCTGCGTGACTTGGTCTGTGACGAAACTGCGCGCGGTATCGGCGACGGGGCTCAGAGTGGCCGTGATGGTGTTGTTGGCCACGACCGAGGCAATCTTCATGCCTATCTCCAGAGGCATCGTCTTGAGCGAGGCACCCCGGATCGAGCTGACATCGGTGGACGACGAGGCCAGTCTGAAAACCGGACTTCCGCAAAGCACTTTCTTGCCGTCGCCAGTGCAGAGCACAACTCGTAGATACCCGTCGTCTGCATCGCATGGAATTCGGAGTATGTCGGTTTCGCGCACGCGATGGCCCCGGACCTCTTTGGGGGCATGCTTGAGGAACTTCTTGATGTCTCTTTGCCACGCTCGCTCGTCATTGGGGTCGAGTTGGTCTGGTGTGGCTTTGATCGTCGGCGTCACGTCGATCCATGTGCTTCTGGCGCCCAGAAGCGCGCCTACTTTGAGTCCCGTCTTGCCGGTGAAGCCCTTCCGCTGTAGCCACAATGTGCGATCGGGCGGCAGTTCACGGTCGGAGAATATCGTGATGGCCAAGTTTGTGTAGGGCCCGCTGTAGTAGACGAGACCGTGTGAGTGTCGTAGGATCGTGTAATGCTTCGTAGACTCGTACGGATGGGCAATGAGCCCTCCGGCAAGGTATTTGGCTTCCTGCAATGCTGTTTTCAACTTCGCTTGCAGTGGTGACACCGATTTCGCCTTTGCTGACCCAACATGGGCTAGTGGTTCGGACGAATGTGGGATTGAAGGCTGGGTAGAGCTGGTATAGCTCGGGGGCGGATCTATTCCCGGGGGTGTTTCAAGATTCATTGCCTGGAGAACGGCGGCCTGTTCTTCGACAGACAGATCTCCATGAGATTCTGTGTGATGGTGATTGAAATCCTCCGTCTGTGCGCTCCGCAGTTGCGGTCTCCCTCCGCTTCCACCATCTGCAGGATATTTTCTATCTTGCAATGCCGACATATCGTACCAAGTTAAAGTTTGTGAGCTGTGAGCAAATGGAACGTCATTCAGGTAACAGGCTCATTGCATAGCATCGCCAGGAGTAGATACACATCTCTGCCCGTGTTCTACTCAACCCGTGTCCTGTGAACGAAGCTCCGAGATAGCGCGGAGCAGCAGCTTCGATAACGGATGATCTGAATTCAGATGAGGGGAGACAGAAATTGTCGATAAATGAGTTGAATCGTTCGCTGGCATTAAAGAATATCATGGATGAAGTTGGCGGCAGAACCCGGATCCGGGAAACCCGGCGACTACTAAAGTTGACGGCGCCACATTTCCCCAAACCTCACCCCCTTCTCGATGGAACACCATCGACCATTTCAAGGACGTGCGAATATTCAGCAAGAGGGCAGTTGTTATTGTTATTTTTCAATTTCTGTTCATTATTGGGTGCTAATAAGCTAATGTTACAAAGTGAAATAAGAGCTTCTGGAAAGCCCAATCGTAACATAGACATCGTATAGTGCCGACATTGACAACGCGGATAGTTCTCTCGCGTCAGCACATGGAATAAATTCCTCTGGGGTTCAGTGAGCTCCAAGTCCACACTCCAGTGCTGTAATATATGATCGATCCGACAATCCAGCAGATCTCGTGTTCCGGGATATTATTATACAGGCGACATCATGCCCCGTGCACCATCGCAAACATGTCTCAATTGGAGACAGGTCCAATCTCTGTCGACATTTCGAGGTGAAGAAGAATGCCGCGATTGATGAGGTTTGACATTATCCTCCTTCTAGTAGTTTGTCGTCGTTGGAGCGTTGTAGCCTTGCATGCCATAACCAGGCTGGCCGTACTTGGGCTCGGTAGCCATGGGGACGTGGCCAGCATTGTTAACAGTGGAACCGGTCATGCCAGTTTCATGGCTGGGACGCACAGTGCTTGCGTTGTGGACAGGAGTTGTGCCAGGGATACCAGCTCCCGTTGCCATTTCCGCGTCACGAGTATAGGCAGTGTCTCGTTGTCTGCGGCGCCAGAATGGCCGACGAGCGGTGCCGGAGGTGTAGTTGTTGGAAGGGCTGGGACCGAAACGCTTCTCCTTTCTGTGGTGGCGGGCAAGGAGTAATTGGACGACGGCGGTGAGGAGGAAGAGGAAGATGCAGCAGATGGAGACCGCAAAGCAGGCAGTGTTCAAGCTGCAGACATAACCCCAATCCCCAGCACCCGGAGCCGGCTGGTTGTCGAGACCAGTGCCCAAGGGAGTGTTGACGATACCACGGCATTTGTTGGCGCCATGTCGGGTGTAGTATGCGATGGCAGCGAAACAGCCAACAAATAAAATGTCAAGGACGATGGCGAGGGCGGAGAAGACGGCCATACCGCCAACGCATAGGGTCAAGAGAATGGTGAAGATCGTGTACAAGCATGCGGCACCCGCCATGCCTTCCACAGCCTTCTCCCATGTTGGAATGTGACTGTTATGGTTTGCGAGGACAGCCAGGAAATAGCTGTAGATACCGAGCACGATAGCAGCACAGCCGAATTCGAGGAATCGAAGGCCTGTCTGGCCGAAGCGGAGGATGAGGCCGCCGAGAGCCATGGTGTCGAAGGGAGCAGGAGAGCGTATGGCTTGCTGAAGGTTAGGAGAGGCGGAGTTCAGGGGGTGGTGGTGGTGTATGACAGTCTCGCTCAAAGTTTCTCGGATGTACAAGGGAAGAGAACACAAGCGCTGCGAGGGAGGTTCGGGGTCCTTTGTACTTCTGCAGACAGAGTTGCTGGTCGAAACTGGGAAGCGGTCTAAGCGTTGAGGGTGCAATACAGCTGATGTTAGTGACAGTGACATGTTGTTTGGCCCGGAATGGATGCGAATTGACCAGAAACATTGGAAGCGCAAGGGCGAGTGACGTGGAAACGGCGATCGCCTGCATCATCAAAGCAGGGAACTTGCATCACTCCCGCAGGGGTCTGGCCAGGGACAGAAGGATTGACTTCAATCATTGGTCGGAATAACTCATGCGCCACAGCAATGACATAAATTCCACGGACACTAGTAGATCGATCACGAGCCCAGGAAGCAGCCATTGGTCCGATCACAAGCCCCGGTCCCGATCAAGAAGAATTACAGCGGTTTACATCGTTAGCGCTCAGCCGCTGCACTGTGGGAGGAAGTTGCAGCCACATTGTGGAGGCGCACAACTACCGGATGTCGCCTAGGCAAGTATTCAAGACTGGAAACGTCGTCACGATACTAGAACTTGCGCCTCCGCCATGAAAACTTTGTGGGCTGCATTTTTATGTCATGCCCTGACCAGGATGCGGTGTGGCTTGCAGAATGAGACGCTGCGGGCTGAGGTCAAAGTCAAAAATACGAGCGTCTGCATGTCAACAAATTTAAGCTTCATCAGCCATGCATCCAGAAGGGTTAACGTGGAAAAGCCACGATGTTGGTCCATGGTAGACGGGTCGGCGACTCCGAGGGACAAAGGTAAGGCTAGACTGACATGCGCGTTCCACGAGCTGGGAAGCCAAAGAGCGAGATTCGAACTAGAGTACTCAATCCACTGCTAGTTATTACCACGTCTATTCTTTCGAGACTTCGGCCTGCAAAGTCAAACAGAAATATGTCCATCGAAGAGAACTTAAACTACGCTCCACGCTCCCCATGAAGCTTGGACAATAATGCACCACTTTCCCAGAAAAAAGCGTGAAGTCGTGCGTAAATGGATCATGGTCGACCATAACTCCACTCCCCGGACACATCCTACTACCACTGCATGAAAAGACCAACGCTCAGTGCACCAAACATCAAAGAGCCAAACTTGGCATTGTCCATCTTCAAGTTGACTGCAGCATTATGCGTCTTGCTGGGCTTGCTGCCGCTGCTGGTTGTGGTGGATGAGCCTCCTTCCGGAGTAGTGCCGCTAGTATTGTTCCCCGGTAAGTTGCTCTGATCGTTGGCAAGAACGTTCAGCTCAAGCCCAGTGATCTCTTGACCACTGGTGGAGTACACGATCTGTGAAGGCTTGGTGTCTGTGACAGAAGAGGTGCCCGTCGGGAACGTGCCATTTATACCATTTTTGATGAGATCGTCGACACCATCTGGTCGGGCAGGAATGGAATAAGTCTTGGTGAAGTTGGCTCCAGCAAGCAGGCTGCTTGCGCAACTAGGAGGGGTCAGAGAGGTGGCAGTGGCATTGGCCTTTTCCAGCAGCCCGACGTCCAGACTGTTAAACTGCTTCCGAAGGTTGTCATAATCCGTAAGGATGGAGACAGTGCCATTGTCGTTCAGTTCGACCAGACCGTAGTTGTTAGGCTCCTCGCTGTACTCGTAGATGAGACCGCCGGAAAAGACCGGTGTCATCTTTTCAGAGTACAACACCGGCACTTCGGAGAACACTCGCGGAGTAACATGGTTGCAGCCATACTCAGAGAAGAAAATCGGGATAGTGGTGTTGCTAAAGTCATCCACCAAGACATCGTAGCCAGATGACTCGAAAGTAGCATCACCGCACCAAGAGTAGCTGTTGAGACCAAAGAAGTCGATCTTGGAGGTGGTTTCATTGTCGAGCCCACAGGACAAGTAGTTGTAGGTGCCCATAAGCAATGGCCGGACATCAGCCGCAGAATAACCAACAGGAATGTCTCGTGAGGCTTGAGCGGCAATGTAATCCTTGACATCTCTGGTGACGGCTCTGATGTAGGCAGGGACCTGTGCGACAGAATCTTCGTTGATCACTTCATTGCCGCTGAAGAACCCCAAAGTGTTGTTGAAGTGCATGAAACCTTCCACAACCTTGAAGACGCGTTCCAAGTAGTCGGAGTTGTAAGATTCCCATGGTGCGCCTCGGTTGAGCGATTGGTTTGGAAGAGGACTATTAACGTCCAGGATCATGTAGATACCGGCTGCGTTGAAGATTGAGGCACACTCGCTATGGTCCAGATCCGGATCTAAGTTATAGACACGGATGGCGTTGACACCCAGTCGTTGCATGAGGACGGCATCTCGGAGGCAAACCGAACTGTTGCTCAAGGGGTCGACACCAGAGCCAGGGTCGAAGCCGGAAGAACCGCCGGGTTGGTAACTGCAGATAATGATCAGCGCTATAAGTAGGAGATCACAGAAACACCATCTCTTACGCGACACCAATGATCTGGAACCGTGTGTCATCCACGCTATTGACGAAGTCGGCACCTTTGACCACGAGTGGGGACACAGCGTAGGTGAACGATGTAAACAGAGCGACAAGCACGAGGAATGTGGCTTTGAGCTGCGGATTCAGTCAGTACATTTCTCGACATCATGCAAAGTCTCAATGGTCTCACCTGAGCCATCTTGAGCGACTGGCTTTTGAAGGACTCTAAAGAAGAGCTGGAGCCGAAGCAGATGAACTGAATTGGGAATGTCTTGGGAAGCGAGAGAAATGCGGGAGTCCGGAAGAATAAAGAGAATGTTGAAGCACAACGAAGGGCGCAGCTTCCTGGAGGGCCGAAGCTTGGGAGAAGAGAAACGAAGCACGATTAAACACCCGCAGGTGCGATTGTCCCGCGGAAACACAAGCGAAGGTGTTGATGAAGTTCTGGTTCCAGTTACAGAGAAGAACTTGAAGAGCTGCAGCGGGATGATGCGGACAATCTGCGGTCTATCAATCTGCAGGCTTCGGCAAGGAGCCCCAGATGTTGTGCAGCGAGTGGCCAGGGCCTGAGGAAGCCGGCTGTTTGGCGGGACTTTGACGGGCACGCACCGATGCGCGTTGGAATTAGAGCCCGTCATCTAATTAGCCTCTGCTGCGCGGGCGTTTTAACTGGCCGACCGTCTGTCTACAGTACCTAGTGCTACAAGCCATGCGACGCGTCAGGAAATTGCCCGATTCCTTTACCAAGCAGCCAAGTCCCCTTCGTGAAACCGTGCAGATGTTGTGGCAGATTCTCCTGCTTCGATATCGTCTCTGATGACGCTGCCAATGCATACAAGCTCTCCGCCGAGCAAGATACAAGAAGTTGCGGTCACAGCGACGCGCAATGCTACCTACATAGGTATAATTTGTCGCCTTGTGTTGCCTCGGCAGGGGACATGCCAGTGGGAGATACTTGGGTTTCAAGGCGAGTTGCCACGATACATGTGTACATTGAGGAGAGATGTCATCTGTTGCAACGCCTGTAGCCAGAAGGAAGTGTATCGTGTGCTCGGTTGATTACCTCAAACACCAGAATTGATAAAGATGCGGTATATCCCTACGTGCTGTAGTATCTGGTAGCACAATGGTGGACTATCATGTGGTACCATTATTGTAGGATCAGTAGTGGTGATCTTTGTCCAAGTTCATAAAATGTCCGTTGGGTGATACGGTCTTTCGGAAGGTCTGCCGATAAGGCCAGCGCTGCGACCACTGCAGCCATTATTGTCTGGACAAAACGTCGCAACACGAGCCCTACCTCTGGCAATCATGCTGTATCTTTCACACTTCAGCTAGAATAGGTTCTGACTATGCCGCCTTCACGCAAGGCCGGTTCGTCTGAGCCGCCCACGGGAGATCGAAAAAATGTGGTCTTCTTCCACCCAGACCTCGGAATTGGCGGTGCTGAACGTCTCATCGTGGATGCCGCGGTCGGCTTACAAGAGCAAGGACATAAAGTGACCATTTTTACTTCGCACTGCGATCCTCAACATTGCTTTGAAGAGGCACGGGATGGTCAGTTTGCCACGCTTTGATATAATTAACTGTCACCAACCAAGATTGACAGTTTTGTGAATGTAGGTACATTAGATGTCCGCGTCCGCGGGAATACTGTCTTTCCCTCCACCTTCCTCAACCGCTTCCACATCCTCTTTGCAATCCTGCGCCAGATCCACCTTGTGTTCTCAATAGCCGTGTGGAGCAATGAATTACGAAGTCTGAACCCCGATGTCTTCGTGGTCGACCAGCTGTCTGCCTGCGTACCACTTTTGAGATGGCTATACCCCGGTCGTCAACGGACCTTGTTTTACTGCCACTTCCCTGATCAATTGCTCGCCGATCGACGTGCTGGTGGTGTTTTGGGCCTGTTCAAGAGAATATACAGATTTCCTTTCGATTGGTTTGAGGGCTGGAGCATGAGCGCCAGCGACAAGATTGTGGTCAACTCGGCTTTCACAAAATCTGTCGCTTCGAGAATCTGGCCGAACCTGGCCGACTCGTTGGGTGTGATATACCCCTGCGTGAGTGTAGGCTCCAAAGAGTCTGGCACGGCGCAGGATCAGCAGCCACTGTGGAATGGGAGATTCAAGATTCTTCTGAGCATCAATCGATTTGAGCGTAAGAAGGACATAGGGTTGGCCATACGTGCATATCACCAGCTTTCGGCTGCTGAGCGCGAGAACACTCGATTAGTGATTGCTGGTGGGTATGACCAAAGGGTGACCGAAAATGTCCAATATCACGAAGAGCTAGTTCGGTTGGCAGAACATTTAGGTTTATCCACAGCTACCGCGAAGACGGTACCTACAGCCTTGGGCGTTCCAGATCACATACAGGTGTTGTTCTTATTGTCCATACCGGGGTCTTTCAAGGGCACCCTGTTGAAGAATGCGCGGCTGTTGCTATATACTCCTACCAACGAGCATTTTGGAATCGTGCCGGTGGAGGCGATGCAGCACGGCCTGCCGGTTCTAGCTTCGAACACCGGTGGACCGTTGGAGACCATTGTCGACGGGGAGACAGGTTGGTTGCGCGATGTTTCCGTCCTAGATGATTGGTTTGCTATCATAAGAAAGGTCTTGCTTGAACTTAGTACATCGGAGCTGGAGACTCTACGTCAAAATGGGAAAGAAAGAGTTAAGAATCATTTCACACGGGAGATCATGGCAACGAGATTCCAAGATCAAATTGCCGAGATGCTAGCCAACAAGAGGAGCGCTTTCCTCGAGAGAAAAGACATCACACTCGGTCTCTGGATTGCGGCAGCTTTCCTGGCAGCATTAGTATCGACCATCATCAAAGCAAGATATGGGCGTGGTGACCAGAGAGCTAGTGAGTTTGCGCGAGCCAAAAGGATGCACACAGGAGATGGAGGAGAGGCGGACATGTTCAAGATAATGCAGTAACGCAGAGCAGAAATGAGTTACGAGCTGTCAATGCATGATTCCAAGACGGCCAACATTGGTAAATACTGGGGCTGCACGAGGCTGCACGAGGCTGCACTTTACGCGTCAATCAATGGAATTAACGCGCTCCTCGCGCGCCAAGATTGTTTACATAATCCATATCCGGCAAGCAGCGTGCAACTTGAAGTTCGAGTTATGGGATGTCGAACGCAATTGCCATAGGAGAGAATATTGCCACCATCGTAAGAACACATCCAAGCATCTGGTGGAGAGCTGCATCCACCACGCACAGCATGGTGCTGGCCCTTGCTTACCAATTTGACCTACGTTGACCCTTGGATATCGAAATATGCCCGAGGTAATTGAGCTGTTGTCGTCGAGTTCGCCAGGGACTGCATCTCCAGAACCAAGGCAGGTCGCCTCGACAACATCCAAGTCATTGCTGGAGGGTACATTCGATTTTGGCTCCGACGATTTTGATGAAACTGGATCAATAGATTTTCACGTCGATAGGGCCAACAAACGGCGACGGTTGACTCCAGACCTCGACTTGAACGAAGCATTGGCAAACCCCGAACACTCACGACCACAACTGACGCTGGAGTTATCATCGGATACTGATAATGGTCTCCATTCTGATCGCGAGATTTCTGTCCAATCAACAGAGAAGTCGGTCGTAGGGAAGCGGACTGACAATGTTTTTGACGAGATAACATTCTCGTCCTCGGCCCCGGAGTTGCGTTACACTGAGACAAAGGCATCAGGGACCCAATGGAATTTGCCTCTCGAGGATTCGGCAGACGATTTGGACGATGTCCTGTTGAGCCTCTCGCAACCGACCGGGGATGCTGGGATTGACGAGGATTACGAAGATATGTACTCCAATAGGACGGCCAACCTTCTGGCGAATCTCTCGCAGACGTCGACCAAGGAGAAGACAACCAAGCCACGCCTGTCCAGGTCTGGGACCTTGGATCGTGGAGCAAAACGGAAATCTACAACCAAGGTCCAGATCAAGGATGATATTGAGTTCTCTTCTAGTCCGGTCAACGTTCGTACTTCTAGGCCTGCCAGAGTATCTGACGATCAAAAAGCAATCAAAGCTGCCGAAAGAGCTTCAGCCAGAGCGGAAAAAGAAGCTGCTAAAGAAGCAGAAAAGGAGCGCAAACGGTTGGACCGTGAGAAGAAAGCTCAAGAGAAGCAGAAGGCTGCCGATCTTGCAGAGGTCAACAAATCCAAGATAAGCAAAAAAGATGCCACCCCGGAAATGATACTTGATATGTCGGGTTTCCTAAGGGGCAGCAGTGTCGGCAACCAGGTGCAGGAATACATGAGGAACGTCCGTGTTGAGGTCAATTATATTGATGAAGAGGTGGATCTGACCGACAGCCTCCCAGACCAAGATATTTATGGTAACCTGGTGACATGGCGTCGCAAAGTGAAGGCCACATACAACGAAGAGGGGGGTCATTGGGAACCAACGCTAGAAACCCAAATCGTCAAGGAAAAGCATGTACTAGTACATCTTCCCGCCGTTGAGTTTGCAGCGATGATTGCCGGCTCGAAGACAGCAGCGTCGACGTCAAGACTACCGACGGAGGAAGAGATGAAGGCCAACCTCGACGCACACGTTGCATCGATACGCCGGAGATTCCACGATTGTATTCTCATCTACCTCCTGGAGGGTCTGGAAGCTTGCATCAAGAAAAACGTGAATGCAAAGAACCGAGCATACACTGCAGCTGTACGGGCACAACTGGTTGAGTCTACTGAGGCAGCGGCATCTTCCAACGTTAACACACAGCCCGCTGGGACACAAGCGAAATCTCGCAAGAGGAAAAAGGCTGCCACTGACTCCATGGATCTCACCTTTATCACGTCGGACATCGTCGAAGATCTACTGCTTCATCTCCAGCTCGCCCATCAGCCGATATTGATCCATCATACGACTTCGCCGGGAACGACGGCGTCTCAGATATCTGCCTTGACGCAACATCTCTCGACGCGACCGTACCGTCTCGCCCAGCTCGACTATAACCTCAAATCGGCATCATTTTGCATGGACACCGGCCAAGTCCGGACAGGCGACGATGCCAAAGACACGTTTGTCAAGATGCTGCAGGAAGTTCAACGAGTAACTCCCAGCATGGCGTATGGAATCGTCGACCACTGGCCGAGCGTCAGTAAATTGGTCAAGGGGTTCGAGAAACATGGCAATCTCATGCTGGAGGATGTGCGCAAGACCGTCAACAAGGATGGCGCGTGGAGTGACAGAAAACTGGGTCCCATGATCAGCCGCAGGCTGTATAAGGTGTTTATGGGTCGAGATCCTGCGGCGACGGATGGCATGTCATAAGTGTTCACGGAGCGCGATGTAGGCGTTTTGTCGGGTTTCTAGGGGCAGGGCGCGGTATAAGCGTCTTCATAGCGTGCTCATGTAGATTTACGGCAGATGCTGGAGGGACTGGATACTGTCGAGCTAGACACTTTATTATAAGTTTTCCTTTGGGCCTCTGTCGTCATTCTATCGTTAGACGAAATGTTTGTATATCAGCACCTCGTGAGATATCGAATCGATACCGAACCGGCTTCGAAGCGTAGTAGAATCGATTCGAGGCTAGATCCGATTCAGTATCGATTTAGAATTATCTCTATATAGGTGCCTCTCCCTTATAGGATTAATATAGTATTAATATCGTATACTTAGAAAAGAAATCGTACTTCGACATAATTACGATATACTTAGGTGCCCACCCCCCCTAGATCGATACAGTATTAATACCGTATTAACACGGTTTCGAAACCGTTTAGAGGATCGAATACGTATCCAACACGGTTCTACCACGGTTCGGAACCGGTTCGAAATCGGTTCAAAACCGGTTCGAAATCGATTCGAAACTAGTTCGCAACTATTTACGGGTTTAAGCGTATCGAAACCGTATCGACTCTATTTACTCGAATCCTACTAGTTCGCGTATATCTACTAGTTTAAGTATATCTACTAGTTTAAGTATATCTACTAGTTTAAGTATATCTACTAGTTTAAGTATATCTACTAGTTTAAGTATA